TTAATTTCGTCATAATTAGTTTTTTTTCTTCGTCATGATAAAATCTTATCTCGTGATCGCCGATTTCGGTTGGCACGAAAGCAATCGTATACAATTTTGGTGATAATTTTTCGATTTTGCTTTTTAATTTCTTTCCTGCTGGTGTGACGATCTCGACGTGAATGTTAGGATTAAACATCGAATGAGTTTTCGGCTTGATAACCAACGATGTTCGCTTGTTAATCGAGGCATATTCATAATTTTCAAACGTTAATTCACTTGAGAAAACATTACAGATGAATGGTGATCCTGTTTTCGTGACAGAAAAAAAAACATTCGTGAGGGTAATTAGTCGAAAATTGTTTGTTTTTCTTTACCATGAATGTGAATGCCATTGAGTTTGATTCGTATATAATGCGCGCAAGGTTTATCGGGAAGGAAATTAACACGAAAACGAGCACCGCCTTCGTTTTGCACATAGTTTGGAATGTTCTTTCCATCTCGTGATATGGCGATTTCCAGATTGCCGGCACCCGAATCGGTTGCGTCGACTGAAAGAGAGAGAGATATTCTTCTCCTATTGTTCAACGGTTTTAATTGAAATTTTACTGATGAATGATGTCGGCGTGCTCACAGTTGTTGATGACGGAAAATCGAACGTTTTGATTTTATTTATATCATACGACTGTGATGTAAATGGACTACCGTCAATAGGTATGTCATCATGGAGAACATCGATATGAAATTCACCTAGGCGAAATAATTGATTTTAAAGCAAGAATTTGTATGAGGTAACTCACCGACACGATCAGGTGTGTAAGTGACTTCGTATCGATTGGGATCGATCTTGGTTGTGATACATGAGATTAGATGATCATTGGGTCCTATAAACAAATCCGTTGAGATGTTCGCAAGCGAAATCAGGTCAGCGGTACTTACAGATACGTGATTAGTAGGAAAAGAGAAACTAAATTAGGTGTTAATCAAAATCCATTACCGAAAAATCAAGACAAAGATTGAATAGCGAACCTTTTATCGAACATTTCAATTTTCCGACATCATCGTTTTGAGTGACAACAGTGAACGACGTGGGAATGTTGATCGGATTGGAGCCCAGACCTTTTCCCATTGCTGTAACACGCTGATTTTCCATAACATTGACAGGAAATGGACTTCCTAAAACCAGACAAACACAATTCGTAAGTTTATGTGACTCGTTCCCTTCACCTCAAAATCTAGTTAGAAAGCTACCTGGAGATGTTCGAGAGCAAATTGATGTTTTATGAAGAGCAAACATACATACGGCTTCTTCATACAAATTAAAAAGTGAATTTTTCCGCTCGACTCTTATATCATTCACTTTTTTTCTGTCTGCCTTTCTCTCTCTCTCTCTCTCTCTCTTTCTTTCGCTCAGTTATGTTGATGCGCTTGAAAGAACTACATATATGTTCACTTTCGCTTGCTTCGTTTTGCTTCACCCGTCTTTATATTACTATGACTATGCAACAAAATTAATGATGGTACATATCTTGACATAATGAAACAGTTTCGAAAAAATGCATGCGAACTAGTAATCTTTTCGAGCTAATTGTTTGCTTTAAAAAGCCATTGACGATATTGTTGCGGGTTATCGTACGATTTATGTCTAATATTAAGCATATCTAGATAAGATAAGAATGAAAGGAGGGAAAAGAAGGAGGGAGTGGAGAAAAGTAACCTTGTCAATCACAACTATGTTACATTCGACGCTCACACACTTTCGCGCATACGCTCGTCGCGATGTGTGACAAAAAAGTAAAGTAGATTCATTTAAATTTTGATTTTCTCTCGTGAACTACTAATGAAGAGTATGTAAGTTACCCGGGACAAGTTCGCCGTTGAAAAGTATATTGCAATAATGTGTCGTTGCTTTGTGCGGAATGAATTGAACTTCATAACAACTCTTTCCGGTTGGATTCACATCGTTGGGTATATTTTGACCAGAGTAGTTCACACTAATCTCGAGATTACCTTCACCTGCCATCGATGCGTCGACTAGTAACGATTAGATAAAACGTGTGTCACATCTTTTTTCCTGCTCAATGAGTAAGAACGATACTCCTATCATTTTTTCGAAACTTACTTCGAAATTTAGTTGGCTTGCCAATAGCACTACTATTTGTTGTCGGTGTGACGAGAACCTTTTTCGGATCATAACATTTCACATAGAATGGACTAGCAGGGATGAGTTTCCCATTTAACTCCACATGAATTCTATAAGTTCCAATTTCCGTCGGGGTCCAATCCACTCGAAGTCCAGCAATAGTTAACAGTGTTGACGGAGTGGTGGATTCGCCCGTGGGAGAAAATACGGTCACATCGATGTTCGACGAGCTGCCATGGGCTGTATCAATCGTGAACCAAGTTTGAGCGCCAAGTAGAACCTGGCTAAGACCGGGCCCATGAATTTTGATGTCATCAGCTGTAATGACATGGCATTCTTTTGGAAAGCCTGAAAGTTTCTCAAAATAGAACGATCATTTGTGAATAAGAGCTTTGGCTTACCAGGAATATCGTGTCCGTTGAATTTGACCGACAGTTGATGTAGATTATTTGACGTTGGAAGAAAGGTAAAGTGAAACTTGGATTTGCCCAAAGATTTGACCTTATTGGGCACTTGACCATTGTTGATCGCAACTTCCAATTGTCCTTCACCAGCTTTCAATGCATCGATTGTAAATTCAGCTGGTTGATTATAAATAATAAAACGTGGTATTTCCGAAACCACTATACGATTTGTATCAAATGATTGAAGTATAAACGGCGAACCATATATCTCCATTTTTCGACTCGATCGTACATCTACGCGATGCAGGCCTGATCAAGGAAAAACAACATATAGATGGTACGAAGTGAAAGTCAGACAGATGTTATGTTTTTTTTCTTCATGGTCTTCGCATTCGATCTATATCGCGCATCTTTTTCTGAAGGTAAGTTTATATGCATATCAAATGATACGAAGTAAAGGTGTACTATTTCGAAATGTATATGTATATATAGACACTACTACTTGCGAACATATTTGAAAATATGTGCAGCTCCTTGATTTGATTTGTCTTACGGCAGCGACTAAGTGTAACGAGAAATTTAATTTCGATTTCGCCTAGTTTAGGTTTGAATTAAATATTAAACCTTGTCAAATATTGCTCAATGAGAGACATATTTAGAAAAAAATTCGTACTTAATCGATGGCCTCCTATGGTCACTCGGGTTCTCGTGCCTATCAATTGACACGTTGATTAGTTATCTATTCACTCACCAATTTCATTCAACATATAGTCAATACGTGTCTCATTCGTGTTCAATTGCGAATGTTGAAAGAGAACAGAACGACTTGATGGTGCTTGAAAGACGAAAAAGAAATTGGAAAAAAAAACGAACGATTTTTTCTTTCATTTACAACATCAATTGTATTTTACCAGTGATATTAATGTCAAATGATAATGATTGATTGCAAATATCAAACGAAGCCGGATGTCCGACATGAACATTCGTCAAATGATTAGATACTATCATTCGTTGTAATTCATCGATCTGACAAGAAAACGGGCTACCTAATAGAAAAAAAAAGCTCCTATCAATGACGACCTTCGATAAGAATCAATCGGTTACCTGGAATAGTTAATCCATTAAATCGAATATCGATCTTATGTAGACCAGTTTGTCGTGGAAGAAAACTAACATCAAATTGTGAGTTGCCGTATGAGATGGCATTGCATAGAACTTGTCCATCTTGTACGAACACTTCCAATTGTCCAATACCAGCTCGAATCGTATCTATACTGAATCGAACGACCTGATTTACGTGACCGTCCGTTAGATTTGATATGTTAACTTGATTGATGTCGAAAACATTGATCCTGTACGGATATTGATGGATGAGCTTTTCGGCAAGATAGATCATCAGTTGCATTTCCCCAATTTCATATGGAATGTAATTAATCGTCCATATGCCATCACCTTGATTGACAACTTCAACAAGATCGGAACGTTCTGGTGGTAAAATGACGATCTTGACTTCGTCCGTCGGATTATAAGATGAACGTGCATCGATTATCACCGATGTTTGAACATTAACTTGCGCCTGATATAAACCATCACCAAAAATATTTATCGGCTGATCACCTTCTCAGTAAAAATAGATTCGCTCGTTTTCTAGTAACGAAAAATCCTACTTACGGATCTTCAAACGTCGAATAAACATATTCGCTCAATCATGATTTGCATTGTTGATCACTAAAATAATAATCGACCAAATGTTCACTATGAATTTTGTTCAAGACGAGACAATATGTATAAAATAAAGATGTGCATCGTAAAAACGTTTATTTCATTTGACGTGTTCGTCAGTCTGTCTCAACGACTATAATTATATGCTTGTCATATTACATTATCTATTGAAGATTTGTACATGGCGATATATATATATGTATACATCATTGTTCAGAACAGAACAAGAAGAAGTTACTGACCATGAATCGATTTCGACAACGATGAAAGAAATCGAACAGAACCTGCACAACGCTACATGACCTCTTTTGTCTAGACAATTTAACACGATTCTCTTAGCAGAAATCAACCATGGATTTCGTTTCGAAAAACCATACGATCATGGATAATTCGTGTTAACGTAAGAAGAAAGAAAAAAAAAAGAAAACTATTGACTTTAATTCAATTCTATATATTTGTGCAGAGCAAATACATTATAGTTAATTCAAACATGTCCTTGACTACGACAATAGTGATAGATATATCCTATCTGTTATTTCATCTTTTTCGTGTCATTTAATTGAAACCAAACAGCGCTAGAGACACAGCATAGTTCATTTCGAATCATACTCCAATGACCAACGTGCCACCGCCTTATTGTAAATCGTGTATGTGTTCAGTGAAAATCTTATCGATTTATCTGTTTAATTAGATGATCATCCACATGAATCAGCGTCACACATGCACAATGTACCGAAACAAAACTACCCACCGCAAGTATTCTCTGCAATTTGTCCAACAGGCCCAAATCCAATGCCATGTACCTGCCCGTATTGTCACCAAGCGATCATATCACGTGTGGAAAATAGGAATGGTGCTCTTGTATGGATTGTAGTGATTATTCTCTGTCTCATTGGCTGCGTATTCGGTTGCTGTTTAATTCCATTTTTCATGAACAGTTTGAAAGTACGTCCGCTGAACTCTTTTGCACGAAATAAATCGATTTATTTATTCGTTTCATCTTCATTAGGATGTAATACATATCTGTCCGGTTTGTCAACGACAAATTGGACGTGACAAAAAATTGTAGATTATATCATTGTCCTGATGTTTATCTCAACAGTTCTATTGACATCTTACACCTTTTTTTTTCTCTCTTACTTCATAAGCACATGCTTTTATCGTATGTAAAGTTATCTGATCTTAGCGATGAGCTTTGATGACAACTTAATCATTAAGTCAAATGTATATAAAAACCCGCTTTAATCTTCTTTCGATTGAACTCATGTAAAATGTTCGTATATCATTTCGCTGAATAGAGCAAAATAACCTCTCAGTCTTGATAATAGACAATTTATTTTTCAATTTCTTCGTAGACTAAATTATAGTTTCTTCTTCGAATGTACCTGTAATTATCGATACATCGAACAAATTAGATGCTTAGCATTGAAGAATAATTACTTCGAAAGGCAAATAACATGTGTGGATATTCAAACAGAATCATCTGAGAAATGGATCGTGTAAATAATTTATTGAGAGAATACATAACAGCAAAAGCATTGCTTTTATTCTCTTTGATGTAATTCTTTTCTATGAATATATTTGTTGGAAAGTTTAAACGCATGTATCGTCTAATAACAATTCCACGCGTGTGGGTAGCAGAATGCTTAATAACTCTCACTTTTACTGATGTTATTTCTAATTGTATGCGGAAAAGTCAAGTTAACATCATACAATATATTTACATGTGCAATTAGTTGCCTTCCTCGTTTCCAGAATGTTTTCTGTACGAAGAATTACGAAAGAATCGATCCGATCTTTCATTTCTGTTGTAACTCTTCTCCTGTCGATTCTAATTATGACACGTACGTATCTATCTCGTCGTATTGTTTACATATTCATCAACAATAATGGCTCGAATTATTCATTCGCTGCTGATTTCTATCCTCACATAGCTGTTTTAGTAGAGTTTCGTGAAACTGATCGAATTGTTAGTGTTGTTCACAATGTTCTCCAGCATATACCCGAAACATGGCCCATTCAAATAGTACATGGGAAAGAAAATGTGAATTTCATTCGTAATTCAACTCTTGCTTCTTTCATTGCAACTGGCAAAGTTTTCCTGACATTAGTCGAATCAATTGGTGATAAACGAAGAATCAACCATTTCCTAACCGATTTAAACTTTTGGAAGTTAGTTCGTGGCGAGAAAGTTCTTTTCTTTCAAATCGATTCGATCATGTGTTCGAATTCTCCGCATTATATAACTGATTATCTTCAATACGATTACGTAGGTGCACCATGGGATCTTACCGGTTTCCTGTATAATCAAACCTATCGTGTTGGTAACGGTGGATTTTCTTTACGTAGTCGTGAGAAAACGTTAGCGCTATTGAAAATGTTTCCTTACAACTCCTTTCTACCTGAAGATGTTTGGTATGCAGAAAACTTTCATCGTGTAAATGCATCGATCGCTCCAATAAACATCGCTAAGACATTCTCCGTTGAATCTATGTTCTATGCACGACCGGTCGGGGTACATCAATTTCCATGGAATTGTAAATTTCGAAGACAACTACGTGAAACATGTCCCGAGTCGATAATGGTTTTACCGAATGGACGATGTTAACCCTGTGAATATCTTTTTTTTAATGAGAATAAAGAGAAAAGATCATTGATCATATGCCGAAGTAGTTCTTTCATTAGTTTACAAGGATTGATAAACATTAAATGATTGTCAACAGTTATCGATTAAACACGTGAATGATCATTTCTCAATCAAATCTTTCTTCTTTTTCAAACTTACATTTGTCATGTGACTTCGAAGAGAATTAGATTACAAACTCAACAAAAGAGATTAACTTGCTGCATATGACAGAAGCATTGTTAGTGAATGTTAAGCAGTATTCGGTCAATATTTATCTGACACTTTCTTCATTAGGATAAAATAGATCTGCACGTTTGATTTCAATAAACGTCAAATGACGACTTGATTATATGCTAATGATTTAATCTCGAAGAAAAATTTCTGCATAAGTTAATAAATTTCCTCTTTTTTGTTCAGTCGCGCTGATAGCGTGCTGATCGCTGGCAGGCATATGCATAAAATGATGAACGTGTCAGTAAAATTGAATAGACAGAAGCGCAAGTAATGATTTATATTTGAGAAACACAAAAAAAGAAAGTACAAGTGAGTCTGTCGATCAAAACTATGATTGCCAACAAGTTATTCTTCGATAGAAGAAGAGAAAAAGATGGCAATTGTTTTCTTCCGACAATCGATTTTTAATTACAATCAAAGGTAACCAAAATGCTATGTGAACCGCCAAAACAAGAATTGATGAGGTACATAGATAAGAATAATAATAGTGTTTGTTTTTCACCAAAGCAAAACTGGCACACAGTCATAGAACTAATTAGAAATAACCTGCAGATTGCGTAAGTTCTATCGAAAAGAAAAACTGGATAGGTCAAGGCATTATGCATATTGATGATAGACAAGCAATGAAGATAGAGCTTTTCAGCAATTGTTTCCTTTATAGATGCATATGTAGGCAGAACGAAAGCGAGTTACTTCCGACGTATATAATCGATCCCCGAGGGTAGTGGTCAGTGATTTAAGTGGAATATTCCACGCTGCAAGTATGTAGTAGGACGATGTTGAAAAAAAAGTTAATGTCCGTTTAGTTTGTCGAGAGGATAGGTTATTTGTCTTCTGAAGGAAATGTTCTTGTATATATACTTCTTGACAAGAATGCTTTGTTCAGTTTTCTTCGCTTACTTTCCTCCGTCTTTAATATAGCAGTGAAATCATGTGTCAAAACTAGCTCGATGACTGAATTGCTTGTCAGTTTTGTCTTTCACTTGCAATAGGAGACGTGTCCATATGACAGTTATGACTCTGTCAAAATTTTTCCTTTGACAAAAAAGGTCGTATCATCATTGTGAATCGGCTGTTTATATTAGAGAAGAATCAATATGTAAGAGATACAATACGATATTCTTCTTTTTTGTTTTACTATCCATGCTGAGATAATATCTTTCAAGTGCACTGACCGAATTAAGAAATAACAGACACTACCCACTGTGTCATTCGTTTTCTTTCGAGAAAGAAAAACTCATCAATGTGCTTGACATGCTTTTATTCATTAAATTCTCATTGTTTTTCATCAAGTGAGTTCAAAACAAAACTTCACCATAGTTAACTCCGCTGTGCGTACGTACACATTCTGTTCTCTTACATCAAGATGATAGTTGAGAAAGAGGAGACGACAAGAAAGCAAGAGAAAAATAATGATGATGATGATGATGAACACAATCGACAGAAGAAAAGAAGATGTGCATTATTATTATCATTATGGTTCCCTATTGTTAGATATAGTCAACGAACGACGTTATACTATCAAACTTCAGTGAATAAATATACATAAAAATAAGTGAGTTTATGATTACCCACATCGATCTTTTGACTTCGAATGAAGATAACATAGAAAATATGTCAGGGTCCTTTCTTTTTATCTTCTAATATAACATATCAGAATCTAATAAGCATGAAGGTCCACATTACCGCATATTTCATCTCATTTTCTCGCCAGAGTAAATTGTTTTAGAATGAAACGTAACAGAGCATCTTTCCACCTGTATGCTTCAACGCTTTTGTTGATATTAAAGAAGCCCTGTCAAGTGTGTACATGCATGGTCAGTTAGAGTTGGATAGAATGTAATTGAATGTTTATTAGAAAAAGAAACATATTCAATCTATCTTGATTACAGAATGTCTGACCATTGTCTGTTTCTTTCTTTCTTTCTTTTTTTATTTTCAGAAATGCCACTAAGCCTACTTATACAGTTGCTCATCATCTATTCAATTTTATGTAAGTATATATAATTAAAGGAAAAAGACGCGACAAATCTTCTTTTGTTCGTGTTCAGATTTCTCATCGAGTGAAAATCAATATTATCGAATTCAACCGCATGATATATCTGCGTTAATTGGCTCAAATATTACTATTCCATGTGTGATTGCTTTACCGCATGGTGACATACAATGGACCAAAGATGGTCTAGCGTTAGGTTAGCAAATGTTTGATTGATCTGTCGTCGTCTCATATCTTTATGTTTGTCGTTTAGGTTACGATCGACAATTACCTGCGTTTCCTTCGTGGTCAATCATCGGGGATGAAAGTCGTGGCGAATACAATTTTCTGATTCAATCATTGAAATTAGAAGACGAAGGTATCTTCGCCTGTGAAGTTTCACCCTATAAGGATGCACCGGCATTGAAACAAGTAGCACATGTACGAACATTGATTGAACCACAGCGTGTACAGATTAACAATCAGCCGTTATGGAATGAAACAACCATTGTCATGATCAGATACGACGAAACTATTCATCAGATCAATTGTGAAGTTGATGCAGCACGACCAGCAGCTCATATAAAATGGTTTAATGAAACCGGCCAAGAATTCCCAGCAACATCAAGAACATACACTCAAAGTATATCGAAAGGATCGGATAGTGAAATTTACTTGTTAACGATCTTCTTTTGTAGATCGTATCTTTTCAACCACGAGTACATTAACCCTGGTTCCATCATTATCATTGAATAATAAGCGTTTTACGTGCCATGTCCATCATGAAACATTACTCGGCAAAATGGATAGACTATTTACGACAGTTGAGATTCAAATTACATCCCCACCAAGTCTCCCAACGATTCACGGTTACACACCACCGCATTTGTTAATCAATGCTTCATATTTAACACTCTCGTGCTTATCGTATGGTGGATATCCTTTGGGCAGATTATCATGGTATAGATTAGAACGGGGAGACAATAAACAATTCCATCTGATTGATAATTCATCGATTTCATATCCCCAACAAAACATGACTGTTAATAATATATCAATGATTGTTACACCTTCGGATAATAATGTAACATTTTTATGCCAAGTTACCAATGCATATCTCTCCTCCATAGGACAAACACTGCAAACGGATGTTACTCTACGAGTTGCTTGTAAGTTGACTGGAAACAAAAAGAAGGATAGACATACAGTTTCCTTCGTTTGATTCTAGTTGGTCCATCGTCTGTACATATTCGTGATAATAGAAATCAGATCAACATAACCACTCTGATCGATGGAACTCCACGGCAATTTCAATGTCGAACAGCATCGTCTAATCCTCGACCAATAGTAAACTGGAAACTAAATGGACAAGTTCTTTCGCCTGATATCGATCCGATAGAAGAGCCAGGTGAATTCGCAGGAAAGATCGTTCAAATAACCAAAACCCTCGGTCTTGATAAATCCTTACGAGAATATCATGGAAAGATCCTTTCGTGTGAAGCACGAAATCCTGAAACAGGCCATATTGTTACTGATTCGACGCAATTGAATGTTATCTGTTCGTATTGATAATTCTTAGAAAGTTCTCATTTTCCCTCCGATTCGATTTTAGACGACGCAATAAGCATTGAAATGTATGGAATATCACAGAATAAGTTGATCAAAGCAGGTGATACCGTCACCGCAGAATGTATTTTAACTGGCGGACATCCGTTAGGAAAAATTATTTGGTATAAAGGTAATCAACTAAGATTTTGATCATTTTGTCGGACCTTGCTCATCTTCAGGTGGTGAATTACTTCAATCCGACTACATCATGGAGTCGACTGGTAATTACGCGACAAGTCGTGTACAGTTCACTGTTTCAGTGTCGGATAACAATCTTCCGTTGACATGCAAAGGACAAGTCGAAAACTTTCCTCAAAAATTTGCATCGTTCGTTCTCAATGTGACCTGTAAGTGATTTGAATAGTTAGAAACCGTCATGAATCTTATTGTTACGTAGTTCTTCCTGCGGAGATATCAATTGTTGAAAACGAACTCTTGTCGAATTTATCTATGAATAACGAAGGTCCACGTGAATTCGAATGTCGATCTTCGAAATCCAATCCTCCCGCTCAGTTGAAAATAACTCGTCAATCAAATGATGGACAGAAGTACGCCGATGTCCAATACAAAACTTTAACGTCCGATACAACAGGCGTGAACTCAATCAAATTCATGGTCTGATGCTTCGAAGTATTAGTTCTCCCGAAAACACATCGTTTGTTTACTTTTAGTTACCACAAATCGATCGTTCCCTCCATGGAAATTTGTTGACATGTGAAGCTATTTTAGATATCAGTCCTGCACCATTGACCAAACAGATTACTTATGTGCTCAATGTGAATCGTATGTTCTAACTGACTTTATGAATGTAGTTTATCTGATGCTTTTTTTTTGTTCAGATAAACCGTATTTTCGTGATTTCTATACATTGATCGAAGTGAAAGAAAATCAATGGTTCAATATTACATTGGAGGCGACTGGTTATCCAATGCCGATTACATATCAATGGTTTCATCCGTCGGGAAGACAACTCATGAACGATGAACTGAATATTTTTGTCAACCAGGGGCAATTAGCTGTGACGAACATTCAACGAAGTGATTCTGGAACTTATCGCTGTGCTGCGTCGAATCTAGTTGGAAGTACTCAAGTGAATGTTACATTAAATGTTCTTTGTAAGTTCGAATAGCAAGCGGTTTGTTGTTCGAAAAAAAAACAAACGAACGTTTTCTGACTATTATAGATGGGCCGAGTATTAGTCGAACTCAGGGATATGCAGTGACAGAAGCTTTAATGCCAGGCTCTTCGGCGATACTCCTATGTGTCATTAACAGCAATCCAATGAATATTAGTAATATACGCTGGTTAAAAGATAATCAAGAGGTTTCCACTGATCTATGGGAAAAACGAATCGAAGGCAATGAAACAGCATTAATTCGAAAATCGGTTCAACGCGACGATGCAGGACAGTACGTCTGTGAAGTAGAAAACCAATTGGGAAGCACGCGTGCGACATTACCACTGGTTATTCAATGTAATTTAACAAGATTTAAGTCGAAGATCGATTTTGTTTTGAATATATCTAGATGCGCCGGAAATTGATCGGACCAATCCAAGTCGAAACAAAGCCGCAGCCGATGCTGACCGTTTCTTAACAGCTGAACTTCATTGTCAAGTGTCAGCTATACCGAAACCAACAATTGTATGGATGAAGGTTTGTTACATACGAGAATGACGTTCGATTACAAGAAAATATCCCTTCGTTTTTAGAATAATCTGCCGTTATCTTTGACAGCTTCGTCAAAATATCAAACCAAATTTCAAGAACACCTTTTTAACTCTTCATTCTCACCGAATCAAACATACGAAACGACTTTATATATCATGAATATCACCAAATCAGATTACGGTGTGTATCAATGTAAAGTGGAAAATAAATTAGGCATTGATGTATCGGAGATTATTCTAACCGGACTTAGTAAGTAACGATATGTCACTGTCATTCTGTCTCATTCTGTGTATGTCTCAGCTATACCTGATCCTCCAAGTCAAGTTCACGTTGTTAATAGCACACATTCATCATTGCTAATAAGTTGGACGCCTGGCTTTGATGGTGGATCTTCTCAAACCTTTCAACTTCGCTATCGCATATCGTCAGATACTTCCTATGCCTACGTTTTCATCCCTGCAGGTTTTCAATCGTATGCTTTGAAAAATCTTCGATTTGGAAGCGAATATCATCTCAGTCTTCGATCGAACAACTCCCATCATTTAAGCGAGTGGACTGATGATATTATTCAATCGACGGCATCATTCGTTCCCACATCATTATTTCACTCAATAGATTTATCTCCAATAAAATATTCGTATACTTTTCTGATTATTATTACACTCATCGGTCTATTGATTATCTTTATCAATATTATTTTAATATCATTCTTCCTGGTCAAACGCCGGCGTGTTCATGCGACGAGCGATAATTCCTCTACAACAGGTACAAACGAAACCGAAACGAATACAGTCGATATATTTCAGCCGATTCCATCGAATTTTTTCTTACCGCCGCCATCGCAAATAGCGAATACTTATCAAAAGTATGACGATGATGACATTCAACGACCATTTGTTCCGACATATTCCATAGTAAATATGCCCAATCGAGGTAAATTCAATCCTTCTGCATTCTTTTCATTCATCTCCTCCGTTTTCTTTCCAGTTGATAGTTCGCCCACATACGGAGTTATCAAAGTAATATCTATTCTCGTGTCACCCACATCCTTCATACCTGCTTTTTCTCTTTCAATTTTAGAAAGATCGCTTGTCTACCTATGATAATTTTCGTCCTCATCAATTTTATCCCAACATTCACGATAATAATCATATAAGCTACCGAAGTTTTCGAGATGGTACAAGTAGTTCAACCGACATGCGCGAATGTGTTCGCGCAGAATTAGTTTAGTTTGTCCAACTCGACAGTGATTAGAAAAGATATGTTTTTATTGTCTTGTGTTCTTTTTTTTGTTTTCTTTTCTTCTTCTCTATTTTTACATAAATAAAACCATCGTCTGGACTGTGCGATCGAGCGAAATACTATTGATTTTATTTAACGTGGTTTACCGCAGTTTTTCTTTGCACAGCATGCGCTTTTGCCTGGAAATTGCAGTTGAATACAGCCGACAACGGCAGCATTGCATCGAGCACAAGCACCAACTGAAAACGAAATCAATGCAGATTCTTTTGAATGCCTATTAGATTACATACATGGCTTCAACCAACTTCCACGTGTGCAGCCATGTCTTTTGTAACAAGCATCATGAACATCACAACATTTTCCTTTTGGACCGCAGCTTGACACAGCTTTGACGAATTTCGTCGGAAGATCACATCCGTGTCGATCACGTCGATCGCGTCGTAATGGTGTCATATCTTCTGCTTGTTCCGCAGCAGAACAATGGGTCAACGCTATGAAAACTACGAGTAAAATGTAGAAGAAATTCATTAGTGGTCTTGCAGTGCAAGAAAATAAGATGAAAAACATGTGTTTATATAGACGTAGATAACTTTATTGAATAGTGAGAAACAGTTACCAGCTGTATTGATCTTCGTAAATAAGTATGTCGCAAAACGATATTTCATCGTGCGATGGTTAAATCAATCCTGATGTTATTCTCATTTTACTCAGAATACATGTGAAATAAATATTAAATCGACAACTGTATCTCATCGATGATTGAATAACTAAGTCATATTAGAGTAGATATTTCTCAGCTTGTGAACATCTGAATGTGATTAATTAGTTTTTTTTTGTCGAAATGCACTGCACGGTATTCAAGTGCATATCTCGAATACACCGAAAAAAAAAGTGATGTATCAATGTCGATGTTCGAGCATCAATGCCTTTTGTCAATAGATGAAGTAGCCGGGAGGGCAAACGGGATATTTCAAGATAATACGTATGTTGATTCTATCGTAAAACTCATCCGAAGAAGAATAACAATAATTCCAGAGAGAGAGACCTTGTAGTTTTAGTGCCAATCAAGTAGAATAATGATATTAAATTCAACTTATTCCATTTCAAATTCGACGATCTGATGAAATGTCAATGATTTTCTTCTTCCGGCAAAGAATGTTGTCATATTAGGAATAGACTCGTTAAACAAATAAGATCAATCAAAAGAAATCGTTTCATGCCATTTGACGACTTTTCTCTTCGTTGTCTTCTGCATTGCCAATCATACGTTCGACAAGATAATATCTTGTTGAATATGTACAAAACAGTTGTTATTGTCTCATTTACACAAAACGAACACGAACAAGATCAATAAGCAAAGAACAGATCATTGAAATCCAATACAAACTTCATTTTTCTCATCCAAGGAAGAAAAATCATACGAGCACGCATTTCTTTCCGTTGTCTTCTCGTGTCTGATAATGTATGGATAACCCTGTTCGCGGTTCTCATGTTTCTGATGATGTTATTTTTTATTTCTACCAACTGCGTCGACGAATTGACGACTTCATTGATGATAGATCGAATAACTTTGAACTTGCTAACTGTCAGAGTTCACACAAAAAAAGAATGATTAGAAAACGAGAGTGAAACTCGAGGAAAACGAACTAATGAATCTACTTAGAGAAAAATAAATATACAGACCAAATGCTTAATCAATTGCCTTGGTCTATCTTGTTCGGGTTTTCCAATTATAACTTCTCATAATTGCATGTGTTATTCGACGTCTCAGATAGAACGCGATCTATCAACAGAATAGCCTTGGCTATATAAATGTTCTTCTCTCATACATTTACTCCTGTTGATTGTACGATAGACATCTAATCTCAATAACATGTATACACATATGCACATCTTGAGATGAGGAGAAAAAGCTCGAATCTCCTATAACTATAAAAAATATTCATTATGGAATAAACAATTATTGATTAAATCTCATATGTACCTTGTAAATGTAACAAATTATACGCAATCATAACTATCCCTAAGGTATTGTGCATCTTATCGGCAATCGCGTTGTCTACCGAATGAAAATCTTTCGAAACGAAAAGCGAATTGTACAAATCTTCAATTGATTTTTTAACAAAATAACAAATCGATTCTTGTTCTCTCGCCTTCGTCTTTCACTCAAAAATAGCAATCAGATACGAACAAGAGAAAAAGCGTAAAACTAGAAAGAGCCTAGCATACTGTTCTCGATTGGCACAGCGACCGTTTTTTCTAAGCTTATTTATCATTCTTGGATATACGCCTGCTTCGTTAATGTTTCTCCTTCTTGTCTCTCTTCCTCTCTTGCGTTTCGTATACATATCATCTATTAGGTATACATAACGATAGGAGAAAAAAAGGCAAGAACGAGAATCAGTTCTCTTTTTTGCTTTCCGATTAGAATCGTCCAAGACTAGGAAATGTTAGTGTACGTTTAATGAAATATTTGCTTTTGGATTTTTTTCGAAGAGAGGTCGTCAAGTTCAATGAATGAGCGGTGAGAAGAAACGTTCTCGGTGGCGTCGTGCATTACCATTACGTGAGGAAAGTCGTCGGGTCAACTCGAAATCTTCGACAACAACCACCAAAACACAAGAAGAGAAACATACAGAGAATATTCAACGTAAATGGTACAAAAAGCCGAATGATAACGCTGATCAGGCGCATGATGTGGCTGTTGATGACGATGATGATGACGAAGATAACGATGAACGTATTCGACTATCATTATTATTACCTAATGAAACGATTTCCGAAAAAATCGATCGTGTTATTAGAAAAATTGATGCATGGACAAATGAAACATCAACAACACGAACAAGAACAACCACAAGAACAACAAATAATAATACAACAATTAAACAGCAAACATCTTTCAATCAAACGAATGCTCCAGTATTTAATTACGATAAAATTTATCGAAGACAATATCCGACGAGTCAACCCAAACCTACTTACACTTCGTTAATTAATTCCTTTCGGCGACGATGTTCATCATCAACATACAGCGATCAATCAATAAATAAAATCCACCAAATATCAAGTCATCGACCATATTCAATGACATTCATCGATGAACCATTGCCAATGACAAACTTACATGATCATCAATCTTTTTACGAAAAACCAACACGATCGATGAGAACATTTCAGCGGCAAAGTTCACTGGAACCTAATCAATATCAATATCAACGTCAATCGAACTATCCGACGACGATACACCCGACTTCGCGTTCATCAATGTACGGCTCAGACTTTTTCTTTCCACCGACCTGCGAACAGGAACAACATGATTACGATAATTTGACATTTACCGAAAATTCATCTCGGCACAATTACGAACCATTTCCAACAATTCTTCTCGATTGTCAACGCTGCAGTCGAAGTGTCGAACGAACATCGTTACGTGACATGTCATGTCAAGTACCATCGGACGACGAAACCTATGAAGATGTGACAGTCAAACAACGAAATACCTCCAGATCATCACCGGTTTATGCGTCGCCACAATCATCACCCAAATCTTGTCATCCACCGTTAGCCGATACTCTGCTAGCACCATACCACTCACATCGAAAGAATTCACAATCATCTTATGCAAATGCGCATAGTCGTTCGAGATCAGTACCTTCATCTTCTTCGCCGACAGCGTCATCCACGGAGAGTCGACCACCGCATGTGTTACCTTCGTTTAGTCCACTAACCCTCACGTCTGATTCGAACCTTGTTCCGTCAACAAATACATTACTTCAATCGATAAAAACTTCGATTTATGCAATGAGAAAACGTCTCAAAGATATTCGGCGTTTGTCCGAATGGGTAAATATACATGTTCTGTTATTGATAACAACTATTAGTATGATTAAGAGAAGGAGAGAGAGAAAGAGAAAAAAAGACAGCGAAAATACATACACATTCAAGTAGATAAAGAATAAAACAAGGAAAAAACAACAACATCTGTTGCCCGGTTTTCTGCACACTTGCTTCATTATCATTATTTTTGTCAAGTCACTTCATATTGCTAAGACAGAAAAACAGAGCTTGTCGACATAAGACAATGTTTCATTATCTCTGTGTACATCGTTCCACTAAGGTAAAGGACATCTCATCCTTCTATTTTTATATGAAATATGCATTTAATTGCTTACATGTAAATAAATCTAAGTGGGACTTTTTCTCTTTCTCTCTCAATCTTCATTACATCAAGTATTGTCGATGAAAATAGCAACAGTAAATGAGGAAATTAAATCGAGACAACTCATTAGGCTTTCATTTCTGTGAAAATAAAATTTCTTATCAGTCGGTATTTGCTATTAACCCTATAATCGGCCTTGAATTATTTCAATCTGGTGAGTAAGCTATTAAGTACTCGAACCGCCCTTTTTTCGTCTAATTATGTTGCAAATACCTATCGGAAAAGCGAATGTCTGTCGGATTCCGATTAGTTTCTGTTTATAGAACAGATCTCTTTCACACGTCACGTATTATCTATCATTTTTTGCCCAATAACAGGTCAATCTTGTTCATTAGAGTAACATGAAAAGTTGCTCGATAGGAACGACTTGTATGACAATAAGTGACAAAAAAACAAACAAACTTTGCGTCGATGTAAACATTCGGCAAAAGACAGATTCTTTGGGGAGAGGAAAAGACAACGAATAGGTTAAGGAGGGCTAACTGACGTTGTTTATTTGAATAAACGATCTTTGGTATAATTACAATTGGTATTATTCGAATAAAAATAGTTTCCTTTTGGCAATTTCTTAAGAAGGTAGTATTCCTGTCGTCGTTTTCTTCTCGGACACATTTCTCCTTGGATGCAGGTCATCGAACAGATCGATTAGCACACTTTGCGTGTTTACTTTTTCGATTGCATTAGTTAGATATGCGTGCTTGCGTGTATGTCTCGTTGATCATCATCATCATCATTATCATCGTCGACGTTATTTTCTATCAAAGAGAAACCACTTCAACCGATGACTTTTTTTTATCTTTGAACGACGTCAGCAACAAGATTTTTTGTTTCCATGAATGAATGTTTTCCTCTTTGAATTGTGTATCTTTCTGGCTAGGTTTTCCTTTTCCTTTCGCCATTCATCGGAACATAATGAATGTAACCTGGACTAATGTGCACGCGGGAATAAACAAGCAAGAAAAAAATCCATGACAATAGAGAACGAAAGTAAAAGGAGAAAAAAGAAAACGACGATCAAATAGCTAACAGATAGATACATAGCGAGCTGTGTAAGCAAAATAACTGAACCATATCTGATTAGAATAACAACGCAAATAATGAGAGAAAATTAACTTGAAACGCGAGATATTTCGTTGTTGATCGTATTCAATGTGTTGTTGCTTAATTAACTGCAAGGAAAATTTTCTTCACAGCGAATTTCTTTGATTATGAACGAAAGGAGAAAAACAGAGGAATATGAAAATATAAATCAAGAATAATCGTTGTGATTAATGTAATGATGTCATTGTTTTGATGATAGGAGTAGGAGTACTCGTCATAGAATGTATGAGAAGAGAAAAAGAAGAAGAAGAAGAAGGACGACGACTACTACTACTACTAGTAACATCAACATCATTGAGTCTCGTGCGTCGTCGTCGGCGACAACGCGCACAACAACCCATGCGTTTGCACAAGTAACAGAGAGAAAGGGAGAGGAGAGGAGAAGAGAGAGAGAGAGAAAGGACAGGGAGAAAATAGAGAAGAGTATTATTTAATAAATAATCGTCGATGCTGATTTCATTTTTTCTTCTTCGCCACACAAACGTCTTCGAACATACGTGAATGTCAAAGATGATGTTCACTTGACTGGACAGACAAATAGTTAACATTTGACTTTTGCATTCCCATCAATTTCTCCATTCACATCTAGATCTTTCATTTTGTCGTCGACAGAATTCTCATCTTTCTTATCGTATCACCGAGACTTGAGTCACTTGATAGAATTTCTATCTGATGGAATTCTGGCGCAAATTAAAATTACGATGGGTAATTATCATTCTTTACTAATCAATCATAATCTGATAACCGTAGAATAAACATACACACAAACATACACGTAAAAACTAACTCGATTGAAGATTTCGTTTTTTTGAAAACTACTCAGTTAACTTTCTCATTTCTTCGTCTCCTTTTTCCAATTTAGGATTCCAATGTGACAATCGTCTTAGACGATTATACTGCACGTAGTCCACAAGAATTAACTGTAAGCAAAGGACAGCACGTACGAATAGTTCAAAGACAGCTGTCACATGCGCCGGATTGGTGTCTCATACGCGTCCTGAACGATCACCATCAACACCATCACCATCACAATCAATCGAGTCCGTCTTCACTCGCTGCGTCGTCGACAACGATCACAAATGTGGTGCCCGACTTATCGTTACCTTCGAAATATAGCGAAGGACTCGTTCCTGTCGCGATTCTGAAATTGACCAAGGCGTCCTCGTCGAATCTTCAACTACCGCCACCATTAACTCTTCCAATAATTACCAATAAAAGTGAACAAGGTAATTTTATTTGCGTTTTCTCAGGCGGAATCTACAATTAGTTGGATCATTAGTTTTCCCTTTAATCAAATCTTCAATAGGATTATTCTACAACCAAACTACGAAACTCTTTCGGGAATAAATAATTAACTGAAGTGAGAAGCGATCCGACGAGGGAGATCAAGTCTATCGTATTAAAACTTTCTTTCACGTAAACTAACATGTGAGAACACAATATGTCTGTGACATCGATACCGTGATGAAAATTCCTTTTCTGTCTAGCTGCAAATTCTCGTTGCAGCAAGCTGAACGAGCTGGCCTGCTTTGAAATCCACTGCTGCAAACGTTCTATATTCACAATTTTTTTATTTCAGAACTGAAATGATAGTGTTATTAGATGGCGAAATTAACTGTATTTATTCCCTATTTTTGCAATGATTAGATGTTGATGAGCGTAGTTAACTTTTCAGAAATGGTCCTAGACGACAGTTTTTCTTGTCGAATAGCATGTTCGGCAAATGTTCTGGGATAGAGGGCAAGAAAAAAAAACGACTTCGCTTCCATCAACTCTATAATCAATATACTGTTTATATTCCGGTAGATTTCATCAGAGGTTAAATGTAACATAATGATTATCATTGTGTAGAAAATCCAATTGATGGAAGACTGTCTCCAGCGATTAAATCTTCGCTGGTAGACTAGCTTTATTAGACAATTTCCATGCTTCTCTCCATGCAGAAGATGAATTGATTTGCGATGACTGTCTATCTATATCGTCCAATAATCATTGAATTATTTCAATAGAATTACACTTTATCGTATGATTAATGATACTTGGACGTTGTTCTAGTTTAACTGAAGAATCGGAGAAAATTTTGTCTGAAAACTAGTTGAAGACAACAAGGAGGGACACATTTCTTTCGATAATCGAAGACATCGGCGGATATCGAGTCGATGATGACGATAAGTGCGAGTAGTTTGTGTTGTTCCGTTTCCTGTCAATAAAATTTTCCATTTTTACCGGTGACGAAGTTGTGTTTTTTCTTCTTCTGTTTGAAAAGTGAAAGCGAGATTTAGCGATTAAATATGCTCCGAAATTGATTCATTTATAATTCATGAGTTGATTTCGCCGGTTTAATACTAATAAGACGAAGTCTGACACTTTTTTTTTCTTCTGTGCATAAATATCCAGGCCTTCGAGAGGGAATTCGATATTTCATTGTGCATTCAGAGCGAATCTATACGAGGCGAAGGTTATGTCGACTTGTGCCTTTTACAAATGGATCAAATCTCGAGATTCAGCCGATATTAGTAAAACAGGATACACGAGTAATTCTTCTCTACATTCTTTATTTAGATGAACTTTCCAGTAAAATCGATGAATCCCAATGCCGTTCACCTCCATCAACGTTTCAACTCAACAAACGAAAATCCAGTTTTCGGTTAGTCGATTTCATCATTTTCTAGTCGTGATCACTTCGCTGTTGTAGAAGAATTCTCAAAAATCCCGTTCGACGTCTGAGCTTGAAAGATAATAGTATCATTAAAGATGCGAAAATCACCAGTCCTACAGACTTAATCGCTAGCGCAAACACAATTTCACCGGAAGATAATCATCACACGGATCCTGTGCATAAACGACCACCGTTGGCTTTCAATTCAGCAAATTCCAGAAAATTGAAAGTATATATACAAAACGCGAGCTAAATACACACCTAACTGCTTGTCTTTGTTTGTTGTTCAAGGCATTTACGTTTGCAGATACAGCAGATTTGACGTCATATCCTGATGGGACGGTATGTTATCTTTTCTATTTTCAATGAGACTATTTCCGAATGTGAAGACGAAGTTTGCAATTAGTTTTTCTCGACAAAAGAAAACGAGAAATGTTTCTCCATGCATTGACTTTCATTAGCATAGAAATAACACTTCGCTTTTTTCATTTCTTCTATCTATTATATAATCTTCTGCGCTAGATATACACATATAACTATATATAATACATGAACATAGAACGAGAACAAAAATAGGATAACAGTAATGTAATGCGTATGTACAGATCTGTTACGTCGTCATCATTCTCATCATATTCTTTCGTATGACTCCTAACTACTGTCCTCATCTTATCGATAAATATATACGCATTCTTTGTGCAGTACTTTCATCTCGATGATCATTTCTGTACATTGAATATAACTTTTCAAACATGCCTGGCCTTCCATGGACAAAAAAGAATCGTTTCGTGTCGTCGAAAAAACAAAATAGTCAAGATAATGTAAGTTTCTGCCTCTGTGTGTCTTTCTCTCTCTCTCTGCCCTTTTTCTTGTTACAAATGAAAACTCGACGGGCGATTTTCTCTATATAAACACAACAATGATATACATACACAATGTTGCATTGGCATCTTCTTTTTTTATTCGATTTTCTCTTAGAATCCTTTGAGTAAATCAATTGATAACGATGGCCTCACTGGTTTCTACAAAATGACAGATTCATCATCATCATCATCATCCAAAGCTGTACCAATCATTTCACCAGTAGATAACGTAGAAACTGCTTGTATTGAAATCCCACTATCTCTCGATATACAATCACAACTTAAATTAACAAATGGTGGAGATTCACTTTCTCCGCCAGCTGTAAGTAATCAGATTTGCTTTAGTAGGATGTCACATTGTCTATTCATCTGAAGATCAGGTGACGTCAAAGAAAAATAGCAACATCAAACCTCAGACCTCGACTATGATTAGTAGTGCGAGTAACAACAAGAGAGGAAGTTGCCCTTTACTGTTTCTTCTTCGTTTTTATTTCTATGTATAATATAGTGCTAAACAATGCTTGCTGTTATCTCGACACATCCATTACATACTTATGTAAAGAAGGCAACAGCAGGATAGTGTCGTTAATCAGAAGCAAAAAATAGAACTCTCTTAGTATATGTTTGTATGTCATCAATGTTCAAATATAAACATACACATTTTTTTTTCGGGGTTCATTAATCATAGTCTTGGAAAGAACATAAAAATGAAGAGAGTCAAGATAATGACACAATTGCTTAGATCGCGCTGAAGAAATAACAACATATTGTCGTTCAGTGTGCGAACGAGCATTTCTTTCGTCATCTAATTGCTTTGCTTGTTGCTGATACTTCATTAGCTGGCAACGAGCGAATGCATACACACGCGCAAGCAACTGTGTGTGTGTGTATATACACTAGAATATATATGTGTAAGCAGAAAGCAGTACAGAAACGAGAACGAGCGCGTTCGTTTCGGAATAATCGCTGTAATACTATTAGACGAGCGAACGAGGCTAAACAACACAGAACAAGACGATGGTGCTTGTATTCTCCTTCTCTTTCCTTTCTTGAGTTTTTCTGCATTTCTCGTTTCCTTACTGTCTAATGTCTACTGTCGACGTCTTTTGTGACATTTTTGTTTAATGGAAAGACAACGACGAGAATTGTGCTAACACTAACAACATCTTTTAGTAATCCGACGTGCACTTTATTCCTGAGCATCTGTCTTTCAGCTCATCAGAAACCTATTAGATAGAAAAAGTCAGTACGGAGATCAACACCGTTGTTAGGAAATTGGTCAGTACACTTGCTCTGGACTCTTCGTCCAGAAGCACTAGTGGAGACCTTTCAGCACGTTTACGAAAAGTGCGCACAGCACCATTAGCAACAATTAGTCCAATTGACGATAATTCAGTCATCGCACGGCTTGTTCAACACGTTGTAAGCAGATCATTTTTCTTTTTTTCAAAACACCAAATCTTATTAGCGTGAACGAAATGACATCTTTGTGTGCTATTGTGTTTCTTTTTTCTGTATCTTTAGGCACCAATCAATGTTGTTTCTGCCCTTTCAGCAAGTGATTTTCATATCCCAGCTGCCTTGTCAATAGAAACACCACCTACCGAGGAAATTTCCTCAATGAAAATGCCCTCAACGTCGACGATAACTGTGACTTCGAATGATAGTCAAAGTGAACCAACAGACGAAATATCCTACAATGACGCCGATCAAACGACTCTATCATCGTTTGCAACCATTGACGAGCCCATCGATGATCGAACCAAATACGGCGAGAAAAGAAGGTGAGAGCCTCGAATGAAGTTCTGTTTCGGGATATTTTCTCTGACATACGACTTTCTCTCAGGCATAATATCGTCGAATTGATTGAAACAGAAAAGGAATATGTGAAAGATCTAGCTTTGATTGTGGAGGTAAGATTGACATTGTTTCACGTCCATCAGAACGATTCATTATTATTCATAGGGATATATGAACATTCTCGAAAATGATAAAGAAATCAAAAAGCCGACGGGTTTGTGTGGCCGGGAGCGCGTTGTTTTCGGTAATGTGCAGAAAATCTATGAGTTTCATCGCGAGTAAGTTAATTGATTTTCTCGATTTCTGAATCATGACCTCTCTTCTTTCAGTACATTTCTTCCTCAGCTTGAACAATGCATTGAAACCCCGAATATTCTCGGCCGATTATTCACCGTAAGTATCCTTGTATAAAACTCATATGGATTATCAATCTACTCTCTTCTAGACAAATCGATTCAGTCCATATGTTCGTTACTGTGAAAATAAACCACGTTCGGAATATATCGTTTCCGAATATCACGACTATTTCGAAGTAAGTCGTTTTTTGTGATGAGTAACGTTTATATTTGGATAGAAAACATCGTCAGAGAACGATTCCCTCGAGACAATTGAAACGCATCTGGTCGAAGTAAATGAAAGAAAAAACGACGAGAAATGTTCTAATGACGAACGGTTATTTGCGTTAAGAAAACGGATAAGAATAGCAGAAAAGTCAAAGTCATGATCGTTCGTCGCTGTCTTCCTTTCTTTTATTTTTGTTCAACTAGAAAAAAAATTTCCGCTCGAGACAGCAAAAACAATTTTCAGAAGATTAATTATTCTCTTCAAAAACACAAGCTCTTTCCTTTTTCCGGAAGAAAATTTATGACTTATATTGAATAGAAATAAGCACGAACAGACTCAATCTAGGCCCCCGAATGATTAGAATTATTCTTAGGACGGCAATAAATGAATCCGAATGTGTTGATCAAATTTTACTTGGGGGGGAAATCAGTGCCTAGCAGGTCTTATTGACTCGAGATCACTGCTCGAAAGATATTTCTCGGCGAGTATATGTGACCCAGCATGAATGTCTTGATAATCAACAACACATGCGATGTTGAGAAAGCTTGTTTATGATTAGAAGAAGATACTTTCAAGCTAACACGATTTGCCTTCACAATAAATAGATAATGATGATGATAATTGCCTGTGAGGCTAATTCGATCAATTAAATTATTGTTTTCTAGGAAATTCGTAAGAAACTCGGTCAAAAACTACTTGTCTCAGATTTGTTGATTAAACCTGTTCAACGTATCATGCGCTATCAATTATTATTAAAAGAAATTCTCAAGTCCACTGAACGTATGGGTGACGAGCCACGTGCAATACGTAGCGCGCTACAAGTCATGATCGAAGTTCCACAGCAGGCGAACGATATGATGAATGTCGGTCGAATAAAAGACTTGTCAACGAATGTGCATCAATTAGGTGAACTTAAGTTACAAGATATGTTGTTGGTGAGCGAACCGATAACATCGAAAGATACGAAAGATGCAGAGAAGAAACTGAAAGAACGACGAGTATTTCTCTTTCAACAATCAATGATATTTTGTGATGAAATACCAGCGAAAGACAAATATTCGAGTCCGAATTATATTTACAAATACGAACTCAAAGTAAAACTCAAGCAAATCAATTGATAATAACCATTAAGTAATTTTTTTCTCGCTCTAGATCAACAAATTGCAGCACAAAGAGTTCAAACGTAATAAGGAACTATGTCAATTTACATTAGTAGAAGTCGATGCGGGAAATATTCGTCGAGTTATTTGTCAATGTAAAGATGATGAACAATACGAACTATGGGTTACTAATGTAAATAAGGTGCTTCAACGTCAGATGGATCTTATCATAGGTATGTTCCAACAAGCAGTTCTCTTTTATTAAGTTGACCGACAACGGTCGATCCAATGAGAAAGCGTATGCACGCCTGAAAACTAATCTATCATACATTTGTGCTTATTATTTTCTCATCTGACTATGTTCTATTAGACAGAAATTAATGTTTGTTTTCTTCTTTCTAGCTCTAACTAATCCAACAGCTGCTCTACAAAAAGAGTAAGTACTCGGATAATGTATACATCGAATCAGTATGTTCTCTTCTCTTCTCTTCCAATAGTCCTCGTTCTAAATAAACTATATATTTATAAGCCAAAAACTATGTAAATAGACAAAAAAAAGACGCATCGAGCAGGAAAATTTGTAAGGATCTTCACTGAAACTGACTTTCGTTTGTTTTTTTTTTCTTATATTTATGATATCATATATGAATTTATTGCATCATTATTTTACTCTCCCCAAGCTTATTGATCTGTTTTTCGCATGCAGTGACGTTCAAGCAACCTACCTGTTTGAATTATTTTTTAAAAAATTTTTCGTGTCTGTATGCTATATGTTCTCACATATCAATCTTAGGTTATTAACATGGGAAATACCTGAATGGAGACAATCAGGTCGTCGACATTTTTCATCGAATAACGCTGCTGTTATTCTATCATCACATTCGAACATGTGAACTGCACATAGTTTTCCATTTGAAAAAAAAAGCAAGGATAAGAGACAGCTTGTGTGTGTGCGTGTGCATGTGAAGCTTTGATATGCGCTGCTCAATTATTTTAATCACTAAATAAGAAACTAACTAACTTGGAATTCTCCGGAATGGACTATTGATGTTGACGATTTTTCTTCTAGGCAAGGTTCGTCCACGTTATCGTTTACACCATCGTCCAGAAATCAAATCAAGAAGGCCATGTCTGATCGGTCCAGTACATTTTCGGAAATGTCAATTACATCTACTGCGAATAAACCAGCTGAAATTCCTCAAAAGAAAACATCTCTATCCTTTAATTTATTCGATTCAATTCTATCACGTACAACAACAAAACCGCAATCAATTCGTGCAACTAAGAAGAAGTCGCCGACGTATTTATCGTCAACGTCCTGTCCTCAGACATCTATGGAGATACCCGAACAAGTTCGATGCATATGTAATTACAATGCTATTAAAGATGATGAAATCTGTGTACATAAAGGAGATTATGTTCAAATTTTAACTACTAGTCACGATAATCGTTGGTTCGTTCGTCATCATATACATCGAACAACTTCGAGTATCCAAGGTTGGGTACCGGGCTTTGTTCTTGGACGTCAGAATTCGAATACAAGTACAAATCTATCTGCATCAACATTGCCAAGTTCATCTCGTTCGGCAAATAGTCTTAATCAAGTCTGAGTTGAACACGAAGGTCTCTATCGATGTGTTCACATAATGAGGGTACGAATCTTTGTATTTGAGCAGCAGTCAAGTCTCGTTTTTCAATTGATTTTTTCCTCTGTATATCATCTTTTTTTGTCAATTTGCAAACAAAAAAAAAACAACGATGTATATGGATGTCATTGTGTGGTTTTCTTTTCTTCTACTTCTTCTTTTCTTCATTGCTCCGTATTCTCTATCACAGCTCATACAAATCTGTTGTTTGATTTCTCTGTTATTTTTGTTCCGACTAAATAATTTCAATGATGATCGATTAAAATATAAGATTGAATGAAAAGATAATCCGACGACCTTGACATCTAGGCAGAGATGACTGATATCGATGTAATCGTACTTCATTCGGACATTCGTTTTTCTTCTTCTCGACTTTCGATATCTACGCATGTGTATATCTTCATCCACGTCATCATGTCGTTACCTCGATCGAATCACCAAATAAAATCGTTCGTACCGATGATGTATTTATTCAGAAAAAAAAAGAGAAACAACACTAGACATCGAAGTGTACTTGTGATTGTTCATGATGATTTCTGCTGCCATTGTTTTTCTCATTACCTTCGCCGGTGTTTATTCACAAACGACTCTTACTCTTCCACCGTTACCATACGCATACAATGCACTTGAACCTGTTCTTTCCGAGAAATTGATGCATTTGCATCATGACAAGCATTTTTTTGCTTATACCAACAAGACCAACATGGTGCTTAGACTTCTGTGCAATGAAACCAAAGACGGCGATAAATTAAAGGAAATCGGAAATCTTCCAATCGAAATCATTCTTACACGATTAGGTGAATTACCTGAAACTTATGCTCTTTCGTTACGACACAATGGTGGTGGTTATATCAATCACAAGTTATTTTTTTCGCTATTGAAAGCACCAACTGCCACAGCTGCAGAAAACAAACCAACCGGAGTGTTTCTTGAAGCTTTAGAAAAAAGTTTCGGTTCCTTCGATAAATTCCGTGAATTGTTCTCGGCTGCATCAGTCAACCTCTTCGGCTCCGGTTGGGTCTGGCTCTACATTGATGCACGTACGAAGACGCTCGTCTTGAACTTTACCGCCAACCAAGATAATCCGTGAGTTGCATTCTTTTCTAACCAATAAGCTCAATTATCTCTTTCTAGAATCATGTTCGACAAGAACCATTTCGTCATCATGGGAATTGATCTCTGGGAACATGGTTCGTACTTTTATTGATAATTGATAATGATTTATCTCTTATCTGTTATCTCCGTTTTAGCTTATTATCCAGTTTACGAAAATCGTCGGGCTGAATACGTCGAAAACTTCTGGCGTCTTGTCAACTGGCCTGTAGTTAGTCAACGTTACATCGAAAGTCAAACGAAACGCAGCGATTTATAGATGAACAAACGTCGCTTATGATCCCACTTTTTAGCTTTAGTTTTTGAGAGATAGTTATCTCAGTTGAGGTTTTCTTTAAATAAAAATAAGTTTCAAAAAAGACAAAGTTTTTCAAAGAGAAAAAAGCATAAGTTCAAGATAGTTAATGAATATTTCATGACCATCAACAGATATGTCAATTTGATAACCAGAATCTTTCGGGAAGATTAACGATGTCATGGTATATTTTCCTTCATTTACAAATAGTTCTATCGAACAGCGATCGATGATCAGTTGTAACTGAAGTCTTCCGGTGATTAATGTTTCTCTGTCTAGATTCATGTTGAACTGAACAGGATAAGATGAATAGAAATCAGTAAGTCCAGAACGTGATCGATCGAGTTCAATTTGATTTTTTTCACCAATATAACTGACTTGTGTATATTCGCTTTTATCGGAGTTCTCGCGAAATTTCAAATGAATAGTTGTTGCTTTTGTGATTTTATGCAATTCAATGTTGAACATGTAAACGTCGCGAGACATATTGAGAACCATATTCGAGAGTTTCTCATGATAATACGTAATTAATCGTTTCGAATAACGAATGAGTTCTTGAACGGGTGTCTGTCGCAGATGATATCTGTTGGTGTATGAATTGAGATCAAGTTGTAACTGACGTGGGATCGTCATTTGTCCTCGCCATAACGGCGCTGTTGGTAAACTGTTCGCATATTGCCAATTACTCATCCAAGAGATCAGTATTTGTCGTCTATCGTATCCTGGAATATTGTGAAAGGTAATTCCCGCGTAGAAATCAGGCCCGTAATCGAGCCAGTTAATAGTTTCAGGTGGCTGGATGTTGTGAAATTCATTTCCATCAAATGTGCCAATGAAATATTGCATACCTGAACCACCAGCTGGCGCATTACGTTGTACTGATACTAGCAAAACCCATAGACTAGTGCGATTCTTCAGAGTTCTTTGAGGAAATTCGATCAAATCAGGACATTCCCATGTACCACCATGTGAGCCATCAGTAAGCCCAAACCGAGACATAAGTGACCAATGAATAAGATCTGACGATCTGTAGAACTGAACATGATCACCACCTGTCAGAACAAGAATCCAAGAGGAAGTTAGAATGTGATAGAAAACTTTAGGATCACGAAATGGCCGGCGAACTACTTGATCACTGAGTCTGTCAGCAGCGGAAACATTATTATACATGGGAATGATTGGATTCGATGAATATTTTGTCCACGTACGTCCTAAACAATAGAATATTTTAGATTCAATCACGATAAGTGCTCTTACCTCGATCGAGACTATATGCCATATGTTGTTCTTGCCATCGTTGCTTTTGCCATGTATATATCGCAATCATTGGATGTGTGCTCATATTCTTTTGAAAGCCTGTAGTATTTTTCCAATCAATTACAACCGAACCAGACCAAATACCAACGACATCATCCTCCGGTTCGATAGCGATCGGCAATTCTGTCCATGCAATTAAATCTTCACTAACCGAATGACCCCAGTGCATATTCACCGACATAGGTGTATGCGGATTATGTTGGTAGAACAAATGCCATTCGCCGTCGTAGAAAACAAGTCCGTTTGGATCATTAATCCAGTTTTTACTCGGAGAAAAATGAACTAATGGACGATGTTGATGTGAAGGTACTCGATTAGCTAACTACAATACATGCAAAACGGAAGAATTCCCTACGAAACTCATCTTACAGTTTTAAGATCGTTCGAAGATGATGGTTTGAATGTACTAAATGATGATAGACTTATACGTATGATCGATAATTTCATAGACAAATGTTTACTCTCGTGTTTTGTAATGAGCTGTCGCAACTCTCAAAATGAAAACTGTCATACAGAGAAGCACTATTTTCACAATGGTCGCTTGCGATAAATTATTAACCACGTAATTACTATTCCCAACCATATACCACAATCCCTTAAAGAGAACAGTTTTTCAATAGAGATTCGAATATGAAAAAAAGTTCATTACAACAAGAATTCTATGCATTAGCTTAGAAACGCGCAGAGCCAATTGCTTCGTGATCATAGCTAAATGTGACTATACCGTATCTACTATTCTTTATCATTCATTCAGGTCAATATATCTCGTCGCGAAGTACGACACGGATGACCAGGTTGATAGCTTGACAACGAACGCATACGAATGAAATTGCACGTACCTTACTTGTATCAGAAGACGATGTTTTTCTCAAGGAAACGACACACAAGTGCGCATGGTGAACAGATCTTTTTCTATTTGTGTAACTATGGGAAAGAAAGAAAAAGAAATTGAGTTAACACTTTCAAGTGTCGATATACTTCCAATTACTTATCGTTTTCTTTTCACCATACCCTTGCATACACAACTTTTTCCGAATGAAAACCACAAGGTTTTGTTCACTATGACTAGGATTTTCCCGTCGGTGAAAATCTTCTCCGTATCAAGATGTCGCTAGTTGAAAGAAAATTGAATTAAAATAATTGAATCTGTTTTGAATAGAAAACAAAAAAGAATAATCAAATCACGGTAAGAATGATGAAAATATGATTGTTCGATGTATCTTATACTCAAACGCAAACAAGGCTATTTGATAGGTTCATTTCTTCTCGTATTTTCTTTGTGTTTTTGTTCTAAAAACTGGCGATGTACTGGCACTGCTAATTGAAGTCAATAAGTCAAGTTCTATGTTTACAATAACGCTTTTCGCTTCTTCCGAATAAGATTCGAACTGTTCAAACGTCACCGATTAGAAATTCTTTTAATTAGACAAATAAATTTTCTTCGAGTTCAATTTCACTAACAGTTTTCCTTTTCTCACCTTTTCCCGATGCATAAAATATGATTGTTGACTATCTGTCATAGTTGTTCTCTTTCCAAAGGTAAGTGAAAGCAGCAATGCTCCAGTCGCATTGACGCTGACTAGTTGATTTCGAGCGATTAACTTTGCGCAGATCGAGTACGTCTGATTAGTCATTAATTTTCGCCAAAGATCAATGTCAACATGTGATTAATGAATTAGTTTTTATGTCAATAGTTATATCGACTTCTGATTGCACTGAACTATGAAAAGAATGAATTGAGTGAGGAGAAAATGTCCTTTTCATTAGGAGATGCATGTTCTATAAATAGAACACTCGTACTTCTGTTTTCCTAACTCTTAACAGATGTAAATATTGCCGAAGAACTAGCCTATAGAGATTAGTTTCAATGGAACTTATGCATTCATATCGAAGAAATCAATTCTGAGGAAGAGAACAGAAGAAACCCATGTTCTTGTCAGATATTATCCCATGATACATGTAAGATCTCTTTCGTATAGTGGAAGTTAATCATCGGATCGCTTTGTTCTAGATTTGTTTTATTGATAATCAGTTTAGAGAATGCGTGAGTACAAAATTGTCGTGCTTGGTAGCGGAGGTGTTGGTAAATCGGCGTTGACAGTGCAATTTGTTCAAGGATTATTCGTTGAAAAGTACGATCCTACGGTAAGAAAACATTTCTGACTTGTTGTATATCAATCGCTTGTGTCTCCCTCTTATTGATCAGATCGAAGATAGTTATCGAAAACAAGTCGAAGTTGATGGACAACAATGCATGCTGTAAGTTTTGATGATTAAAAAAAACACAAGATACATTAAGATCTATTCGAATATTTATTCTAGTGAAATTCTGGATACTGCTGGAACGGTAAATTGCCTTTCATCGTTCGATATGCTGCTGATGATTCTCTGTTATCATTTAGGAACAATTCACTGCCATGCGAGATTTGTACATGAAAAACGGTCAAGGTTTCGTTCTTGTCTATTCAATAACTGCTCAATCAACATACAATGATCTTGTTGATTTACGTGATACGATTCTCAAAGTGAAAGATACAGCTGATGTAAGTCAAATGACTTGTTTCTTTCGTCGGTATATCATGTGATATTCTCTTCTTTTTTTCATAGGTACCAATGGTATTAGTCGGTAACAAATGCGATCTTGAAGATGAACGTGTCGTGGGAAAAGAAGTCGGGCAAACCTTGGCGAGAAATTGGGGTTCAACATTTCTTGAAACATCAGCTAAACAAAAGATAAACGTGAATGAAGTAAGTCATTTGCTCCAATCGAAGATTTCAAAGCAACTTTTTATCCAACTAGATCTTTTTCGATCTTGTTCGTCAAATCAATAAACGCACACCAGTTAACAAAGATAAAAAAATGAAAAGTAAAAATCCCAATCCATCTGTATCAAGTGGCAAATTTGATATGCATGGTGTACCTGCTGATCCCTCACATGCAACATCGAATGGCAATAACCAAGGCTGTTGTGTGCTTTTATAAAACAAAATCTCCAAATATACACATAGATCTACTACTGGCAATCATATGCTTTCTTTCTTCATGGGCTTATTATTATTTTCTTTTCTCCTTTTTTTTTCTTGGTGTCTGTTCGTTTTTCTTATCTGTCTAGTCAAAACATGAAAATTTTTGTTTACATCTGATCGATCGTATAAACTAAGATAACAAAATCAAATGATTTTAGACAAAGAATGTCCCTCTCTCGATATTGCTCAACATGAGACTAAATTTATGAATGAAACCAGTATTGAATTCTCTTGTTTGTTTTCGTTTTGCTCTCCTATCTCTCTTCTTGTTTTTCTCTCGTTTTCTCAATCGAATTTAGCTACCGTTATACAATGCATCCAAATCTCTCTTTCTCTCTCAATTCACTATTTTTCTTCTCCTCAGCTCTGAATTTGTATGTAGATGAAATCCAACAACACGATATCATAATAAAAACGAAAAGAGCTTTAGCAGATTTGATATACGAACCCGCTTGTCAGTCCTGTCTTCCATGATTAATCATGAAAAAGACAAATACTTTCTGACAACTTCCAGATATACGTGCAAAATACAAACGATCATTGACCTTTCGCATTTCTGCTATTTGTCATTGATTTGACTGACACATGATGATTCAATTCAGTTTTATTGACGAATTCAGTTATATACAAATCAACTAGCTCGTTTTCGATTGATATCATCCGCGCCGACAATGCGGAATGCTTCGAGAAACTCGTTGAAATCAATAACACCATTCTTATCGAGATCAATACTTGATGCTAAATCCATGATTTGTTTTTCATCAAATGTTGATCCATTGTGATTGCCGAGAAACACACATACGTCGGTGAATTCTTTCATGGAAATGACGCCTAGAAAATCGGATTCCGAATCGCGAAAATCCATGAACTATGTTCCTTACCTGAATTATCTTGATCGATAGCTCGAAAGACTGTTTCAAGTAGGTCTTTGTTACGGTATATCGCTTGACATAAACTTTCTCTTCTCTAAATTTAAGAAAACAGTTCGATGACAAAGAAATCAAGTCAACTTACACTTGTCAATTTCGAATTGAGTGCGCATTGTAATTCCTGCGAGCGAAATGTTGTTTCATACAGAACCGAGCCATCAGGATCGATATCAACCAGACGTGATTTCAACGTTCGCCATGGTAATTGCAATTCCAGCACGTGGGTGACAATATCACACCAGTCATTCAATAGGATACGCCCTAAATTGAATATTTTCCGTTAGAAGAAAATGATTGTACCCGAGAATATCAAGGTTTTTCTTTGAGACAAAATTGGATATTCTTCTTATCATTGGATACTGTGTAACCTTGCATATCTCATTATTCTAATTTAAAAATTAGACAGTCATTTCCGTTTTTAAGTGTGATATATTGAGAATGGTCATGCAACCCGTTAAGAATTCTTATAGTCAAGCAATTAGATAGAAGATGGCGAGAATTTCTTACCAGTTCGGTTCGGATCTTTGAGGAGAAATTCTTTCATCAATCGACTTTTATTTGCACTGAATTTTTCCAGAAGATTTCGGAGCGCTTGCTCTTCAACATACGACACTCTATTACGAAAGAAACAGTCGATTTTCTCCTGTTAGATTTGTCTGGTTTCACAGACCTTTCCCAAAGTGTCAACGGTTTAATTGTCGTTTTCGTTGCCATGAATTGTACGATTGCTGGTGATTGGTTCTTGGAAATCTTCACATAGGCACCGCGATTGCTGCCCGCTGCATAGTAATTTGATGCGGAAAATATTGTTAGCACCTAGAAATTAGAAGCGCTCACATCCAATAATGACAAATTAGAGAAGCATGAGAAAGGAAACCTTTTTATCATGACAATAATCAAAACCATCTTCTTTACATTCATGTGACCGAATTAGCAAACTCCATTTATGTTTTTCTAGGATCTTTTCAGTTATATCTGGTCCCCAGTAACATCCACCACCGCGGTAAGTGTTCGCTTCACAACCGTTCGTTTGCTTCGGATCACTCCAGAGCAAATCGAGCATTTGTCTCCATTCGAGTAGTTGTTCATTGGAAAGACCGTCGATTTGACATCGTTCATCATTTTCGGGTATGATGAAACTTGGACTCAGAATTGAAACGTACTAAACATCAACAAGAAGATCGATTTGACACGACTAAGTGCACTCGAACAGACTTTATTTCGTTTGACTTGATTGATTTTGCTCAAATCGGTTATATCACTGATACCACCATGAGCGACAAAGATGTGATCATCAATTAAACTTGCTACAGGCATCCAACTATAGATGTTTTCAAATAAATGCAAAAGTTTCGTCGATTGTGATTTGTATTTGCGAATGATTTCTTTCATAAAGCCATATCTAAGCAAACAATGAGTAATAAACTTGTTTTACGAGAGATGCATACCTTAGATTCAGTACGTGATCTTCATGATTTCCTCTGTTAATGTAAACATTATTCGGATAGACAATAAAAGCAACACTGATCAATAGAAATAGTTCCATGCTGTGAGATCCGCGATCGACAATATCACCATTGAATATATAAGGATTTTCATTCGATGGCAAACCGTTCTAGATAACGTATGATAAATATCGAATTTTGAATGCAAATGGTGACAGTTACCTTATGGAAGATTAACATTAAGTCAGATAAGTTACCATGGAGATCGCCGACGACCGTTACAAATGTTGAGTGATGCGTAGAAACAATATTTACATTTGGCAAACGTTTGAGTATCTTTCGGACTTCATGCAAAATTAATAGGACGTAATGCGCATGAAGAGACTTGAATGAGAAAGAGATCAAGAAAGTTCTTTCGAGTGAAGATCATTCTGTTTACTTCTCCTCGTTGGAAAGCTAGAATTAATGACTCGAATTGTTCTTTATTAATCGGAAGTTGAATATGCGGTCCCTTATATGATGGCTCAACAAAGACTGTATCTGGTCCAGTGATATTGACTAATTCGATATCTTCAGCTAGAAAGATAAGTGATAAATGTACAAACTATCAGCACTGAATTGTAGAGTGTGTTTTTACCTGCACCGCTTAGACTAGAAGTTCGCCGTAGAACTTTGGCCACAACGAGTGCATCGCGCGGATTTTTCGTCACTGCTTGCATGAGATCCAAGAAGAAATTGTACAACTATCAGAAGCAGAGACATTCGTTCGAAGAAGAAAGATGATTACTTGATTGTTTACCTTAAGTTGATCTTGTTCGCCGGCATATTCAATATTTTGATAGATCGTCCATGCTGCCTTCCGGCGTATTTCGAAATGAGCTTGTCTTCGTCGAAACCATGATTGAATAATAACAACAGCCGCTAACGCTATGAATAGAATAATTAAGCTATTTCATTGCTGTGAGAAAACAAAACATACTTAGATCGGACTTTTTATTCTTTACTTTAACTCTTGCCGGAGCCGACACCGGTGGCGGTATTGCAGGTGCTGAAATTGGTGCAACGCTTCGATTGGGTTTATTTGTCGGCGGGCAACAAAAACAGATCAAACGTTCGCAAAACATCTTGATTTTGTTGCTTAATTCAACATTTTTTCTGAAATTACCTTGAATTTCTATATAGCAGAAATATATACAAAAATGTTGCATGTCTCTCCTTTTTCTTCTCTTCTCTCTATCTATCTAAATCTATTATCCGTAATCTTCTTTCAGTTGCTTCCTTTCTGTCTTCCAATGTCTATCGCATTTCTTTGAAAATGCGTCATTCTCACCTTTTCCTCTCTATTCTATTTCTTTCAGACCTTTGCCGAGTTCTGAAACTGATTATACGAGCATGAATAAACATCATATACAAACTCACCTCCGCTGACACTTTTCAACAAAAGACACGAGTCGCCTGCTGTATTTCTCATCTTGCATTTATTACTACTGATGCGACTGGTTGCCTCTATTGAATAAATCTTCACGGAAGATTGTCTTAAGAAAAAAAAAGGCAACTGATTACACTGAGAAACAGAAAAGAAACGTCGAGTGAGGTCAAGTAATCCCATCGAGAACTCCGGTAATCTTTGTCTATAATTACCGAAAATGTATAGAACATGTCTTTCCGCTATGTGCTTGTTTCATACCGCGAGTGACGTCAACAGATCGGTGTTTGTCGTTATGATCTCATAATTGCTGAAAATTTTCAATAGATGCTTCTGAACATTAACTATCATCGTCATTTCTTTCTTAAATTATTGTAAAAATATTAATCTGATAGATGCGTAATTGAAGCGCCAGAACCGTCTGTTATGGCCTTTCCTGTTCGAAGACGAAGCAGATATTGAAGTTTATTAACCATATCTCAAATAATCTACTTTATGAACTAATTTACTCGAGAGTAGTACGATTCATGTTGATTAAGAACCGTGCACTCACGACTGCTTTAGAAATCTTTCTCCTACAACGCAACTAAATCTTCTCCAGATTTCCAGCGTTGAACAAAGGAGCTTATGCGTCTGCGTGAATATAATGTTTTTAATTACAACACATTCGCTTTCCTTAGAACATCACGTTATTCAATTTTCTTTTCTATACGTGACTGAAATAGGGCAGACTTTTCCAAACTACAGCGATTTCATGTTCTGCACTTGGAGAATCTCATGATAGTAACGATAATTAATCTTTCATTTATTAGAATTAAAATATCACACGAGAAAATGAGATCCAGTAAAAATAATTAATCAAATATCGAAATATGCTTGGATAGCCCAATGATCTGAACAGAAGCGTTTGATTGATGGCAATTTCTCTAAACCTTCCAGTTCAAAGTATACCGGTTTAAATTGAATAGTACTTTCTTGCGATGGTCGATAATAAAGACGGTCAAATCGAGCTCGTGGTCGATAAGTATCTGATGGATAATAGACATTTGTATTTCGATTCATATCCCATGTATAGGCGCATTCCGGCCGTTTGCCAGTTTCAATCCAAAGATCATGAATGCCCGAAGGCACACTGCCTGCCTTTTGTAACTGCAATACAAATACAATGTTTGACTATTTCTTGATCCGGTAGGTAGAATCTTACTTCCTTTTCTCGGACGTTCAAATCGCCACCGAACAGAACTATTCGATGTGCAGGTGCGTCCAACATGTGCTTGAAACATAATTTCAATTGCTCAATTCGTTCTCTGCTTGCTAATTCTTCAGTACCACTTTCATGATGAGATGTCATCAGGTCCATTTCAATTGAATTCTTGTAGGTTGCCTATAGTAGAAAAACACAGTTGACCTAGCTATTTGAGTTCACTACACGTACATGAACAACGAGCAAGTTTCGTTCCATGTTTGTCCCTGGATATGCAATAATTTCAGATTTTTGGACTTGAAACAATTTCCGACGAAGTAGTATTACCACAAAATAGCCCTCGTTGCTTCCTAGAAGAACGATGGTCTAATAGAAGTATAGCCTTTTATCTTATCGAACCAGTGTAAGAATCGTATTCTGGCAGTAAGTTGCGAATCAAATCGAAAGCGACTGGAATGACTTCTTGGAGAAAAACAACATCAGGCTCTTCCCTATGGGTAGAGAAAATACTGATAATAAAGAAACCTTGTACCATAAATACCGTTTAATCACGTCAATCACACCCCGTGTTCGTGTTTCGATAGTATTTTCCTGCTCATCAAGTCCATCGATATTCCATGAAAGTAACTTGAACCGTGTTTTTGCTTTCAACGTTGGATCCTCTCCTGGAGCTGTTACAGATGGTACGTCTTTCGTTTTCGCTCGCTTAGCATCTGCTTCACTACAATCAACAAAAACCCAATAGATTCTCTTTCTTCGAAATAACTAACTCACGTTGGCGCGTTAAGTTTCACTTGTTTTGCTGATGTTGTTGACTTCGATCTTGACCGTATGGAATTATTATATGCAGTGATCGCTTGTTCAAGGTTCCATTCATTCTTTTGTAACATCATCATTGCCAATCCAGTATCAGTACTGGTTGCTGCAGCAAACTCTTTACATACTGCTAACGCTTCGGCACCACTCAATGGACATTCGACGCCTTCATCGTCTTCACTCGTCGAATTCGATGGTTGACGCTTCAGTATACCAGTCATTGTCAATGGTCAATGAAAGTCAGATACTTTCGTATGAATCGAGAAAAGATTTTGTCTATCTATCTATCCATTGTGCATCAGAATGGATTTTTCAAACCAATAGTATTCGACACATGGATGACTATAGCGACCTCGTTAAAGACACGCCTTATCGGCATAGAAAGAAAAACAGACAAGAGCCAGTAATTAAAATCTAATTTTATTTCATTTCACGATAATTCAAAATGCAACTATGCCCGACGATGTCTTAAACAGAAATACCAATTTATGACAGTAAAAGAAAGCTCCAGAAGATTAGTTTTGTGATAATGAGCTCATAGTGAGATGTTCCAAATCTTCTTTTATTAATACAGTCATTCCCATGAACATATGTGCACCGATATGACAATGCAATAGCCACAGACCTGGATTATCAGCAATAAAACGTATTTTAACCCATCCACATGGTTTCAAATGATTGACCGTTGACCGATTTGGTGCCAAATGATCATATGCAGTTGCATACAATGTCAATGAATCACGATAGACTGGATTGTCAATGTCCGGAGTTTGTTTCGATGTTGATGTATACTCCCCTGCACCTTGGGAATGTATCCAGAACTTATGACCATGTAAATGAAATGGATGTGATTCGCAAACTCCATTTGTTGCTACCGTGTTCTGAATAACTAAATCGATCAATTCGTTTTGATTTATTGTATAAGTAGCATCAACTGGATAATTTGCGTCAATACCATTGTATGCATCTTGGATCAATGCTCGAGTTAAGATTGTTACACGTTCCTCAGTTAACGACGCATTATTCATAATCCATCGCATGCCGCGACCATCAGGTGTGTGGACTTGTTTGCTTTGAAGTAAAATTTCCCTATCGGCTTGCCGTCTTGGCATGTGATACATGCTCAGCAACGTTTCAAACGGCGTATTATATGAAAATGATAATAGATCATGATTCTCTGCTAATGTGGGTAGTGTAAGAGTCGATAGATCTGCAGGCAGTGTACCGGTATACGAACTGTAACGTAATATACCAGTACAACTAAAAGAAACCATTGTTATGAGTTGTGTAGACGATGAACTTGATAAGGAAAATTACCTCGAGCCATTCACCAATGTTCTCCACCGAATAGCTAATTTCATAAGATAAATTCCATTTGTTGTTTCATTTTTCGTTGCAATAATAACAGCGTATCTTTGCCCGGAAGAAAGCTCTAGTGATTGTACATTTTCCCTCGGTTTAATCAATGATCCATCGGCTTCAACGATCGTCATTGGATGACTGTCAATACCGAAAACAACTGTGGATAACGATGTTGCACCAATCAATCGTATTAGATATTGTTTTCCTGGATCAACATCAATGACTAAATCACGTTTATGATTGATATATAAATACATCGGTTCACCCATCCAACCAAATGGTGATGCTAGCAGATTTTGTTCTTGTATAAGACGATTAGTTTGCGCCCAGCTTTCTGAGAACAGCAGCGGTCCTGATGCTAATTCTGGTATATTCCAAGGTCTTCGTCTGTCATGCACTATTAGTCCACCAAATGCAGTTATCGACTGTAAACCGACATGTGAGTGATAAAAATACGTTCCAGCTGGATAAGCACGAAACACATACGTAAAAGAATTTTGACTTTCGATTGGCATTTGAGTTATATAAGGAACACCATCCATGTGTGGAGTTTGTCGAACAAGCATTCCATGAAAATGTATGGATAAGCGTTCGTTTCCTGGTAGAAAATTTTTGACATGTATGACTAAGATATCATTGAGTTCAGCTTCAATTAGTGGCCCTGGAATTTGATTATTGATAAGCACAACCGATGGAGAACCATCGGCATAGGATACATTCAGATTGTAAACAACCCGGCGATTAACAATAGACACAGAATCTGTTCGGGATACCAAGAAAGAGCCAATAAGAAATCGAACGAAATACTCAATGGCTATCATACTATGCATTCTATGTTTAGATTTGATGTGTATATGTATCGATAATTATTTCACCTATAAAATTGAATACTCAGTTGTTTTTATACCTTGATATTTCATTCCTTCGTACGTGTGCGCAAAAAAGATATTCTTTTTCTCACTTGTTATATCTTGCTGAAAACTTTTTCAATTGGTGATTGAAAAAAAAGTATGTCATCTCACTTATGTTTCGGTTCATTGCATCCACATTACACTCAGTGCATCATATATTTTCATTCGTCAAGAAATAATCAAATATCTATGTGAGAATATAATGAATATTCAGCAATCTAATCAGTATTCATTACGGTAAGTGATATTACTTCGTTCTCCATTGACAGTGCGACACCATATCATGCCTTTCAGCTGGTAAAATGAGGAAACTCCCTTTCCAAGATGTCCTTTCTTACAGGTCACCATGGGCAATTCAACTGGCACTAGGCGGTATTGCATTCATAATTTTACTAGTCTCGGGAACAATTGTACTTGGATTGATACCAGTATACTTGACAACAAACGACGTTCATTCTAGCACACAGTTAAGTAGGTTTTTTAGGGAAAAATATGTCACAAATGTAAAGAATCGCTTTGCCTGTTCAGATGAGCTTTCATTTTACACAATCTATTCATCGGATGTGATTTATGGCCGATTTCAAACATTATCTAATCCAAATGATCTGTCTTCGCAGGTATGTTTTATATGAAATGGTTGTGCAATCTTTCTTAACAAAAGTTCTATTTAATTCAGCTGACGAAGAACATGCCCGACTTATCTCGAATGAAGACCATACCAGGCGAATTTCTAACAGCAACGCCATCAAATAAGCAAAAGAGACAAACATCTGACAGGTTGAAATAGAGTATTTAAGTATATTTCCTATGAGTTTCTTTTGTAGTAGTGCGAGTATAACATGTGAAGGCGCGACTGAGCTAACAGGTGATTTATTTAGTACGAAGAATATGATTCAATTGCCATCCACGTGTCACTCATCCACATGTCGAGAGAAATTTCTTATGAAATATCAAAACAATATTCGAAAGTATAATCATCGACTCAATGTCGATATGGTATTAGATGATACTATGCAATCAAATATCCAAATGGCATTTTGCGGATTTTCTTCCATAGGTTCTATATGAATGAGTTGTCTACTCTAATCGCTCTGATCTATTTCAGATCCTAGTGAGCGGTTTCCTTCGAGTGCGTGCAAATCAGGAACGTCAAGATACATCTACATTATAGATCAAGATGCGAATTTTTTTCAATTCAATCCTCGAACGTCTGCGACAACATTGATTACAAGTCTGACTTGTTCGACAACTGCATATCCGTATTCAATGGCTGTACAAAGTGCTGGTACAGTCTGGATCTTATTTACCGATGGGAATTTATACACATTTGATGTCAAAACTCGGCGATGTCAAGCAACATCGTATCTTTCTGGACAAGAAGGTTTTGTTCTTTTTGGAATGAATTTTATCAATGATTATTCGACAAATACTGAGCTACTGTACATAACCAGTGACACGTCAAATCCACCCTACCGTTTAGCAACTCTAGACATCAATATTTTGGAAATTACGGTTGTTAGTTATTATAATTCGAAGATTAGTGCTCGTGGAGAGCTAGCAAATACACTCGATGGAAGATTATTCGTTTTATTTGAAGGTCAACCGTTCACTATAGCTGAAATTAATCAAACAACCGGAGAAATTCTATCTCAAGCACCACAAAATGATCTTCGATACGTGTCGGATGCATCGAACTTCGCTTTTACATCTTATTTGTCGCAATTTTTCATTTTCGTTGGCGATCAAACCTACACCGATATATTTCTTCATGATATGAAAAGTAAAACTACAACAAACAGAACACGAATTTCCAATGGAATCGTTGGTTCCGGAGTTTCCCCATGTCTATAGCATTGCCCATCGGAGAAGGACAGATTTTATGCGAACAGTTTTCAGTCTTGTTTATTTCAATACGCTAAATGCTACACAATGGAGTAAGCAAAATTAAACCGCTGTTTGTTAGTGACGCTTCCTCATAAGCTTTATCTTCCGTATATAATGTCACAGTCTTGTAATTAGTCACTTTTGGAGCGCTCACACTATCGTTTGCAGGTGCACTTATAGTAAATGTGAAAAGAGATGTGGTTATATTCGGATTGTATATGTTGAATACCGGCAGTTGGTCTGTGATGCTGTTTTGACTTGGGATTACATATGGTGAAACGCATTTTTCAGTTGTATTCAACAGTTTCATAGAATCTGTTATGCATAATGTAATATTGAGAGTTGCTTGCGCTCGATTGTAGATCGTATATGTCATATTCAAAGTAGTGTTACCAGTGATAATATAAGGTTGATTGGTGAGATCAATTTTGATGGTGGTGGGTGATATAAGTTGTGGTGCCTGACGTTGAATTTTGTTGCTATCGGCAAGACTAACAGTTGTTAACATTCGAAAGTCAACGTCAGGTATTTGAATCGACGTGATAAAACCATTTTTACCGAATGTCGATGGATACAGTTCAGTTATGATCGTACCTTGGTTATTAATCAATTTAACAGATCCGTTTGTAATATGAGAAGGTAAATTTTCACATACAGTCAGTAGAACAAGATCTGTTTGATTAACTAGTGGCGTATCTTGCAAGGGCATGTACTCAAGCGTATGTCCTTTGTGTACTTCGCAGAGTGTTGTTGTACAAGAAATCGAAGTATCGCTACTTAACTCAATGCTATGTTTACCAATATAATATGAATGTAGTTTCCACGTGCCAGCTGTGGCTTTTTGTATCTTATATAATTTAAAGAAATTAGAAGCAGCTATCGGTGTTGGTTTCAACAAATTTCCTTTAGAATCAATGAGTTCTACAGAACCAGATAATAGCTGTGTTGAACTAACATCGATATTTATAACAGTTATTGAGTCGTCAACTTCAAATGTTAAGTTGGTCGATCCTGGTAGATTGATTGTCAGTATAGATTCAGGCCGTGCTAAACGACCCATGACATATTCTGCGGTAGCATTTGCATCACCTGCTTGGATTCCCATGGTAAGTCCTCCGGTAGCCGAAGCAATGTCATGTCCATCGGATCCATCTAATGCTTCGATACTGTCAGTTGTACCAGTAGATTGACGTTTTCGTCGGCCAATATATATCGCACCAGCGTAAAACGAATAGACACGAATATTCATTTCTGAAGCTTTAGCAAGTATTTGACTTCTCAAATAGGCATCTTTCGCTGGCGCATCAGTAAATGTAAATACGCTTGAATCACGTTCACAAACATTCAATGCTTCATTCAATCCGTGATAGTATAGTTCAGGCAAGTCACCTCCACCGGACGCTGTCAAAGCAGAAATGGCGTCAATCAATACCTAAAGTAGGCAATTTGCCATTTGAAATCAATGAATAAGATAAGCAAACCTGTGCATTTGTCGTCACTACTAGTGGCCCATAGCCAGGGTCATTGAATGGAGACAGAATATAGTTACGTGGACGAAGTACTGCTGAATCACCAGTTGTGCTTTGCACGATGCGAATAGCCATTTGTTTGACTAGTTCGATGTATGGAGCCATACTGCCTGTTGTATCAATTGCAATGGCAAGACTTGTGGTTTCGAGGCCAAGAAAACGACCGAATGTAGTATCACCAAATTGTGTCCATAACTGAGAAAGTTTTTGTTTTGTAGCTTCATACGCAACTCGAGCTGCATCATAATGGTAGAACATGCCATGATCAGAAGTAGCATAATCTTTATTGATACCAAAGCCAGTTGCTTCCTCGTCTGTTGTCGCATCAGCTGAACCACCATGACTGCATTTACCCAACGGCTTTTTTGCCAAAGGTGTTAAACCAAAATAGCCACTGGTCAGCCAACCATCTTTAATTATTTCAGGCAAAATATTATCTTTTGCGCAATCTGTGCTATTGCAATTCCTGCAAGTTGGCATACTCTTCGATGCATATTTGCCAAGAATAATACCACTACCAATATTCGTGTTGGGCTCAGTTTGTCCAAGTTCAATCCAATTTGAATGAGCATAGAAGTCTTGCAACGTATGCATAGCTTGACCAAAATAAGCCCGGGCGTGATACAAATTATCGGCTCCTAAATTGCTCTTAGCAGAATTTAATCGCATGGCTACTAATCCGGAGGCTTGTGTAAAAGTTTCGCCATCAAAGTGCGACCTTTCATTATACCACTCCAAACCATCGACAAGGACGTTTTCCGTCGAAATAGCATAAACAGCTGAACGAAATGTACTGCTTACTCGAAGTCGTTTAACTTCGTTTTCGATCGAATTGAAATCGTCTTTTACTTTGGAGCAAACACCTGTCGAACTGCCGATGCTATCTAAATCTGTTGAACCATGTACTTTCGTTAAGTAATCTGCTGCAATTCGGAGCAATGCACACTCAGTTATGGCATAATGCGTTGTACCAGATGATGAGACTTCTGTACTCGTTAATGGAATAAGTCCGCCCCATCCGGCTGTAAAACATTCACTATTACGAATTACTGCTAGTACAAGGACAGCAGCAATACTAAAATGGACTTTGTTCATCTTAGGCAAGTTTTTACCTTGAGAAAACAAAATGAGTGACTAAATACATGGCTTATCATTTATGTACATATATATATATACAATTGATCCTATAGCAAGCGTAAAATATTGATAAGATTGGCAAGTAAAAAATTGAGGATGAAACAAGGGTCAGGTATCACGACGCTGGGCAAATGACGTGTGCTTCAGTAAAAATCATAAACTTGATATAAATCAAGCAAATATACTTCTTATAACTTGTTTTCGTCATGCCTATCTGATTGCCTTCAAAACCTGATATTATGAAAAACGAACCAACTTCCGATGCTTTATTTAAACGAAGGAAGTGATTTATCTTAAACGATAATCACTCGACTATAGAAAACGACATTTGTTTACGCGGAAAAACTGGCACGCATATGTATTCAAAATCATTGATTCGTGATATTCACTCATTCTAAAAAATGTACTGAAAAGACGATATTATAAATATCTTTTCGTTCGGAGTATCGTTTCTAGCTTCGCCAGAAATGTACCTTTATACAAGGTAAGTTGCGCATATATTTCTGTTTTAATCCTTATTGAAACTTGTTCAATAGCTTAGCATCAATCTGTTTTATCGTTACTGGCTTAGGAGCTATTGCAATAACTCTCATTCCTTCTCTGATTCCAGTGTTTTTATCCGAAGACCATTCACCGTACTACGGTAAAGATTAACTTGTGCCTTAATTCGCTCGTTTACGACATATCCACTTGAAATTGTTATCTAGGAAGCATTCCGTTCAGCGTATCTTATCAATTGAGTAATGGAACAGTTGCAGCTGGATCGATTTCTGACAGTCAACGTGATCATCTCCATAATCAGGTTGATGAACATATCAATTTATACTCGAAATAATGGATTATCTGTCTTTCTAGCTATTGAATCTGGCAATAAAAACAGTAAGCATCAGTATAAGTTCAGCATCGGTTGTTGATCAAACAAAATCGACTCAGTACGATTTCCGACTTTTCATCCAGGGAGCCTAACTTCTTTTGATTATTAATAGTGCATTGGTTCGTCGTCAAGCAAGTTCACAGCAAATACTTCAACTCAAGGGAATCGTTCAGGCTCACGAGGGATGTTTGAGAAAATGTTTAGTAGATTTTGTCAAACAATTCAAATCTACACTTTGCACAACGCCTTTGACATTGTCACAATAATAATAATAACTCTTATTTTCTTGTTTTAATCTTAGTTTTGAAATAAATTCAAGCGCGAGTCTTTTTCTTCTTTTTCCGCACACCCATGTTTCCTATCAAATTCGAATCTGACACATCATCTGAGTCATTGAACAATATACAAATCGACTACGATGCAGATGACATTCGAAAGTACCAACCAGTAGACATTGCCAATCAACTCACATTGTTCAATCGACATTTTCTATTACTTATCCAACCAGAAGAACTGATCAACTTTGCCTTTCTATCCGCTGAAAAGGTCGAACTCTTGAAAAAACAACTCATTTCACTTATTCGATGTTTTTCTTCCACAGAAAACTCTTGCACCCAATCTCACAATAATATTTGCATTTTATGAGCGAACTGTTCGACTATTTGCCACACAAATACTCAAGCATCAATTGTTGGAACAACGAGCGTCTGTCATCAAGCATTTAGTTTTAGTAGGTTGTTGTTTCTGTCGGCCAATATCCCACAAGGAATATGAGCATACATATGAAACAATTATCATTCTAGGTTATTCAACAACTGTTTACAGTAAATCATGATCTCCAGAGTATTCGTCTGATCTTAGCAACCTTTGATCACCCATCGATTTTTCGATTACGTCAGACATGGCGAATATTTCGACGAGAGAATCCTAACTTGTACACGTAGATGACCTGTTCTTGTCTCTGACGAACAGCTCGATAATGTTTACGGTTTAGAGCACTGAAATACTTTTGGAATGTTCTCAGTCAAGGAAGCAACTGGTCGGACTATCGTTTGTGGGTTGAAGAGAAGTTTATCAAAGATTGTCTAAGCAAAAAGCAACCGATGGTGTTATTTATCGGATATTTATTATCAAAAATGATTAGTGACCACTATCGATACTATCGAATATTTTCCAATGATTCACCAAACGAAAAGTCATCACGTGTTCATCAAAGTCTGATTGAATATGTGAAACTATTATCTCCGAAGGAGAATTTATTGGTCAAAAAATAAGATTGTATTCTATGTTAATGACATAAAACCACTAAGTTTGTCGATAATTGCGGTGTCGATTACAAAAATAGATTGACACTATACCCATGATTATACTGACAAGTAGGAAAAATAAGCATAAAAATAATAAACCACCGAATTCTCCTTTCGTTAATAATCGTGCTGGTCGATATTCCGGCTCCAAATAATTTGTTTGATTGATCATATAACCTAATGTCCAACCAATCTCACTACCGCCAACTGTTTTGATAATATGAAAATTTTTCATATTATCATCATTCATTCCGTATCCATACTCCATCAATGTCCAATGATACATAGAATTGAAACATAATACTAAAGAGTTGTAAATAAACGAGGAAAGTTATTCACTAAGAAATATCTTACATGGCCGATATTTATCGGGATTTGGAACAACAGCCCATGGTTGCTTGCATATCCCTTCAATAGCACGTTTGATATCGGAAAGTTTCGTCGTATTGAAGTCGTAATTTCCATCTTTGTTTGGTGACACAGTCACATTTTGAGCTAAGCTGTTAAATGTTGAATACCAAGCTGAAATAGCGATAAATTTGAGTGACGGTTCGATTGGTTTCGGTTGATAGACATTGTCGAAGCTGCAGCTTGTGAAGCTACATTCTGATGTATTCAAACATTGTTGTACATTCGCGAAACATTGAGAATAATTTCCCGTGCCACTAGAACGAACGAAATAGAAATAAGAGCTCGAAAATTTTGTTCAAAAATTAGTCTACATGATTGAAAAAGTCGATGTTCTATTGAGTTCTGGTGATGGTGGTGACTGAGCTCGAACGCAAGGTAACGTAAAGATATCACTATAAGAAAAATTCTGAAAAAATCCATCTTGAAAACATGGATCGTAAATTGTTTCAGAACCACCAGCTTTATTGATTATCCGACCGAGATAAACATAACGAAACTGTTCAGCTCCATAGCACAAATATGAATGAGAATAAATATCATATTCGGTATTGAATAAACTCATATCATAACGTTCGTTGGTCGCGTTTGGTGAGTAAAAACTTATTTGTGTACTTGCACCTATTAGAAACACAGTCAAGGCGTGTTTTGATCGTAGATCATATAACTAAATATATTTATACCTCCCATATCTGTCACTCCGTATGTTTGTGATGGGATATTATTTTTATATAATTCCTCCAGAAGCATATTTGTTGATATCCAACCAGATAAACCCTCCTCACTTCCGCTAATGATTCGAACTTGATTTTCAGGTGCTTTGAAGAGAAGACCGAGAGTATCGAAATAAAGACGTGTACTTTTCAATAGCGCATTTGTGTAACTGGCATTTTTCATTTCGAATAAACGAAGACCGGCCGTACCGCCGAGAAAAACTAATGCTCGACCTTTTCGATTCGATGGAATCGAATCCATACAATCGACCATTGCCGTATTAAAATATCTCTTGACATTGTCTTCAGTTGGATCAGTGATCGACGTGATCGCACCGCCTCCTGGACTACAGGATTTGATTTGTGTGACACGAGATGTAACTCCGAGTCCATTGGATTTATCTGCTGGCCAGCTAAAAGAAGAAAATGTCTATGTGCCGATGAAAAAAGATGTTTGTTTTTACGTATAGAGAAAGATTTTCGAATGAGTTGAACCAGCATCGACGACCAGGGCATAGTCTTGAAATGGAGATAGTTTTTGTTGCCATACAACAATCAATGCTATCAAACCAGCTGTTGAAAGGATGCAGAGAATAACTGCTGCAGAAAGAAGAACTTTGACACTTGGTCGTTTCATCTTATCACCAGTAGATTATTTCTAAAAGAAATTTTTGTGTTTGGTGACTGAATCATCTGTCGATTAACATATTAATCCCGTAAGATTATAAGTGGAATGAAATCGAATACATTATTTATCCGTCATTAGATATCTGTCGTTTGACACATTTGGTATCAAAAAAAAGAAGGAGGTCTACATAGAAGAAAGTCGATTAGGAGTAATGTTTATGCAATGCATGTCGAAAATGAATGATTAATAAATGAGAAATGATTTCTTGTAATATGCATTAAAGTCTTAAGAGCATTATTTCTCACTCAAAAGGGCAATAGGAAGAATTGAAATATCACGATCATCATGTGACGCACTATTCAACTCGATAGACTTTGAAATGTTGAGAACTATCTTGTTGATTACTAGCAGGCAAGAGTAATGTGACACACGACGAGCAGGGTCTTCTGATGTTATGGAGTATTTTTAAAAAAAGATAAGATGTAGATATGAGACAAACATAAAAAAGTCCGTTGAAAGTAAAAGATATTCGTAAAATGTTCATCCAGATACAGGTTGGAAAATAATTGGAATTGTTAGGAAATGATTTGCGCGCGTAAATTAGGATATGAACTGGGAGTATAATTACCTCTGATAGATGGCGCCAGTCGAAAGGAAGGTTTTCAGTATGTAGTTCAAATTGCTTTTGATCAATCCATAGATCCACAAACAGACAAATGTTTCAAGCGAATCTGTAGAAATTGTAAAGAATCGTTGGTGTCTAAAAGTCAATTGATTATCATCATTGACCAACCAGATTTCTTCATTTCTTTGTTCATGATGTCCTATCTGAAAATAGTGTTTGAATTACGTTTTTTTGATGAAAGCTACTAGTCATTCAATCGAATATCATCATGGTTGATAGTCAAACAGTTGATGAACAATCTACAAGTGAGATTTTGCATAATTTGTGCACGCAGATTTCAATATTCGTCTATTCTAGCTCGTCGATCGATTCGATCATGTCGTTTATCAACAGTTAAACCTAAGCCACCAGTTGAAAAGCCAGTCGAAGAACCCATTCCCGATGACAATGAACTCGAAGAAGAAGAAGAAGAAGATCCAGCTGATATATTTCAAGTAGGAGATATTTTGTGGGCTCGAGTAGTCGGTAATCCGTGGTGGCCAGCGTTAGTTTATGGTAAAACAGTGCTAAACTCGATCTGATGACAAACTATTACTATTTCATCTAGGCTCGTACTACGAAGATAAAATTCATACAAAAATTATGAAAAGCGCTCGACGTGCGAAGAGACGTACGAACATTCTCTCCAAGATTTATCTTCGAAATAAAGTTGATCATTTTAGGTGCATATTTTGTTTACTTTTTCGGACCTGATTTTGAGTACGCATGGTTGCAAACTAATGCTCTTATACCTTATGCTGGCCTGGAAGATTTTATAAGACACGCGGAAACGTCTATACAAAACGTTGGTGATGATCTTTTTCTTCGAAAATACAAGATTGACTTCGTCGTTTGTTTTGTGCTTTAGGCGACAAGCAGAGGAGAGCAGGGTGCATTAGCAAATCGTTTTGAATTGAAAGTCACTGGCAGTAAACGAGCCGACTGGTAAGAATATTTGAAACAATTTTGATCCGACTTTTTGATTTCTTCATTAGGGATAAAGCTATGGAAGAAGCTAATGAAGCATTGAAACTATCTCGAGAAGAGCGTGTGAAGAATTTCGAAGAGTTACTGAAGAAAATCTTAAAGAAAGCTGAAGGTTTAACTTAGATTCTTTATGTAACCAGATATCTCATTTTCGTTGATTTAGAAAACAAATCAATCAAGCGAAGACATAGTTCTGGAACGGCACGATCATCCGTAATTATTGATTATCCAATTAACGGACATACCATGACTACCTTTTTTGTTTCTCATCTAGAGAAGAACTCTATCGCCATCATCATCGGGAAATAAATCAACAGCTCGTTCATCCGTAAAACGACAAAAAACAAGCATCACGGTAGTCTATTCTAACTAGCGTTCAACACATAGAAAACATATCGTTGTTTCCAGCCATTAATAGCCTCGACAACTTTGTTACATGCTGGTCTACCTACGTTAACTAAACGTGAAGAAAAGCGGCTTATCAATGATCTTCTCACTCATCCCAAAGGCGAAAACTTCACATTGAATGAAGCACAAGCATTCGCATGTCAGTTAGCCAGAAATATAATCAAAGAGAATTCTCACTATGATATGTCCTGTGTACAAATCGAATGGTTCTATGGTAAGTGTCTTGTCCTCGATACTCATTTCTTTGTCATTTGTGTTGAATAGATTTTCTTCTCAATCATTCAGAAATAGTTTCCAAATATTCTCATTGGTTTCATGATGAAATCAAACCAATCATGGACGATTCTATCTATTTGAAACAATGTCAATTGCGAGATATGATCATCAAAGCTCAAAAATAGTTTCTCTCTTTCTTATTTTTGTATAAATTGTATAATCACAATAAAAAGTCATTTATTCTTCTTACGATGAGTGCAATGCGGAAATAAACAATCAATCTATTCTTGTAGATGACGAATTCAACAGAGAAATGTAACATGGCAGGACTTCTTCGAGAGAAATGACGAACTAGCTCGTTTATTTAGGTAAAACGCAATTGAAACGAAAACAGATGGATGATGATATACCAGATTCTTCGATATTCGATATTTTGGAAAATGGCTTTCAGATCGGAGATTTGGTTTGGGCAAAACTTCATGGATTGACATGGTAAGATATCGAGTTATGAGTAGTTTTTACAATAAGATGTACTTTTAGGTGGCCGGCTTTTGTCTACGGTAAAGAGACGATCTCCACAAATGATAAATGATCATTTTACAATCTAGGCTGCTTTTCCGACGATGGAAATTACGTTAAAGTAATATGTAAGTCATTCATTGAATGAATTATCTACAATTCATTGGCTAATTTGAAGCAAAACCTGGATTACCGACGAAAAAACAATATTTCATCTACTCTTTCGGCTCTCATTTCAAAGTATGTGATCAAAGTCTATTGTTTATTGATCTATCGATCAGTTCTAGTATTTATGGGTTCACGAAGCATGTCTGCATCGATACGAAGGTCTAGAAGAATTTCTGGTATATTCAGAACAAAAGGCTAAACGAGTACTTGTGTACATTTGATGAAACATGTTCGATCAATGTGATATTTTGTTAGGCATCAACAAAACAAGCGGAAGAGAAAATACGTCGAAAGTTCAAAGTACATATATCTGAAGAATTGCATCCATTCTGGTAGAATTTTTTTGCGAAATTTCGTATGCAGCTTTGATTGATGATAGGAAACAAGCGATGGACGAAGCTAATGAACTGTTAACTCTGCCAACAAACGTGCGCATGAGCGCATTTCAAAAAATAGTTCATCGCTTTATCGATGAAACTAAAAATTCAGTTATGCATCGAATTAAAGAACAAGTCCCACTATGTGACAACTCAAACGATGAAGTTCAACGAGAACTGCGAGTAATTATTTTAGTCAAATGATTATAAAAAACAATCGATTCAAACGCTTTCGTCGTCACGCAGTCTATCGAAACAGACATTCCTGACATCAGATGCATTTGAAAAAGTCAAGCGAACAGTACCATATCCTTCGATTCTGAGTAGTACAGGAGAAACTGAACAAGTAACAAAAGCACCAGTAAGGTCCCCTTTTCTTCAAGCCTGTTTTCATCTTCATTTGTATTTAGTCACAATTATTGCAAGTGGCAACAACAACGAATGAACTAGATAATGATGTTGTTGTTCTACGACTAAATTCATCTACGCGGTCTTCTTCTGTGTCACTAACAGCAGCTATTCGTCATTTTCTTGATAAAGGTATGTAGTTTCTTCTACAAACTTCATTGTAAGTTCAACGATTATCTCAGGCCTTCCATCATTAACTCTCTACGAAGAGATTTGCCTTGTTAATCAATTGCTTCACCATCGATCAGGTACATCATTAACGTTAACGGACGCTCAGATGTACGTTGAACAATATGTCATTCGCATTGCCTTACGGAATTTCCGTCACAAAATGTTATACGTTCAAAGTGATTATTTCTATGACTTTTTACTAAAATATCCTCAAATTATTCTTAAACATCGCCAATGGTTTCAAGATTTCCAGCCAAGTTTAATGCCGACAAACACAGATAGAATTCATTTGAAAAAATGGCAATTAGCAACAATATTACACGCTCATTGGAATCTAGAGCAACGTTTATATTAAATTTTTGCATTCCATAGGTTTAGATTATATGAAATACTGTAGAAAGTTGTTTATGAAAATTTTCAGTATTTTTCTCGTCATGATAAAGAGATAGGTGTCATTTGAACAAATATGTTTTCCTTTTAGATTGTACATTTATGACGACAGATCTTACATCTCCAGGTATATTGTAAAACTCTTCTGAAATTGCTTTAATCCCTGACTTCTTTGTAGAATCGACGTCACAAAAACGTCTGCGACGTACAAAACAAGACCCACAGTTTATTTTTGAACATATTAGTAAGACGGTCGACTCGACACCTGTTGTAAACAAACAAAAGCCAAAAAGCGTTATTTCCACTAATGATACTGTTCCCGGTGCTGATCTTTATGAGCCTGGCGATGTTGTTTGGTCGAAACTTGGTAGTTTCCCTTGGTGGCCAGCGCTTATTGTCTGTAAAATTTTCACATCGAGAAGGAAAACTCTACGAAATGTATGTGTCTTTTAGTATCGATCGAATGGTGAAGGAGGTTCACATACAAGAACGCTAAGTAATATAGTCGGATAAATGCAAACTTAAAGTTAATTCGGACGTCTTTAGATTCGAACAATAAACCCAAACGACAGTTCTTCGTTTATTTCTATGGAAAGTATCTTGAATACGCATGGTTGTCAACGCGTTCGTTGTTAAAGTATTCCGGTTTGAACGATTTTATCGAAAACGCCGAAGCCGCTGTACAGAAGGTAAGGACCCTCTCTCTCTCTCTCTCCTAGTTTCTTTCTAATCTCATTGACTAGTCAGGCAGTGACAAAATCCGAAAAGGTCGAATTGGCAAATCGCTATCAATTGAAAGTTTCTGTGAAAAAGCGCGTACAATGGTAAACAAATTTCGATAGATGAAACCTGATATGAATTCAATAAATCTCAGGGATGGAGCCATCGAGTTAGCTGATCGTGCGTTAACCATGACAAGAAATGAACGTATCGAAGAATTCAAAGATCTGTTAAATGCGGCAAAAACCAACAAGAAATCATCGAAAAATAGTATGAAATGGCGTTTCGAGTCGTAAATACTATTTCAATATGTTCTAGGTAGTCGTCGTCGAAATGTTTCTATCGAAAGTATACCCGATGAGCCATTACTAAAGAAACGGCAGAATGGAAAGAACGCGGATTCAACGGTAAGAACTCTTGCTGTAAGAAATAGCTCCATAACTAGTTATTTAGGCGACTAATTCGGATATAAGCCAGCGGAAATCCTCGACATGTGTAAAGCAAAGTGAAATAGAATACGAATATCCTGTCCTGCCGACGAATCAAATAGTTTTGCCTGCACTCCGTCATTTTATTCAAGCGAACATTCCTCCACTATCGAATTATGAACAAAAACAAATCGTCGAAGGTCTTCTTCATCACCCGAATCACGAAAATCTAACATTTGACGAAGCAGAAAGATTTGCTCGTGACAAAGCAATAGAAATTGGTAAGATCAGTCTGCACGAAAGGAAATCCTATCAAAATCTTTACCACTACACTTTAGTCGAAGAAAACTACCACCATCGAATGGATATCATTTCACCTGAATGGTTCTACGATTCTATTCTTTTGAAATATCCTTCTCTCATCTTTAAATATCGTTCATGGTTTACAAACATTGAACCGCACGTCATTCCCGATGAAACTGATGCTCTGAAACTAAAACAGTGGCAAATTGCTCTGATGATTCAGGCACAAATAAAACATGAACAGCAACAGTCACGAATAACAGATAGTACATAATGTCCTATGTATTTCGCTTCATGTAATCCAAAAATATTTCGAAACAAATCAAATGAATCTGTTTTCATTTTTTTTGTTATTCAAATCGATTTATCTGCTTGTATTTTTAATGTGCGAGAAAAAAAACCAATAAGTTCCGTGTGAATTTGGTTTACTTTGACAGTCAGACCAGAAAATATTCTTCTGTTTCCCGGTTCAGTTTCAGATTAAACCATGCAGGTAACTAATGTCAACGATGTTCGAGTGTATAATCTAACATGTGGCCAACAAGCAGCCCCGGAAGTATGTCGAATACATTCGATGACGTTCAATATTTTTGCTCTTTGAACTTTAGTGGATGGATGATACCAAAAAGAAGAAATCTAAGAAGGAAGCAGGTAGATTTTGTATTAAACTGCACTTGCGTTTGGGTTCTTATGGAAACATCTTTAGATGCCAAACAACGAATTGAACTTATCCAAGGTTTTGAAATGCCTATGTTAAGCAATTCAATATCGATGACACGCGATGGACAGTATATTTTTGTCACTGGTAATTCTATTTTCTGCATAAAATGATTACAATTCGTCAGTGTATGTAGGTTCTTATAAACCACGTGTTCGCTGTTACGATGTTAATGAATTATCATTAAAATTTGAACGTTGTTTTGATCACGAATGTATACAAATGAAAATTCTCTCAGAAGATTATTCCAAAGTAAGACAAAGATGAATTGTGCGGTGAAAGATTATTTATTGATATATAGATTGTTTTTATGCATGCTAATCGGTATATTGAATTTCATTCACAAGTCGGTAATTATCATACGATTCGAACTCCGAAACAGGGACGACAGTTTGATTACCGATATTCGTCCTGTGATTTGTATTGTGTCGGTGCAACGTAAGAATACGATTTTACTTATACTTTCAAGTATTTTAATACCATTCGTATATTGAATTGAAGGAATGAAATCTACCGGTTCAATCTTGAACAAGGACAATTTCTTGAGCCCATATCAAGCAAATCACCGTATGATTAATTATGAAAAGTCGAGACTGCATTCATTTGATGGTGTAACGCTTTTTTCAGAGGTTTTAACACCTGTCAATTCAATCCCGAACATGAATTATTCGCTTGTGGTTCTGTAGAAGTAAGCAACTTTTCCAGATGATTTTCAATAGCCCAGGTAATATTCTCCACTTTGTTAACGCGATAGGGAGTACTAGAATGTTACGATCCCCGAGCACGAAGTTCTGTAGGACAAATCGACTGTGCTGTTTTTGCAAATAGCAACAGTGGTAACAGGTAGATAATCCCTTTCGAATTAAAGATCGATCGTTCGAAAATTTTTCTTTTAGTTTACCAGCTATCTCTTGTCTTAAGTTTAAAGATGCACTTAACTTATCTGTTGGCACGAGCACTGGACAAGTAAGTTCGAAGTCTGTCTCCGCAGTATCTATTCAAGCGATTATTTATCATTAGATATTACTATTCGATATACGATCGAATAAACCGTATTTTATTAAAGATCACAACTATAATCTACCAATCAAACGTATTGATTTTCACACCCAAAACGACGATTATATTCTTTCAATCGACAAGAAAATATGCAAAATATGGAATCGACATACCGTATGTATTGTTTTCTATTGTCTATGTCAATTGCAGTTTGGACACGTAGGGTAAAAATTTGACGTCTATGGAACCTGGTACACCTTTGAATGACATGCTCAATATACCTGGAAGCGGTCTTATATGTCTAACGAATGATTCTCCCAAGATTTTTGTTTATTATATTCCAGTATGTATTCACAAATAGATGCTGGAATATCTGGTTATACATGCATTAATTTGTAGACATTGGGAAATGCACCGAAATGGTGCACGTTCTTGGACAATATTACCGAAGAACTCGAAGAAAAACCAGCAGATACAGGTGGGATGATTGTTTTAAGCAACACAAGCCATTACGTTTTCCTTTTTGATTTTAGTTTATGACGATTATAAATTCTTAACGTTAAAAGAATTGGATACACTCGGTTTGTCTCATTTGATTGGTTCGGATCTTCTTCGCGCTTATATGCATGGTTATTTCATGGATATTCGACTATATAATCAAGTGAATACCTTCTAGCTTGCGCTGCTCTTCTTTTGTTTAACAAGTTAATCGTTTTTGTAGGCGAAGACAGTAGCGGAACCATTTGCGTTTGCTGAATATCGTAAGAAGAAATTGCGTCAAAAGATCGATGAAAAACGTGAAAGAAGTCGTGTACCTCTTCCGGTAAATAATTATTTCTTCGCGTATCCTTTCAAAAGTTCTTCTCGTTTTGCGATAGATTGTACCAACGGTTAACAAAGATCTTGCTGAAAAACTTCGACACGATGAAGGCGAAACGACAACAAAGAACAAGAAGAAGAAAGCGAAAAATGCGGAGGATAAAGTTCGTGCTAGAGATGTTCGTATCAGAGAGATTGTTCGTTTCTTTTCTCGTTTAGATCTCGGCATCATCTGTGCTTAAAGATTCTCGATTTCAATCGCTATTCACCAATCCTGATATGCAGATCGATGTGAACCATGACGCATTCAAAAACATCGCACCCCTGGTTTCTCGTTTGAATAAACAAACAGCTGTTGAAGAGGATGTTGAATCGGTAAGAAGAAGCAAAAATGAAAATAAGCTCTAATAGTTTGGTCATTTTCTTCAAGATGGAAGAGGGTGATGACGACGAAGATTATGATGATAGAGAAGGAAACGACGAAGAAGTCGACTTAATGGATGATATTCTCACATCTGATGAAGATGAAGATGAAGAAAAGAAAGCAGCGGTAACTCCTCGCCGAACAAAATTGGTTCCAGTTGGTGCCGAAGATGAAGGCGATCAGGAAACTCTTCGTTCATTGTCGTTTTCTGAACGAGCAAGAAGAACAGCAGACTCCGACAAGTCTTCGACATTCACTCGCCCATCGGTCGCTAATAAGATTCCGACGGATAACAAGGAAAAGCGAAGAAAAAGAAACACAGATGACGATGATGATCATCGAAGAAATGTTCGCCGAGCTCCACGTGGTCGAATGAATAGTCGTCGTGGTGAACCATAAAGAAAGTTCATCTTGTTTTCTTCAAATTTGATTGTTTTGTTGCTGTTTTTCAATAAATTGTTGTTTTTTAAATCTCTCATATTTCACTCAGATGATTCTTTAACAAAGAATTGTGCATCTGATTTTGATTGACTGTACAAGTCAAAGAGTATGTGACGATACAACATCGATGACAAACATTGAATAGTTAGTTTAGGAAAAAGATGAGCATTTCTCTCGGTGTCAAGGGTTTACAGACACTGTTTGTTGCACTGGTTCTGGCCCGACACGTTTATTAGTGATTGCGCCACCGCAAGAAAACCAGCCTCGTAGAATGGTCCATAATTCTTTGCGAAACATACTGGACGTTAATGTGTTTATGTAAAATGTAAAAGCAGGAAAGAGATATGATAATCCTTCTGCCATGGCTCTTAAGAAATTTTCGATAGTAATTTGATCTGCACTCTTGTTTGCTATGTAAGGTGAAACAATATTACTGACACTATAAATCACAGATGGAAACGTTATTATAAAAAAAGTGACGACATGGTTGAATAACAACCTAAAAACTTGTTGATCACGTTTTAATTGGATTTGAGCAATTCTGTTGTTTGAGGGTCGTTGAGCATCAAGATCCTGTCGGCGTTTTCGCTTTTGTGTCAGGTTCTTTCGAGTAAGTAAAGTGCAAACAATCATGATCGCCGTTGGCAGAAATGAGTTATTAAATAAAGTAAAGAGATTAACAAATGTCAGCGAGATTCCAACCAGTGTATTACCACAAGCGCCTGCTTTAATATTGGTTGTAATCAATAGATAAACATGTGCAAGCAAAACCAGAACAGTAATGGTTGGTATCGCACGGTATGCGAATCGTACATTTGCTAAACGTCTTAAACGTACATTCGACGCTGATGACGCATAAAGATCGAAAAATGCTGCACTTAATAACAAACGATATGCCACTGAAGTAGTGCTATCGAAATATACACGAAATTTGCAAAAATAGACACTGTAACTGAATGAATCCACTTTATGATAGCGATAGATAATTGGAATCGAGTAGATGAATAGACTGAACATCATACCTACAGTGGCTCCTAAGACATCTACCCAGAGACAAAAGAATTTAATCAGATTAACCTACAAACAAGGATAACTTACATGTGTAGCACGACGTTTTACGAAACCGCGTTCGGGCAAGCAGGATTATATGCAGAACGCATCCAATTACACCAAAAACAACATATATCCAAGCCAAGCCAAAAAGGGTGTGTTTCTGAATAGATGATAAGATATTGTCCAATGAAGCCATTTCTATCGACCGTGTGAAATGAATTAATCTAGAATGGTACAACTAATCTTTGAATCATATCACTAGCTGCTGGTATTATGTGTAAACCTTACTATTGAAATATTCCATGAAAAAAATGAACAAGGCTACGAGAAGTTTCTATGTCATAACTTAGTTTAAATTAGCTTGTAAAAGATGACGAAGTGAAAGATCGTTTCATTTTATTAAAAGTGCACAATTGCTTTTATGCAGGTAAGAGTTTGCCTGTTTGTAATCAGATACAGTATACGGTTAGCCGCTCAAGAATATAAATGAGGTAAAAAAACATCATAATCAAATTCTTTTATGACGCTAACGCAGCTCGGGTAAGCTGTCACATGACGTGTCAGAGTTAAGACGAGGTAAAAATAAAACTAAGTACTTAAGTGATGAGAAATGACGAGTTTTAAAATGGGTAAATCACTATAAGGGCAAATCAGAAGATGTCTAGTGTCAGAGTGACCGTTTGAATGCACAGTGCACACAGGAAATTCAAATTCCTAGAACCTGATAAGTCGCACTTTGGTCGACATGTTCCAAGTGATAATCAAGATTGACAGCTGGTTTAGGGCATACTACTTTGCCGTTAATACCCTTTCTCTCAGCAAATACTATCAAATACTTTTTGCTCGGAATAAGTTCTTCAAAAAATAGAAGCAGTCTGCGTCCCTCATCCAATGACTCTTTAACGAATAAATTAACAACTTGAACTGTTTCTATTAAATTATACGATAAAAAATGAAAAGAACATCCATTCTATCTCTGTTGTTAATTATAAGATTATACCATAATACTCAGCTGAGCAATATAAGCTGGCCCTGTGGAACATTTTGTTTAATATCAACGGAACAAACTGCATGTTATGTTAGATATCTAAATAAAGGATGAGTTTTTTCAGCATAAAGGCAATTCGCTCAGGATAATTATTTGCATCAGAAATTCCTAAGGCTCCACAAAGGAGTTTGGTACTCTCAGCTAGCAGTTTTCGATCATCACTTCAACAAAAAAATCTTCGTATATCGGAGCACATTAACTGCTGGCGCCACCTGTCGAAGAACACAAATTCAGTTATTTATAGTAAAAATTTCGGACTATTTGTATATTCTGAAAGAATAATAATTCAATCTATTTTCACTGGAGCATTTTCGTCAGTTTTAGGAAACATCTAGAGGTCATCTCCATCATAAAATGGCAATTCAGAAAGAAAGAAGAAAAGAAAAACATAACGAACAAACGACAATCACATTTTATTTGATTGATTCATCAACAAATTTTCCCGTTTTGTCTCTTCAATCGAACCTATTTTCTTTCTGCAGATAATTACTTCTACTACTTATCAATAAAGATCTATGACTGATACAGAAGTAGCTATTTCTGGCAATGGTGGGGCAGGTGGTGATACTGAAATTGATTTATATGCTGATGTTGTCGAAAATGAACTTGACACCGTACGAGAATTGTGTCCATTTCTTGATTAAATATATTTTTCTGTTTGACATAGGGAGTGGGAGATGATTATATGACAAATGATGCCCATTTAGTACAAGATACAGATTTATACGATGATGTGATTACGACACAATCGGCGTCAACAGATTTTGCTGATATTACAAATATAGTCAATCAAAATCATGTCAAACTTGATCAATCAAATGGTTCGACAGGCCGAAGTACACCATCAAATAGTTACAATGGAAAACGAGTATCACTTTACGTTGGTCAATTGACTTGGGTATGTCATTTTATGAAAATAATGACGAGTTTGTGTATGCATGACTATTTCGCTATTTTACGCTTCTAGTGGACAACAGATGCTGATCTAGCTAATACAATTCATGAATTAGGCATCACCGATTTGCTTGAAGTTAAATTTCATGAAAATCGTGTCAACGGGCAATCAAAAGGGTAAAACTAAATATTTGTCTTTCACAAATGAATATGACCAAATGTGTATGTATTCTTTTGATAGGTTTGCCGTTGTTACCGTCGCTTCAGAAGCATCATCTCGGATGATCTTAGAGAAGATACCTAAACGAGAAATTCATGGACAAAATCCAACTGTTTTGCCTTGTAATAAACAATCGCTCAGCTTTTTTGAAGGCGTTACTCGTAAAGATGCACCAGTCGAACCTATGCCACCAATGGCTGCACCACCTCGTAGGTTTACATTTGAACACAACATTATTTTGTCTTATTCAAATATCTTTCGTTTTCAGTTCGTCAAATGATGCGTCCACCAGTTGGACTTCCGTTACCGATGCCTCGTGGCGGTCATATGGATGGACCATACCGTTTTCCACATCAAGGATCGATTATTTTGCCAGGAGCACCACCCGGCATGGCTCGTCCACCAATGCAAGTTGCGCTCGGTCCACGAGGTCATGTACCTGGCAATCAATTAGTTCTGGGCCGAATGCCCGGTCCACCTCTATCCGGTGTTCATCCACAACAATCCGTTCTCGTTATGCAACGACCTGGTGTTCCACCAGGTGTTAATGGACCCCCTCTAGTACGCCAACCGATGGCACCTGGTGCACCAGGTATATCCATTCGATAATAATATTATTCGTTTTGATGATTGAAATGTTGTTTCTCTTTGTCTTCAGGTGTACCCGTCTCTTCTAGTTCTATGCCAGTTATGCCTGGTCAGCATCCGCCTGGATACTATCCAGGTCAACCAGGTCAAGGCGTAAGTACTTCATTCTTTTCGTGTTTACATTCTTTTTTTTTAATATCGATATAATTCTAGTCTCATCCACACGGTGTTCCAATGCCTGGTCAACCACATCCTGACCCCTACTATCGTGGTGTTGATGCTCGTTCTGATCCAGCAAATATGATGCCCATTAGTGAAGCTGAATTTCAAGAAATTATGGAACGAAACAAAACTGTTTCCAGTAGTGCAATTGCTCGAGCTGTTCAGGATGCGTCTGCTGGTTAGTCGATTCACTTGTACATATCAGCATCCATCGATTTCATTGATTTCTTTCAGGCGACTTTGCTACAGCTATTGAAACCTTAGTGACAGCAGTTTCATTGATCAAACAATCGAAAATCGCCAATGATGATCGATGTAAAATCTTAATCAGTTCTCTTCAAGACACACTCAAAGGCATTGAAGATAAATCCTACGGTCAACGGTACGTATCTATGTCTACGAATACAATGCCGATGAAACGAAATGATTTCTTAATTTTTAGAACACGCCATCGAAGTCGATCTGGATCACCACGTGAATCTTCACGTAAGAAGCATCGTCATCGTTCACGTAGTCCGCGTGATCGCAATGAATATCGTCGTAATGAAGATTATGATGGCAAATATAGCCGTGAACATCGGCGACGTTGAAAAATTGAAAGCATCATTTTTTCATACTTCTCAACTAAATACAAACAAACATGCGATCTGGTAAGCTGTTCAATTAGTCATTTGTTTTTCATTCTCTGTGTTCAATTCTTTTTGAAATTTGTTTATTTTTTATGCTCTTCACTATGTGTACGTGTATTCTTTCCTCTCACTGCCCTCTCTCATGTCAGCTATGAAATTCAGTGCAATCATTTTGATTCGACTTATGCTCACATGTCGATATGCATATATATGTACATGCACATATATACACTAACAATCAACTATGTGTTTTTTCTATAACTTCTTTTCTGTTGCTGACGCAATGAGTCAAATATAGTCTCTGTTATTTTTTTTGCCCTTTGGAATACATCACTGTTTATACATATACATATATACATATACATATTGCATATATATTTTTTTTATAACTATACGTGAATCTCGTCATGATTGGAGCTCTACTCAATCCGCGCTGCAAGTGCACGATTTTGAACTTGTTGTTCTGTTTCTTCTTTTTTTGTCCCGAATATTTGATGATAAAAAATAATAGTATTTGATTCGCTTGATCAATGTATACAGATAGTAACTTTTCTAAATAATGAATAAATAGTATCATTTATTTATGTGTTCATCTAAATAACCATTTATCGAAACAAATGAAAAGTTGGCAATAGGAAAACTCATCCCTTTGAGGTGCAGACGAGCGACACGCAAACGATAACTTCTCTTCACACCTTAAACACAGTAAGTGTGGTCTTTTTGAGAAAGTTTGATTTGAGATCAACCATACACTACACATTCGATTTGTTCATTGACTTTTATTCATATTGGTTTTGTTTTTCTTTTTTATGTTTTAGGTCAACGGTACCAAGTGAATCCTGACCACCCGTTTTGTCTTTTTCTTTGTTGTACAAACTTCTTCATTTTGTTTGCTTGTCGATTTCTTTTCGTCTCTACTGCACTACTCATCTTGCTGTTTCATGTTTTCTACGTTTGTGTTCGTGTACGAATATGAAAAGAAATATAAAAAGTGATTTACTCTTACAGAAAATATTCATTTATTTCAAAGACATCTATATATACATGAATGAGACGTTAACAACATTGAATATAGAATGCTGTTCGCTTTTCTTCACTTCGTGGGAAAGACACGTCGAGAGACAGAAAATATACTGTTGTATGATGGACGTTGTACGCCGGTTCGGAACCATAGATGTTGAAAAATAGCTCGAAGTTCGTCGCGAAAAACGCGCGCCGTGATTGTGTAAACGAGACACGTTGACCCGATGTTCAGAAATGTCAACAGGCGAAAACAAATCGAGAGAAGATTCTCTAAATTTCTCCTTGTTGTCGTTTTCTCGTTCGAGGCAGTTATTCCAATATAGACATTCCATGCTGCCAATGGCATCGTTAGTATAACGAATGAAATGACCTGAAAGATAAATTTGAATTTGGATCAAAGTTATTCGGATTATTTGAAATACCTGCACAAGAAGCATCCGAAGTAATTGTGCATTCAATGTTAACTGTTGTCGTTGTGATGAAAGCATCATACCATTTCTTTGAACAACTATTGCGACTATCTTCTTAGTTTTTCGTACATTATAAATCGTTAGAACGGCAAAAGTAACATAGAGAATCGGTGTCATAAATGCATAGACAACGACATAGTAAACATAGAAGAATAGAAGGAAGTTATATGTAGTATAACTGCATTGATTTGTTTGAACCCAATCCATATAGAAAAGAATATGTATATGCATAAGAAAGCAAAATAAAGGTACAAGTACGACCAACCATTTCGCCGTGTTTATATGGCTGAAGCGGCGAATAATTGCTCGTTTATGCGTTGAACAATACCGATCGATGCATGCGAGAAGGATAAACCAGGAAGCTAGAAATAGTGTTGAATAATAAGTGAACGGTAAGACCTTACATAGTATACGCGACTTTGCTGTTAAGGAATAGTTAAAACCTGAACTCAGTACGAAATAGAATATGCCGGCGAAAATGCAAATTGTATTGCTGATACTCGATCCAATTAAGTAGAGCGAACAAGTGTTCTTTCGTAGTTTTGGCCGAGTGAGTACTATGACACTCAAAACGTTGCTAACTTGGCCGAAGACAAAAACGGTTAACATCGGCCATTTTCGAAGTTCAGTCGTCCAGGCGTTCATCTGCTAACTTAGAAAAGAAGAAAATGAGTGCGAATCTTCAAAGGTAATCTGATCGTTTGGAGAAAAAAAACTTTTGACGTTAATGAACTTCTCAAAAGATTATAGTGCATGAACGTGTGTAAAAGTACAAATCAAATCTTTTCTCGATAGAATATTCGAATAGTGCATATGGAACGATGGACATGATGAAACTATTTGTTATTATTTGAATGGAAAACTTTTCGTTACGAAAAAGATTTGGAGTTTCGTATGTATTTGAACTAACTCCGATAAAATGCTATTTTAAGAAAACACTATTCGTAAAAGAAGCTTATCTTGATGCATGATTTTACTTAACACGAGCAAACAATTAACGGTTATTTTCGTCTACCAGGACAATGTAGAACAAAAGTCAAAATATCTACAAACAAATTTCATCTTGAAACCAGAATGCTTGAGCAAAGTGGGAAAATTTTATGATGCATTCTTATGAACGCGCCTAATATTCATAAAGTTAACTCTAAGTTAAACTTCAATTCTATTGAATGTTATCATCTTCGTATATGTTCTGTATCGCTCTGTACTCGGTTCTATTTTATCCAATAGCATTCGGTAAAATTGGAATGTTTCCGATGAAAATCTTCATTGATATCTTTAGCCTTAATTTACAATGATCAGTGTACAACATCATGTGACTTGCCTGGCTTGGCCTGTATAAATAACCGGTGTATATGCGACTCGAAACAGAAATTGTTCTGGACTGGTGCGCGGTGTGATTCATGCCCAACCCATTGGACAATGACTGGTTTGTATCCAATTAAGTTTGAAGTGAATTTGAATGAGTTCGTATGATAGAAACAGCGTGTATCGTTCTATATGACACTTTGACGACTTGGAATGCGGCACAAGCAACGTGCAAAAGCGACAAAGCGAATTTAGTTAGCTTTCGCCATAAAGATATATTACCAATCATATTTGCGTTAACTCGTCGGGGCTTACTAGCTTCAAAGGATGATCTTCGTGTGTGGACAAGTGCTCATACTGACGATGTTGATAGTAAGTAAGAAGTTTGTGTATGTGAACCGGTGTGAACTATTTTAAACTCAAGATGATTAACTGATTCTCAGTTGCAAAATATCACTCGGTCGTTTTAGAGGGACAATATCAATGGTTAGATACCACTCAAAGCAATTTCGATTCGAAGAGCTCCTGGTGGTGTAAACAAGCTAACACCACATCAGGTTATTCGTATCTTTACAATGAACCGACAAAGTTCAATACTTTCAACGAGCCGGAAGCATGTGTAGCTGTTTGGCGTGGTATCACTCAATCTGGGAATATAACATGTTTAGATGATCGGATTTGTTCACTATCATTTCCATTTCTCTGCGAAAAATGTACGCGTTCTTATTTATTCGACATTCAATTGATTTTCTTTTGATTTAGCTGAGTCAACAGCACAAGAACACCTTGGTCCTCCACGTATGTCGATTTTTCTATCTTTTAAAATTGTTCACCATTGCTATTCTTAGCTGTCATCAACAACAGTGGTTCCACTACTGATAGCAATGGTAATAGTAATGGGACATACATAGCTGATTCGAATACGACCAAGGCAATAATGCTAAGTAACTTTGATGTTTTGAATTCTGCAGCTGAAGGAGTTTGGGAAACATATGCCGATTGGTTGTTTTGATAACATCCCCTTTGAAAATGGAGATATTTTTCATCTGTTTACATCTCTTCTCTTAAAAAATCTGACTGTTATTTCGATGCAATATTGTCATAGAGTTCTCTATTTTTCTTCGAAGAAAAACCTTCTAATATTATACCAATCATAATCATCATCGTCGTCGTTATATTGATCCTATTGAGTCTTCTTCTCTGTTGCACAATCTACTGGCTCAAGCGTCGCAAAACAGCTGTAAATCACATTCTGTCGCACCAGATCGAATCATGCATTTTATTATTTTCTAGGAGACTGTTCCAGTTCCAAAACAATCAATTCGATCCGAGAATACGAGAAGTGAAACGGTTGTTAGTGAAGTTCCCATGGTGAAAGCTGTGGACATCCTACCACAGAAAAACAAACGTGCAGGCTATTCAAAACAACAATTCGATGAATTTGATTAGAACAACTATTGTTAATTTCTTTTCGCAAGAACAAATAAATATATGTTATTCAATCGTTACGAATCTCGTTCTATAAAAACGTTCAAGTAACCCATTTCTTGACAGAATCAAATGCATTGATCACGGTCGAGTATAGCTCGAATTGTTTTGAAAGAGATGGCGCATTGTTTCTTCAGTGAAATGAAAACATACCATTTTATTAATGCTTTATTTCTGAGCAATTAGACATAGTATAATGGCACATATAAGTGTGGTCTCTCGAAACATACGAGTGAAATATTATGTTCCTTTGCATTGTATAAGAACGTCGTTTGTACATGCGCATGTTGATGAATAGAAAGAGAAGAGAGAGAATGAAAAAAACATTTCTCTCCTTCTCTTCTTTGGATGCTTCAATGAAAGACGTTCATTCATTCCACATGTTTCAAGCATTTGTGTAGTAGGATAGAATGCTCTTACTCTTGACGATCATTGGTTTTCTTACGATATCATCATGCTGGTCGGAGATCTTTTCCAATAATCATCCAAAAAATCTTTCACAAGCGATTATCGTCGGTGTTAAAAAGTGTGGTACACGAGCTTTATTAAAATTTCTCTCGATCCATCCAGCCATTGCTGTCGCTTCGACTGAATTACACTTTTTCGATTCTTACACTAACTTTCAACACGGTTTACAATGGTATCGGTATGTAAAGATTCTCATATTATCAAATGAACATCGTCAACAACGCAGAAGAGATTACCCTATCATGTTCTCGGCAGGAGGTTAATAAGGAAATTGATCAAAGAAGAAAAATTCTACGCGTCATTTCATTCGTGTTTACGATTTTATCATCATCACAGTATGATGTCTAATATATCTTGTTTTTCAGAGCACAAATTCCGATCAATCGATCCTCTCAACATATAATTATCGAAAAAACTCCGTCTTATTTCATTAATAAATCGACGCCGTTACGTATCGCGCGATTATTACCTGACGCGCAGTTAATTATCATAATTCGAGATCCGATTACCCGTGCAATTAGTGATTATGTTCAATTAAGAAATCGCCATCGCTTTTATCCCAGTTTTGACGATTGGATATCCTCGTCGAACTTCACTCAACGAACACCGGTGAAAATCGGTTGCTATGCGCAGTACCTTCGTCGATGGTTAAAATATTTCCCGCGTAATCAGATGCACTTTGTCGACGGAGAAAATCTCATTCATCGTCCATGGGAAGAACTTGAACATGTACAAACATTTTTGAATCTACCTGTTCGCATTCATCGAGAAGACTTCTATTTCAATCCGAACAAATACGGATTTCCATGTCTTCGACAAACAAATGGTTGTCTGGGTTTAAACAAGGGTCGACGACATCCTGTCATCGCAAATCAAACTCGAAACAAATTGAACGACTTCTATTTGACTTGTAACGCCGAATTGAAACGACTTGCACAGATCGACTTTTCTTGGATTTAGTCAGCAAAGGTGTGAAAATAAAAGGGACAGCCTACTCGTACCATCTGCGACTATCTATTTGTCATTAACAGCGGGTTGTCTCTTGCTCTTAGTAGCTCGCTTTAATTGAGAGTGTACACATGTCGATAGTCAAAGGAAATGTCTGCACGCGTGATGAGCTTAAGACATCGCATTTGTTCAACGCCCTCGAGCTACTTTTCCTAAAGCATTTGTTTGTTCAATCTGCATTGGAGTTGGCATGGCAAACGTAAGTTAACGAACGAAGATCTAACGTTTAATCGTCGTTCCTTTTTTCTAGATAATTAAAAAAAAGGCGAAACACATTATAATCAACGCTATTTTTGATATACAGAGAAAAAAAAACGAAGAAAACCAAATAATCAGAATAGGATAAAACTACAGTAATATATATGTATACCACCGGGATCAAACAACAAAAACAATGAGAGGAGTTGTATGCTGCTGAGAAATGTATAAATATATGTCTATCAACACACTTGATATGAACGAATAAGAAGAACACGAAAGCTAGTAAACTAGATATGTACACAATAAAAGAACGAGGCAATGCTACGCTAACACTCATCATCTGATGACGAAGAAGAGGATAAAATAAGTCGTCGTCGTTTACGTTTGACTTCTTGTTTCGTCTGTTGATTCAATCGTTTTGCCGCCATGGTAGTGTATGAAGATTGGCGGTTCGAATCAAGTTCGCATTCAGTTTCACATGGTGTCGGTGGTGGTGAAGGAGGTTGAATGTCAACCGAAAACTCGTTTCGTTTCATTTGACGGATTTCGTTTTGAATTTTGACATGATATAAAAGGACGCGTTTACGACCCAGATATTTACATGTATAAACTGTACCATCAGTCCATTTTATACGAACATCGCAACCAATTAGAAGTTTCGAAGGATCAGAGTCGAGAATATCTTCCGCAAGCCTAGTATTAGAAAAAAAGGAGATTTCTTCTAAAGGAAAAAATCAATCTAGATACTCACATGTCGTGGCTAAATGTATCATCTCCGAAATCTACGGAATAATGATAACTGATTTCATTTTTTATCAGTTGTCCAATTTTTTGCTCTTTCGAATCATGAATTAGTACACGGGTACCATTCGGTACACGTTTACTTTCCTCAACGATCATATCATCGTTTTCATCATCGTTGGCTAGTTGTTCTTCATCAGTTAGGCTATCACAATACGCTTTGGTTTTATTATCAATCTCGTCGATGGTAGACGATCGACTATTGGCATTCGATAATGATGGACTTGATATAACTGTCATAGGGATTGCATGCAAATGACACTGCGCTTCCACGGTCGAATGTTCTTGATTCATTTGAAATGTACATCCAGCAATCAATCCACAAGTCATATGAAACGAATTTGGACATTTATCATAATTGCAAGTGGTGAAGTTATGAGTTGAAATACGTCGATAATTTAAGGGACAGAATGACCAACAGTAATGGCAAGAGTTCGATTGGCATGGCGAGGATGGTTGATACGATTCATAGATGGAACAAACAGCGTGAATAAACGTTGATGATCCATGAGATTGAAGAAGCAGACCACCACGGAGTAGGCAAGCGGAACATCGATCATCGATTGTGTCGGCAGGGAGCTAAAATCATCAATTGAATTTTCCAAGTATCACTAATGAGGTGAATGTCTTACCTGAAATTTCACTGAACATCGTTGACATAACCATGGTTCATACTCATTATTGATATCTGCATTGAGCGCGAGACATAGATTTTCATAACAAACTCGATGTACGCTTATATGACACATGGAACATTGTAGTAATTCATTCGAGGTATCTTGATGATTACTATCGCAGATCTCTGATAATAATAAAGAGCGAACTGCTGATGGACCTGAGGAGTTATTTGCAAGAGTTTTATTAGGAGTGAAAAAAGAACAAATTGAACAAGAAGATGATTGATTGGCTAACCATTGATTAAACTTTTCTTCCATTGTCGAGTTTACGATTTGATAATTCCAAAGACCATCAAGAATGTTCTCTCGATATTTACCTGATCGTTTGAGACCATTGAAAAATATTGGAGAATACGACGAATAATGTCGTTTAAAGATAAGTTTTGCTGTTAAACATAATAACTTCATCGAATTTTTCTCTCGATTCTTCTCCATTTTGAATTGTGCTCGACAAAGTGCTGCTCGAACGAGCGAATTCGGACATTCTGATTTCATTATCTGCTTCTGTTTATCAAACTTCGCTAAATTGCGAAATATACATGCATATCGTTCTTCAGATATATGCTCATGATGTTGATGCTGTTGTCGTACTCGTTCAAATGTCGACGACGATTCCAAACAACCTACAAAAACAACTTCGACGACTCTGATTGACAGACAAGCATTCCAATTACTTTTACTGGAATTCGAATTGATCGATAATCGTTTTTTCCCCAAAAGATTGTTCGACTTCGCTAGATATCTATCTTCAGGATGTGGGGTTAAGTTAATTCCTCGACACCAATCTTCGTAGAACTCCGGCTGATATTTGCACACAAATCGATCCATACTGATCTGTACCATATCTGCACGACACGTACATCTTATCGAATGCTTGCCGTATTCAATCCAACGTTCGAGAGCAAAATTGGTTGATTCCGCACAATTGAAACCGTAATTAAACCCTGCATGGTAACTGTAAGGAAATGTGATCATGAATTCATTTTCGAATTGTGTTATTTTAGCGTATGGGATTGATTGTTTTGTAAGCATAGTAGGCGAAACAATAGTCATTTTATGTCGAAGAAATGCAGGACATCGTCGTGCCAACGAAGGGAAACGAGAAGCAGCAAATTGTTCGAATTTTCTTCCATATGATGGCGGAATAACATACCTAAATAAACATGTTCAATTGTACTTGTGTACATTCACGAAAAACAGAAACAAAACTGTTATGCAAAAGAATACACTGTCTTACTGATTTATTCTATGTATTTCTTTCTAAATATTATATCGAGTGATGTAAATATGCATGAACAAGACAGAAGATTCATTCATATGTTTACCATTGTTTCGGTGCTCCAAAATGAAGATAGTTGATTGAATAGAGATCCATATCTTCTGTATGCCAGGCAAAACTTGCTTTCCACATGCCGAAATATAAATAAGCTGTGTTTACTCCTTGGATTTTAGTACCATATTCTGTTGCGAGATCATCGAGAATCGTGCCAAGATTATTCACATTCCAAGCCGTTTGATCTTCGTCATATAGTGAGCCACTAACATCTAAACAAGAAACAAAACAAGACTTCTCCGGTCATATTTCGTAGTTATAGATATATACCAGCGCCGTATATAGGTGCATTCGAAGTTAAACTTTGCCAGTATTTCTTCTCTAATTTTTCCAGATCATCTGCGATTGCTTTGGGTGCAGCGTATCGACTCGATGCTGCTAGTCGTTGAAATGAACTTAATTTGATTGAACGTTGTTGAATATTGAATACCGAATAGACACCATCTTTCCCGTGAACTTCTTGTTTGATTGGATTTTCCACCATTCGATCATCGATTTGCTTTTGCTTGTAACCCGTTCGACGTGCGACCCATTCTTTCGGTGGAACAATTTTCGCTAGGCCAATTCTATGTGCATTACGGGCTTCAATTGAAGAGATAAACGTAGAAAAATCTTGAAATTCTTCAAGAGTCGGATAAAAGACTGGCACTTCCATAGGCGAAGATACCATCATTATCTGTAAAAGATAATAAAATTCAAATAAATGTGTATATCAGCACTTTTACTGTTAATAAATATTCGAGAAAAAGAAGATGCTTATAAAACACGAAAAAAAAATACACGCGGAACACCGAGATTTAAAATTTCGTTTGATCACAGGCATGATTAAAATTTTGGGCGTGTTGTAGTTTGGTATGCTGAGTACGACACTCTCGACCGTAATAACAGTTATTACGATTACGCATTAGTGCAGGAGTGATATCGTCTTGTTTCATATGCACACGAAATTGATAAGCCAAGTCTTTGAACATTTTCAAACCACATTTATAACAGGTTATCTTTGAGGACGGAACTAAGGCATAGAAAACACTTATTGTAGATGAGATCGCCGAGGATGACGTGTCTTACTAGCAGCATTACGATCGATACCGCGACAAGTGAATTCACCTCGATCGAGACGATCACAGCATTCAACAAGTAGATCACGCATTGTTTTTCGATTTGTTGTTAGGTAATCCTAGCGAAGAATGAATATGTAATCGATTCTATTCGAGTAGGTCAATTTACTTGAACAATTTGTGATTCGACCGGATTTTCAATGATAAGATTAGTAAGGTGACGAGGAGAAAAATTGAAATCTACGCAAGAAGTCTTCATCTTCGATACGCAGAAAGAGAACAATACTACCTCTCAATCGATTTAAACAACCAAGACATCCATTTCGTTGACATTGTTGAAAATAAATATTACAAAAGAATTGATGACACACTTCACCTATTTCAAATAGAATGAAAGCATATTGAAAGAAAATTTGTAGAGAAACTACGAACAATGTTGATGTATATCAGCTTCATCTCGTCGATCTGGCATTGGTAGAAGACAACACTGGCAAAGAATATGATTTTGGTTTGGTGGACATTGAAAACCAGGCGTTGCTGCGTACGCTAAGCATAGAACTATAAAAGTCGATATAATTGCGTAATAGACGTACCTATGACACCTTGAGGACATTGTCGGCAAGCAAACCTTACATTAGCAACAGGGGGAGGAAGTGGTGGCGGAACAAACACGGGAGCACTATACAGAGATATTTATGAGTTGTATTTTTTATATGAACGTATAGCTTACAATACAGGATAATGATTTCCATTATCATCATCATCATCGTCGTCGTCAGCGTCGTCCTCGTCTTCCACCTATAGTATTTCATCAAAATGTCTTATTTTCTTCAATGCAGAAAGTTTACTTCATCTTCTTCATTATCTTCATCCTCATCTTCATCGTCACCGCCGTCATCATATTGAGTGTTATATAAATACATACCATCAGGACCGACCTATATTAACAAACGAATGTATGCGGATCTATTCGAAATATGTTGTCAAAAACAAACCTCATGTTTATCATTTTTTAACCTTTTCGCTTTCTCAGTATCTTCATCTGGTTCTTTTGGTGCTGGTCGTTTGTTAGGATGTGCTTTCAGATAAGCGTCCAAGATTCCATTGATAACAAAATTTTTCTTCTTGCCGGTCACTTTAACGCGACACTTCGGACTAAATGAAACGTCTTGAATGTCTTGCAAAGACTCTCCATCAAACTATATACCATGTACGTTGCACTGCTTCCCATGATTCATAACAATCACTACAGAATGCATGAAGACACGGTTCGAGACTAACTGGATTTGTCATAATATCTTGGCAGCACACACATGTTAGAACGTCTTCCATGTCGTCACCAGCGTCCATAGCGAATTCTTGTTTTGGTTCTTTTTTTGTTGTCGTCGGCTTCATTTCAACATCTGAACTCGTATTTAATAGAATCGATAGATCAGTATTTTCTTGTGTAACTACATTTCAAAATAAGTTCTTACAAAATAAAGATTCATAATCACTTACGATTAGGAGATATTGGAGGGATTGATGGGTACGACATCATTTGCGTATCTAAGAAAGTGAAAGATACTCTAATGGAATTCAAGATCAACTATCTTCTTCGTACCTTCATCATGCAGACATAATTCTTTATCTGTCTGTTCCTCTATTGCATTTATGACTAGTAAATCGACTTGAAAGGCAACATCTATGAAATGCAGATCGTTTAATTGAGAATAGTAGTTGATTTCAAAATGTGCCGACTAACTTGATTCTATATCATCTTTTCGGAACACTAGATGAACAGTATCATTCGTGTGAAGTTCTACACGCTAAATATCGACAAATCTTCAGTTATTTTCTTTCTAGAACATCTTCACTTACAGGATCACTTTTTGTTACTTTAGTCGATCGATTAATTAATGTTCCATTCGAACTCGTATCGCGTAGATACAGATGACCATGATCATATTCAAAAACACAGTGCGAAGACGAAACATATCGATTATTTGCAATAGATAAATCATTCGCTAGAAGGAAAAAAAAATACTCGAATTACTTTCATCTTTATCAGTCATTGATCAATTCTATCTTTCATATTGAGCTTTTATTTACTTTCAGCACGACCAATCTTAAATTGATCTTTGTATACTGATATGATATTGTGATTGTTCAGATTTTTCAAGCGATACAGTACAGATATATCTATTGACGGCATCTGAAACAAGATATCATTGGTAGTGAGTCGACCTTCGAGTGTAGTGATGCACTTGCGGTCAAGATAATCTACATGATGTTTTCTATTCTCGCTCTTGTCTATGGTTAGATGTCATCAGATCGCTTCTTACCTCGCTGTAGACTGAGTAAGAAAGGAAAAGAAGAAAAGGATCATATAAGAAAAGCAAAAGAAATAACAACATACCGGCGCAATAACAAAATAAACAATGCCATTCGATTGACGTAATCAATGGACCAATCACATACATCTTGAGAAATTTCACCGCAAATGCGTTATTACATTCATATCTATAAAAAGTTTCAAGTATGAAATGGGAGTATTTTATTGAATTCGATGAGAGACATCTATATTCGTTCGAATAGGTTTGTTTAACTAACCAATAGAAAACACAAAACGATACATATATACATGCGCGTACTGATTGAAAGAATCTGGAATAAACTATGGCGCAGATCTCGGTAGATTTCATGCCTTTAAGGACAGGGAAATGTTTTAGACCAATAAGTCTGATATGATCATATTTTGAACAGTATCTTCTTCTGGTAGATATTCTAAAAACGATGGGTGGTGCGATTCATCGCGGCACACGCTTTTTGCGTATGTACAACATCGATAATCGAGTGGATCGAGTGCTTGCAAAAGAAAAGCCAGCACCTGCTCCACGACACCCAACTGAACAACAAATTTTACAATCGTCCAATGCGGAAAGCAAGTGAATCTCTCCTTTATTTTTTCTTTTCGTCGGTAGTCAAATCTCCGTCTTTCAGATAATATTGTATCTGAGGTTGTCCATAAAAAAAATGAACAATTATTAGAGCATTTACACGATGTTAAAGTTTACTCTTCCGGAGATAATCCAGTTATACGCCGTGTGAACGACGCAAGTAGCCATTCATCGATACCACCATTATTGAATCGTGTTGAAGAACCAATCGATGAAAACAGTGCTGATAGCGCATTTGGTTATATCGAACCTCAACGTATTCATCCCGGTCGAGTATCATTACGTCAGTTTCTTGCATACCTTCAAAATCATCGTGATTCGCCGCAAGAATATTCTATCGAACGTTTCACTGAAATGTATACAATTAAACCTGAAATAGCACAACAACTGTTCAAATATCATAGCTTATTGGCTTTGCAAGAAGTTGCTCGTCAGCAGAGTAGATCTCCCGTTCGACCGCCTCATGTTGCTGCAGCCGAAGTTTTCGGCATTGAAGCTGAATCACGTAGAAAGCCCGGCCCTGAAACAGGCATTTCTTCGAAATTTTGATATTTTCTTTTGTTTTCCGTTGTGTATTGTTTTTTCTTTATAGAAATATAAAACAGATTAGTATTTTTTAAATCGAACGTATAAAAAAAAGGAAATAGACAGTACGTGTTAGCCGAATTCTGATGGTGGGTAACGTCCTTGCACTTGTTTGATTGCATTTCTCCATTTTTTGTAGGTCACATTACTCATTTGCCATGCAGCCTGATGTTCTTTTCGCCCATGTTCATCTCGCACGACATAGGTTATAACCATATGAGGATACTCTGCACGATAGCGTTTGTTAAAATCTATAAAAGGCACAAATCCTGTTAGAGCGTTGCTTAACACAGTGTGGTGGATTTCGTTTTACATGATTTCTGTTGTATATCGATAATTGCTAAAACTGGTACACGCAGTACACCTTGATCACAACAACAGGTGCATCCGCTTTTTCTTACTTGAGAATACAGACAATCTTCAGTTAAAGCCATTTCTGCATGACCTAGAACCTACAGAATGAAAGAGCACACACGAGTTAAGCAGTAAGTCATCGATTTGAGAAAGAAAAACTAGACGAACTTGGAAACGACCCCGCTCGGTACTTCCACTGAATTCAATGTAGGCATTCTGTGACCGCAACACAGTTGGTTGAATGATGCTAAAATCTATGAATTCTCGCGAAGAAAAACAACCCATTTTGAAGCATGAATAAATCGTAGATCAATTGACTGAAGAAGTCACTAGCGTAACGCGTATGAATCATTTATCGAAGGATCACAAACGAGATTAAGCAGATGGCGATGGTGAATGATCTGAATTATATAACATGCAACGATACGCAATTGTTAATGGGGTCGAATTGAAAGCATGACTTCGCGTGTAAAGGCGTATGCGTTTGTTTGCTGTATTATTTAATGACAACTTAAAACGACGCGATGCTTTTATTTGAATATTCTAAGAAACGAAACACCTAAAAGCTGCTGTGAATAAAATTAAATTTCAAAGTGAAATTAGGGATATTTATTCTTTAAATGAAACTACAGAATTTAGTTCGAACAAAACGTGCCATGAGAAAGCGCAATTGTATATATGTATCTGTGTTAAATTGGCAGATGTCAGATTATGAGAAAAATTACCACATAACGCTACATTCATGCTTTAAGCCTGAAGGAAAGCATTAACTATTAAATGTAAAGAATAGCAGATTTATTGACGCTTAAAGTACACATTTAAGTAAAGAACCTGCGAGTGTTTTTGTCCTCTTTAGATTTATCTTCGTAGACGTATGAAAGTGCTCATTTAATAGTATCACGCATTTGAAATTATAAGGGGATGTAACAACTGTGTGATTCAAATGAACGTCAGAAGCTCGAGGCCTGAAGAAGATAGACTATCTTTGTGTAACATTCATTTCGACATTTTTTAGATTCTTTGAATAATTAATCAACGAATGAATGCTGAGAGAAGAACAACGAGCTCATCTGAAATAGTTCACAAGATTACTTCGCAAGTTACTTTTTCTTTTATCTATTTGAAAGCGGAATATCGGGCATCATGTTTTTACGCGAGTATATAGGATACTTTACTCCGATTTCCTAACAGGATGTCACATTTCACCATATAAATTCACTTCCATAAATAACTCCATAGTCCAAGAAGTAAGGGTTGACTTTTCCTTCGCTTCCTTCACGGTTTTTGACTAAAAAAACAGACATATGTTGATATTCATAATTTCACTCAAGAGAAACTCAACGTCAGCTCTTTGCATCTTTTTAGCTTCGCGGACAAGCTTGAGCATATTTATATTGAAATACATCACACACAATGTGTTCGCTTGACTTTTTTTCTATGAATAATTAATTAAAAAGAACAAAACACTATTTTATAGGAAAGTGAACTAGAATAGAACACGAAACATTATCATATTCTTACCAAGAACTTTAACAAGAAAATCCTACTAAGGCAATGAATATGTGGATGTTGACGAATATTCTGCTAAATATTGTAACATTAATCAATTGCATCTTAACAATTTTCATTTGTTTCTTTATTCTTTTATTAATTGTATTCTTTCATCGAAAATCTCGCTCTGTTCCGCTGTTACTCGCTGCTCATACATGTTCGACATTATTGATATCCGGGCTGATGTTAGCAAGTATGGCAAACGCAAGTTTACTCGGATTTCTGGGTATTTCACTAGAAGAGCATCAACCAACAATTTGGTGCCGCTGGCGTGGCTTTTTTATCCATGGTTTTCTCTGTGCGCTTTATGATTCGTACATTTTACAAGCTGCGTATCGTCTTTGTCGAGTTGTGTTTTACCGTCGTAAACATTTACATAGTTTCCCCTTGTATCTACTTCTTGTACCTATTGAATCGATCTTTGGTATTGTATGTATATCACCTGTCCTTGTGCGTAATGATGTTATTTATCTTTCAAGTGAATTCTATTGTCAAACGCCGTTTACGAATATCCCGGCGATTGGCTATGTTGCCATTCGATTGTTTTTTCTCCCACTTCTATTCATCGCTTCATTTTATATATTTCTACTCAGACATATTCGAAACATGACGTCATCGCCAGCAATGACCGGATATTATCGACGGCGTGCGAAACAAAATACTCGCGACTTGATTGTTATTCGACGATTGTTGTTAATGTTAGGCGTGTTAATTCTTCTTGGTTTACCATCGATGGTTTTCTTAGGTATTTTTCTATTTACAGGGCATCTCGTTCCTGTTACATATCGAATCGGATGGCTATCTGTTTCTATATCGCTTGTTTTTCTTGCTTATATGATCATTCAATTGACAAATCCACTACGAAAAACCGTCCGACGAATCTTTCAACGAAGTCCTGCTAGTCCAAATCGCAGTAAATCATCTCGAGAACATCAACAGCAAGCGAGTAGTGTGTAAGGTTCCTGGTTTCCATCAACCGCTATTTCGCCAACCGTAGCTGGATATGAATTCACCCCGTGAAAGAGTCAGTGACTTGTTGTTGCTGTTATGCGAACGATGACTCTGAGCAGATTAAGTTTGAAAAGTGCACAGAGTTTCAACATGTGTTGTATAATATTTTCTTCATGACAAGATGTTCATCTGCTTTATTTTAATTTCTATAAACATATGTCATGACATGAGGCATAAAAAATTCATTGTTCTTATTAGACCCATTTTACACTGCACTCGAAGCGCAATTTTCCTTCGAATTTGTCGAACACTTTGTCAGAGAATTGCGTAAATCCTGATTTTAAAATTAGACAACTTTGCACTAAAAAACTACGAGCAGCATTTTATTAATAAACGATTATTAATCATAATCTTTGCGCCCATGAACGATACTGATGGCAACACCTGTAGGTATCAACTGCTTAATTGATGCTGTTTCCAGCAGGAGAACGAAAAAGTGCAGTCACTTTAATATGACATTACTACATTTTGGTACAAAACATCGTTTATTGAAACGAACTTGATTTAATAGAATATGTTTCTTCTTTTATCTTTGCAGGGGGAACTTCCTGACATTGTCGATCTGTGTGTATGCCGAAAATCGATCTTCGTCATCCGACAGAAAACTGATTCATTAATGTGCAAGGAAAAGCCTCTTAATGGAACAGAAATCTGAAAAGCGGAAAGACATGTTTCTAGAGAGTATAGACGAACAGGAAAACAAAATTGAAAGCATTTTACTAAATGTTACATACATATTTTTGTATTTTCTGTACGCTTAGAAAGAACCATCGATATGCACAATAAAAGCATTGCGTGTGTGCATCCTCCCTCTCAGTTTCTTTTCTTTTTTTTGATAATTAATGATAACATGATTCAATCGAATGACATCGTTAGACCATCAACATGGTTATCATTCGATGCGCTCTTTACTCATTGCAGTAATAGTTTGTAAATGCATGTGAAAAGAGAAGAAAAAAGACGAAAGAATAATTACATATTGACTCATTCCATCAATATTGTTCGAAATAGCAAAATATCCTCTCATAGATATCAAGAAAGACGTCATCATTCCACATATAATTGAAGGAAAAAAAAACAAAAAAAAACGTCTTTTTTTCGTCAATCTTTTCCCTCATATTGCATATGATTTGCTGTCAGCAGTCGGAGTAAATTATCAACTTTGCTTGACGTACTGATGTCGAATAAAACGAAAAAAAGGAAAGAAAAATGTCTAAGGACATAGAGAACAGAATAGAAAAACACTTATTTTAACTTTCATTTGTAACCTTCAGTAATAAAAAAAAGACTGATTTAAACTTTCTTTTGCTTTCTGGTGCAGAAATGAAGTACAAACAATGTAAGTAATGTCGCCAATATGATTGATCAATCGAGTTAATTTCTTTCTTAGTATGTCCCAAATTCTTGCGACCAAACCCATTGCTGCACAAAAGACACCAACGTTGTTCCTTATGCGATAGACTATTGAAAACTCAACGTTACATGACAGTCGGTAAATCAGTCCATGAATCGTTCGCTATCAAGAATGAGAAAGCGATTACCTACGCCGAATGTTGTCGACAGTATTTAAAAGAATCTTCTCTTGTGGATAAGTTACATATGATTTGTCTGAAATGTTGTAATAATTTACAACGGGTACATTCATTGCATACGGATGCAGAAGATTTAACTGAAAAACTACGGCAGACTTGTTCGAAAACGAAACGTTTACATCGCATTCGACATTCATCAGCGAAAAGCGAAACAGATATAAAAATTAAGATCGAATCGTCTCCGGTGGATCACGTCAAAGATTTACCGATTCCAACATCAGCGATTATTCCAAGTATCAATTCAGCTTTCATTCCTCCACAAATCTTTTCACACGAACATCAATGTAATCAACCGTATCTCTATCCACACAAGATAACGAATCCATCAACTGTATGCATCACTACACTTTTGCATAACTATCACGAATATTCACTGATCTTCTCTTAGATTCCATTCGCGCAATTCCTTATTGATTCTCCAATAGCCACCAATCTCTCTCATCGTGATAAACAACGAACTCTTTCCAACTGTGAACAAACACCGCTAGGTTTGTATTCAAAATGCGCGCAGTCCACTAAAGAGAGTATTCTTCTCCATGAGATTAAATCACGAAAGAAACCTTTTCGATAATTTCTTTGCGACATATGTTTCGCATCGCAATTCCTCGTCTTTTCAGAAGCATAGTTTTAATATTCATCACAGTCATATGCTGCTACAGAGTCGTCATATCTTTACCAAGAAAACATGAATGTTCTAATTCGACTATGGAAAAACATACTCCACAAACAGTTTGTTCAGATTCGACTACGAACGAGTATATTCGTGCATAGTTTTACACTATTTCCATAATAAATACAGCGAAGAAGAACTTTGCTACAAGCGATAAGTAATCGATAGTATTAATTGGGTTATTTCCATCTAGATGATGATCATTCTCTTTCGTCATATCCCAACGAGGATGAAAGCAATAGTAAAAATACTCGTCTGTCTCGTCGACAATATGATTTTCTTATTGAATTACCTGATCAACAGTCGTTAAATTCATTTATCGAAACATCAGCATCCGAATCCGGCTCACGATGGACATGGCGCCGAACATCATCGAATTCTCGCGGCTACAAAGTTTACTATGTATGTAATTTTTCTATGCGTCGACACTATCATCCGTGTCCAGCGGCCATGTACGCCTTATTCAATCCCGCTGGTTCAATATCCGTATATTCATATGGTCAACATCGGCACATTCCGAAAAATCATCTGCCATTGATAATCTCAGATCAAACTAAAGATGAAATATTCAAATGCTTACAAACAGATATGTCCGCAACGAGTATTCGTGAACATTTAATTCGCTTGAAGTTACCATTCGGTGATACAAAGAAATTGAATAATTTCATAAAATATCATCGAGAGTTGTTACGGTTCGGGGCAGTAACGAATGTTCGAGTCAATGGAACCGCTTATCGACAGCCTCAATATTGGGCTATTCGACGATCATCGCCAGTCAATACGAACACGACAATATTGTAGACAGTTTTCTTTGAATTCAAATCAATTTGAGCATGGTGTTTTTGATTTTTTTCTCTCTTTACAATTCTATTATGATAACCAAATAAAGATTTATTACTAATTTATTGAAAGATTTACTCGAAATTATGATCATGTTCTTGTTCATCATGAGATAAGCTGGCGCATGGAACAAACATAAAGCGACAGATTGTTATTTTCTAGTATTTATATCAGCTTTTGTTTGCATATATATATATATGTATATAATCTTGCGTGACAAAATCCTAATCTAATAGGGATGAAGAATAATTAACAGAGCACTTTGTAATATGTGCCGAGGAGTTTTTCCTTAATGTCCATGATGCGTTCTATTTCGTTTTGTTGCATCGGTTTTTTTTGTGCTTTTCTATCGATTTCTTTTCTCATTGTCAGAGGGAATATGAGATCGCGATCTCTTATCATTTTGTTCAATGAAAAGGGACTTTAGTGAAGAGGAAAAATGTCCTTTAAGCGACGCGAGCATACAAATGCAAACGTCTGAACATTTATTTTCTTTGCATGTTATTTCTTGGCGTTGCTTGATCGGAATGCTCAATAAAGGCGAACGAGCCTGAGTGTCGAATAAAATTGAGTTGCTTCCAGTAATGAGAATGTATGTGTTCGCACGATTTCCTAACAGCTTTTCCTCTTCTCTCTTGATTGATTTAATACGAGCATATATATATATATACGTATGTATGCATGAATCTCGAAAACTCTTCTTCTAGATGTTTTTCGCTTTCGTGTTTATTTCATAATGTGTTCGCATGCATTCGCAGTATTGGATATTTTCTATTATGATTGTTTTTCTCAATGCCAATGAAGACAACAAACCAATTACGTTACACATTGGCGGTTTGTTCGACCATGAAAATCCATTGATGAATCATGGTCAAAAGGATCTCTATGCTGCTCAGATGGCTATTAAAGAAATTAATTCGCGTTCCGATGAACTGTTCAATGATCGTTATGTCTTCGAATTAGCATCAAACAATTCGAAAGTCTCTTGAACGAGAAGACGGATTGAGATGAGAGAAAATGAGTGTCGTGTTTTTGTTTTAGTGCGATCCAGTCTATGCTGTCGATGCCTTCTTTCATGCGATCTTTCGTGGCCGTCAGTTGTTATTCCTCATCGGAACATCGTGTTCGTCTGAAACAAAAGCTGTCGTTCAAGTTGCCGATTATTACAATCTTATTCTTGTGAGTAGTATCTTTGAAATTGATTGACAAACATCCGATGGATTCGAGAACGGAAATGAATTCATTTATCTAATCTAGTTTTCCCATTCGACTTCATTTATTTCTCAAGCAAATCAAACATATTCCACACTTGTACGTCTTTCTGTTTCGGATGAAAATTATAATGACGCACGTGTTGCATTCATTCAAGCTAATAATTGGTCTCGAGTAGCGATTATCCATCAAGATTCAATCGAACATTCTCTTGTAATAAATCGCGCGTTTCCACACTGGATCTTTATTGAATCTGCTTTGTTCATTCGAAGATGATGGCTAAATTAGCGAAACGTTTGAACGAATCGAATATCGAAGTCATTCTGACACAAAGTGCTTCAACAGCTAATCTCACGTCAGCACTTATAACTCTTCAAGTAGACAGATCGTTGACAATCGAGACTTGTCGAGGTTTGGTTTGTTTCGTTCCTAGGAAAAGAAAGCTCGAATTGTTTTCGTCAACTTCGACGTTTCGGCAAGGACGATTTTCTTCTGTGAAGTCTACCGAACATTTACGAAACAGTTACGCGAACGTCATGTGTGGATCTTGACTGGCAATGACTATCATTTATGGAATTTTTCGATCAATAGTTGTTCACAGAAGGAAATTATCGATGCAGCTCGTAGCCACATCATTGTTGATAGTTCATATGAAACAAAACCGAGTTCTATTAATCCAAAGATGGTTAGTTAATTATCGCGAGAGAAAAACATAGAAATCAAATCGAGTTTGATTGTTTAGACACCGGAACAATTAGCAGAACATGTGCAATTGAATACGCATCTGGATCGACAAACTCTACATGCGTATGATGCGGTCTGGGTGATTGCATTATTGATCCGAATGTCAATTGAACGAAAGTAAAGAGCAGGATTCAACGAGTTTCGATTCAGTTCTTCAATTCATTTTAGCATCTCGATTGAAAGTTTTACATATGAAAGAACGGATATGAGAGATCAATGGTTGGGATTATTAGAAGAAATCTATTTCATAGGAGTTTCTGTAAGTTGATGATTACCAGGATGAATGAAAGCGACGAGATTGTTTTTAGGGTCCGGTATCATTTCGAAATCACCATCGACGCGCTGAAACACTCATTAGTCAATTTCAAACTGATTCCATAGGACAATACATTGACACGATTGCCGAATATTCTCTGGAGACAGGTTTAAATACCAATTGCTCGATGTGTCGACCATTAATTTGGCCAGGTAGAAGTTGACGAAATGATACCGAACTGCAAAAGCACAATCATTTCGTTTAGGCTCGACTCCGGTTGATCGTCAACGCGCTGAAATCCGTCGACTTATCATGAGCGGAGTGGAAATTGCGCTAATAACAACTAGCTGTATACTAGGCCTTGCATTGGCAATCTTCTTCTTGACATTTAATATTATCAATCGCCATCAACGGTAATAAAATAAAAGGAAAACGGAGATTAGTACTTCGAGTACAGATTGACTCGATTGTTTTGGATCCACCAGCTCTAAAGATTAGACTAAATAGAATTTCGCGTCTTTTCCTCAACGGAGAGAAAGAAGAACGACACTTTTTGCATCCATTGAGCATCTATTAGAATGAGATTAGTGTTTCTAATTATTGAACTTGACATTTTCATGTCAGCGAATCGAATATGACCATCGAAAGCTTGCTGCAAAATTGAAATTAATTTGTTTTCTTAAGTTATATCAAATTATCCAGTCCAAAATTAAATAACATGATGGTTTTGGGTGCCATACATATTCATATATCGATTCTTCTCTACGCTCTGGATGAATGGTTTCTTGCTCGTCATTTGTTAGGACACGCATGTATAGTAAGCATTCGACTGGTTTGCTTCTCTGCGATCACACTACTTCTATTTTTAGTTACGCGTTTTTCTGTTTTCTGGCGGATTCTCATTACTGTTCGGCTCAATGTTTCTGAAAACGCTACGTGTTCATCGGATATTCACGTCACGTGATCGGCCCATACTTCAATCTAAAGTGAAAAATTCTCTTGCAACTAAAACTATGCTGACAAGCACATGTGCTTTCTCTAGTTGTTGCGAGATCATCATCTCCTTTTGGTGTGTCTATATCTGTACATTGCTGATCTAATATTTGCTGTGTTTTGGCAAACATTTGATCCAAATTCCGCCCAATTCACATACAAAGCGGTGCGTAGAAAAAGAACTTCTTGGAAGAATTTATTTTTTATTGTTTTTTCCCGTTTATTTAGGCGAAAGGAGTCAATATGGATGTCATCGTGTTAAATGAAATCTACTATTGTGATTCGCGCTATCGACATAAAATCATTTCAGTTATTTATTTATACAAGTCGCTATTTCTCGTTCTGGGTGGTTATTTAGCTGCCAAGACACGACATGTGCATATAACTGCTTTGAATGATTCGAAATATATCGTGTGGAGTATTTATATTGTTGTCCTGACGAGTTTATTTTCCGTTATTGTGATGATTTCGATGAAGACTTTACGAACATATGTGGTCATATGTTTAGTGGTGGTGTTGATGACAAGTTCAATCTTATGTTTGATTTTCTTACCTAAAGTAAATCGAAGCAAGATGGTTTATCGTTAGTAAATTTAGTTTGATTTAGATTATTAAACTGAGAAGTCCAGGTCGAGAATCACATGATATTGTTTCGAAAGATTTAGTAGTCGATGTATCTCGAACGAGACGGCTGGTTGTGAAAACAAGTTATTTCGAAAGTTATCGATACGCACAATTACAGAATCGAGAATTGAAAGCAGAATTGGTTCGGGTAAGTTCTATCCGTGATGAGCTCACAGCATTGCTTCTTCTTCTGAAATATAGTTGAACAATATTCTACATGGATTAGAGCAAAAGTTGGACCCATTGGCATCTACTGTGGCTCTGGCGCTTTTTCCACTGGCCGTACGTTTAGCAGCAACATTCTCATGTAAACCAAAGATGCCGTATGCCAACCTTCTAAGCTAACTTCAATCTTTAATGTGATTTTCACTCTAGACCATCTCCCCGTTCAACCGAACATGAGATAAACATAAATCCAGTCACATCTTCACCGGAACATGAGGCTTTACTTCCAAAGGATTCTTTCGAATCCAGTGCTGACGTATTCACTTGCGATCAACTCTTAGCATCCTCACCTTCGTCAGGATCTGAACTAAACCTTTCATCCATAACGCAGACCATAGATGAGACAAGCTCATTACTGTTAAGTGCTTTAGACAATCAGCAATATGTAACAACCGACGATGAAACTAATACCAGTCGATCGTTAACACCAACTCAAATATTTAGTGATAATGAATCGGTGCTTTACTCACGTTTATCAGATGAACTAAATATCTATCCAGCAACATTGGATAGTGATTTAGAACGCATAGATCGATGATAATTGTATTTTTATCTTTCTGAGGATTGACATAAATAAATATCTTCTCATAGAACAGCGACATCCTTCGACGCCGCAGTTGACTCATATTTTCTTTCACCAATCTTTCCATTTCTCTCGAGCAAGCAAGCAAATATGCAAGCACTGATCAATTAATTGTTTCGCAATAACTTTTTAATGACTGATATGACATCATTTTCCTTCAATATATAACCATTGGTCTCGTCTAGATTAGTTCGCATTTGTCCGATTCATTTATAGTACTTATTTATTTCTTCCATGTGTCCTCGACGTGATAAAGTCAACGCGAATACTCGCCCGAATTCATCGAAACGTGAAGAACGTGAAGCTCGTCAACAGGAGAAGAAAGCTCGCGAGAAGAAAACATACTTGAAAAAAGATGAAAACGCTGGAGCATTCAATGCACAACTACGAGCATTCAATCTACAATTGAGAGATATTGTTGGCGATGGAAATTGCTTATTTCGAAGTTGTAAGTTACTATTTCCAATATTTGACTTTTGAAAAAGGAAGAAATCTCGTCTGTGTATAGTTGCTGATCAAATGGATGGTAATCAACATCGACATGCTTATTATCGAGCGAAAATTTGCGAGTATATGCGTGCGAATCGAGAAGATTTCGAACCGTTCATTGTCGATCAACCGTTTGATGCATTCGTTAGTTCACTTTCGAAAGATGGAACATTCGGAGGAAACGAATGTCTTGTCGCGTTTTCTCGTCTTTTCGATGCTAAAATCTGTATACATCAAGTAATGCTTAGCAACAATTTGACGTACCGATGAAAGATAACTTCTATTACTGATTTAGTTGAATCAACCTGTTTGGATTGTATGTTTCTCCGAACCTCCTAAACATGAAATTCACATTTCCTATCATAATTACGAACATTACTCTTCAGTAAGGAAACTAGGCGATTGCACATCGACGTCCGCAAACGTTCGTCAAGCAATGACGACGTGCACTCCGACAGTCTTGAATGATAAGAAGAAAACAACTACAAATGAGAACGGTTATGGTGCGTGTGCATTCGATCCTCCAGAATTGTTTAGCGAACACGATGTCGAATATATTAATGCACAATTAGAAAATCCCGTTGATCTTCAGTTAATTCGCGATATATTAACCGATAATCACGGAGATATTGATGGAACAATCGCTCATTTTATCGCGTTGGACGCATCGCCAGTATCTCTGCCAATTATTTCTCAAGAATCAATTGAAAGAATCATGACGATAACAGGAATTACCGATGTCGAAATGATCGAACAGTCTTATAAACATCATAATCTTGATGTAGAATCGACTGTTGAAGCACTATTGAAGTTGACAACAGATGACACAGCTAATGAAACCATTTCCGAAGAAGATGTGTCGGAAAAAGAAGAAGATGTTAAATCTAAAACTACAGCGAAACAAAAATCCCGACCGGCATCTAGCCGGCAGGTGAAAGCCAACAAGAAAAAAGCGAAGAAACAACGAGCAACTGAAAAGCATCGTGCACAAATCATCGCCACAACAGCCAAAACCGAATCCAAACCGACGGAAAAGAAAGCTGACGTAGTGGCTAATGCCGAACAAGAAAACGTTCCACCAGCTAACATGGAATTTATTAGTATATAAATATTGTGATATAGTTGTTTGCTGAGCTTTATTTTTGTAATAAAATGTCGATGAATGATTTGATTAGCGATATAACTCGATAGCGATTCGATTTGTCGTGACACTTTTCATCGTAGTGTCACGTAAAAGTCAGTGTAATCCATACTCTCGGCATCAAATGAAATCACAATCATTTCATTAATAATGAACTATGCTATACTTCACTATCCACTTGAAAAATAATTATAAACCAATAATTAACCTCGCTACTAACGACAATTCAAGTGCAAACAATTGCTGCGTTTTTCATTCTTTTCACCGACATTGTACTCGTTCCATTAACGTTCATTCTTAGCAATAAAAGTTTTATTTCAATAGTTCAAGGTGAATTCAAATTACTTCTCTTGCGTTCTTCCTCTCCTGCGAGAAAGTTCAATTAATCATGACGGATACTCATTCCAGTCATCGACAATGAACAACAACAAAAAAGAAGGGAAAGAAAAGACATTCATTGCAACAATTGATCATAATCTGTTCTCTTTTTTCATATTCTTTTCATTCATTCTTTACTCGCTCTCAGTTGACCTAGTAAACGTACACCTGTTGCTCGTTCATTGTGACACACATTAGCGCACCCTATCGATGTGTCAAATGTTTACCTGAATGAATAAAGGTAAATGTCATTCATCAATGAAAGTTGACCGATAGTAATTTTACCTGGAGTGAGTCATTCACCGCAGACGAACCGTTTCTTTTACAATATATTTTAACGGTCAAAAGATCGTTTGATTGAATATTTTTTTTTGTGAGAAGAAAAACCCGTACGCTTTTTCTTTTTATCGCGAGTGTGCTCGAGGCCGTTCAACGGTAATGCATGGCGTCGTTGCATCTCGTTATCATTTTCTGTTCATTTGCTCTGTTTCAAACGACTATCTTACCAAATCTTGTTGGCGACGTTCTTTTAACCCGTCTCGAGAGTCCCTATGATGCGCCTGGAGATGCAATTATTCCATTCGGCTCAACCGTTACGGTCGAAAGTGGCACGACTGTGCGATTCCCACGTGGCTCACAGCTTATTGTTCGTGGAACACTTCTAGCCAAGGTAAAATTTGACTGATAGCATATGGTCTGTTCATGTAATTGCTGATTAGGGTACACCTGATCGACGAATTATATTCACTAGTTCAACAAGCGCACTCTATCAGGATCAACAACAGATTCATCGAACATCGGGTGCTAATATACGATTTCGTCTTGTTGACGGGTCAAGTGTGCAGAATGGTCTTCTACAAATGTACTTCAAAAATCGTTGGCGTTACGTGTGCACAGAATTTTATCGGTAAGACGCTTTTTTGAAGAACCCTCGTTTCCGATCATGATTTCTTTTCCACAAAGATGGTTCGATTACGATGCAACATTGACCTGTCGAATGATGGGTTTTCGAAATGGAAGTGTTATACCATATCGTATTAATGGCAGCGAACCGCCTTGGTACGGTTTACAAATTGATCATCCCGCATGTCGACCTTTTGTTGATGAACATGTACTTGACTGCCCTGGAGTTAGTGTACCGCCACGGCTAGGCCTTCATATTTGTGGTAAATATTTCTCTTAGATTTTACAAGGCCAATTCTCCTCTTTAGCTACTAACTTAAATTATATATATATATACGCTCACGATTAACCTTAAGACACATAAGAGATTGTCACATACATTCATTTGTTGATAGACTTGATAAGTGTGTTTATTTTGAAATGAAATCAGTGATGGTGAAGATATGCATGAGAATTCTAGGGCGTCTGATTGATTTTTCTGCAGAAGGACTCGATGATGTAATTTTTCTTTGTCGTGCCTCATCAAAGCGAAATATATTAGATCTGACATAATATCAAATGCTTTGTCCGATTGGAAATTCTTGACTAGATTTCAATAATGCGTTGAGATCTTCTTTGACACGTCAAAAAGCTTTTGAGTTCAAGGTCAGTCCAAGGTTAGCAATCAATCGACATACTTCCAACCATGATGATCAATTCTAAAAAAACATTTTGTGACAAAATCTCTTCTAGCTTTTAATATCTTCTTCTTCTTTTTATCTAATTAATTTAGATCAATTAACTCCGTAAGGATATGCTCATCATGCACTTTTTAATTTCTGCTATGTTTGTTGCTTGCACACTGCTTTGCGTTTTCTTCTTCTGCTTGCTTTCATTGTTGCACGGCTTATTTTGATAAGATTCCTTCGAATTTTCGTCTTCTCTAACATGAACTCATCCATTTAGACGACAAACAGTATGTTCGTCTGCAATGTGATGGCTTTTTTGACCCATTGACTGTTCTCAATTGGGGCGGCATTGTATTCGAACGAAAATTCTCAACGAATAAATTAACTGATATTCCAGAAATATCAGATGCAGCCTCACCGCTGTACAACGACCTCAATCAACGACCATCAATACTGAATTATGTCGATATTCTCCATGCTGGTTTAAGACCAGAACTAACCATTCGATCGTACGCCGAACGCTTTGCCGCACTGACAGTATTCGATAATTTAGTCAATCCATTGTTTGACAATATCACAGTACTTTACTCTGCATCGGATGGAATGAATTTTTCTAATGTTGGTAGCTCGGTCAAACTAAAAAACTCGGTGTCCGCCTATAATCGAGGTATGAAAACGTTCAATCTGTTTTATATGTACACTCTGTCGAGCTTTTCAGGACATGGTATTACTGTGACGAGTCGATATGGTAATGTAACTTTGGATAATGTTCATGTCTATGACAATGGTGGTGATGGTGTTTACTATGCAATGAATAATACAGAATGGTCAGAAAGAGAACAAGAAGAGAGTCCAAAGCGTTTGTACAAGTCGTTTTGTGAAACAGCGAATACAGTCGAATTTCCAAGTTATTTCACGTACCGACCTCCGGCAGCCGGAACGTGTTGTACACAGGTAATGAGTGCTAGTTTGATTTTATTATAATCGATTGTTGTTATATTTAGGCTTTTTCGTCGATGTATAACACGCGTTTAACTGTTCATTTTCAATCCGTGTTTCTTGGTGACTATCGTACACGATATCGAATCGAACTATACAATGGTCTCTTTGACATGATGCCCTTATTAGCCAATGTGACATTCAATCGAACGATAGAAAGTTTATCGTCGTCATCAAATGAATTACTTGTACGTTTATGTCATTCCTGTGATGACGTACGAAGTTTATCATGCTGGAATCAATCTGATCGAATAGAATTGTATGTGGTCAATGATGATGGTTAGTATTCGTTGGGAAAATATGTAGATATCATTCCATTTGACTTCTTTTCTTTTCAGGTCGTGATGCTGACATGCACATTTGGAATAGTCGTATCGTTAATAACTCACTTAATGGTGTTCGAGTGGTGAATTTGCGGAGTCTCATTGAAATTAATCAAACAATAATCAATCATAATCAACGTCACGGCCTGGATATTGATTCAGGAGCCGGTGCTCTGTGGACTTACCATTCGAAATTCAATTCCAATGGTGAAGACGGTATTCATATGATTTACGATGGAGGAGAACGTCGAATCTTTTATTCGGACATCTCGTTCAATCATCAGCATGGTTTATCTGTTCGTCCGGATTCGGCACCGACTGGCTTTTTATTATCATCTCTTACTTTTCCGACATTTGCTTGTCGTCAACTGACGTTTGTTAATGGTTCATCGATACGTTCAAACGGCTTCTACGGCCTGTGGCACCGCGCAACATGTCATCCTTCGTTATTCTACGTCAACGGTTCGCTATTCGAACGATCAGTGTACGATGCCATCCGATTCGATTCTTGTCAACATGAATGGCGTCCGCAAAAAGTGATTGACTATCAATTTCGTAGTCCATTAGTTCCTCTGAATAGCCTGTTACCACCTCCACCTCCACCTAGCATTATTTATCAAGCTCCACTGAATATCTATCCAGATTATCCACCATGGATACCAGTGGCACTGTTATACGCAAATGAGACCGGCAATACAGTGATGAATATAACATGGAATCGATTTTTAAATAACAAACGCGTCGGTTTACGCTTTAATCCGATACAAAATGTTCTGGGCGATATAGCTAACAATTCGTTCATTGGACATGAAAATGGTGCTCTCTTAATTGTAGGAAATCAATCCAATTGGATTGAAGACGTTTATTTACGAAATGTTACATTGAGAATATTGTTCAATAATTTCACAAATAATTTCGGCAAGAATTTCATTGTTTCACTTGATTTGAATGAACTTTCACCTTATCAAACAATCTTATTTATGTACAATCGCTTGATTAATAACAATGTAACATCAAAGATTAGTCAGTTCTTGAATGGACGTTCACGAATGCCTGGTGTTTTAACGATCGGTTCGAGTCATATTCGAATAACCAGAAATGTCTTTGGAAACAATCAAAGTCAGTATGAAATTGTCAGTCAACTAACTAATTCAAGTGCAACGATCAAAGCCGATATGAACTTTTTTACTTCAATCTACCCTCCACCAAGCACCTTAACACGAATACCACTCAGTCCATACGAAAGAAACCAGCATATGCAAAATGCTGTGCATAATTATCGTCTTTATCAACGGCAAGAAATTCCTCTACGACATATGTCACCGATTCATCGTATCCTTCATAATCGGACACGTCGTCAACAGCAGATGGAAGTTCAGCCGGTTCCTCAAATAAGTTACACTTATCTAACGGAACCCTACGATCTCCGCACGGATTTCTTTCCACAAGATTCAGTTTTTCAACGTCCTTATGCGCCACCGCAAACAGTCCAATATTATCCACCTGAAGGTCAACAAGAAATTCTTTCTGTTCCATCAATTAATAAATCGGCTCTTCTCTCGTCGATAAATAACGATTGGTCATACTACGCTTCACCTGCATCACCAACGCCTTATTATTTCTCACTATATTACGATCGTCCAGAACTATGTTTTTCCCAATGGCCGAAAATACGTGAACGGATATTCGATCAGCACAATCGTTCTAATCTCGCCATGATTGTTTGGTATCCGTTTCTGTGTAGTGATCGAAACTTAACAACGGAAATTTGGCGTTGTCAACTACCAAATTGCGGCTTTGAATCGACGAGTTTCCGTATTGATCCTCTTGCATCAACAATTGGTGGAATTATAGATATGGATTACAGTCTTTCGCCAGGTCGCTATATTGTTACTAATGATATTCTAATTAAACCGGATAAACGTTTGTTAATTCAAAGTAGTCAACTAGAATTTCTAAACGGAGTTGGCATGTTCGTGTACGGAGAATTGATGATCCAAGGTGTTGATGGTTCACCAACGCGGTTTGGTTTATATGAAAATAGAACTTCGACAAGTATCTTAGTCAACCAACAAAAACAACAAGAACAGAGTCAACGCAACATTATGTTAATCGATGGTACAAGTATCTACGAAGGTCGATTATTTGTCACTAGTCTAAATGATGGATCGGGTACTGTCTGTAATCACGGTTGGACGAAAGAAAATTCCATGCTTGTTTGTATGTCATTGGGTTTTATTCACGACCCAAATGAATATCTATATCCCATCATCAATCCGAATCAAACAGTTACTAACGATCCGATCATTTGGAGTGAAGTCGATTGTGATCTGTATCAAGATCAAACACTGGAACGATGCCGCAAAGAAACTGTTCATACGTGTGATCATTCTGATGATGTCTGGATTAAATGTTTACCATCGTCATGGGCTGGTGTACATATTTATCCGACATATAGTAAAACTCACATGGAGTTTGTTCAATTCGATTCTGCAGGCCAATTCGATGTTCACAGAGATGAAATTCATGCTGCACTACATATCGATCTTCTTTCTCACCCATCAAATCGCTTGAAAAACTTAACGTTCACTGACAACGTCATTGGTTTGCAAATCAATCATATCCATCCGGCGAACTACGATCATTCGATCATTCGTCATTCGACATTTAACCATAATTATCTAGCTGGTCTTCTACTTCGTTCAAGTTTTTTGAATGTTTCACATTGTACATTTACAAATCATCTACATTCCGGTATGACATTCGACGCGTCTTATCCGTATCACGAACTTGAACAATTACGCATCAATCTTCTCCGACCCCGAACATCCGTTCATACCATCGATTTATTGTATGAACAATCGTATGAACTCGAACGAAACAAATTCGCATTCATCACAACATCATTTGGTGGTTACAATGCCGATGATAATCTTCTCCTGAACACGCTGAACATTCGTACAGATCCTTCGTTTATTTTAGTCATCGATCTCATTGACTACAATCCACTATCGAATTTAAATGAACAAATACTTATCTGCGAAGTTGAATGCTATCAACGAATGGGATTGATGCAAAGTTTATCGTATAAGAAATGGTCATTAGCTAACGATCGAGATTTGTTTCCATTAGTCACTTCATATTCAAGTTTGCAACTACATTATCGTTTGTATAAATATCGTTCCAGTCGTTTAACGTTCATAATCTACAGTATTCCCGCACCGATCTTTACTCAAGGAAAGTTTCTCTCAGATATTTCTATACGATTTCATCGTTGTCTCTTTTCGATGAATCAACATGATATCCTTTCGAATTTGAATGATCGGGAAAAGACAAACAATCAGTATGCGCTGACTAATCAACTAAAAACGGATACCGAACGTTTAATTGAACAATTATTAATGGGTCCACAATTGACAAACGACGATCCATCGTTGGATGTTATCATAGAAGAACATCAGAAGATTCGCGAAGAATTTCGAGACGAAAAACTCGAAGACGAACGATTAAAACGTCGTACTACGATGATCGATGTTAAACGTCGTTATAAAAACTCGACATTACAAATCAATGAATGTCTATTCGAATTGAATCAAAACCGAAGTATCTTAATCAATCACCAGTCGATCAAACATTCAGCGAGAAAAACCGAAGAAAATATTCGTATGCTAATGAACGAAACCATTCAACAAAGAAAACAATTCATACCAATACAATTTACATGTCGAATTCATAAATCAATTTTCATGAACAACAAACAAGGTAAAGTGTTTTTTCAATTGAATCATCATCTACACATCCTCCGCTTTTGTTTCAGTGCTTAATCTCGATGCTCACCCACTAATTTACTCGGATCGATTAGTCCGCTTCGAAATTACTCAAACGAATTTCACGCATAATCATGATCTACTATTAAATTTGACTTTTCCTCGATTGTATCCATTTAATCGCACAAGCTTTGCAAGTCTATCGATATGGCCATATTTTCCCACTCGATCGATTTACACGCGTTCACCATTGATCTACTCGATCCCTTCACATGCTGTTCGAATTTATAAAAACGTTTTTATTGCCAATGAAGATTGTTCCATTCGTTTGACTGGTTTTCATGCATCATTTAATCTTACGCATTCGTTATTTGAAAACAATCTCAATTATCGAACATCGCTAGTTGATCTTCGGCACACAGAAAAAGATTTTCTACTCGACGGCAATATCTTCCTACGTAATCAAGTGCATAACTTACTCTCATTTGATTTCAATGGTCACGCACCATTTCATAACGATCTCTTATATCAATCTTCGATTATATTCAATCAGTTTGTGGACAATAAACCATCTTTACTCACGAAATATCCATATCTACCATCATCGTGTTTACGTTTGGTTGGTTCACATAATGCGACGGTTCAACGAAATTTATTTGAAAATGTTCATTATGATTATGAACTCATTGCGGCACTTGTAATCGATACAATAAATACGACATTAGATGCCACTGTCAATTGGTGGGGCTCGGATGTTGGTCAAGCGATACAGAATCGAATACTTGATTTTACTAAACGTTCCGATCATGCTTACGCTCAGTGGAATCCATTTCTGGCTTGTCGAGAGTTAACTTGCGCACAAATCAAATTACCTTTACAAACAATGCTCCAACTGAATCGACCGCTACGAGGCTTAATCTCTACGAATACACTGATTCATCGACGACGAGAACCATACTTGATAAACGGGGACTTGATTGTCATGCCCGGTGTTAAATTGACCATTGAGCCGGGCGTTGAACTTCATTTCGCACCAAATACGGGTCTTTTAGTTCTAGGACATTTGAATGCTACAGGAACACCAAAAGATCCTATCGTCATGAAATTAGCCAACAAACAATTTGTTATGGAGCAAATTCAAAATGGACACAATCCTTTTCAATATCATTTTACCGATGAAGTTCCTTTTTCAAAACATAAAGTAAGAAGCTCTCCAATGATCATTTTGAAAATTCTCAATTTTCTCTAGTTCAATCCATTCGTTGATCGTTTGCAAATTCGTCTCGATATCGGTCGAACGCCCAACGAAGGTTTTCTTCAAATTTATAATTTCACTCGTCGTGACTGGTCCTACGTATGTTATGATACATTTCGGCAACTGTCTTCCTATCGTTTACTATGCCATCAACTTGGCCTACCATGGAAAAATACTCTTGCACATCCTGACTCATTTTATCTCTTCGATTATCAGAAATTGCCGCTTTGGCAAGAAAAAATTGATTGTTCAGGAAACGAACCATCGATCTCATCATGCTCGTTTACAAACGAATATAATAGTTCATGTACCAAACTATTCTATCTATCATGTTATGATGACAATGTTTTCTATTCGTTAAATTCAAAATTTCAACCCGAACTCGGCATCAACCTTGGTGGACATGTATCACCCGACTCTTCGCCGTAAGTATTCTTGTCTGATATGAATTACCGATCATGTTCTTACTTCGTCCTTTTCCTAGAACGTATGAAAGTCCACAGTCATGGAATGGCATTCGCTTTGCTAACAGTGAATATGAAGAAGATCTTTCGTCATTGGATTATATGATTCGCGATCAATCGTTGCTTCGTTATGTTTTGATATCGGAAACGAATGAATATCAACCAGCAATACAAACGATCTATCGTACGCCAGCAATCGAACGCATTCATATCGAACATAGTCGACAGATTGGTTTTGAATTTCTCGTACCGAAACAATCAGTTCTGTTCGGTTATAGTCAGATCACCAATTCATTAGATTTAGCAGTGAATGGTTTAGTTTATTACGGACAATCAACGGATGAAAAGTCAACATTTGAACTCCTGAATGAACAGAACATTCATGGACAACCATTCAGTTTACTTAATCTTTGCAATGCACATCGAATTGTTAATGTTAAATATCGTTTGATAACATATTTTAAATATGACTATGAATATCGAACTTGTTCGAAATTGTTCTGCTCAAATAATCCATATCAAATTGGTATACGATTTTTCCAAGTAAGGATCGATAAAGATCGTGTCTTCTTGTTTCTAAATCTATACTTTTCTTCCAGGCAAATTTATTGAATAGTACGTACCAAAATGATTGGATTGAAATTCATCGTGTAAACAATGATCAAGATGGCAATGAACGAAATGAATTATTAACTTCGCTGACAAACGGTTCGAGTGAAACAGCATGGAGAAATCTCTACAGTATAGAAAAGGGTTGCCTAAGAGTGACAATACATGCATCGAGTGGAAGTAAAATAGATGGTTTCATGGCTGAAGTAACTCTTTTCCCTGTTACACCCTTTTGTAAGTAGACTTAGCACGAGCGATTTCGATTGCAATTGACAAATTTATTTTCTTTTAGCTACACAAGAGGTCGTTCATCAAATATCTTCTAATGTCTTCTTGGGCAATCAACAGGGCGTGCTCAGATACACGTCTGCAGGTGAACGGTCAGCGAACGTTTATTTTCAATCGAATACTCTGCTCTATAATGGCTATTATCGGTTTAACTCATCGTCAGCGCCGATTAATTTCTTTCACTTTCAAAATGCTCAACGATTCTACTTCGGAAACAATTGGTTAAGTCGAAATCTGGGTGGAACGTACATTCAATGTCATAGTCAATCATTGTCATCAATATTCAACGGGCATCTGTTCAATAACGTGTTCTTTCGAAACAAGTAAGAACAAATCTTCAACTGTAACTAAGCAATCTCTTGTGATTTGTTTAGTAATGATTCTGTATTGACGTTCTATGGAATGGAAATGTCGGCATTTTGTAATCTGTTCGCCATACAGAATGCTATGATGTTCAATGATGCATATGATCGAAATCTAATTGAATTTGACTCTGTGGTAGCCAATTTCAGGTAAGATCTCCTAGTTTCATTTTGGATTTAGAATTTTATACCGCCGTTGTTTAGTCGAAATCAAGTATTTAATAATACAGGAATGAATATTCTATCGATGGTGGGCTTTGAAAAGATTACGGCACCATTTCCAGCGGTAGAAATGAACGCTTTTCGAAACAATCGAGCGGTGGGTAAATTGAATCAACAGTTATTTGATCGGTATGTTCGAGACTTCTCGCTTCCGTTAGTCTTCAATTCTAAGTTTTATTCGTTTTAGAACGGGCGCTGTCGTTGAAGTTGGAAATCCAAGACAGATTTATATGTTCAATACGTTCGATAACTGGGACAGTCGATACGAAATGCGAACGAAATCACGATTATAGTAAGATTGGAAAAGCGAGATTGACTTTTGATAATAAATTTCCCTGTTCTAGCGAGCCGAATCGAATGGAATCGAGGGCCGTCAATGCTTCATTGAATTTTTGGGGACGAATCGGTGATGTGGACGATATTGGTGCTCGAATCTATGATAAATTTGATAACAAATCTCTAATTGAAGTCAACTTTTATCCTCCGTATCTTGAGTCAACGCGATTACGACAAGGCAAATGTGATCCTGGTTGGACACTGGACGATAATATGTGCTACATCTACCTTGGTGCTATAACAACATATCGTATTGCTCAAGAAATGTGTTCAAGTATCGATGCTCGAATAACACGTCGCGATGTACCACTAAATCGGCTAGTTATTCTACGCTCGTTAGCACGCACATCACAATATCAAGGCATCAATAGTGATGCTGTTCCACCGTCGGGTATTTGGCTGCGAAAAGACTATAACCAAGATTGTCGAGTCTTCAATGACATGCAAACGATGGATGCCAGTTGTAGTTCAACAGCTGGATTTATCTGTGAAAAAGGTAATGTTGATATAGCTATGTTCTTTTCTTAATTGGGAAAGATGTGCATCGTTTAGAACAACAATTCGATGGAGCGAAATATATTATACGTGGTGATCTACTTCTTGCTATCGGTGGCTTGATTCTAATGATTCTATTTATCATTATATTCATTTGTTGCTGGCTCTGCAAATCTCGTCAGCGAAAGAAAGATAATTTTCATCGTCAGAATTCTCTTCGTCGTAGTGTCAAACAAGAAATGAGTAAACAATCAACATTATCACTGCATAAGAGTAATGACAATACACTCGTGAAAAGCGCAACATTATCGACCCTCACCAATGGCACCACAAATAAACTACCATTATCAACTTTATCCTTATCCAGTCGTCCATTAAGCAGTGTAACGATGAATTCGGATCAAGATCTATCGACATCATCACCCGCTCATCAAGACTTTTCCCTTCTAAAACTAAATCATCACATACCGAAAGCATCAACTCCTGCTCTAAGTGATGACGCTGGTTCACAACGTGCACTTGTTCTCAATACACATACAGATCAGTCCAGTGTTTATTCAACAGCTACAGCCGATTCAGCAACATTATATCGAAGTCGACGACGATTTGAACGCAATCAAACTCCTGTTATAACACCGTCCGCCCCGCCTGTGACGCATCGACGTTCACGTCGAAATCTTAATCAACAGGATTCAAGTGCTAGTGTTTCTACTGGTTCTGTGTCTCCGCCTCCAGCCTACGTCTCTCCCGCACATCAACCACGTCGTCACCGACCGGACCAACTCCATTTACTGACACCAAATACGACTTACAGTCGAAAACCATATCTTATGACCGCGCAAATCGATTCTCATTCACAAACAAGTAGTACGCGACATGAATTTCCGCCACCTCTTGAAACAGATATCTAATCTCATTGTATTTTTTATTCGTTTTCATTTTAATCTCAGGAATTCGAAGGTGCTAGAGATCAGCTTGCCATGCATAGAAGCAAACATGTACAGAGAAAAGTCTAATGAAAGAATAGAGAAAGAAGTATTTTTTTGATGTTGTTTTAGCGACTATCATGTAATTTTTCTTCTGTTTTACTGTGTTCTAGTTTTCCTTTGTAAGTATATTGCGTTCGAATGCTATCATTTGTTTTTTGTTTCAATCTATCAGACTAATAAATCAAAGTTAGACTTGAATGTCTCAGATAACTGAACCCAATCAGAAATCTTTTCAGATTGCATGGCTTCGACAAATATAGATCTTGCATTGGTTCAATCATTTGTCGACAAGCATCGGACAACTAGTCGGCCTATTGTTCTAGTCACGTCTGGTGGTACAACAGTGCCACTCGAAAAGAATACTGTTCGTTTTATTGATAATTTCAGTACGGGTCAACGTGGTGCTGCGTCAGTCGAATATTTCTTAGAACGAAATTATATCGTTCTCTTCTTTCATCGTCTATCATCGACTTTACCATATCAACGTCACCTGAAGAGTATTTTCGATGAATCACAATCCGAGCAAAGTTACCATCTTGATCAGTATCATAAATTTCAAGCTTCTCTTCTATTGATTCCTTTTCAAACAGTTACAGATTATCTAACAGGTCTCGAACAATTGTGCTCTTTATTGAAGTCGTTCAAGCGATCCGCATTAATCTATGCGTGTGCTGCGGTATCGGATTATTACATTCCCAATGATGAATTAACCGAACACAAAATTCCTTCTGGACAAAATGAATTGATCATTCGTTTGAAGCCGGTACCGAAATTATTAGGTTCAATCAAGGGTGAATACGCTCCCGAAGCATTTGTTGTGTCGTTTAAATTAGAGACTGACGAGAAGATTCTCGAAGAGAAATGTTTGCAATCCGCAGATAAATACAACCAGGATGTTATTATTGGAAATATGTTGAAAACGCGAGCAAATCAAGTTCGAATCTATGAACGATCCGACAAACTTTGGACAACTATCAATCGCATGCCAGAGAAAGAAATTGAATATCAAATTATTGAGCTACTAAGCGAGAAACATCGAATCTATCAAATGCATATGAACTAAATCTTTCATTTCCTATCCGATAGTCCAGAAACAACATAGTGAATCTTGTGCATTTTTTTAAACAAATAACTTTATTTTTTAACAGAAACAAATTCGTTTTCTATCACATTTAAGTAGCTTTTGAAATACCCGCGGGTGTGAGTTCTTTCTTTTTACGTTTCTTCGGAGTTGTATATATTGGCGGAATCATATTCTTACTCTCTTGACTAGCCATTGTAGCAATAGTAGTTGGTAAAGTCTTCAAAATGATGGGTAATGTTTCATCAAGCAATTGTTTTTCAGTTGCTTGAAAATCTGACTTCTTCCATGCATCTCGAAGTTCATTCATAATTATCTTGTAATTACCATTTTGTTTGATGCGCTTCAATGCAAGCATTCCTGCAGATATGGGGAAATGTGGTAAAGTCCAATCAGCGAACTGTTGAGCTTCTTTTAAATGATGTTGATACTTGAGTAGTTCTAGTATTTTCTCTTTAACATCTGGATCGAATACAGACAAGTCAGCAAGAAGATCTTTGTATGGTTTCAAAGAATCAGCCGATGTTGAATTGAGCGGAGATATGGAATCACGAAATGCGACTAATAGTTGAGCTAAACGACGACAATCGTTCGAATACCGCATACGCTTTTCAAATGTGGCTAACTAAACAAGAAAAAGAAAGGATTTACTCTATCTAAGCGAAATCAGATGTCAACATCTGTATTGAAGTTAACTTTCGATTATTCACCTCATCCATATTACGAAAAAGTTTTGTCAATATAGTTAACGCATGTGGATTCGCTTGATAACACTTTCTCCAATGTTCTTCTAATTGATTCAAATTGCAATCAGTGGGCATACCTAAATAAGACAATCAGTAATACTATTATCCCGTTTAACATAAAACAAAAACGAAATGTACCAAGATATTGACCCGTATTTTGTTCAAGCATGGTTTTCAAAACTGGACCGGCATTTCGTCCTTCCGCAATACGTTTTAATTCGATCCAAAGACGTTCACCAGAAATATCTGAAATATGATCATCGTTGATTGTATGAATATCTCCTATTCTGTGTCATACTATTTAATCCGTCGACATTATCTCGAATAGCTTTCAATGTTTCTTCATCATGCACCGCATTATCATTGGCAAGTCGACCAAAAAACCTGTTGATTCAAATCAATGAAATGTTCTTCGTCAATCAAATGAAATCCACGTACCGAAAGTATCGAATTATACGAAGATAATCTTCTCGTATACGTTCGACTGGATCGCCAACAAACCGAATGCGACGATGTTTTAGATCATCGATACCATTGAAATAATCATAAACAATGCCTTCCAAATCTAAAACCTAACTCGAATAGTTCCCAACGATTTGAATTGAAAACGAACCGAGAAAAAGAGCGTTGATAGTGAGATCTCGTCGGCTAGCATCCAGTTGCCAATCTTTAGTATATTCGACTACGGCATGTCGTCCATCTGTGACAACATCGACTCTCAATGTTGTCACTTCAAAATTTTCTTTATCATCAAGACGAGCTGTAATTGTTCCATGCTTTTCACCATTGGCATTAATCATTCGAATATCCGCATCGGATAGCATTTGTTTTACTTGATCAGGTGTAGCTGTTGTGGCAAAGTCTATATCATGTGGACGAATACCCATAAGAAGATCTCGTACAGCACCGCCAGCCATGCGCAATTCATATTGATTCGCTTTGAATAAGTCAGCCAATTTCAATAACGATGGTGTCAATAAAGTTTTATATTCGGGTGAATCGATCTTTTGTGTGACTAAAGTTTTGGATTGTGCTCGGTAACGAACGATCGATGGTATGCGAGAGTAGTATTTGAATGAGATAAACCCATTATAACAAATAGACTTGAATAAATACAAGCGATTCGAATGAAAACATGTTACCATCTAAAAAACATGTCACAAGTTGTCGAGGGTGCTTATCGTTTATACTTAAAATTCGTTCGTTTCAAAACTGTTATTTTTGACAAGTAATAATAACATTTGTAAGGATTCCTATTTGACCGGGGCAATGACACTTATTCTCGATATTATTAGAATCTTAATAAGTCATAAAAATGATACATTTCTGTTTTTCTCGCTCCGAGCAGTTTCTTTTTTTTTTGAAACTAAGTCGCAATGAGACGATCCGTCGAGCAGCTAAAACATCTTGATCGAACGTCACGGCATATCCGCCATCAAACGACTCTACATCATCGATGTAATCAACTACTATCGCATGATTTGGATGCTCTAACACATGAGTATGCACACAATCTGAAAAATTCAAAAAAACAATATCAAATCGAGCAACAACGAAAAGAAATTCTCGATTATACAATTCAGCAAATCGCGAACGAACAAAACCATCATTCATTACCACCAATGGACACCCTAGAAATGAATAAAGAAAATGTAATAATACCATCGGGCAATGTTAAATTACCTCCAATACAATCTCATTGTCATCTTTCGTCACACCACTGCTCGCTGTATCCTTGTCAACCAATCTATCATTATACGAGTTTTATGAGCAAAGATCGCGATCAAACATTGCAACAACGAAATTCTACACAAGAATACCGATCTGAAATAAACCATTTTCAAAATTTACTCGCACAACTAGAGAAAAAAGAGTATCATCCAAAGCGTCGACAAATGACAATAGCGATGGGAAATCAACGTCGTTCAGCCAATCGACATGCGTATATGATGGATACAAAAACACGTCTGGATGAACAGAGTCGTTTATTGCAAGAGCAGTTAATTGGTAAAAGAACGTTTGGATATAAAAAAGAACAACAGAATGAATTACATCGAGCGATTAAACGTCACTTAGAAATTTCTTCAAAATTTTGTGCGCGAGGAGAGAAGGATTCTTAATTTAGTTGAATTTTTCTGTTAAATATCCTCAAATTCGGCGCCATCGGATGCATTTTTGTCACTTTTGTCTTTCGATACGGACGCAGCCATGACATTTTTAATGATATCTTCTGTAAGCAACATTCCACTATTCCATGTACTCTAAATAGATTTAAACAAAACATATTCTCGGGTAGATCATCTTTTTTTTTCATTGAACATACTATAAACGAAAAGTTATCATCAACTGTATGATCACGAGCATAATTCAAATTGATTTTAGAACCTTGGACAGCTACAGGACTCTTACGAGCTATAACACTTGCTAGCGATACAGCAGCTTCGAGAAGAGCATCACGCGTGTCGAATACACGGCTAAAAATTTTTTTTTCATTTGATCTGAGTTCCCAACGTAATTGATTACCTAATCAGACCGATTTGTTGTGCTTCTTCTGTTCGAAATAGTCGCGAGGTGAATACAAGCTCACGAAATAGACTATGATCAATAACCTGCTTTGGAAAGATTTGAAGAGTACCAACATCAGCTGCCAAACCCATGTCAACTTCCTAGAATAATGCCCACTGAGTGTTCGAGAACTTTGTTCGGAGAAATCCGTTTACTTTGACGGAAAATGATGCATCACGTGAACTGTAACGAATATCACAGCAAGCTGTTAGATCAACACCTGCACCAATACAATGCCCGTGAACGGCAGCAATCACTGGTTTTTCACACTAAATGTTGTAAATTATCTATTCGGATGACAGAATAAGTCTGTGTGATGTACTTTATCGACTGCTCGAAGCGATGCTTGCGTTCTTTGAACCATTCGTCGTGTGTGTAACGCTTTGCGAGCAACATCATCGATCTGACTGAGTTCATTAACAGTAGTGTTTGATAAATATTTCAAATCAATACCTATATAGAAAAGATTTATTTTGAAACTCGGGAAACAATTGGGAAAGAAAGAATCTTACCAGCACAAAATGCTTTGCCCGCACCAGTTAACACTATTGCACGGCACGACTTTTCCGTATTCAAATGTTCAAAACATGTTTTCAACTCGCTGCGGAAAGACTTTCGATAGTAGTATTGTTATTGATGAAAGTAGAATAAGACAACGTACTCGAATAGTTGTTTATCCATCGCATTAAGCTTCGTTGGTCGATTTAACTCAACAAGAACCACATGAGATTTAGGTTGACTTAATTTTAAAGTTTCATATGTGGGCAAAGAAGACAGAAATCGACAAGTCGATCGAACTGACGACGGATCTATATTACAAATTGAAGGAAATGCGTACTATACTTTAATATGTTACTTAGATAAGTTCGAAACATTTTGAATCAACCGAATCAGTAGAATATGTATATGTGTTTTCAAAAAATGAGGAAAAGTGACTGTATGAAATTCGTTACTATTGGACAAAACGAAACTACCTTTCACTAGTTAGTACAGTACAACTATTTCATTGGTTGAAACGATTTTGTGAATCACGTCATCCTTTTCTCATACAGAATCAACACAACGAAAGTTGTAACAAGTAAATCAAATCAAAAACTTATCGTCGCTCGAACTCTTGTCCATAGTTCATGTATTTTTGCGGCATATAATGGTAAATATCTCGTTTATCTTGCACTGTGACATCTTTGTGACGGATCATACTATCATGGTCTGTTTACTGAATGTCTTGTGAAATGGATTCTGGTCTGATATTTAACAGTTTCACACAGTTCTTGCAACAAGACTCGTTTCTTTCGTATGATGTAATCAAGCTGCTCTTGTGTGAGCACGTACAAAGTACGCTTATTTGTCAATGAATAATCGTCTATTTCATGGTCATATCGATTCCAGAAATAAATATTGACATACTCGTCCACTGGAAAAGTCTCATTCTTGTAGATAATACGAGTGTGTTCCTAATGGGAATCTTTTACATATGCGGCAGTGAATAGTTTGACAAAATTTCAGAATTGATGGCATTCATTTCGAATGCAACGAAATTCTATAATACGGCAAAGTATAACTGAATTGAAACTCTATTCAAATGAATGACATGATTTATTTCTGTTTCCCTCATTGACAACTTTAAACGGGAAAAAGTACCTCTTAATGATTCAGTTCATAAAAAGGATCATAAATAACGATAGAACGTTTGTCCTTTTACTCCATAAACTCATGTTCTTGTTCTCCTCGAATGTATCGAAGTGAAAAGAATTATACTATCGACTTATTGATTAATATATCAGATCAAATCAACCGTTACTTCTCTATATTCGTCTTTATCTTCGGTACTTGTGGCAATATTTTGAACATATTCATTCTCTCCGATCGAACACTTCGTCACATTCCATGTGTTTTCTTGTTTTTGACTGCCTCTTTTTCAAGTTTGATCTCGATTGATCTCGGTCTTATTACTCGAATGTTAGCTGGCTGGGCATCGGATCCAACTTATACGATAGGGTGGGCCTGTAAGCTGCGAACATTTCTTGTATTTGCAACACGTCTGATTGTATTTTGGCTTTTCGTTCTTTCAACTATCGACAGATGGTTGTCATCCTCTGTACACAATCATCAACGTAGATTAAATACAATGAAAAACGTTCGATATGCAACACTTATTGTTATATTTATGTCAATAATTATGTATGCTCAGCTATTTTACTGTTACGAAGCTAATCTCGTACGAGCACCATTTCCATGCTATACGAAATCATCATTATGTCAAATTGTAACTGACCTGACATTCGCATTATTCACGATTATCATACCTTTACTTTTAATGTCGATGTTTAGCTTGATGACAATTTTCAATTTTCATCGAAGTCAACAGCGAATATTTCGAACGGGTGAACAACGATCGAAAAGAACTGAACGATATCTTTTACGAATGCTTTGTACACAAATTATTGTTCTTGGTTTGTTAACTCTTCCACAAGCAATTGTAAGACTATATGCCGCATTTGTTGACACGCATCATTCCGAACTACAGACGACTATTGATATGTTTGTCTATAATATTCTCTTATTATTAACATATCTAGCAAGTGCAATGCCATTCTATATTTATACATTAACTGGTGGAAGTCTTTTTCGCAGACCATTGTCGAATTTGATACAGCGAATTTCCCAATTTTTTTTACGACAGACAGAATAAAAAACCAAAGTCACATTGTTTGTAAAAAAAAGTTTTGAGCAAATATTGCACTACTATCGCAGTTCTCTTGCTCACAACTGGTAAGTGCAGTAATTGTCCATGCATTATTCATATTTGTCATTATTGAATCTCTAATTTCGCTGAATTCAGCGTGAAACTGTTAATCAATTCCATACGATAACGTACAGATTGATGATGTATGTTGAACTTGAAGAACAACTTGTTGCAATGTATTTAATTCCGAAGTTTTCTCCCATCGAATTGTCATTACTTTTTCAATGATACTCTGGCATGACAAGCAAGGCTAACAATACGAGTCTCTGCAAAATCTGACGATAAGCTTCATCATACCAATGTTATCAGTTATAGTGACTTAATTGTAATCCAGATGGTACATATGGAAGACACACTACGACTTTGACTTGAGTTCCTAATCAGAAAGTGTCTGCATGTCACAATTCCAAATGATAGTTATAACTTACCTATTTTTACTCATGCAAATACGGTCAAGATCAAGTTGAGATTTAAAATGGTTAGTCAAGTTCGCATTTAAAAAGCTCATGTAACTAACTGATTACCCCGCTCTTGTGGAGAGCGCAGTTTCAAATACAACTAAGACCAGTTATCGGTTACAGTTCAAAAGGTACAATAGACAAAAGAAGGCTGGTATTCGAGAAATCGTTATTAATAATTCACATCTATACAAAAATACTTTCATCACTGATGATAGATTGTAAAATCTCAAAATCATATCGTTCTTGCCGTAATTCTCCAGCAATAAACGTCTAATACATCATCGTTCCTATTGAATAAATCACCGAGAATATTTAATAATAAATGAACTTCCGCACAGCATTGTTGATCGTAAGATTTGATATAAATAACCAACAGGACGTTTTCTTTTTCTTTCCTATTGATATTCGGCAATTAATTTTGTTGATCTTATCAATGTTGATTCGATACAAGTCAAGGTTATTATCTCGCCAAAAAAATAACCCTGTCATTGATCGGAATAATACATGTCATTGATAAAATGCAATCAAATATCATCGATGAGCTCATCCGAATATAAACAACAAAGTTTTGATTGACATCATTCAAAGAGTTAAAATTTTTATCATTATCAATATCATTGATTAACCTTTATCAAACAGATAACCATCATCGACGTCTTACTGAAAGAGTGAAATATTGACAAAAAAGTGACAAATCTGCTGTCGAAGATAGTTGATGACTTTCCTTTTATGCAACATCATGCACAATTCGAGGCTAAACTTCTTGTCTTTCTAGTGCTCTTCAATATTTTCCTAGATAATCAACGAACAAGAATAGTATAAAGTCATAACTTCATTAGAACTGATGATTATTCTTCATGGTCTTCGGAAGAGACTTGTTATGTATCGTCAATTGGATAGAATAACAACATTCATCTAATTGATATGATGTCATAGACAGAATTTATCCTTCCATGGTCTCATTCTCTTGTCAAGATCGAGATTTGTTTTCCAGTCGAGTGAACAAGATCAGAGAAAATGAAAATATAAATCATGTCCATACGAGAATGTCAGATTGATTATAGCTCCAAGCCTAACCGGCTTGATTTTCATGAGTTCGCTCTTAACACGATGTACATCGAAATGGACAGCGGGCAAACACGTTCCATTTCCCGCTTCTATGCATTTTTGATATAGATCAAGAAGAAAATAGTCTGCTTGAGGACAGCGACCGAAACAATGATTCGTATTCATTCTTTTACAATCAGATAGCACGCTCCCTCTCTTTCTCTTCTGTTCACATGGTATCAATGACATTCATTCACTCGTTTACATTTTGTTTCCTTATCTCATCTTCATCATCAACAGTAGCAGCATTATGCTACTCTCGAAAGTAGGTAAATGGCAAGGTCATGTCACTGAAAGATTTACGACAGATGTCAATTCTTCTCTTTTTTTTTTGAGTCGCTTCCTCAAGAATCTTCATGTTGTTAATTTAATACAGCGTACGTAGAGTATTTCTGTGTTTGTATTCGATACGTATCGGCAATTCTCCTTCTCTCATTGAGACACTCTGTTCTAATTTATGGATCGTGTCGCGACATTAATTACATCGATTAGAGTGAGACTGACCATCTGTCTGTGAAGACGATGAAGAGCGGAGAGTAGAGGAAGAAATGGTCAGATTGACTTTCATCCATACACCAAACAAAAGAACGACTTTTCTTTTCTATTTCATCGGACGCTTACATTTTAACATTAAATTTCATGTTTCAACAATTTCTCACATATGTTCTACATGCACGAGCTATCCGACAGGTGTTTGTTCCATTTTGTTGTTATTAATCTAAAGCTTCAATTTTACTTTTATTCAACTTAGCACGCAAAGTTAGATTTGTTGAAGATTAGTTTCTTTTGTTCTTTCCGAATGTGTAGCTTGTAACGAGTGTTCATCATTTTCTTCGGCGAGAAAAGACAGACAGAGCGTTGTTCTTTCTCATTCACTTCCGACTTAAACAGGTAAGAGAAACGAGAGACTATTCTTCATATTAAATATTTGCATCTTCGACTCCAAGGTGAACAGATTTCTGGCAAATATTCTCTTCCCTCTGTTACAGTTTTTCTTTTTGGACAAGTAACTACTCAAGCACCACTTTGAGATAGTTCTTTCAACATAATCAAAGTCTAGCATTGTTCTATTCTTCTCTTTGAAGAAAATAACAACATGTACGAAGAATCTTGTCTGTCTCTTTCTTTTTTTTTTGTCATATTAGTATGTTTGTATTTCTAGACAGTTCTGCCATTGATGTAAGTCAAACGTAAATAGACAAATTCTCCTTTCTCTTCAGATAACATCTCGAGTTTACCTTGAGAATGTCTGTCTGATCGATAATTGTTCTGTGAACTCATGAAGATTTCAAGTGTAGAACAAACATTTCGTTCAGTTTTGTTTGTGTTATCTATTTCGTCGTATTATTCTTTCTTTTATTTCGAACATCATTAGAGAGAAAGAGAAATCGCATGCACACTTGATTATACAAGAAGAAAATTTGACAGCACTATTTTCTTCTTAAATTTCAAATAGAACTGATTGTGAATGAACAGACATACAAGATATAATTGTTTCATTCGATTGTATCCCATTGTACAAGAGAACAACACAGACAGACAGAATTTGTACAAGTGCACAGTCAGTAAGTAAAACGTTCATTGCGAGAGTTTCGAACACGAATTCGGTATGTCTAATTAGACTATCTATCATTCTTCTCTGTTCCTTCACTTCGTGTCAAGGTTAATCTTCTCATCAGGCTTAAAATATTCTACATGAATCAATATTCTTAATGTGCAATTATCTTTGTCTTTTTTTTTGATAAGCTAAGAAACTTTTTCGGTTAATTACAATAACGCTCGCTCATCACATAAAGGCCACTTTTCGAATGGCTCATCAATCATTCGATGCCTGCTGTGCATCGGTCATCAAGGCTATTCATTGACCAGCACATCGCAAAACATTCTCTACTTGAAAAGAATAAGATATGAGTGAAACCTACATTTGCTTTTCTTCTGTGTTCACAATGCATTGGATAAGATGTATGCATGCACTCGATTCTCGTTTTTTTCGTCTTCTCTCCCTTTCTCCCTAATCTTGTTCACTTACGTATACATCACGAAATGAAATCATTTATCAAGACTTGAACTTCATTTGCGTAACATGACGAGTAGTTCGTTCTCATAAGACATATGAAGCCCATATACAAGCATAATTTCATTTTAAATGTTTCTCCACCCCCTTGTCCCGTCTAAACTAATCCAATCAGCATGTCATTGTTACTCAGTAGGATATCAGTTTGATTAGCATTTTATTCAATCAGATGTTGATACAGAATGATTCTCTTTTTTTTTTTATCAGAAATGCCATCTTTACACAAACAACGTCAAAATTTTACACTTGATATCGACAGTGATAAATGGTCGAATATCAAATCTTCATCATCTGACTCGATTCATTTCATATTCTAACAGACACCTGTTAATATAGACAATTGATTGGACTTCTTCTTTCTCTTTTCCCATACGTTCGCATGAAGAGATACATATATAAATAACGATCGATGTGATATTCTAGATATCTGTTGATCTTCCTCTTCTCTGCAAGTGAACAGACACACGAAATATGTGGAGAATCATATTACTCCTGGTATTCCACTGTGGAATGATGGTTAACTCCATGGAATTAAGTGAGTATTTCAAATAAACGGCAAATTCTTCAACTTTGTCGAACTTTAGAGAGCCTCAATTCATGTCAAACTCCTCTGCTATCAGCATCGAAAATTCTCACAAGCAGTACAGATTTTACATCGAACACTTGGTGTCCTTCGTTATCCGATCATGACCGATACTTAATTTTTTCATTATCAAATCTAACATACCTTACACGTTTGACTATCAAAGCCGAGTTATCGGATATGCATTATTATCTCGAATATACACGTGATAATTCAATTGATGAGCATACGGCATGGCGTTCATATCCTTTAATGAATCACAAAGATGAAAAAATGCATCTCAATCCGCCTATCATAGCAAAATACATTCGTGTACAAGTTAAACAAACAAAAGTGAATCTTTGTATCGAAATCGAATTGTTTGGGTGTGTGTTTACTGATGGTGTGATTTCGTACAATATGTTACAAGGTGCTAGACAGCTGGAAGATGATACATACGATGGACAATACGATGAGAATCGTCGTTTTCTACATGGTAAAAGACGAGTTCGATTGTAGGAACAAGTTTATATTAATGTTTATTTAGATGGTTTGGGACAATTATCCGATGGTCAGACGGGACCTGACAATCATGAAGATCTTGGTGGACTTCAATGGGTAAGAGCGTTTTTTTCTATTTGAGAAACAAACCTCGACTATCCTTTGTGTTGTCAAGGTTGGATGGCGTCGGCCACGTTCTAGCAAGCAGAATTATTCAATTGGAATTTTGTTCAAATTTGATACACTACGCAATTTTTCACGTTTAACGATCCATGCGAATAATTACTTTCCAAAGAAGATCTATGTCTTTCGTTCGGTAACCATCGAATTTGTTCACGATGAAAATTCGACATTTCTAACCTATCATCATCAACGCGATGATCAATTCGAAATGGCTCGACCAATTATGATTGATTTAAAAAATCAAATCGCTTCGCAATTAAAAATTCACTTCTACTTCGATAATAGTTGGATATTAATCAGTGAAATGACATTCGATTCATTTGTTGTTCCAACCGAAACGCCTATTAAAACAGAACAAACATCACAATCGGCTCTAATTCTTATTGGCATATTAATCGTGATTATGATTGTCATATTAATCATTATCATTAGTTTAATTCGATCCCTAACCAAGAATTATTCGCATCGAAAGAAATCTTACCTTTCACCAATGCACAATCAAACAGACTCATCTGCATCGACGACATCAAGCGAAATAGATGCGACTTCTTCACACCATCGTTATGCTACTATTGGACCAATGAGTCCGTACTCATTTCCAACGAAAGGAGGAAGCATCGTATCTCCTTCATACGCAAAATTGATTCCAACAACTTTAATACGATCACCGTCCTCAACTCAACAGTATCACATTGAAGGTGTCTGTGGTAATAGTACCTATGGATCACAACGAGTATTTACATTTGATACAGATCAGCATCAATTTATACCAAGTCATCATATTACTATAACACAACGATTTGAAAATCGACATCAAATCCTTGGAGGAGGAGAGGTAAAAGTCGATTTCGAAAGAGTTAAACATTTTTCAGATCACTGTTCGTTTTGATTCAGATTTGTCATGGAACATTGCAAGTGAATCAATCATTATTACCCATCACCATTCGTCGTTTACTTTCGAATGCATCTGTACAATCAAAGTATATCATTGGATCCGATGGAAATAATTCCATTCCATTGATCTTTCTCTTTTAGAATTTCATTCTACAACGAAATTAGCCTGCTGACATCTCTCTGCCATCCAAATATTGTCCATGCTTACGGCTTTTGCTCTGAACCCACCATATCTCTCTTAACTGAATCATTTGATAGTTCATCAATGGATCTCTATCAATATCTCCAACATCACAAACATGAACAACCCGAAGAATCAGCACTATATACCACCACCGTTTTCTTTGCTTCACAAGTCTCGTCAGCTTTAGCTTATTTAGAATCCTTACGTATCTGCCATCGAGATGTAGCGGCACGAAATTGTTTGGTGTCATTAAATCTTAACATAAAACTCTACGATCTCGCCATGTGTAATGAAATGTATGCTGATGATTATGTTCTGGTATCATCCGTTGGCACTGACAGTACAGACACACGAAGACCGATACGGTGGTGTGCTTGGGAGACAATCTGTGTGGTAAGAAGGCACGGTTTGTTTTGACAAGTGAAAGTTAATTTCGACATTTTCTTTTAGAATCAATTTACTTCAAAATCCGATGTCTTCTCGTTCGGAGTTCTTCTATGGGAAATGTTAACATTAGTCGAACGACCACATAGTTTATTAGATGATGAACAAGTTCTTTATAATTTGCAGCATTCATGCCATTCTTTAACAATTCCGTCTTGTGCAAACGATTTAACAGATTTAATTTTATCATGTTGGCAGAAATATGATTACGATCGACCTGCATTCTATCAATTGAATCATGCATTGAATCAACTACAACAAGCAGTATCAATAAAATCGGATAACTATCAACAGATTGATTGAATTGGACTGTAATTACTGAACATTTAATTTCTTACCCCGGTTGTGATCTTTTTTTCTTTCTTACTCTGCGTGTTTTTAAATAAATCTAATGGTTGAGAGGAATTACTAAAAAGAATAGTGAATGAACTTGATTCTATTTCAAAATCAACGGAGAATCATATTCGATTAACTGGAATGTCTATCTATAAATTAGATGTCATAAACGAATTTTTCACTTCAATTAAAGTATGTTTGATTGAATCCGTCAGTATTTGAACATTCGTCTCCGGACAATTTCGATAAGCTGTGACCACGAATGTTGTTCTATAGTGCATAGACAGTTGATAATAATCTAACTGGTCCGACGTTTTCAACTTACGCCTCTTTGCCAAATCGATAGAAAACGCCATAACCATTCCAACACATGGCCATTGTTCCACCAGCAGTCGTACTGAAACCAATACAACTCGTTGACAATATAAAATTACCGCCGCCACCACTAGAAAGCACACCGACTACAGAACTCATGAAGTCTGGATTTCTTTTCTTATACCTTTTTGTCCACGATGGATCTTTACTCAGTTCAAAAGGTTGTCCGGTCAAATATGCGATCATACTTAAACCAAATAAATGTCGGTCACAACCTTGATTCTCTGAGGCTTCACTCATCAGTTCCTGATGACGTTTAGCAGCGAGATGAAACAATTTTCTCCGATCTTTGTCCTATCAATCGATCGATACATGACAATGATAGATACAGAACTCTCAACATTACGGTATATCGATCGTATTGATTAGTCATTGCTCGACACCATGCAAGCACCTCCAATGTGCATGTTCGCAATGTTTCCGTTCTACCACGAAAAAATTTTCGTGTAGATGCGGTTTCATACGTCGCTGCTGGTTTATAGTTATGCGTTTTAAAATAAGCTAATTGAAGACATAATTGAAAGAATGTATCAGGATGCATGCGGACATATTGCTTTATGTCATCTTTTGAACATTCGGTCACATTAACTACTAGAAGATCAATATTAGCAGCTGAACGGTTGAATAGGTTGATTGCACGATCAATAGAAGTTGTGATCAAGTCATCGTATATAAAGATCAATTCTTGAACTGCCCTTTGATCATAGGGAATGGCAGATACTGACCAGGACGTTCTTTGCTCGAGAGAATCTATATGCTGTTGGATAAGGTCACCGATTTGCAATGGGATAATGCCTTCGTGAGCGGAATGCTGGAATGTAGAAGATATTTAATATGTACAATCGATAATAAAATGATCTTTACATCACTATTTGTCACAATAAGACCATCGCGAGTGACAACATACAACATCGATCGATCGAACCAGCGTGATTGAGGATTTTTCAACATACCAATGCCGGCCACCTAACCAAATTTTATAGTCTACTATGAAAATTTTCACGAACGAACTTTACCTCTGTTAAATTTTTCACATTCTCATTATCAAATGCATAAACACCTAATGCTTGTTCAATAGTTTGTAGATTTCTTCGATTCCGTTCATCTAAGTGACATAGATGATCACGCGCATCCGCCCAATCATCACGTGGTAATGCTGTCAATGCACCTAAGCCAAGTCCCGACTTGTGTTCGCTTCGTTCCATAATGTCCTCTAATCTTTGTAGAATTTCTGGTGGTGATAAAAGTTCGCCTGATTGATAGAGATCGAACGTATATATGAGACCATTACGGATGACCACGACGTGGGTGGGTGGTAAGTTTTCATCTTCTGAAACTATAGGACAAAAACGAACATGATAAAAGTTTGCTTGTATTTCAACTAACCTGTCCGAAAGCGCGTCGATAGTTGATCGCACTCTCGATGGGGAATTCGACACGTATTAAAATAATGCTTATATTGATACATCGTCAACGGATGTTTTCCCATGTATGATATCGGGTAGCGTTCTCTAAAAAAGAAAACTTGGTTTTACTCTTAATTTATCCTGTATATCATCTTCTCAAATGTACTCGCGAATAGTTTGAAAAACAAGAGCACATGCATGCATGTGTACACATGTTCGTTCAAGTTGAGAATCGGCTTTTGATGGTATCAAACAACTGAAACCTATCATATTTATAGTCGGTGCTATGGGTAAACGCCATTTCAAGTAGATTTCTTCGTCCCACCATTTTGCTAACTAATCAAATCAACACATATGTAACTTCCATTTTCATACATAGTCCTACCCAATTTCTTTCATTTTGTGCCTTGCTTCTGGCTTTCAATTGCTCGTGCAGCTCTCTTCCGACTCCTTTCGCAAATTGTTCAACGATTTCCTTTGTTTTAGCATAATCATTCTCATCAACAACCGCTTGTACTAAAGATAAGATATAGAATTTCGCGATGCTTTTTCTTTCTATGTACCAGAATCAAGATAACGTTCAAGTGTATGTTCCAATGTTGGCAACGGCAATGATGGTAGATTATTATCGTATTCGAATGTCTTCTTCATTGTTCTTTCATGACTTCAACAAGTGCGTGTTTATTTGTCTTGAAAGGAGAAAACAATCAGCTTATAGATAACAAAAAAAAAAGAAGAAGAGAAAGATATGATCTTGCATATGTGCACATCAAACGCTGTCGAGATACTTGTTCGGATCATTCGCGTTCGAAATCAATTTGTAGCGGTTTAAATTTTCGTGAAGTCTAGTCTTTGACAGTTATTTATTTGTGAAAGCCAATAAAAAGGATTTCTCCGAAAAAGTAACCTTCACTAGCGCCATCAGAATTCTTTCTTGATTGGCCCTCTCTCGTCAACGATGGACAGCCAGACAGTCGAAGCAGAAGAAAAAAAAACGGAGAACTCAAACTGAGCAAGATAGCAAACAGCTAAAGAAAAAAAGCTTTTATCATACATTTATTTTTGTTTTATTGTGAATCTATTTTAGATCATGATTTAAAAGTATGCAAATGGTCTTTTTATTAAAATATGTGATTTAAATCTGGTGTTTTCCTTGCTTTCTTCTCTTCAATATGTGGAATGAACATTTCTGGCTGCCAAGAAATACAACTTGGAGAGATTTCGTCGAACTTGAACAACAGGGCATTCGTGTACCACGTTTTCAGGACCTTTTGTACGTCTATCCGTTGGCCGGTGTACTTTATATTCTAAGACTTTTATTTGAACGATATATTGCTCAACCAATTGGTCGATCGCTTTCTATACGAGAGTTTTCCAATCGTTTGAAACATGATACACCCCCCTTGGCAAAATTTAGTGAATCCTTTTGGCGTTTTATTTTCTATCTCGGCGTATTTATCTACGGACTTGTGATTCTAAACGATGTAAACATGTGCCCATGTCTCAAAAGTCTTTTCGAGAAGTTTTCCTTTTTTAGAAATCATGGATCTGGGACACTCGTCACTGCTGGTTGAATTATCCCGATCATCGTTTAACAAATGATGTGTTTTGGTATTACATGATTGAACTTGCTTTCTATTGGTCACTAGTCTTTTCACAATTTATCGATGTTAAACGAAAAGATTTCTGGCAAATGTTTCTTCATCACATCGCTACAATAGCATTACTTTCATTTTCTTACATTGTCAATTTTGTTCGTATTGGAGCGCTAGTACTCGTCATACACGACTGCGGAGATTACTGGTTGGAGGTAAATGCTTACATTCGATACTAACAATAGATAAACTCCTTCGTATATGTGTTGTTTTTTCAGTGTGCGAAAATGGCCAAATATGCTAAAGCACAAAGAATATGTGATACATCATTCGGAGTATTTGCACTCGTATGGTTTATAACACGTCTTTGTTACTATCCATACAAGTACGTATCGATTAACAAATATGTATGAGTTGTAAAAGATAACAGTGTCTAGTAATATGTGCAATTCGATTGCATCGGACACGTTTCACACTTCAAGGTTACACTAACAGACGTGACCAAATTTTGTTCTCTACTGTTCAGATCGAAAATCGTGGAAATTTGTTTCGTTTAGAGTGCTGTATACTACAACATTTGAGGAATTAAATATCCTTGGCTTGTTTCCTGCTTATTATGTATTCAATGGTCTTTTAATTCTTCTTCAAATTCTCCATTATTTCTGGTTTTATCTTATCTGTCAAGTGGCAATGTCGGCGCTCAAAGCCGGCAAAGTATGCACACAGTCTTACATTCGTTTTCATCTGATTTCCGTTTCGTTTTTGTCTTAGGTAAGAAAAGATGAAAGAAGTGACAGTGAAGATAGCGATGGTGAAACCACAACTGATGCTCGCAAAGACAAGTGATCTAGTTTATCTTTCTCTTGCTAAATCATATTTCTTGTTGATCGTTTTTTTTCTTCTTTTTTATTGTAAACAAACTTGCCCAAAACAATCTACATTTTCTCTTTCTTTCAACAATCGCCTCTTGTTACTGAAGCCAACAAATAACACTATCTAACACGTAGCGATTAGTGTCTTCACTTACATGTGAAATGACAAGTCGGCGTCTTTCGATGATAACTTCTCTTATTCTCTTTGTTTTTATTTCGATTGATTTGTTAGCGAAAAAGTTTCGTGCTGGTTGTTCTTTTTTTTTCGAAAACTTTATATACATATATGGTGCCGTTCGGAGAATGCCAAGAAAAAAAAGAATATATACGGACACATATAGTGAATCTGCTTTTGTGCGATATTGAATAATTTTACAATTAAATTCATCTGAGAATATTCACTTCAAGTGAACAAGAGTCACTTTCTTTGAATGTAGGACAAAGGTTTCCTTCGTAATTTGAGCGCTACTGAGACTTATATTCATTAACATTTCTTTCAGTAACCTATGTCGAATAAGAACGATAAGATAGATCTTATTTCATTATTAATAGAACAAGTCCTTTTGGTGTGGTTATTGCCTGGTATTTCTGTGGAGGAGGTGGCTAAAAACAGTATTCAATGGATTCTTATTACACCGATGTCATTGTCTAAATAAAGACATACTTCATTCTATTCGAGCGCACGCAGAAGAATAGCATCGGAACATTTAATAATATATGCAGATGACGAACAATCGTGGGTAGTATAAATGATTCTGCTCATAATAGATCTTTCCATCGTACCAATAACTTTTCTCTTTGTTAAATAATACAAAAGATAATTGTTCTGCTCTCATTTATGAAATATTCATTTCGACATTACAACACACATTTCTCGAGCTTTATAACAAAAATCTTGCAGACAAGAAGCGTCATACGTGAAGGTAGATCTATTTCTAAACTCGAACAAAGAAGGTGGGTGTCAATCGCTAAGGATCAACACGCATATTATGGCAGGATTATCTGCTATTTAATTGCCTACGTAGCACATGCTTTAGATAATATATATAATCGAGTAAGCACGCAGAACTAACTGGAACCACTTGTTCTCTTTTCATCGGTAAACTTCACCTTTCTCTCGGAATCCAAATAATTCCATGGCAAATCAACAATTACTCTCATTCGTTATCATATTCACTTTATCGATGTATCAAATCAATCTTACATTCACATACATTTTACAATACCCACCAGATTCACTCATATCAGATTATCGTTTAGCTTTGGCCAGCGATCATCTTAGACAGGTAATAAAAGACAGAACAAAAGTCAGTTCAAAATTTTCGTTTATTCAGATCGAACGGCAACAAATATCTCCACCCAGTTACATACTTCAATCAGATTATATCGAAAAACTTCCTCATATTAATTGGCCTAAACGTGATCTACGCGCATCGCTTAAAACCAAACGACGTATGCTTTGTTTTTTTAATACTGTCACTTGTTTTGGTTAAGTATACAAATAAAAACTGCAATGTGAACGCTAATCATCAAACATTGGATCCTTAGTTCGACTCGTTTTACTCTCTTATACGTATACTATGACATTTTGTGTTAATAAAATTGGATAAAGCTCTGTTGATACTGTGTAAATTTTACCAAGCTGAACCTTGATTGATAAGGTGAAACGTTAATCATACTTCTCTCATTGTACTGTCTTCATCAAGAAGCGATTTTGACATCGAGATTTAGGTATTACAAAGCTATGATGAAAATACACATCAAGACGCTTCTCGAACTTAAACTCAGTCATTAATGTCATAATAAATATCTACTTCATCATAGACGATGGATTGTTGACATATTGAAAAAGTTGTTTTTTTGCAGTAGTTTTATGATTGCATTGAAAAGATTTTTATTGTTGGTTATCAACGGTATAAAAACGTTGTCTTTTGTGATAAAAGATTTAAAATTTAGCCTTTAACTATCGTTGATTTCAAAAACTATGGGATTGAATAGGTATGTATGGTGTAGGACGTGTCGGATAAGAAAGTCATCGTTTTTCTGTCTAATTTACGCTTCGGAGCGAAAATATTTCTCATCCGGAATACAGATGTTGAGTTCTTTCGATTTGATAATTATGAATATTTATATGATCGAGGAATGAGAGAAGGGAATGTCATTATAAGTTTTCTGACAAAAACAAGAAGAATAAGGCATAGAGGTTCCATCGGTTGTTATGTTAAGGGAGTTGTTTTATAGAAATCCGACGAAGATGTAAGTAGGAGAATCGATAGGAGTTTTCTTTTTCGAACGGCAAAGTATATTCCTTTTGTTATTGAATAGGAAAGTGGTTATTGCTCTCGGTGTAGTTGCCGGAGCACTTCTTATTTCAACCATTGTCCTAGCTGCTCTGTTAGGCAATGCAAAGAAAAGTACATCGACTACAACAGGTAAGCAGCATTTCTTTAGCAGAATATTTGACTAAAACTCTCGATTTCACGTTAGCAACAAATGATGAGTTGTGTTTAACACCCTATTGTGTCAAAGCAGGTGAGATGTTTGTAAATCAGAGGCAACGACGAAACGATTTTGAATCATCTTTTCTAGCGAATTATATTTTGGAAAGTATTGACGAAACAGTCAATCCCTGTGAAAATTTCTTTGAGTTTGCTTGTGGAACATGGTTGAAAAACAATCGTATACCTGACGATGGTAAGACGAGAAATGAATGCACGACATTGGAATGAATTTGATTGATTTCTAGCGGGATCACAAGACACGTTCAACGTCCTACGAAATCAATTGGATAATGATATTGTTGGTATGAAAAGATAATATCTAATAATTAAAAGAAAAGTTGATGATTTCGTGACACCTTTTCGAGGTTAAACATGTATTTTGACAATCTATTCGTCATTCTTTATTTGACATGACATAAAAGCTTAATTTATGATTATAAATGCCATTACTCATGTCGAAAAAGATGACTTAATCGATGTACTTTTTATTTTTTTTTCAAGAGCTTTGATTCTCTATCGATTTGCACTTAGATATCTTGACCCTACCGCTTCCAACTGGCATGACAAATATTCAATGTATCAACAATACTCGTGTTCTCTATGATTCGTGCATCGATGAAGCGACCATTGAAGCAACCGGTGTCAATACGTTGCTCTCGGCAATCAACACCGAGTTTGGCGGTTGGCCAATACTTCAGAATTCTGCCTGGAATGCTTCGACGTATAATCTAAGTGTTTTACTACAAAAATTACGTGAATACAATCAAAATATAATCTACAGTTTTGGAACGTCTATCGATGATCAGAATTCTACTGTTTATTTCATTCGAGTAAGATTAGTTTTTGGCGTTGAGAATTATTCTTAATTTGAGTTGTGAACAACTAAAGGTATCGCAAAGTGATCTCGCTTTGGAACAAAGAGCACGATATGATAATGAAACAAGTGTCACTATTGCTTATCGACAATTTATTTACGATTTAGCATCTTTGTTAACGAATGTTACGAACACGACTCAGTTGCAGCAAGATGTGGTTGACATTTTCGAATTTGAAAAGAATATTTCACGAGTAAAATCTAACGTTTTGCTTCATTAATCTTTCCTATGTAAAGTATGTTTAGCATCATCTAACACCGGCAGAGCAACGTGCTAAACAAAATGAAACTGTTCGTACAACGATCGGTAATCTCTCGCAAACTTTCACCACCGATGTAAACTATTGCTTTTTTCTTGTTCATCATACTACTTTTCTCGTGTGAATCTAGTTTGAATTCACCAATTATTTACGACAAGTTTACTTATCAGCAGGTGTCACATTGAATGACAATGACATTGTTTCAATCAGTGATTTGGATTTTCTACGAAATGCATCGAAAATCGTATCACAATCACAAATTCGCGTTATTCAGAACTATGTTATATGGCGTTTTGTCATGAATCGCGTTTCAGATTTACCCAAACGTTATCGTTTGACACGAGAAGCATTTGATCGGGAATTTCGAGGTACCAGTTCACAGCGCGCACGTTCAATCGTCTGTGGAAGTTTTGTTAATAACAACATGGGATTTGCCGTATCAAAAGTTTATGTCGCTCGATACTTTGATGAAAATGCCAAAAATCAGGTAGGACATTCTTCCTCAAAACAAAAAAAAGTGATGAACTTTTTGTCGCTGTTTGATTTAGTCATCAGAAATGATTAGCAACATTCGAAATGCTTTTATTGATATGGTCCAAAGCTCAACATGGATGGATGTGGATTCGAAAAAGAAAGCTATAGAAAAAGTATCACGCACATTCCATTTCCCGACTGATCTTGCTAAGATTTCTTCTGTTTAAGGCCAAGGCTATCGATGAACAGATTGGTTATCCAAAGTATGTTGGCGATAGTAATACAACCGAATTGGAACGGATGTATTCTACCGTAAGAAAGAGTTTAACATTTTCATCCAGCAGTCATCTTTTTTGTATGTGTACAGTATACTTTCAATGGATCATATATCTCCAATGTATTGAAACTGTTACAAATCAAGTCTCGAGAAAGTCTTCAGCGACTTCGTGAAACGGTAGATCGAAAAGCGTGGGGTACAAGTCCACCGACTGTTGTCAATGCTTTTTATACTCCATCAAGAAATCAGATCAGTAAGTGATTTGTTTGCTTCTTATATCACCGATGCAATTGTGTTATTCACAGGTTTTCCCGCTGGTATACTTCAGACACCGTTTTTTCATAAGGACGCACCAAAGTGAGTGTTCGCCCTTGTTTTGATGTGATCTTTAATCGATGAAAATTACTCGTTTATTTCATATAGATATCTTAACTATGGCGGTAAGTTTATGCCAGATCGACAAGTTTTCGATAGAAAATGAAGCACATTATTAGGAATTGGAGCAGTTATTGGCCATGAAATCACCCATGGTTTCGATGATAATGGTCGTCAGTTTGATAAAGATGGAAACCGTGTACTTTGGTGGTCGCAAGCGACTATCGATAAGTTTATTGAGCTTAAAACATGTATAGTTGATCAATACAGTAATTATACTGTCGCTCAGATCAATAAAACAGTAATGGATTTGTATTAATTTTCTTCATCACGCAAGTCGGTATCGTTTCAGGTGAATGGTAGTCAAACTCAAGGAGAAAATATAGCAGATAATGGTGGAATAAAAGAAGCATTTAATGTAAGTTATGATTTGAAACCGATCTCGAATGAAAACAAAACGCTAATATTCATGATTTGATTCGAAGCAATAATTTGTTTCACGTCTAGGCTTATAAAAAACTATCCTTAACAACAAATGACATAAATCTCCCTGGATTGAAAAAATATACGAGCGAACAATTGTTTTTCATCTGGTTTGCTCGCATTCGTTGTTATGCAGAATACAATGATTACGTAGCGTATGTAAAGCGATTGGTGAAAAAGCAATCGACTGGTCATGCCATCGATGAATATCGGTAGCTCGATTTGTATTTCATGTCTTGATGTTTGATGTGTCTACTTTTTTTTTTATTCGTTTGCTATTTCGTTCGTATATTCATTGCATGTGCATGATTGTTTGTTTGTTTTTATAGTCTTATCGAAATTGGGCGAAAACGAATGGAAATGTCGATAGACGACTACCCGGTTTGACTAAGTATTCAGCTGAACAGTTGTTTTTTATTAACTACGGACAAGTTTGGTGCTCGAAAATGACAAATGCCAATGCATTGAATAGAGTTCTCACAGGCGTCCATTCACCTGGCCAATTCAGGTATTGTCACGTCCTGACAGAACGCTGATGTGTTGTGAATTTTGTTCGATGTTATGAGCAAAAGATATATTCCACTGTTTCCTTTAGAGTTATCGGTCCAACGTCGAATTTTGAAGAATTCGCGACAGTGTTCAGTTGTAAACCTGGTCAAAACAATAGTCCAGTGAACAGATGTAGTGTTTGGTAATCACCCACAAGAGCAAAAAAGTTTTTTTTTTCATCTTCGTCGAGTTTCGAAAATAAAAGACACCGTAATTTTTTACAACTTGACAAGAATATTTTTCTTTTCTTCTTTTTCTTATTACGGTTTGAAATCATGTCAACCAAATAAATGATAAGAAGTACATTCTCTACACAATTATCTTCTCTTGTCTTTCCATTTATTATATATCAATAGAATAAAACAGTCGTACAACATTTCGATGATGTTTATCTCGCAGAAAGAAAGTCGATACTTATTTAATACACGGAAGTCCATTTGGAAGTCGGAACTATTCGATCATTTCCTAAAAAGACGAAAAACATTCATTGAATCAATCGAACATCGACTTGCTAGAAGAGATACGAGAATTAGAAGTGCAATGCAATAACATGCTAAGGAATTTGATAGTCAAAGAAAAGAAATAATCAAATCGATTCTTCCGGGAAATATATGTATGTATTGATATATATATAATAGCGTTAAGAGCAATTTCCTTACATGAAAGTGTCTGAAAAAATTTAGCCGACATTTCTGTCGACAGGTTATTCCTAATTGAAGTTACTCATTGACAACAGATGCGACAATGCAAGCGCTAAACTTACTGGCTAAAGTGTTGTTCAGCTTTAGGATCAAAAACAGTCAAAGAAACTGTTGACCCGGGACCGATTTTATCTAAAGAAAAAGCGCTCGTTTGTATGCAAGAGAAAACATTTCGACGAAATAACTCACCCGTAGCGAATACTTTTGGTATATCAGGAATCATGTCGATCGAAACGGGAGGCATGCCGGGATGAAGAGTACGTATAACGGGTCCATATGTCACATCCCATGTGTCCAAATTACCAATTTTCTGAGGTATGTATAAGGGAAAACGGCAATGGCCGAGTGTATCTAAAGTTCATAAGTCAAAGTCGAGAATAGACTGTCGTCAGTATTACCATTCGAACGTTGCCGAACGATAACCAGTGCTTGAATACGTGTGGGCATGAATGACTGACGAGTTTCTCTCATAGCTAGAATCAATTTCTCATGAGGAATATCGATGATGAATCGTTGCCAGTTTTGTACAGCTGCCTCTCTGTCGCCTAAAATTCATATCGAATTCATTATTTTCGAGATTGTTGAATCAAATACACGTACGAAGATGTGGTACTGATCCGGTCGTCACATCGCATATTTTTTCTCCTGTTCCATAAACTTGAATTTCTACAGTGATTGATTTGATATCGAATTCATTTTGAAATCCGCCACTCTATACAAACCCCGTTCAATTTACTTTGCCATCAAAATCGCTACTCACAGCCGAAGAATTCACAGGTAAAGCTAATGTCAACGATATATCTTTCACACCGATTGTTTCTAGATAAGCTTTTTTCCGATTGACAATTTGCTGATAGTTACTGTTCTGCGGTAGAGTTTGTTTCGCCGGATATAAACGTTGGTTCATGGCAGGTATATATTTTGGATCTTCATTCTTCAAAGCCAAATGAACAAAAGCAGCTTGAACATCCAATGTATGCAAAAGACAGGGTTCGTCGAGAAAAACTTTGCGCATCTCATCGTAGTCGGTAGCATACATGAAACGATCACGGAGCAAATAGAGTATAGCTTTTGCCGCATGTTCAATATATTGCGTATTCCATTTGATCATAAAGAACTGATCCCATAGATACAGAGCCGAATTCGAATTAAGAATACCGAAAAATAACTATATGAATACAAAATAGAATGAGTATGATAATCCGTATGTGCTAATGTTTGTTTTTACTTCTCCGATCCATTTTCGAAGGAAGATGACTGGATCAGCCATGAGATCTCGGGAATATTGCGATGCACTTCCACTTTGTTTGCTTTCCAATGAAATAATCTCTGCCACAAAATCCTGTTCGAATAGGAAAAAGCAAATATGTCGTGATGTGATCGATCGACTCGATTCGTTTACTTTCGGATTGATCTTTGTTCGAACTTTCGATATCGTCTTCAAGTGATCATAGAATTCGGGATCATTTGTTGATAAATCTGTCATAATTTTGCTGGCAATTGAGAAAACATTTGTCCATTCGGGAAAACAATGACGAACAAATAAATCCAAGTGCATAGCAATCACATAGATTTCCTCCTCTAAATCAGTCGAATGATAATTGGAAATATCAATAATCTTTCTACCTTTGTTCGCTTCATCACGATACGACAACTGGAATGGTAACAGCCAATAGATAAAATACGGCTCGTAATCTTTTCTATATGTATAGAGAACGTTGAGAATTCTTATCGTGAATCTCAGATGATGCTCTTCAAGAAATGGCTGGAGCGCATGGACTTTGCTGTATGTCTAGAAATCAATATTTAAAGCTACAAGAGAAGATTTTGTGTCTAGGAAGGTATCGTACTTCTATAACTGCATTTTCGATCAGATTTGTAACTGGAGTATTGGATGGATTAGTTAATTTCAGATCAGCTTTACCACGTGCAATACCAGCTGCAAATTCACGTCGAACTTGAAGTTCAACAAGACTCTAGTGAATAGATAAAGAACAAAATTCTTCTTTTAAAGGAGAAAATCGTTGTACTAGATCATAATCATGTGGTTTCTTTTCTACGCGGAGTAAACACTCAGTCCAGATAAATTGACGAAGCGAAAGTGGAATTTGTTGACCGAACAATTTTTCCGTAATAAAGATCACACGACGTGGATCGCGCTTGAGTAAAGCCACAACCGAATTCGAAACGATATCGCTATATTCCGATGTCATTGGATACGGTACTGTCGGTAATTCTAGAATGAAAATGATTCGAACGTCATTACTTCTCATAGTCTTGTACAAACCAGTAATCATTGGTAACTTCCTTGAGTTCGTTTTCGAATCTCGCAGAATCGATCGTAATTTCGAACCGCCATTGAATTCATCTAAATGTTTTCTTCGATTCGTTTCATTCAATTTCTGTTCTTCTTGTTTGTTGTTTTCTTTTTCTTGCACTTGATACAGATAACGTTCTAAAGCTTTGCGAACGATTTGATAGGTATGTTCAAGAAAGTTCTTCATATCATTGGATAATTTATTGATACTAAAACAGATCATCTTTTGATGGGAAGTTTTCAATTGTTATTCAATATTTACTCTTCGTCTTCCGTGACCGCTAAAGAAAACAAGGGAACGATCATATGAAGTAAAGAATTGAATGTTTATTTTCATACCTGCGCCGATCTCGAGTGCTGATTTATGCGTTTGGATTTGCAACCATGATTTAGCTTCGTTTTCTAGTTTACGGCGGTGTTCATCTGACATTACTGGCGGTTGCTAAACGATATCGAAGGAATCCCATTAGGTTTCTACACTCAAAGACGTTTATACGAACTAATGAATTCGGATGGAACATTTCTGATCGAAGTAATTTGATATGAAAAAGTCTACCGAGTAATTCAATCAAGATTTGTCGTCGTTCGGGGTTATTAAATTGCTGACGCACTTTGTTGGCTAATGCAGGTTCCAAATCATCGAGTATCTATCACAGAATCGAGCTCAACTCAATGAACTACATCCAAAGGTATTTTACTTTTTGCCAAGGACTGTCCGGCAACAATGTTTGTTGGTAACTCGAGTCAAGCCATTGAATATTAAATGGAAGATACTTTATATTATGTTCGTCTTCTTCTTTAATTGATTTTTGTCGATTAGTAGTCTTGTTTGTCATTGCTTCTCGCGTACAATAACAAATGAGAACGGAGAAAGCAAATGATTTTTTGACAAACACTTCACAAAAGATATCGTTAGTAAATGTTGAAGAGCTTCCGTTGCTATGGTGACCGATAGGAACGACATCGAATAGAAAATTATATGACATGAGAACCGCGTCATTTTCTTTGAATAATGCAAATTGCAAATAGTTCAATTTTATCCTTCAGCGCTCCTTTCTGATTGGTGCTTTCCTTGTCCAACATGATCGGATAAGATATTCACGAATTGATTTATTTATTTTCTTTCAAAATAACTCTGCGTAGTAAAAAAAAGAAACAAAAAAGAACTAGAAATATTCTTCTACATATACACACGCACACATAAACACACATGCATAAAGAAAATTCGATTTATTGCATCGTTCAAAGTCTTGTGTTTTTCTTTTCGAAAAAGACTATTGAATAAGAAAGAATAATGTGCTATAGAAATATTTGCAATAAACGTCGAGTGTCTATGGAATGGTACTACTTTCACAAACAAGAGAAAAAAATATAGACTCTTTTGATCAATCACCGGCGTACTCATCAGAAATAATTGTCTTGAACAGCATCGTTAAATGATAAATTCGAATATCCTTGTTGTTCAGGATTGTTGTTAATGTCGTCGTCTTTATTCGGTGTTATTGGACGCTGTTTATTCTTGGCTTTTGCTTTGAAGGGAGCAGCTGTAAAGACGTTGCTCGTAGGTAACGATTTATCTGAAGGAAAGACTTCGGAATGAGGTACTTTCGACATCGATGTACTCAAGAGACTTGTTACATCATTCACTACAATCGAATAAAGTTGAGATTCTTTTACGGATTGAAAGATGAGTCACATACCAGTATTGTTAGTATGAATTGGCTGCTTTTGGTAAGGAGTAAACGCACTTGCTTTCTTTCCAATGACGATACTGTTTGGATCGAATGCAATCGAATTAGTAGCAGTAGTAGCTGTTGTTGTTGTTATTCGATCAGCGTTGATCGATGAGGTGGTTGATGTTTGCTTACTGCCAGATGAACGATTGAATGGTGCTTGAAGAAATGGATTGTTCACATCAGCAAAAGAATTATTGGATGGGTTTGCATAGCCATTTGATGAAGTCGAACGATGATAGGATTCCGTGTTTGAATCATCATCGACAAGTCGGTTGAATCCGTTCTCAGAGCTATTTCGTAGGTCATATTCTTTTGCGTGATTCTGGAAACCTGATGTGGACTGGTTGTGCTGCACGGTGAAATAATCAAGTGAATTGGGAAAAAAGGTTTTATTTTCCGCCTCCTCCGTTGATGGATGATGACTGATGGATTTTGTACTAGACTTCTATAGACAAAAAATAAATCACAATACTGTACCTATGAAACGTACAAAATGAAAGACTCACTTGATGGTCTGCTAGAAATACTTGATCATCATCCGCATGTAAATCTGAAATATTGAGGGCTTTGAATTTGGAAAAATTTGTTGCGATTTCTTCAGCATCGTTATCGTCATTTGATGCTTCTTTCGGGTTAGATAAATCAGCGGAGGAGGCGATTGGGAAAGACGACTGGATATTCGTTGGACTGAATGTTTGCGATGAACTACGTCGATGCGCATGAAGATTAGAAGCTGAGAATGAAGACGTAGCCGGTGGTGGTGGAAGAGGGAAGAGCTGTTGCTGTAAAGAGAAACCAGCTGCAGTAGATACAGTCGCTGGTGGTGACGGCCGCACGCGAGATATATTTTGTTCGTTTGTCGCACCTGCTGCTGCTGTTGCTGTGGAAATACTCGTTAAACTGATTGCATGGGATGGAATTTTGGAAAAATCATCATCGAACATCAATTGAGCTGCGGAACCTGATCGTGATGGATTTGCTGAAGATGATGATGGAGGTGGTTGAACAGAAAGAGTAGGAGCTTGGTGAGGAGTTTGATTAAAATTGATTAATGAAGTCGAAGGTGCAATCATTCCTCGGGGACGTTCACGTGGATTAACCGCTGTGCCCAGAGGTAATGATTCATCCAGAACATTAGTCGAAGTTGATTTTATCTTCGATAGAGCGTTTATTCGGCGATATCGAGCTTCACTGTCGGTTAATGGCATCGATACGCCTTTCAGATCAGGAATTTTTGATTGGCACCGATTAGGAATAGGACATTCAGTGCCAAGTAATTTATATGTCAAATAAGAAACCTAAGGAGACAGGATGATCGTGATAGAAAAAGCAAAACGATGATTCTCACCTGCCAAATATCTGGTCGTTTGTTAATGTCAATTTCTAATATGTACCGAACGAGTAAGTTCAATTCTCGACTGTATGTCTGAGCCATATCATCCGGTATAACAAATGCTCCGTTTTGTATTGCTAAAATACTATCACCGAATGGCATTGTGTTGTACATCAATTTATAAAGTAGACAACCCATTGCCCAAACATCAGCTTTTAGAGTGATTGGTAATCGACTGTACAGATCAATCATTTCCGGTGCACGATAGGACAATGTTGTATAACGTTGAACTTCTTCTTCAAGCTGTTGAATGATATTAGTTGTCAATTGATTCACAGGATATTGTTGAAACTCATTGTTTGTTGATGCTGATAGCAAAATAGCTGAACCGAAATCACAGAGAACGTAGTTCTGAAGAGAGTTAATCAGGATATTTTCTAATTTGATATCACGATGCAAAATTGGTTGAGGACGACGAAAATGACATGCACTCACAGCATGACATACATCAGCAAATATACGTAAAATTTGATGTTCATTTAATGTCAAACCAACACTATGCTGTTCATTAAGACGAGTCTGAAAGGAGAAGAAGTTTGAATAGACCTTAGGCTTTGACAGTGATCAAAGAAATGCGAACTTACAACCAATGCCCCGTTGGCACAATATTCTGTTAGTAAGAGAATTTCATAAATAGCATCATCTTCATCATTTCCATTATCACTTTCACCTGGATAGTATTGCCGTCGTTGAACATTTGTTGACGGCAATCGATTTATCGAGGAATCGACGTATTTGATTATATTTGGATGCGTTGAAAATTCTTTGATCAACGAAATTTCACGTTGACAAACGAGTAAATCGCGTTGGTTGTTAACATACATGCGCTTGAGTGCATATCTTTGTTGATTATATGCTCGAACAAGAAAGACAAACGCAAAACCACCTTGGCCAAGAATATTTTCCACAACTACTTGATGGTGATTGATTATTAAAATCTTTCCAATATACGACGTGATATCCCCAGCATTTGTCGATGATGAATTGGTCTCATTCGATGATTGATTGTGTACATAACGTCCCGGAACTCGTTGTGGACGTATCATTGACTAAGCAATGCTTAGTGAAGTAAACTTGCATATATATACATAAATTTTACATCTAGAAGAAAATGATTGAAATCGTAATGTGCGTTACTTTTTATTTGAACTATACATATTTTTAAATTTTTATGTATGAGAAAGATTTGCTTGTTATTTCTGCTTGGAGGATGGAGGCAAAATGAAAAAAAAAAGAGGAAGAAAGATACAATAAATGAGACTGATCGGACAAAGAGAAGAAGAAGAAGAGAATGGTTATTGATTTGATGATGCTGTGGCTTGTCCTTCTTGATTATTGTTGTCATTAGTATTATTTTCAGTATTTGCATTGGTCGATGCCGATGATGAAGATGTTTTATCACTGGACTTTTTATTTTCATCATCATTATCATCACTTATTTTTAAATCATTGCTTATTTGATCAGCCATAATCGATTCTTCGACTAATTTACGTACTTTTGATTCGTAGAGACGTCGATTTTCTAGAAATAACTTCGCTGCTTCATTGTTCGCCGGCGAATTCGGATTCGGATCGTTTAACAATGAGCGAATGGATGTTAATATAGCACACACATCATATGTCGGACTCCAGTTTCGTTGTAGAATATCTAGACAAATACTTCCATCGGCATATACTAAAGAAAGAAAAAAGTCAACATTGACGAAGTGTGGCAATGTTTGACAAAATTATTCACCATTAGGATGAAACATTTTACAAGTAAATCGAACGCTTGGTGGTGTTAATGGATAAGTATCTGCAAGAGATCAGCAGATGTTGATGAATAATTAATCGCTTGTTTTGTCGCTATTCCTACCTGTGAATTCCATTCGAAGTGTGAATAATCCGTCTTCGTAGCACGTATCGACAGGTCCATCTATTAAAGCATTCCATACACGCATATCATTATCGACAGGAGTTGCGTTAATACCTAGAAAGAATTCAGAATAAGGAAACGTCCAGAGAATTTGACGAGTTTAAGCAATTAACCTGGCAATTCTTCACTTTGGATTTTTTGTAAATCTTTAAATAAACGTCTTTGACTGGTATTTGAATTCGACATTTTACATCCGTTCGATTTATGTTTCAATCTAAACGATAAATATGTTATTTATGAAAAGTGCACAACTATACATATGACTTGTGTAGGCGAAAGAAAAAAAAACAACAATAAAAAAAAAACAATCGACTTGTACAACCGACTGAGTTTAGATAAATGTTATCACATAAACTCCTCGCAACCCGTCGAGTCATGGCAATAGAATGAAAAAGAAGGATGAAAGATAGAATACAATAAACAAGAATATTCTATTTTGATGATATATCTGTAGAGTTTGTTAAACGATAGAGAGCAGTAGATGTTGAAGTAAAAAAGTGAGTGGACGAAATGAATGAAGCAATAGAAGTGATTGGTATAGAAATAAATAAAGAATCGATAGAGGTTTGCAGCGCTATCTATCGAAATTTCTTCCCTGTCAAAAGAGTTCCTTTCTTATACTATATTTCTCAGTCAGAGACAAACGATCCTACAATGTTCAAGTTCTTTACGATGAAATCAAATTCATACAAACTACTTCTTTCCAGATATTCTTTTAATTTTCAATATGTTAGCACGAATAGTAACACCAAGTACAACAATCATGACTGTACAACATGTCAATGGTGTCTATTTCAGCAACTCTCGACGAAATTCAAGTCAAAGCAGCAATGAAATCGATCCATATCGTGCACGTTATGAACGTTTATGGCGGCAAAAGGCCACTCTAGACTGGTTACCGAAAGCTGAAGGTGATTGGAACGAAAGCAATGGCAAAAAGCAAACGTATTACAATAAGATTCTTGCTACTGGCATCATCTCTTTTGTTCTCTCAATCATCTATTTACGAACAGTCATTATAACTCGATCCGGTGCATTAACATCGCCGCCATATCATCTGGTCGGCGACGAGGACTTCCCTGGTTCAAAATATGATGATACAACCGAACTGAAATAGTAAACCAACAATAAATGTACATTTCCATGTTTTCTGTTTTGTTATAAAAAATCCTTTTCATTTTTGAATGAAGCAAAAAAAAAACTATCAATTACTAATCTTGCTCTCCAATGGACTTTTACCATTTGATGACAGTTTGCCGTCTGATTAATGTCTACAATCATTTCCTCTTTTATCTTATCTAATCAATGATATCTATTGTACACAAAAAGTATAAATAATGATAATAATACAAAATTCGAATTGTACTTTGCTCGCCTATATAATTGATCGAATATTGTCATGAATGTAATATTCGCATGACCTCGCCTACTTCTAGTTCGATTATAAACGAACATTCTATTGTTTGTGAAGTCTTCTCGGAAAAAAATGAAAAGAAAAACTGTCGCATATGCCAAGACTAGTTGTAGTTTTCTGATTTGATCGATTTATAACTCATCTGTACGCTCTCTTGTAAAAAGTGGAATTTTAGGATGAGATTTATTTCTGAAGTGTTCATTCATGAATTAGGTAGCTACACAATTATCATGTTTCATTTCGTATTTATGAAGATTTTTTCAGTGGCGATTTCAAATATTAATCATTAATCAGGAAAACCTGATATAAACGTCCTTTTACTTTTGTTTGTATTGTGAAAACCTATCATAAATATTGAAAAGCTACAATCTATTGTGTTTAAATCGTCACATTGTTGATGATACGTTTTGTCACATTTGCCTTTAAATAAAGAATCGACTTCATGAAAATATCAAACCGTCAATATACGTCAAAACAATACATGACTTAAAGAACAAAATACAAGGACATTCATACCTTTTTTCGATATGTTCGACTGGTGTATATCTATAGATTACCACGTATTATTTCGAGCCGAGTCCTTTGAGACGAAGGCCTTGAACACATGATTCGGGTTTTTTTCTGATATCCATGAACATGCTGATGTTTTTATATGGTTAAGTTTCGAGTAAAGTGTATGATAAAGATTTGAAATAAAAATCAAGTACAATTTGAGGGCAAAGATTAATTAGGCAGTAATCTTCGTTTTTCTTTATGCATCAATGCCCTTGATTTATTTGTATTGATGTTAAAAATATTGGAGAAGGTCTGACGAATTATCATAAGAAATCACCGAATCGATTTGAGAAAAGAGAAATTATATGATTTTTACGCCTCGCCATGATTTTAAAGAAAGAACGTATGAAAATCATGCAATAAACATATATTAAATATCTATCATCGTTTTGTTTTTTTGTATCGAACGTTTGATGTACGCAGAAGGAAAAGTTTATCTGATCAACGACTAACCAAAAGAAACATACGGATTTATGTCAAATCGGATATAACTATCTCCAAAGATTTTACTTGTACCTTAGTTCCGTATATCTACTTATGATGCCAGGATAAATTTCGAGTTAATCAGTAGAACGATTGTATACAGACATAACGCTTTAGACACAAAGCACATCTTTTCTCATTCAAATCTCAGGTGTGTTTCGAAACAATTCATAATGAAACTGACAAAAGAGAAATTTTGAATCAATCGGTTAACGAGTGTATGATGATTTCGATTTAATCCATTCTTTTGCAGGTATACATGATCATGTTGTGGAAAGAAACATGTTTACATAAACACAACCAACCTGACGAGATTTCTCCCTCTCTCTTAAGTTGCCTGCAATATTGTCGTTATAGTTTGATGATTTCGTTTTTCGAAATATCTGTGCGGTAGGCTTACCCAATGAGATAAAATAATGACTAATGATTCGGATCAATGGCGAGAGAAAAATATGAATGATTGAGAGACTAGCAAGAAAAAACGGTGGTAACCAATAAAATTGATTTCTTCAAGGTTTTTAGCTAAAAACAAAAGAGAGAGAGAGAGGAAAGTGATGGGCATCCCCGAAAAAAAATAAAGCGTGAAAAAAACGTATATAAACCGATGATATTCGTTCGCAAATGAATATTTTTCTCATTCACCATCTGAAACCCAAATCGTTGCTGTAGCGAAGATGTACGCTCCTCCTCCAGCTGTTGCCGCCGGTGGTGCTCGTCGGTTAGTAGATAGATTTTCCATAATTGAGCAATCTAATCTTGATCTTCTATAGCTCTGGTTTAGCTGCGAGTGGTCCACTTTTAGCCGTTTGCTGTCTTCTCTTTATTCTCTTTCTTATTGCATCGACTATCGTTCTGGCTTTGATTCCAGTTTACCTTGCAACAAGGGATGGTAACACAAGTAAGTACACGATTTAGTGTTCCGATTTGTCATTAGGTTTTGTTTATTTAAGTCACTAACTCTCCAACTTATTTAATGACATTGTCACCTACAAATGGAACAGGATTGACTGAAACTAATCTGGACTCAACCTCACTTTCCAACATTGCCACTGCTGTTAGTATATATATGACCAGAAGATGAACAGATTTGTCATATAGCTAATTTGTTTTCACAGGCAGCAACAGCTGCAAACGCACCATCCGGCTCATTTTCTGTAAACTCTGGCACATCAACTGTAAACACTGCAGGCAGACGTAAACGACGAGGATTGTAAGTTTTAAAAACGATTAAAAAGGATGCAATTCACTATTTGGCTATTTTTTTTTCAGTGGTCTTGTACGACAGCGCCGCGATGGATTCAAGCTTTACTGCCCATTCTCGTTCAACCGATTACGATGTGGTGGACTATGTGATGGTGGCGCTTTTCGCAAAAGGATCCAAACATTCTATACTATTATCAATGTTTTGACTTCTTTTGGTTACCAGAACATATACTTCTTTGTGACCATCACTTATTCAACAAGTAAGTGGAATATTCTACAAAAAGAGAACATCATTTTCATCTCTGTTCTTTGTAGCTTTCACTGTTCCAACACCCAGTCCAACAGCAGTAACTGCCACTGTGGGTTAATCCTATGCAACGCACACTCAAAAAAACTTTTCTCTTTTTCCACATTTTTTTGTATTAATTCTCTTTACTCTCATGCAAAACTCAAAACCATCCGTTTTATCTCTCGATTAAATATTTCGTTAATAAACCTGGTAATTCCCATAAATCTTCCACATTCCACTATGCTGGCTCTTTCGATCACAACTAACCCTCTAAACCTCCTTTTTTTCATTTTTTCTTCACTAATAAATTATTCATCTCGCTCCTCATATTATGTAGTAAAACGTCATAGTCATTGATTTGCTTGAATAATTTTCTCATCGTGATAGGCTTCAGATTGAATACTATATTAGTTGTCTATATTTTCAAATGATCGATACGGTGCACCTTGGTTTCGACGGGTGAAGTATGAATGGCGAAAAATGAAAGCTATGCATTAATATTATCATCATTTGACTGCCGAATGAAAGAAAAACAAAATCTATTTTGCTTTTGTACATCTATACAATCATGTTGTTGATCTGTTTCGGCAATTTTATCGTAACTAATTATCATTTTTATGCGCATATATGAAAATGGGCACACTAAACTTTATAAAGCTGTTTTCAATTGTATAGGCAACTAGTGAACAGAAATAGATAGCTGTTCGGAGGGTGAAATTCTTTGCATTTACAAAAGTAAGTTGCATATCGCCATTTGATCAACGTTCGGAGCAGTAAAAAAGTGTGATAAACCATACTGATCAGAAGGCAATAGAATGTTTTCGAGTAGAATATTGCAGTCAATTAGATAGAATTGATCACTAGACTTGTTTCGATCGTTTCTAGAGTGAGTAATCATGCTGTATTCTCTTTGTATGTAGATCGAATGACCTTAATGTCATAATAATTATAATCATTTGCCCTCATTAAATTCTTTGATAAGCATAAAATATTTCAATAGATCAGAGAAAATAATTACATTTCCAGGTACGGAAAGCAATTAAGATATAGTCATCATATGAAAAAAACAACAATGTTGTTTGCATGAGTATACAAAGTTCGAACAACATTGGGCTGTGCAGGTGCGTGTCGCATCTGATTGAACAAACGAAAGCAAATACAGAGTTAAATATAATGTCATCAAGAAACAATCGTTGCTATTTTACATTTATTTGACATGAATCTCTTTCGTTTATTGCTTTCTGACACTAGTTTACGGATAAAATACATGAAAAGAAAGGAAAAATAGTTTACAAAAGATCGAATAAGAAAGAAAGAAAGCGTAAATTTGTAAAAAGTATAAAATGTAGAAAGAGATGATGATCGTTCGGATATAAAATCAGTTTATCAGACTTTTGGTTAATGTTTCATAATCAGCTGTTTCTTTATCATGCTCAAAAATTCGTTCAGCAACACACGCTACCATTGCAGCACCTTTGCCACTGCCTATAAAGTAGAAATAGATTGTAGGATTTGTTAGGAAATAGAGAACACATTTACCATCATCGGATAGTGTCAATTTGAACTAGAAAATCGAATGATACAGTTCCGAAAAGTTAGAATATCGATTAAGTAACTTCATACCTTGATGTCTTTGTTCACTAATGATTCCATACATCGTTCCATATTACGTTTGAATCGTGGATGGAATCGATAGAGTGATCCGTCGACACCGGCGGTAATATTGCTTTTACCAATACGATTAATCAATACCGCTAAGCCTATTCATCATCATAAAAATCGAAGTTATTCAAATAGCTCGCTAGTAAACGGATTACATACCAGCACCAGCTAATCGTGCAGCTCGTTTTGATACTTGTCGACAGATATGTTGAACGATAGCACAATCATCATATGTGGGATTTTGAATGCCAATATCTTCGAGCACTCGTCGTGTATTTGAAAATTTAATACCTACGAAAAGAAACGTCTTTGTATTGCCGTTAATTCAATTAAATCTAGAGATTACCTTCATCGGTTTCCACAGTGGATACAAATTTAGTATAGAAACCACCGCGATTGTAGAGTGCAGCCTTATAATCACTGTAGGTATCTCGATGACCGAGGAAAAGTAATTCGTGTTGCAATAGATCTAAAATAATCAGTCGCACGATTTCGCCCATGTACATTCCTGAGATCATTTTTTCGAAACTAAAGAAAAACAGAGAAGAAGAAGAAAACTCACAGAAGTCCGAAATCAATTATTTACATCTGTTTGCCAGGATTAATTGATGAAATATCAACTTCTTCGTCATACTTTGTTCGGAGGTGTTTTAAACGACCATTATCACCAAAAGCACCCCATTCCGTATTGATAATCACTTGTTTCGGTTCGTTATAGTCACCGTCCCATGTTCCTACTCTATCTAAGCTTTCGATATAACATGCGTTTGTTCCTGTGCCTAATATAAGACCGATTGCGGTCGATGGATCTTTATATGCACATGCCATTAGTGTTCCAACAGTATCATTGACTAAGGACACACATTTCGCATTGATACCCTATGAGAAAACAACATGCATTATAAAGAGTGTCTGTGTAATTTGTAGTGCGAATGTCGAAAGCTACCTTTTCATTGATTGCTTCTTGTAAAAGTTTCACCACATCTTCATTAACAACGCCCGAACAACTAAAACCTTTCGTCCATGCTGTTAATCGAGCAGACGCTAAACTTTCCTGTTGACATGGGAATGAAAAGGTGAAACCTAAAGAAGTCATTGAAACAAATCTCGAAATAATCATTATCTTCGATAATCCTACCTAATGGATAACAGGTGCCTGAGTTTAATATATTTTCTTTTTCCATAAATTCTTCTAAACATTCAGCCAGATGTCGGAATAACTAAATCAACAAAAACCATTTCGATAACTTCCTCTATCAACAGAATGAGCATAAATTACATGTTTGCCATCTCCGATCATAATGGATTGCGGAATAACGAAAATCTTTGATGTTAGTTCAATCTTGGAATTACCATGTAAATCGATCAAAAGTACACGAAAATTCGTTCCGCCCAAATCAAGTGCAAGAACTTGACCAACTTCAGTACCATTTGGAATGTTTCGGACATATGTTGGAAACATTTTCACACTGGCTTTTTTATGCGTTGCAGGAGAAAGGCCAGCGTTCATTTCTTCTTCTAAGATATGCATCATATGTATCAACTGTTCATCGGAGATTTTCAATGAGTCCAGCACTTTTTCAATCTAAGTTTAAATAAAAAACCAAGTACAGGATGTCCTATTCTGTTCGTTGTACGTACTTGATCATTGAGTTCAGGGTGTCGATGCCGTCTTATAAGGTGTTTCTCTGGTGAAGCCACACGATATCCAGCGTACACTGCAGTACCGAGTATACATGTTGTTACAAGACCGTAAGCGGCTTTTCGAACTAATGATGTGATGGAATCATATGGTAGTGTACTGACGAGATCAAGCGACATGTTCGAAAGCTAAAAAGTGGAAAAACAAATAAGATCTTCATGCAGTTGACTTATTATCAAAAGGGCGCATAATCACATCGGAGTTATCCCTTTATATGAGAACGAGAAATCCATGTGACTAAGTAAAGCGAAATCGACGAACCTAACTGACGAAAGAATCGTACATAGTCAAATAAACTTTTATCTCTTTCTGCTATTTTAGTCATTTAAAGTATACAAAATGTACAAGAAGTTGATAGAAAGGGTGTGGACGTATGCAAATCCGACATGTTTATTCTATTCAGACAAGTCTAAAAGAGAAAAAACAAGTTCCACCACACCTTCGTCAAGAATATTCTATTACGCAGTTTAATTTTATCACACAACCGGAGTGCGTACTTATGCACTTACTATAGTCCTCGACGAGACAAGACAAAATACATTTGTTATACGTAGTTATCGTTTCACAAATGCTTTCCAAGTTGATAGTCAACAAAGAACTGAAACATCGTACGTAGTTTCTTGACTTTTATGATGATGTTTATTAGATAATTTATTTCGATTAAAAGTAAAATGCACTGGAAAAAGAAGAAGAACGACATCAACAAGTGATCATCATATTCACAATAAATAGTAAAAGTCAATTAACGAAATGTCCATAATGGATCTAATTGATTAAATGGATCAGATAGATCTTTCATTGTTGATGGTTTTGTTCGGAAGAAATCTTCGCGTGTTGTTTTAGGCTTGATATGACTTTCCTCGGGACGTAGATTAAAATTCGCTTCGATCGGCGTCAATTGCTTCACTGGTGGTTTTTCTTCTAGAATGGTTGACGTTGGAGTGGATGAAAGAATCGGACCAACATCATAATTTGGCGTAGATTGCACCAAAGGTTTCGCTTTGTCCATTATTGTTTGCATTTCCTCAGCGAGTAGGACAGTTTTTGTATTTGGCGAAATTGATTTCATATTCGACGATGTGGATTGATCGTGAATGATCGAACCAACATTTAGCAATCCAGCTTAGCAAAGAGCGATTAAATTCGAAAATAGATCAAGAAGAAAAATGAAATCTTACCTTTTACCAGACGTTCCTGTGCATAGCGAAGTAAAGCTTCGTATACGAATTTCAATTGATTCATGTCCTGTATCATATTGCGACGTTTTGTACGAAGCAACCGTATTATTTTGTTCAAATCGGGAAATGAGCGACCTTCATCAATATCTTGAATGCTTGTGAATAGAGTCAAAAATGGACCTGTACGAGACACTCCACTCCTAAAAGCTCGTATATCTATCATTTAGGTTTTAGCAAATGAAACTTACATGCATGTCACTAAGATTGTACTTCGTGGGTTTCGTGTTTGAGTAAGAAAGTGTTGTACCTCTTGAGTGAATTTCAACAATTCAGCTGGATTATCTGGCATTTCTCTAGAAGTAACAGATAATGACTGACATTCAATGAAATACAACGTACTTTGGTGGCCAACCGAAATGTTCGAGCCATACAACAGTTCTTGACTGATTCGTCTGTTTGAGGAAAAGAAACTTAGTGAGAATGTGTCATCGATAATAAATGAAACATACTTGTGAATGGTGTACGCGTATGATTCGGTGATTTGTCAATTGATTAGGACTTTTCGTGCTGAGTAAAGTAATAGTGAACGACGAAATTTGAAGCTCTTCTCCGACTTTTTGTGGATAAACATCCTAAAAATCAGATTATTAACAACAGATCGAAAAGGAATTTTCCTACAATCGATTGCATTTCATCTGGTCTGAGGAGAACAGCAACAATAGCAACGTGTTGATCGTAGATCATCGACCAAAATTGACCAATCGTACTTTGTAATGGATATTGAGCAGTAATAAATGAGGCATCACGAATTTTCTGCAATCGTGCATAGAGAAATCATGCGAAAATGAAAGAAACATTTCTCTTTTAATTCCTTACTCCGATCAATGTTGCGTTGATATAGTCATTGAAATGCTTCTGTGAGTTGTGGTTGGATTGAACGAGTCGAACACGTGAATTATCATCTATAAAATGCTCAGATGTTTTCTATTGAATCGAACAGTAAAACTCACAAGGAATTAGATCTTGAAAACGATTCAGTTTTGGATTGCATTTACCAATTGCACATGTTTGTGTGTGAACATCCTTTTCTTGTAAATCTGATAATTCCTACAAATAAGTATTCATGACTGGATTCAAGTAACAAATTCGAAGGTTTGTATCTTACTTTCCATTCGACTTCGAGCGGTACGGTACCATTTAACGTTTTTTTTGTCATTGTACTCACATGTTTTTCGAAACGTTGAACATCAGCTATTAATTGATCAAGTTTATCTTTCTCGTCGTGTGAATCTTGTGATTGTTGCGAAGTTAAAGTAGGCATTGGCGTGACAGGTGATTGCACTGGTTGTTTCTCTTCGGTACTGATTGATAGTGGTTGGATACACGCGATGGGTTTGCCATTACTTTTCACTTGTAGTTCATCATCAATTGGACTCAGACATTCAGGTTCAGGAGTGCGAGTGATTGGTTCTGGATTAGACATTGACAGCGTTGTTTCTAATTGTTGCTCAAGAGCTATTGACAGAAGATCGTCGTCAATCTTAGGTATCGACGATTGAGTTGACACTGGGTCTACTTGTGCTTTAACGCTGGATGGTGAAGGAACAAGTGGCGGGGGTGGAGGTGGTACGGGAGCAGGAGGTGATGGAATCAAAGGGGTTACTGGTGGAGGTAGTGGAGGAGTTGGAGTTGGCACATATTGTACGAATTGGTTCGTATTGTAATTATTACTACTGCTGTTGTTATTTATATTCGCTCCTGGGGGTATTTGTGGTGAACTAGTTGACAGTAAACCACCAGGACGGTAGACGTCTTGAGGTTGAAGACGAGCAGTAGGTGGCATCATGTTTTGCTGTTGCTGGTGTTGAGATGGTGGGACTATTGGTGGTACGAATGGTGTATTTTGCGATTTAGGAATATCATAGGCTCCGACTGGTTGCGGACGATAAGGATCAAATTTTGTTGGTGGCAGAACTTGTTGAGCAGAACGATTTGGATCAGTGAGACTTTGATTTTGATACATCGTTGGTTGTTGAGTTGGTAGTGTGGTCGTTGGTGGTTGTGGCTGCGGTTGCGGTATCTGATAATGATTTAGTTGATGCGGAAATGGTGGCTGTGTTGGCTGTTGAAACGAAGATGGTTGATGGAATTGTTGTTGTTGTTGTACTGGCGGTGGTTGATACATCGGTTGTTGTAGTGTCGAGTGTGACGGATAAAATTGTTGTTGCGGTGGTAACTGTTGCGGAATAGGTTGCTGTTGTGGCAATTGTGATTGATGATAGATCGGCTGAGTAGGAGGTGGCTGATGATAGATTTGCTGAGCAGGAGGTGGTTGAGGAACTGAATGTTGGAACATTGGTTGAGTTGGAACTGATTGATGAAACATAGGCTGATTCGGAGGAAGTGGCTGCTGGATTGTCTGTTGTGGTGGTGGTGGTGCTGGCTGATGAAATGTTGGCTGGGGTGCAATATTGGGTTGATGACTAGCGGGTTGTGAAGGGTAAAATTGTTGTTGGTAGGACACTTGAGGTTGATTACCGAAGTTTTGTGCAGGTAAAGTTGGATGAGAATTTACGGGATACGACTGGTTATATTTCGGCTGCTCATACGCTAAGGGCTGTGCGGGTAGAGGTGCGTAAGGCATGGATGGTCTTTCAAAATGTGTTGCAGATTCAATTTGATATGAATGTCGATTAAATGTAGGCAATGATGTCGGTGATGGCATGGAAGCATTGGAAAGATCATTACCATCGCCTATATGAGACGTTGGTGGAGGTATATACAAATTATCATCACGGCTGGTAGCAGAGGATCGCTTTGATGAACGAGTAGTCGTCGAACCCCAAGTGTCAGGTTTCATAGCAGCTAAATAGTCTTTCAAACGAGGTCGATCTGATATTGTCGGCGGTAAACTAGGTGTTGGAAATTGAGGTTCAGGAACGTCTTGAGCGTACCAAGTAGGCAATGGACTCTGACGTGAAGGTCTCGTTGATGGTATTTGGCGATGTAAAGATGATCTCGACGGTATGGCTGGTATTGTTGGTGACTGGTATTTCGGTTGTAATGACGTAAGACGCTCATTTAGTTTAACCAATTTTGCACTTTGCTAAATATATGGCAAATATAAGAATAGTAATCCAAGAACTTCCAATCAAAAGCTACCTTTTTATAAAACTCGATGCCTTCGTGTGCTTTCGATAGAATATCTTCGAATGCTTTGAAAGAATTAATATAATCTTGAATCAATCGATTACGTCTATTGTAAAAAAAAGAGATCAGCTATTATGCCTGCTTGTAACGAACAAACAGATTTTGATATATTTACGTTTCATATGTCGTTCCCATTTTCGTTCGTACATCTGCAATCTCGGCATTCGCTTCTGTCAATGATTGCAAAATATTGTCTTGTGCTGAACAGTTCTGTTTGATATAATTCGTAATCTCTTCATGTTTTTTCATTTCATTAGCAAATAAACCCTATAAAAATCCGCGAAAATCGATCGTCGATGAAGAATTTCAACTATGGTTCTACTTTGTGATTCTCTTGTCTTTGCATAAGTACCAATTTCGTGATATCATCACCATGAATTTTCTTACGAAAATCAGCGAGCAATGTTTCACGTTGTTTCTTCATGGTTTCAACTTTCTCATTGAGGAAAACTAGACGAGCTAGTTTAGCCTTATTTGCTTCATCTAAATCATGACAAATAACAATGAACAAAATTCAACGAAGAAAGCAAGTTTCATACCATCAAATTCAGTTATAATCGGTAGAGTTTTTTCTAATTGTTCCATAGGTAATTGAAGAATTTTCAAATGATCAATGATTGTTGTCATATGTCGATGCAATCCAATATTACTTTCATTTGCTTGTATCATCATATCGCGAATAGTCTTCAGATTTGTTTGAAAATCTTTGAACTCCTTGTCTGATTTGACGGAATCATTTTTTTCTGCGAGATTAGTCAATGCTTGTTCAAACTCATCCAGCTGACCGGTTACATCGTGATGTTGACTATTTACCTCTAAAATTTCGATATAGAGCGTTAAGTCGAGGGTGAGACTATGGAAACATACGCTGCATAGCTGAAACGAGATCTTTTGACATATTTGGACGAGCAGCAACAGCTGCGCAACATTCGAGTAATTCACGTGGTAAACGAAGATATTCATTATTCAATGGAATACGATCTAATTGTAGGCATAGCATGAATGTGCTATAAATGAATTTTTGAACACGTGAAAATATACAATTTCATGTTCTTACTCGAGTTCTCGATTTTTATTCTCTGTTAATTCGACAATTTCACGCAAAAGCTTCGCTTTTTCTTCGCTGTATTCTGACGCCGCTAGATGTGCATCCTTAAAACAAACAAGTTTATTTTTGTTTTGTAAAATAATCTCAAGTTACCAATGGCACTAATTTTTGAAAAATATCCGGTCCACACACTTCTGCATCGTGACAGTCGAACGGTTGCGGCTTTGCAACAATCGCACCTACACATTCAACAATTATACTTCGTCGTTATATCCAGTCGAATTAACGCATACCTTGAACAGCTTGTAAACTTGATAATGCTGGTACTTTCTCAAAATAAACGCTGTCGTTATCGCGTTTAGCCACCTTGAATCTGTGCAGAGAAGATTTCAATCATTTTTTGCGACAAAAAGATTATGTCGTGACGTACTTTCCCATAACAACATCATAGGTAAATGTATGTGCATCTTTGAATACGTTCGTCTTGTCTGATGAAATTTTTTCCGCGTTCTTCCAAGCTTCTTTCAATCGCTCAACAGCTGCTTCGTAATAACAAACACTTTGACCATATTTTTTACTTTCCTCAGCAACTAAACCGGAAAAATAATATGCAAGAGCCAGATAATATGATAACTTGTACGTCAAAGCTACACGCCATTCCTAGAAAGCATCAAACACAATTGTCGTCTTTGAACATGAACACAAATCATTAACAAATGGATGATTTCGATATGTATGGATGCTTAGAAGACTTCTAATGTTGCGATCGTGATTGGTTCACATTGTATGGGAAGAAGAAACGATGTGAATCCAGTACTAGTAATCGCGCGAAACTTTAGAGGAAGAGTATCTCACGATAAGATTCGAACCGTGTAACTTCACATTGACTGACACATCTTCTACCGCTACACTGTCAAAAGTTTCAAATAGACAATCCAATCGAACATAACTCAATTTCTACATAGTTTATTCGATTGTAGAAGAACTTACACGAAATCGTTTAGATACAATGGAATTAATTCCTGGCTTTGTTAGATTTAAAAGTGCCATTTGATAATATTCTGATATTTGCATGGCGATGTGAGCATTGACAGACGCTGCTCGTTGGTCCAATAAAGATTTCTCAAGAACAGCTTCGTGTGCTTGCGCCTATGTAGAACATTGTCATCAGAGTCCTTCTCAGATAAATTTCTTACCAAAAGAACATGAACTTGGCATGTTAATAAGTCAGGAGTCAAGTCTGATGTATATGTTGTGTACTGATCACGTACTTTTTCATAACATGAAGCAGCACATCGAAAGTATGTACACGCATTTTTAATGCTCTAAACAAGAATAAATGAATTCCTATAATGAAAATCGAATAATCTATTCACATACATCATGTGTTCTTCGTGGTTCATTGGCACCTAATCGTGAATACATTGCTCCAAGATTATATAAAATACACGCTTCTTCAAATCGGATATCATTGTAAGAATTTTCTTCTTTTTGATAAGCATCTTCCCTACAAATATCACGCGTCGAGATTCGATATAAAAGAACGTTTTATGTGAAATCTTACCATGTAAATCGCACCGCACATTCAGTTTCAGGTAACATCGGGAAACGATTGCGTAACAGTAGTAATTGACAGTAATATTGTTTCAGAAGCTGAATACCAGACTGATCTGCTGTTGAATTAATTGTATTCTAAAACAAATTCTTCAATTCGCATTGGACCTTTTCCGAGAGGACTTTACTTGACGAAGGCGATTCATTTGTTCACATTCACTAGCATATTTATCGCCTGATTCTTGATACGTTGATGTGATGTACTGAAATTTTGAAACAGACGTTTGTCAGTTATGAATAACAAAGAAATCAACGTACATTGGGAATTTTTTCACATAGATTAACCGATTCGATGGAGACTTTCGGATCGAAACCGATCGTAGGTAATCGTGGACAACCTTCAAAGACATATTACGATAAGTTCAATCCATGACAAAGCTCTATTTACTCTACCTTCCATGTCGACGGGAAAGAAAAATAAATTCTGAAAAATGACGACGATCAAATAGATTTATCTCCTGATTTCGCTAACTTCTTACCAAACAAAATGATTAGATACGAAGAGAATAACTAAATGCAACAATGCTGCTTCATTTTTCTTCTTCTAATTAGTCACAAATCTAAACAAAATATCATTGGTTGGTTTATTTATACTAGTCAATCTATCTATGTAAAGGAAGGGGGCGTAATATGATTATTAGAAATATTCTCGTCAAACCAAACATTCGATTTCAAGAAAACAGAAACAGTTCGTACTCTTGAAAGTCGAACAATAATCAAAATCATAATTAGTATACGTAAAAAAGATCTCATCAGGTCAGTCATTAAAAGCCTCGCATCAAAGAACCGCCTGGTCTTCTCTCCGTATAGTTCAGTACTTTATTTAAGAACAATGATTAGATGTGATGGAAATCTCCATTTTATAGAAAATAAAATTATACAGGTGAAGGTTAATCTGTTGAACGCAAGCGCCCTCTATTCTCCGAATTTAACCCTTGGCCGTACGATGCCGCAATAGGATGATAACATCGAGCGAGATTTCCCAATCAAGATACTCTTTCAAACTTCATCTCTCTAAAGTCAGATCTAACTCAGAAAGATGACTGCCTCAAATAAATTTCTCAAACACTTTCGTGATCTGCAAGCTGGTGAGAGTGAAAAGGCAGGCGCCGCCGAAACGCTTGCATATCTAAACGGTCTGTATTTAAAAGTATCGATCGTTCTAACACCGATTTGAACGTTTTTTAGGAGAACTTTCCTTCGTAGAATATGAGAAACGTGTTCGGGAAGTCAATACGGATTATTCGAATGTATCTGTTGGTAAAGTTCTTGATACTCGTGAAGCTGAAATCGTCGACATTGACCAAATGATTGATGAACTGAGCGATATTGATGATTTGAGTGGATTAAGTAGTAGTACAAGTGAAGATTCGTTAGAATCTCAATCGGAAGGGCAAGCTGCAAAGAAAAAGAAGACTGACAGTGAATCCAAAGGAAAACGTCGTCGCCGAAAGAAAACTCAAGAATCAGATGAAGACGATGATGAGTCGAATGATGATAGTGAAGACAAGACAATGGATCCAACTGAAATGCGAAATAAAATTGTCCGGCATCTGGAAGAAATGCGTTTAGCTAATCAGAAAAGAAAACGAAGTAATGAAAAGTTTCGTTGTAATTTTCATATCGAATTTGTTCCCCTCTGAAAGAACGATCCGATAAATCCAAACGTTCAATAACTCGAAAACAACCAGTAACAACAGTAAGAATCTTTCATACAAATTCTCACATCGAATATGCTTTTTTCACAGACAGAAAAAGTGCACAAAAGTCGTCTAAATCAAGAATACCAAGCATTAATGGGCGAAGCTAATATGGCATATGTTCACGGTGATATTCCTAAAGCCATACGTATATGTCAAGAAGTGATTACCAATGGTAGGATTTTCTATTCTAGTATCAAGTTAGACCAGGCTATTCTTTTCCTTTCTTTTCTTAGTTCCTAATGCCGCTGAACCATATTTGACGATTGCCCGAATCTACGAAGATCAAAATGAACACGAAAAGGCCTTCGAGGTAAATTCTATTCGATACTTGGTTGTATAAAAAAAGAGTATTGTATTCTAGATGAACTTTGTTGCAGCTCATTGTCAACGGTCGAAAGATTTATGGGCTCGGATGCTAGCAGAATGTCAGCAACGACAGGCAAATGATTTGATAACGACTTGTTACAACAATAGTAAGTTAGATGATGAGAAGTATCTTAATAATTTATTCGTTTATTTACACAAAGAGAAAAGAAACCGTATCGGTATGCTTAGAAAACAGAGATTAATGAATAAGTTGATTTTCATAAATATGATCATGATATTGTGGTAGAGCAATCCAATGTAATGTCTCTCCACCGAAAATAAACGGCGATTTCGTGTCGAAATGCGTTGTTTTTCGAGGTTGATCTTGTGATCTATGTCGGAGAAATTTGAAATTTTTGAACATTTTCGTTAAATGTTTCAATGGCATAAAACAGGACACTCGTTGAGTTGATGTTATGGGATTTTGCATAAGTTGTTCGTATTGTTTCTGAATTGAGTCGACATTATCGAGGATTTGTTGAAGAGTATAATTTTTCTTTTGACGACAAGAATGATCAATTTCATGAACGCACTCATAGATGGTATCATCAGCATAATCACGCAAAGTATCGTTGGGAAGGATTGGTGATAGAATGTCTTTCTTCGGTGTAGAATTTGTAAAATCTTTTGCTGAAATATCCACGTAGATATCAACATTGAGCGGATGAATCTCGTCAATATGTATACGAAGCATATTATGAAAATGAACGAGTGGAAAGAAGACAGATGTGGCAAATTGAAGAAGGACGAAACATCCAGTTGACAAAGAGGAAAGTGTTATAATGAGTGTGCGTTGTAGATGAACATATTCATTAGACAGAGAGAGAGAGAAAGGAAAGATATCTCATCCTGTTTCTCATAGCAACACGTTCAAAAAGAAGGAAAATATTTGTTTAGTGATTAGAAGAAAACAAATTCATCGAATTTATATCAAAGAAAATAGAATTACCAGGGACAATCGATAAAGTTTCAGAAAAGATAGGAAATTTATTATTTCGATAGATTGAATTTTGTCAACAGAAATCAATTCGATATATCTAGTTGAAAATACAAATCAAAATGATCTGTTTATCGTTGTCCAGACGTATGCTAAACTAGTTCAATATGTCTATTGTTTAGTTGTTAAACTTGATCCAATGGATATCGATATGCATCTAAGTCGTATTGCTCATGTTGAAACACACGGCACTCGAAAACTTTATCTGAATAGTTTACAAGCATTGCTCATGGCTTTACATCCATCCGAAGTTCCGGAACAAAAAGCGCTATATTTAGAAAAATATCGAATTCTTTTACAAGTAAAAAGCACATGTTTACATGTAGAGAACTGTTGTTTGTCTTTCGAATTATTCTAGGCAATCTTGGCGTCTGAACGAAAAGATACACATCTACAAACGCTGTTCTACAAAGGACTCAACGATCTTGGCACTGATTTCCCGTCTGAATGTTAGTTGGATTTCGAAGTCAATTCGTGCAAATCAGTTGTTCTTTTTCAGATATTGAACGTTTATTACAAATGGAGTACAATTCAAAATTATATCCCGAATTGCTCAAAGTAAAATGCAATCGAATAGATGCTTGATCGTTATGTTTTCGTCTAGAATATGATCAACTTTACGGGTGTTCGATTATCAAAGTATCAGACGGAATTAGAATTACCTGTTGATACAACCGATCTCGATGATTTGAAAGATGCAGAGTAACTGTCACAAAACGCGGATTTTGATTTGAATGTATCTGTGATTTTCTCTATTTAGTTTTTCTTTACCAGAATTCTATCGAACAGATTACTATGGTATGTTTCTTGTTGCCATTATTGATCTTAATTGTTCGGCTGTAGCATTGGTACGTATCGGATGAAATACTTTGCATCTAATCTGTTTTCTCTATTAGCGTCTATTGCCAGCGTATAAATCGAATGTTCGCTCAACCGATCAATCTTTGTGTCTTGATGTTATGTCAGCATTTGCATCAGCCGATCATTTGATAGAAGCATGTCAATTATTTGAACACCTTTCATCTCTATCGAAATTATCTGCCCAATCTTGGTTCCAATATTCCGAATGGTTAATAGCATTATCGAAGTTTCACGAAGCGTACGAAGCATTAGAACAAACATTAAGACTTGAACCGCAATATAATGAAGCACGTTTATCGTTATCAGCATTACAAAAACAGATTGGAATGAATGAACAAAGTCAACATACCTTAGCCGAAATCGTTAGTCGACCAATCAAACAGGAATCAAACGAAACAAACGATTTTAATGATCAAAATGATGATGACAAAGAGCAACAAGAAGTTACAAAGGAAAAAATTCATTTATTAGTGGAACGTTGTATCACCCTCTATGATCAAAATCGGCTGACATCGTTCATTCCAGATGCGATGCGACTATTTTTTGGTTCTATTAAATATCTTCTCACACTTGATTGTTCGAAACGTTTGATCAATTGTGGAACACGTGCACGTCGATTGGAATTAATACAAAAACTAGTCGATGAGAAACGTATCATCTTGAATCCATCATACACCAGAATTGATACTGTTCTAAAGAATCGAATTATTGATATTTATGGTAAATTCTGTGATGTACTCATCCATATTAAACGGCATGATCTACTTCTAAGAGTGACTGCCGCAGGAACAGTGATTCCGTTTCTATACGCTAGAATTGATTGGTAAGACAGTTAATAGTTTCGTAAATTTTCAACTGATTATTTCTTTTAGGCTTGTGTTGACAGAGTTTCTTCTATTCATTAGTTTAATGTTACAACAAAATGGTGATCTGGCTTTTCAGACATGCCGAGAAATTTTTCGTTGCTATTCGAAGTCTTCTGTTATACAAAACCTCTTTGCTCTAACAGCAACCATTACACCCAGTGTTCGATTACAAAAGTTTTGCGTTCGCTCATTACAAAAACGACCTAATTCACCAATTCTCCATCACATGGTTGGTAACTTCGCTTTAATTGGTGGTACTTATCGTTTAGCTATTATTCATTACATGAAATTATTTCGGTTGACACCAGATGAACCTCTCGTATCATTGTTATTAGCTATTTCGTTTGTACATGTCGCTTGTCAAAAATACGCTTATTCGAGACATCAACGCGTTCTTCACGCACTTGCTTTCCTTAAACAATACCGAAATTTACGTGGTGAATGTACAGAAACATATTATAATATTGGTCGTCTAATGCATTTTCTTTCATTACACTATGCTGCAGCGTATTTTTATCATAAATGTTTAGAAACTGAATCGCCCATCGTTGACGAACATGATATCTACGGAATGAAGTATCAAGCAGCATACAATCTTGCTTTGATTTACAAAGCGAGTAAAAATGAAAAATTTGCTCGGCATATTATACGAACATACATGACTCTGTAAATTCTTGGACTGTGTTTTTGTCTTCCTAATAAATTCATACCTTGTGCATTCAATAGTCAATCAAGAATGTTGCTTTGCTAAGTTTGAAACTTTCGGTTGAGATAATCAAAGTTCTTCCTAGAAAGTTCAACACATTCGTCGTAATCAATGAATATAGGCCGTTCACGATAGAGATACTCATCATTGGTAAAGCGCCTACTGTTTTTCACTTTTTGAACCATCTAAGACAATGATTCCGGCTCGCGTATCCGTGAAATTTCTGCAGGAAGACACCGGAAAAAGGAAGTAGGAATCCTTTAACCGGATCCTGCGAGCGATTTTGCTCGTTTCATTTCAGTTCCACAGATAATCGAAGAATTCTCGCTTACACTTTTCGTTGATTTCCAGTAACTTCCTTCTGGATTCAGACCGTATTTTTCGACATGGACATGAAACGACAGCTCTATTGAAAATCAGAATTTGTTATTAATCAGTTTACAAGCTATTGAGTAAAAGCGAACATTGATTATCACTTGCATTTCTTCTCAAGTAATTTCCTTTTTTGTGATTGATAAACACCAGCAACAAGGGAATGAAACGAAAAACCAAAATTGAAGATAGAATCGATCATAAGTTATAACACCTCGACAGAGTAATTCGTGTTTAGTGCATGGCTCAAACAAGAAAGATTTTTCGCAATTAGAGGTCACAGTGCGATCGCAGCTATCCCCCAACTCAATCGTAATAGAGCACATTGGATCTGAAAAACAGAATAGATTATTTGAGGAGAACGGATGAAGCATGATTATATCTATCTTATCAAAGGTAAGGAGTTTGTTACATGCGTAATAGGTCCGAAATTACACATGACAGTAAAAACGCTTCCTGTCCTGCCGAAGCAAAAAAAGGGTCGTTCCGCCAATACATACGATAATCTTTTTTGATTTCTTCGAATACGAATCTGAAACTTTGTGACTATATTGTATAGTTGAGAACAACAGCCTATACAATCCGAAAGAGAATTCCACTTCAACAAATGGAAAACCGAGAAATTTCTAAACACTCTTTATATGACTCTGTAAAGTCATCGACTATTGTTCGCCTTCCTAATGCGTCTACACATTGCACATTCAATAATTAATGTAATATAACCGCCTTGATGAGTTGATTCTAAGTCAAGATGCTGAATCTTTCCACTGAGAGGATGAGAACTCTTCTCAGAAAATTAAAACATTCTCTTCATAATAAATGAGCATATAGTATAGCGGCGGCGCTTGAAACATTTGTCATTTGTGAAGTGACTGTTGTTTTTCCTTTTGAATATATCATGCATATTATTCCAAACTATAGACGAAGAATTCTGCCGAAAAATAGAATATATAATTAATCAATGTATACTACAAGTTTGAATGGTCGAATGTGTACACAGCCGATTGACCGTAGTTTCTGTTTGCTTGTACATCAGACGCGATATACGAGAGCTGAGCAACTGAACTCAATTCAGCAAAAAATATCGTATTGATTGAAACATTTTATCGAAATAAGGTATCGTGTCTCTTTTACGAATATCAACGTTCAAATTACTGTGATCTCTGAATATAATTAGAATCCAAATGCGAACTTCTCTAGTTTTTCGTGCATTTGGCGTTTGAATTCATTTCATTCTGCCATTTTCTGATTAGTTCTATTTTTTTATGAATACAATGTCACGAAAAACATGGTCTCTTGTAATTGAAAAAACGATGAAAGATCACACACTTCACGTAAAAACTGACGATTGGGATGTTCACTGCATGGATGCAAATTTATTGATGAAAGAAACTTTAAGAAGTTCTGTTATCTAGAAGTGAATATTAATAAGATATTAAGCATCAAAACAAGCAAAACAACATATATCGCAACAGTCGGCATAATCAAATTCGTCTTCATGATCATCAGTGTTGTGAAGATTGAAGATATGATCAGCAGTATTGATATCAGCTATAAAATTAGAAGAACCAATATACTGTAGTTTGTAATGTTCCATTTCAACTACATACAAAATAGATCAAAATCAGTATATTATTATGAAAATTCCTTACCCGATGAAGGTATTGCTTGTTGAACACTAGCGCGACTACCCATTATAGATTAATGACAGCAGTCTTGCTTGTTTTCAGGTTACAACGGGGTCTTTTATACGAGAAAAATATTACTCGTGACTTTCTACGTTGGCTGATTTTCTTGACTGCATATACAAATGATATGTTCCAGTCATTGAAAGTCACACCGTGTTGCCAACTGCCAAAGAACGTACTATAGTAATAATGTTCTTTCTGTCTAAATACGGGAGAAAATACTGTTTGTCACAAGACAGTATGCACCTGTTTTGAATTGTATTTTTATCGCCTAGGGATTTCGATGGAATGTTCATTATCCAATTATTTCAATTCCATCTACTGTTCTCTAATTAATTAAACTCAATGAAAGTGTTTTGCAAAGAAATATCTCGATTCAGCTGGTTCTATACAAAATGATCGACATCTTCATCTTGACAATTATGATTTATAAACTAAGTCATTCAATTGTCACATAAAGTTATCTTAGACTATGAAAACAACGTAACTTCTTCAGTAAACCGGTTTTCTCCCATGAGTAACTTTTCATTTGTTTAGAGATCCATGATTAGCATTGACGTGAAATACTAATTAGTGGCAATTTACGGTCACCCGAACCTGTACATTATGATAGAAAGCTGTTATTTCTTTCTTTTCCATGCCATGATAGTAATTCATAATTTACACTTTCATTTGTTGCACAGCAAAGTCACAACGTGTTGACCACAAGCGATTTTTTGGAAAGCTTCGCTGTCTATTTGACTCAATTAGTCAAGCACGTGTGTGTTTATCTTGCTATCTATTTCTATGCGGTCGTCACATCTGCGTCTGTAGATGTCGCTACCAAACAGCATATCTATGTCTCATTTTTATATAGTATCGTACATTTTGTCAAAAAATTTATTCGGAAGAGAAACTTCGCCGTATGTTTTCTAGATATTGAATTTTTCTCCAAGTTGAATAGATGCGTTCATACCAACTGCAATGACTCATAGCTAAGCAAACAAAACAAGCATACATACATACATATTTCCTTCATTCGCAAACATTGCGCACTCACATGTCATTGAGAAAAACAAATACCAATTCCGAATATATCAATTCTTGAACGTATTTCTTCCCACTAACTTTTTCCATCCAATCTTACCGATTGATTATAATACGATACAGCGTTGTATTTACTATTAATTGAATGAAGTGACCTTGGTCATATGATTCTGACTTATTGTCATCTTTTGTTTTTCAGAGAATATCTTCCCTATTTATTGGAAAACAATGACAACGATAACACGACGTAAGCCTCCGTCGTCGTCAACGACAAACAGTGGCGGAACATATAATGATTTGGCTAGTAGTAGTATTTCTCAATCCAATCAAAATGATCGGGAAAGTCGAGATAGAGATGATGAAGGTGAAAATGACGATGATAAAGAAACACGTCTAACACTTATGGAAGAAGTACTTCTGCTTGGTTTGAAAGATCGAGAAGTTCGTTGCCAACTATATTCATCTATTGATATTAACAATCTTTTCATAGGGTTACACATCGTTCTGGAATGATTGTATTTCATCGGGTTTACGGGGATGTATTTTAACGGAATTAGGTTTTCGTGGACGTGTCGAACTTGAAAAAACTGGTGCACGTCGCAAAGCGATATCCAATCGAAAAGTCATGCTACTTGATGATACAGCTACAGGCGATGTCCTACTCGATGAAGCTCTGAGACATATTAAAGAAACACAACCACAAGAAACAGTGCAAAGTTGGATTGAATATCTCAGTGGTACGTAAATTCTTGACGCCTAGCAGTGATTTATTTACTTGATCAATGGAGGATGATCTTTTCAAGAGTAGACAGCATGACCTATATTATCTTCTTGGTGAATGTCAAATTTGTATTGGAAATGCATTACCATATTAGTTTTTATCTGTTCTTTTTTTGTTTTTCAGGCGAATGCTGGAATCCATTGAAATTAAAATATCAATTACGAAATGTTCGTGAACGTTTGGCAAAGAATCTCGTCGATAAAGGTATTTGCAGTACAGAGAAACAAAATTTCTTTCTGTTCGATATGACAACACATCCGCTCAACGATAATGTACACAAAATGAAATTGATAAAAAGACTCCAAGATAGTGTCCTATCACGCTGGCCGAATGATCCACGTCGTATGGACAGACGAATCCTAGCATTAATCTACTTGGCGCATGCAAGTGGTAAGAAGAATTCGATAGGATACTTTGGTTTTCTGGAGAAATTCTTTTTTCTTAGATGTCTTGGAAAATGCTTTCACATCTTTATCTGATGAAGATTATGAAGTTGCTATGAAACATGTACGTGAATTACTTGATCTTGATCCCGATCAGGAATCGAGCAAATACGATCCCAAAATGGAAACAATGTGGGCTGTTGTATCAGCATTTAACAAATAGAACAATTTCGGTTTCATATTCACCTTCTTCTTCTTCTTCTTTATTTTCTTTTATCGCGATATTCCAATAATATATAACTGGGCATTACTGTCGTTCAACCATCCAAAAGGATTGATTTCTTATCAATATTTTTTTCTCTTGTTCTGGCTGCTATTTTCTTCTTTTTTTTTCAAATAAAACACAAAAATATAAATATTCATTATAACTCTCTGTCTTCTTCTCTCCAATTTTTCTGCTTTTTTCTTTTTTTTCATTGACAGTATACATAACATTATCTTTCGGGTACAGAACACACTTTAACTCTTACAAATTGTACACTTACTATGTCTCATCTCGTTTTTTTTGTGTGCGCAGGTTTCTTCGGTATCTATATATTATGTTCTTCCTGTGATATACACATACACAGTATAAAAATAAAAGCAGCTATACTGTCGTTTGCCTTTTCATTAGAACTGCTCAACAGCTTTTTTAATCACTTAGCAACAGATGATGATAGACTAGATAGGGATTCTTCGTCTTCGGCGGAAAATGTCGTCATTGGCTGAGATTTCTTTTTGATAATGTACCTCCTGTGACGTCTTTCAGTGAAAAGTATGCTGGTTAAACGTATATGAAACATTGAGATGTTATGACAACTTGAGTAGTTTTGAGAGAAAGAAATAATGACGACAGTAATACATACAAGAGAAGAAAAAATTAGAATAAAGAATGTAGAAGCACGAATGTTTTTTTTTTCATTTGATGAAGAACAAAAAATCCGAGAAGGTTATTGTTTAGCTGACATGTGTACGATACTCATATTACATTTCTTGACGCATCAAAAACAGATTTCGTATTTTTTAGTCAATATTTTCGTCATGGGAAATCTGCTCTCTTGTGCTAACATTCGATTAGGAACACGAATAAGTGAACCAATCGAAAAGCGTATCCCGGTTCATCATAAATGTCGGAATTGTGGTCGAAAATGTGATCCGTCAAGTCCTTCAAATGAATGTGTTCATGCGAAATATACTCGAACTGGTACAAAAGAACAGCCAGCAATAATTCGATCAATCGTTCCTGACGACAGAGTGTCGTGGTCGACGCCACTTGACTATAGTCCAATTGAATTTACGTCAGAAAAAGTTCTCAAATCAACCAAAGAATATGTCGATCGCGATCCTCGAAATGATCCCAATGTTGTCATTCCATGGAATCAAGATGATCGCCTTTGCGATCGACGATCGTATCACGGCAAATATGAAGTTGTTCGGGGTGTGCCAAAGAATCCATGCGGACGAACAGGACTTACTGGACGAGGACATCTAGGTAAAGAAACAAATAGTAGAAAATGGAGTTTCTCATGTTTAAAAACATTCTAGGTCATTTTGGCCCGAATCATGCAGCTGATCCTATAGTAACACGGTGGAAACGTGATCAAAATAACGCGAGAGTTCGTCATCCGACTAGCGGGCAACCGATTTTGCAATTCGTTTGTATTCGTCGCAAGGATACGAATGAATTCGCTATTCCGGGCGGAATGGTTGAAAAGAAAGAAAGAGCAACGGACACATTGAGACGAGAATTTCATGAAGAAGTTCTGAATTTTCCAGATTTAGATGAAAATGAACGAGACACCTTAATGACAACAATAAAGAACATCTTTGAAAATGGTGGAACAAGAATTTACTGTGGTTATGTCGATGATCCAAGGTATACAATCTCAGTCAACTCAATATCTGTTATGTTTCTATTCTAGGAATACTGATAATAGTTGGATGGAAACGACAGGTACGACGAGTTGTTGCTCTTGAGATAAGAATTATGTCATTAGAATACTTTTTCCTTTCTAGTTTACAATTTTCATGATGAAGAAGCGAAACATCTTGCTTTGATCAATGTAAATGCTGGTAGTGATGCTACAGACGCATTCTGGGAAGATTTAGACTCGAAAATGCCGCTATTTGCAAGTCATGCGGATTTCCTTCGACGCGTTGCTGCTCTACACAACTCACATTGGTAGAATTCGCATCAAGATCGTTATTTCAACCTTTGCTTTCTTTTTATGTTTTCTGATCATGTGTATCTGTATATCAATGAAAATCAACCTTGACCAATTCATTTTATTTTTTTACACTTGTTCAAAATCTGTCGAAATATGAATAAAGTCTGAAATGTGATTCCAGTGTTAATTCTAATCGTCACACCACTTTCTCTCTCTCTCTCTCTCTCCCTCAGCGCACATGTTTATAGTTTTGTCGCGAGTGAAATTCATCCAATAGATAAACATTCGAATGAGTCATCGATTTTTCAGTCTTTGTTTAACTGTTCGTTCGATGAACAAACAATCTAACAACGAAATAAGAAAACATTTCCAGAAAGTAACAACAGCAAAATCTTGAAAATATGACAAATATCGGAATGTTAACACCAGATCGGTTTCAAATGGAACGAAGTAGAAGATTGTCGTTGAAAACCAGCTTGTCTTTTAGTATTTTCTCATAGGTCACAGTTTATTTAACTTTCCTCGACGACTAATACTGCATCCATTGGAAATCGACGATGACGATGATAACGGGAGAGGGTCACCCTTTGCAAATCGATTCGGTCCATGCGATGAAGCAGTATCCTCGACGAAGAAAAAAGCCAGAGCTTGGTCAGTACGTGCACGACGTGACGAACCGAATCTTTTACGAGGAGACAGGTACTTGAATAGTGAATCTTGCTTCTTCTTTTTTTTGACATCAATGATGACACAGAACAAATCTTTAATGAATTTAATAGATTCATTCCACGTCGAATTGATCTTGACCGTGATTATGCCCTAGATACACTTGTATCCCAAAATCTTCAGATAACTTCACGTGTTATATCTTCGAGCAATGGTCAGATAGTATCCATCGATCAACAACAACAGCAACAACAAATTGTTCGTCAACAACGTCGGACACAAAAACGTACGAATCAACAAGCGCAAACAGCATCGTCACGTAAAACACTCGAATTACTCGAACATTTCATGCCACAAAATCGACGCATTTATAATTTTGGTGTGAAGACTCTCAAACCACGACCGATAGGTATGATTATATCATTTCTCCACGAGACATCGCTTATCATCTCTTGTATCAGATCCCAGTGATCTTGCTCGACAAATCGAAGCATTAACAATCACATCTAAGGAAAGATACATCAGTTCTACGCCAGAACGTATCCTCGATGCACCTGATTTAATCGATGATTTTTGTAAGTAAAGATTCGCTTTTGAAGAATCCCTACTGATTGATGCACTTCAGATTTGAATTTAATCGACTGGGGTAAGCCGACAAATATGATCGCTGTTGCTTTGATGAACTGTGTGTTTCTTTGGGATGATAATTCCGGTAATGTGACGAAATTACTTGAACTTCAAACACCAAATACAAACGATGAATATGACGATGATGAACAAGTACATTATGTCTCAAGTGTTGCATGGCACAACAAATCACCTTATCTTGCTGTCGGCACATCTTATCAACAAGTCCATATTTATGATGTTAATCAACAAATATGTAAACGAAAACTAATCGCCGAAAATACACTGGATGAAGACGATAGAATACCTTGTTTAGCATGGAACCAAAATATCATTGCTTGGTAAGTTCCGTCTTCGGTACAAGTCAACTGTCGTTTGTTATTCTTTTTGATTAATCCGTGATTTGAAATCTGATCTGTCAAACAAATCTTCTTTGACATTTACTATTTTCTAGTGGCACGCGCAACTCAGGTGACATTCTTCTCTACGATGTCCGACAAAAAGATTGTATTATCAAATTTCAAACACATCGGCAAGAAGTTTGTGGTTTGAAATGGTGTCCCAACGGACGATATCTCGCCAGCGGTAGTAATGATAATACTGTATGTGTATGGGACTTTCATCAATGGTATTCAACCAGTGGAACATCGGGTAGTTATTCTTCACTTTTACCACCAGCTGATGGTGATAAAAAGAAAGCGAATATTCCAACGAAACCTTTATGGCACATTAAAGATCATAAAGCAGCTGTTAAAGTCAGTCCGAAGGTTTCATATTCTCTTGAAAATGTTGCTATTTAGGCGATTGCCTGGTGTCCATGGGAAGGTTCGAAAGTATTGGCAACCGGTGGTGGTCATTCAGATGGTTATTTACGTTTCTGGAATAATAGTAATGGCACATGTCAACAAGCAATCAAAACCGATTCACAAGTATATAGACAAACGGAAAAGAAAGAACACAATCGATGTTTTGTTGTTTTCAGATCTCTTCCATACTTTGGTCAACAGATTATAAACAAATTGTTACGGGCCAAGGTCATCCAAACAATTTCATTCACATTTGGCATTATCCGTCGATGGAAAAATGTCATACATTACATGGTAAATAAGTCTATTAGCTTGTTTATGATTCAGCAAAAGGATATTTTTCTTTTTGAAGGCCATACATCACGTATTCTGTCATTAATCATGGGGCCAAAAGGCAATCCAGTTGTGAGTTTATCAGCCGACGAGACAATTCGATTTTGGAATTGTTTTCCAATCGATGTGCAACGGAAGAAAAAGCTCGAAATGACACGTACACATTCGTATCCTACAAAGTTAAATTTCAATTGTCGATAGTCAACATTTACTATGAATATTTTCCCTCAATGCTTTACTTTTCTTGTCTACAATAGATTCTGAAAAATACAATGACATCAATCGAGTTCACTCAGTAGAAAAGAGAATAATTTTATTCTTTACATCTTTGTCTGGAGTCACTTTGAAGAAAGAAAGAATCTGCATATGATAATTACATTACTAGGATAATCTCTGAAGCGTAGTTTCACTTCTCTGATTTGATATGACGTGTAACGAGAACAGAAGCGACGAAGAACATTCGGCAAAATGTTTTGGATCACAGACAAGTGTCATTCTCTTAAATATACGAAATAAAACAGACGTAAGTACGTGTCTGATGATCTATATCATGAACGAGGTAATTGACATTAATGAATATATCTATATACGCAAAATATTGACATGTGTTTTGGATTATTCAAAACAAATGAAATTCCACTGAATGTATCCGATGATTATTGATAGATCGACAAATATAATCGAATCAATCATAATAGAAAACTTGCCTTTTTGATCATCGTCAAGAAAAACAAAAAAAAACCCCATCTTCTATCTTCATCAGTAATACCCATTCACCTTGATCATGATGAACAATGTCTTCTCTGAGCAAAAGAAAAGCAATCTATCGCAGCTGGTTTACATAAGAAAATGAATATAAACAGTAATGACGTCGGCCGATCTTGATACATCAGTTTTCTTCGTTTTATCACTCATTATTATTTACCAAGCAATCATGAAAAAAAAACGAGGAAAAGCAACCATTCCTTCAATCAAACAATTTCCGTACTGCCGTAAGTGAAGAGAGAGTCCCGTTTAGATTGATTTTTTTCTACTCTAATGAAATAATAAGTTTAGAACATGTTATACTGACAAGCAAAGAGCGCATTATTTCAACGTTGACGAGAAAAAAGTGCAAAACTGTGTGTCAAGTGCAATTCAATTAATTCTGTGCATTGCGTTTTATTTACATAGACAATGAGGACTATCGAAAGGAAATGACGGCTTATGGAAAAGAGAAAACGTAGAAATCTTTCTTTGGAAAAATAGTTCAGTCATTTCTTCGCCTTTCTATAGAACAGATTCATCTAGCAAATGGTGACGAGTAAATATACAACAGTTTTTAGCACCACAGACGCCCGGTAAACCTTTCGGGTGTCGTATCTCGGATAGCAGACTTTACTTATTTTTCTTTGATCTGAGAAGAGAGTTTTTCTCGCGAGAAACTCGTGACATTTCACTTTTTTCCACGTACATTTAAAGCAGTTCAACAGCTGATAATGTTTCGTGCATGACAATTAAAATTCTACGCCATTAATTGTCATTTCAGACGAAACATTATGCTCGAATGGTAACCGTGATGATACGGTTAGTTTTCCCTAGATCAGAAACAAGAAAACAAGCCGCAGAATAGTTTTGTTTTTCAGTCAACGAGAGAGAGAGAACTAGTTGCTTTTATTGTTTCTACAACAATGTCCGTTTCCTCGAATCTATCGAACGAGAACATTTTGGATGTTTTTCTTGTGCTCATTGTTAGTAATTACGAATCATGAAGAGCAGATTCAACCTTTCCTTTCGAGTTTATTGATGCGAGTTCAAACGGAAGTTAACAACGATCAAGTTCAATTATTATCTTTTGCTAAATATCAGAACATTGCCATCTATCTTTTTTTTTTCGTTTCAAATTATAATTAGTTCACGAATAAAGATAAAAAAATTAGATAAGACTTGAATGGGTACGCCTACAGCATGATAATCTGGATTTGTTTTCAGCTAGGTTCTTAGATGTAATCATATCTGCCGGAAAAAGGAAGGGACGTGTCGTATTTCTATTCTTCTCTATTTGGGTAAGGGCAAAAAACGTAAGTCTCCGGAATTCACTCCCATCTGAGAAGCTAGTTAAGTTGAAAGATGGATATCGATTAAAACAGTTGTCATAGGAATTGTTTTCTTTTCTGATGAGACGAGACGAAGAGGAGGCGGAGAAGAAGGAGAATGATGAATAAATGCAATGTTATGTATGTCAATGAGGGATCGTCATCTGGTCTGTCACAGAACGCGTTCGTCGCTTTCCCAAAGAGTCAACTTCTCATATCGCCTACATTTTCTTTTTCTTTCATCGTCATTATTATTGTGCAGCTTAAACGCATCAAATAATTCACAAAGAAAATAACCATATGAGCACATAAATTTAACTTCTCGTTCCAGATTACAAGACTTGATTAAAATAGCTGCTCGTATATTTTTGTTTTCAAATGACATTTCGCTAACTATTTCAAAGGCAATTCATTAGTTGAGCTCGGTAACAAATGAGTGGTTCAAATGACACCCTCCTATCCAATAAAACTCTCGATACAAATGACTGGACATGGTCATTGCAAACAATAATTGTCTCGTTAACATGCGGTCTAATTACTCTTGCAACGATTTTGGGTTAGTGCAGTTCAGTCTTCGTTCCAAACGACAATTTCTTTTCTTTTCAGGCAATGGTCTAGTATTACTTTCCATTAAATTTCGTCTACATACACGATCGTATTCCGATTACTTCATTGTCAGCTTATGTTTGGCAGATTTTTTCGTCGGATTATTCGTCATGCCACCGATGGCACTACATACATTTCGATTAAAATGGCCATTTCACTATCGTCTTTGTTATATGTGGATGTCAATTGATTTTACTTGTTCAACAGCATCCTTTCTTACACTGGCCTCCATGGCGCTTGATCGCTATTATGCACTTACAGGTATGTATCTGTTTCCGAACGTTTTTTCTTGTTGAATGATGTTGATTTTTAGCGCCGTATTTTCATCTACGAAATCGATCATATTCATCTGTGTTAATATTCATTGTTAGCTCATGGGCAATACCGTTTGCTATATGGCCGATGTCCATCTTTCTTGGTCAGCATTTTAGTTCGCGTACACCAATTTGTGCTCATCCGGCGAATCCTTACATAATTGTCGTTCTCTGTTCATTCTTCTATTATATTCCTCTCTTATTCATGTTATGTTGCTATTCCCGAATCATAGTGAATATCAAAAACATTGAAGTTATGGTAAGACATACGTTTGTATGCTGATGAAGTCGTCGAGTTCTTTTCACTCCGCAGTTCGTCTCGAAGTAATTCATGAATAATTCTATATGATGATTATCAATGTTCGACACTAGTTATATCAGTTGATTAATTTCACTTCAAAAGAAGAACTTTGATGTCAATTGATAAAAAAAACATCTAAAGAACTTCTAAACTATAATTAAGTTGATATTTATAGAATAATAATTGGTGTTCATTTAATACTCGAAGGGTTTCTTCGTCTAAATTCGATGAAATTATTCGAAGAATTTGTGATTACTAGAATCAATTTCTTTGCAGACCGGAGTACTTTTCTAAGTTGTTATAGATAGTCATAGTATGGTCCCGAGTTCATCCCAAATGTGCGTGTTGCACATTTTTAGCCAAAGAAAGACCAATTTGTCTGAAATAATTATCTTTCAATATTTATAGATCAAAGGTACTTGGGGAACGATAAAATACAACCCAAATGATTATGGCAACGGTTATACTCAGAACAGTGATAAACACAATCTTACTTCGACATCATCGCAATCAACTTCGTCATTACGTTCACTTCTACTAAGATATTTTCAACGGAATACTACCAAACACCCTTTACAGAATCCAACTCATTCGGGAAATGGAAGTCCATACAATGTTCCTGTAAATCTATTGAACAATCGGTGCAATCGACTGGGAACTGTCTCCAATTACGGATTTGCATCGAATACATTATCGCCTGTTCCTCTCTATCGCTCCAATCGACAGGCAACAACAGCAACATTTACCGGTCAAAAGCGTTGTTTGAATGATGTTATTGAAGAGAAACGATCTAAACCTGATTCGACACTCAATCAAGAAGAAGATTTGGTTCGAACACGTCTCAGTACACGAACATCGTCTCTACCTGCCGCACGATGTATTTCCTACTATCATTTTCCAAGTTCAAACATCTCCCAAACAAAAATTCTCGAAGATTCGCCTCATACGCGCTTCAATTCCATCTCCAATGAACGAAGTCGTTCACATTCCCATTCGTCGAATCAAAGCGTGGGCATCAATGGTGGCATATTGACAACGGATATATCCGAGCATAGTTCATCATTTGAGAATACTCTCGACGATGATCATCGACGGTTAAGTCGACGTCATTTACCCTCGCATACTACATCAACGTCATTCAATTCAAGTCGATATAGTCAACGTGCAGTGGCACAGTTCATGCATGAGAGAAATAAGGCAAGATTGAGACGAAATCAAAAAGCAAGTCGGATGCTAGGTATGATTTGTTTACTTTGTTTTTCGTACTCGTAGAACTTTCGAAAGCATCGGAAATCCTCAACAGAAGAGAGACGCAGTAATATGATCTAGAGTAATGAGTTTGTCTTTCATTTTAATCCGACTGAAGAGAGAGAGAGAGAGAGAGAGAGAAGAGCACACTGAGAATCTCATAAAGTCATTCAGGATATGACGTTAAGCCATTAAAAGAAAAGTGGATATAACAACGATCCTATTATATCGTTATCACCGGTCCATAATTACAAGAATAACTAACATCCAAATGTTCTTAACTCATTAGAAGAATGAGATGAGTACTGCAATAACTAACTGATTGTCTATTTTAGGTATTTTACTCGCTGTTTTCCTCATTTGTTGGCTTCCATTTATCATTTCTTATCCAATAATGCTGCTCTATCCGGACAAATTCTCTGCTAAGGTTGAATGTATCATCTTTTGGTTGGGTTATGTCAATTCGCTACTCAATCCGTTCCTATACGTGTACAGTTCGAGGAACTTTCGTAAAGCAATTCTGGAAACATTATGTTGTTTCAAAGGGTTGAAAGCAAAAGCACGCTTACGATATCAATGGTCATTGCGGAATTAGATAGTATGACTGGCGATATCGACCGAATGCATTTGATTTTTCTGTACATTTTCAACAATAAAGATGCTCTTCTATTATGCGCGTAGAAATCGTATGAAAATCCACTTTTCTTTCGCTTGCTGTAATCGAGAGAAGAGAAAATGACAAGTCACTAGGATTTTGTGTAATAAGTCTTCCATACCGATGGCTTTGTTATAATCTCTTGAAACATCAAAGTCTTTCCTCTATACAAAATGAAGATTGCAGGAAATCCTGATAAAATAACAAGAGAACATTGACTCGTGTGATATATTATACCTTCTGATCTTGAAAAGGATTTACATTGTAATTATATTCGGAAGAAAAACACGGGAATGTACAAGTTCAAAATTGATTAATTATTTGCTGAAATAAACGAAATTAGTTGTCAAGACTAATTCAACCAGAATTGCATCAAATCTGCACTTATCAATAACATGAGAAAAAGAAGTTATTCTTTTGCCAACATCTAGTGACTCGAAGAAAGAGGGCGCTAATCAAAACATAACGATAAGTGTCAACGCAAGCCAATACACAAGTGATGCATCCATATATTTGTAAGAACAAATTCTCAAACTTAAGACAAGATTCGATGGCACCAGATTGACTTGCAGCAAGCGAAAATCATGAGTGAATATAATGCTGATATCCGAGATGATGAATGTTGTGGAGATTCGATTAATAACGATGAAAATGATGACATATTCGATGATTTAGACAATATTAACGATTCCGAGGTGCGGGAATTTATCTGCGAAATAGAAAAGTCTAATTTGTTTTTCTTTGAAAACATTTTCGAATAGGAGGATCGTCGTTTGATTACAGTTGGCATTTGTGCACAATGGAAGAAGATCAAAGCGAAACCAATGGAAGAAATTCTTCATCGTTTGGAACAGTTTGAATTTCTTCGTATAATCGTCTTCACTGAAACAATGATACACGAAAAGTCTATTGAAGAGTGGCCATTCTGTCACGTGTTAATTAGTTTTCACAGTAAAGGTTTTCCACTTGCTAAAACGCAAGAATACGCTCGTCTCCATCGGCCGTTTCTCATCAATGATCTGGATAAACAATGGTGTATCATGGATCGTATTAAAGTTCATGAAATTCTAGACGATACCGGCATTCCTCAACCTCGGTATGGTGTAGTTCGACGAGAAAAGAATGAGGGTTTGTAGTGACAGACATTACACATTTGAAAAGAGTATCGTCTTTCGTTTAATATTTATTAGCTGGTGCATGGATAACCTTATCAAATGTAATCGAACAGGATGACCAAATCGAAATTGACGGGCAAATATTTCATAAGCCGTTTGTAGAAAAACCCGTCTCCGCAGAAAATCATGACGTTTACATATATTTTCCATCGTCAGCTGGTGGCGGATCTCAAAGATTATTTCGCAAGGTAAGGTTTTTTTGTTGAGATCAAAAGTATGAGCAACTTTTGCAACAATTATGATTGATCTTTTAACTAATAAAAGTCATCTTTTCTTTAGATTGGTAGTCGAAGCAGCGTCTACACATCGGAAAATAGTATACGTAATGATGGATCGTATATTTACGAAGAATTTATGCCTACCGATGGCACTGATGTAAAAGTATGTAAAAGTGATCTTCGTTGGTGCAGAATGAAGAGTTGATTGTGTAGGTTTATACGGTTGGTGCTGAATATGCTCATGCTGAAGCACGAAAGTCTCCTGGTCTCGACGGTAAAGTTGAACGAGATGAATTCGGAAAAGAAGTACGTTATCCAGTTATACTACGAGCTGATGAAAAATTGATTGCAATGAAAATATGTTTGGCATTTAAAGTAATTGCTCTTCGATTTGATTAGTTGGCTAGAAGTTCTTTGAATATTTAGCAAACGGTTTGTGGCTTCGATTTGCTCCGTGTAGAAGGCAAATCTTTCGTTTGTGATGTGAATGGATTTAGTTTTGTAAAAAATAGTACGAAATACTACGATGATTGTGCTTCCATTCTCGGGTAAGACGTTGTCTGACGATGCAGAATCAACTCATACAATTGTTTTCAGCCATATGATAATGCGAGAATTAGCGCCTACGCTATCAATACCGTATCCATTAGCGTATCAGCCAGAAGATCCACCTTATGTGCCGACAGCATTTGGAACACGAATGGAACTTCGATGTGTGATTGGCGTGATTCGACATGGAGATCGAACGCCGAAACAGAAGATGAAGATGGTTGTACTCCATCCTTTGTAAGATTTCTTGTCGTTAGTTTCAATGATGATTGTTGTTGTTTTGAAGATTTTTCCAATTATTCGAAAAATATAATGGTCCAAAAAATGGCCATTTGAAATTGAAACATCCCGGTCAACTTCAGGAAGTACTTAATATCGCTCGAACATTGCTCAAAGAATTGGATGATGACGGACTAACAGTAAGAACTCATATTCATACTTTTAGATTATGATTCATTATCTTGTCACTCATAGAAACTCCCAAATTCATCGGAAACAAGAGGAAAATTAGTACAACTTAAACAAGTATTAGAACTATATGGCCACTTTTCCGGTATCAATCGTAAAATACAATTAAAATATCTTCCGAAGGGCCCGCCAAAAAAATCCAGTAGTGAAGATGGTAAGAACCTAGCCTCAATCGATTTCTTTTTAAAAAAACAAAATTCCTGATATTTCCGTATTTATAGAATTGGATGACATTCCCAGTCAACCATCGTTACTCCTAGTAGTCAAATGGGGTGGTCAACTGACTCAAACAGGCAAAAATCAAGCTGAAGCTCTTGGGAAGGTGAGCGACCATCGAACGGCCTGAATATCCTTCTATCTAGATATCGTTGTAGTCATTTCGTAAAATGTATCCAGGCGGTCAAGGTGCCGTTGGTGATCGACCTGATGTTGGTCTTCTTCGTTTACATTCAACATTCCGACATGATTTAAAGATTTACGCATCGGATGAAGGTCGCGTACAGATGACTGCTGCAGCATTCGCCAAAGGTCTCTTAGCACTCGACGGCGAATTAGCTCCGATTCTTGTACAAATGGTGAAAAGCGCCAATACAAACGGTTTACTTGACAATGATGTCGATTCAACGAAAGAACAACAGAAAGTCAAACAAACATTACATGATCTTCTTGCCAAAGATCGAGACTTCAATCAGGAAGATTATGATAAAGTCAGTTCGTAGATGTATGAAAATCGATAAAACGGAGTTCTTCTTTAAGATCGCACCAACTCGATCGCGTTCGTTCACCACATCGATGGACTTTATCAAGAACCCAGTTGTTATCTGTCGAAAGATTCTTGAATATATTCATGAAATGACAGTACTCATTCGAACGCACGTATTCAAAGGCGAATCGAGTATGTCTATCAAAAGTTAAACAATTGTTGAACGAATGATTTCAATGAACTCTTTTTCTAGCTACGCTTTTCCATTCGGAAACATGGGATTTATGTTTAAGACGATGTAATCACTTCTGATTTTTAGTCCTTCATCAAATCGTATCCTCTATTCTCTTCTTCATAGGGTTAAAGCTTGAAAAAGACTTCTATAATATTCAAAAGGACAAATTCAATATTTCGAAAGTTCCCGATATCTACGATTCTATCAAATACGATCTCCTGCATAACAAGAATAAACTTCAATTTCCACATGCCGAAGATTTATATGTCTGTTCGAAAGCATTAGCTGACATCGTTGTACCACAAGTAATACAACTCTTCCAGATGCACATGTGTTTATTGATATAAAATTCTCTCTCTAGGAATACGGCATGACGATTGAAGAAAAGCTGAGTATAGCTCGCGGTATTGTCACACCATTATTACGGAAAATACGAGCTGGTAAATAATTATAAGCTTTGAATTGAAGATGAATGAGATAAGAATAATTGTATTTAATGAATCGGAAAATGGAGAAATCCGATAGAGATAAACATCTGGGATCGGTATTTGTCTTTCTCTCGAACAGACGCAAATGTGTGCTAATGAGAAGATTTATTATTCTCATTAAAAAGGATTAAAACAAATAAGTGAATTCAACTCGAAAAAAGTTCGGTTTTAAACACGAATGATAATTGCTCCATTAACTAGTATATTGACTAACCTCCGCTCTGTCAACTGAAAAATAATAAGTTGCATGTTGTTGATTAAATACCTTGTTAATAAATCAAGTGTTCGAACTGAAAAGAATACAAATTCTGTCCACGATTCATTTTAGACCTACAATGTAATTTGACCGGCGTATTGACTCATGACGAACATGTCAATAAATTAGATCCAAGGTACGTATGTCCTATTGGAAACTCCTTCTTTCAAATGGAATTTCGCTCGAATCCGTTGAACGTTCCGTAGATATTTGAATCAATTAAGTTCGGATAAGAAAAGGTATACTCGTACTGCTTGAATTCTTGACAGCAACCGAAAGATAGCAAAGACCTGGCCAGCGAGAAAGAATTCTTATCAAGGAAAAATGTGTTTGTTTCTGTTTAGTTATTCGAAAGGCATTCAAACTCCAGGCCGACATGTTCGTACCCGGTTGTATTTCACTAGCGAATCGCATGTGCATTCTCTTCTGACGATTATTCGTTACGGTGGTTTGTTGGATGTAATGAAAAACAGATGTTGAGTGAAAATGAGAGAAAGTATTCGAATATTTTTAGACACATGCCGATGAACAATGGAAGCGATCAATGAATTATCTTGAAACAGTCTCCGAGTTGAACTATTTGACACAAATTGTTATCATGTTATACGAAGACTCAAGTGAAGAAATGGATTCGGAGAAACGCTTTCATGTTGAATTGCACTTTTCACCGGGTGCCTATGGTTGCTTCGACGTTCCACCTGATGTATTTCATTGAACTTCATATAAAATCTCTCAATCTCTTCTTCTATCGTTTTCTTTCTTAGATTGACTCAGTTACGTCTGATGTGAATACAATTCGTACAGTATTGCCAAAGAGTAATCGCGAAGCAGCCCACAGTCCGCCACGAGATCAAACCAAAGCCTTATTGATAGAATCAACGAATGCAACGTCATCGCCAAAAGTGATCAATCCTGTTCCGACAATAATCACTGTTGACTGTGCCTCTCCGCCAATGACGACGGAAAAAACGAATCCAAAGATGATTAAAGAATCGCATGCAACGAAAAACTATCATCGAAATAGCGATGGAATCATACCGAGCTGTTCGTCAGAACCAAATGACTATGAAGAAATACATTCAACGTCTGTACCACGTAGGTTTCTTTACTTTTCTCAAAAAGCACGTACTTAATTACAAATTTTTCCTTCAAGGTTCGTCTCACTACGATAATTACCTATTGAAACCCAAATCCCTAGACAATAGTGAATCAAAACTACAACGTAAGTTTGTTTGCGTTCATTCGGTACAAATCTACTGTTTTCTTCTCGAATGAAAACTTACGAGTACTGTCACAGTGACGTTCCTCGGAAAAAAAACTAGAAATAGTGGATGTTCTTGCTTCATATTCATACTTCTAGACTTGACCGGACAAGAGTCCGAACCATCACCTGTATTTTCATCGGAGATACGATGTAAATCCAATACAATACTTGGTCTTTGCCCATCAAAAAGTCATGCTCAACTAAATCTGTTATATAATTCGGAACTCTCCCGACGAAATTCGGGTACTTTGTTTTACGTACGGAGTGTGAGACAGAAAAAAAAACGAATTCTACTATGTTTGATTCATGCTCACCCTGCTCATCTATTTTTGAATGAACCTCTCTGTTTGATACACTTACATATACATATCTATACATACTGATGTTTGAGTAACTCTCCAATTTCTCCCCTATTGTTAACTGCTAATCTCTAGAACGATGGCTTGACGAGTTTTTTTTCCTTTGGACATTGTATCTACATTTTCTATATCATTTTAGAATCAATCCTAACACACAATTATTACAATACTATTCACGGTGGTTTATCCGATAAACGAATACGTATGCTGAATTGATTTGAAAACTCCATGTAACATCTTTCCTGTTTTTAGTAAACTACGTTCCACTGACAAGTATCTTCAGCACTCGAGTGATTAGTGGTGCAAAATCAACACCCGATCTAAATAAATTACTCGAACGAAAACAAGCTGGATGTATGTATATATTCATAATTGAATGGTTCACCTTGCCTTTGAGCTCGATATTAATGACACTTAAATGAGTTTTCTCCCATGTAAATCGAATAACGAGTGATGTCTTGTCGATCAAATTAAAATGACATTCCTCATCCTATTCTGATCAAGAACGGTAGGTGTGAGAATGTCCTCATTAACCCTACACATTAAGAAACAGTGAAAGTGCAAAATAATTTCACCCGTACTAATTTTTCTTGCTATGCACATTGCTCAATTACTTCGTTCAGAAATTGTTATGTAACTAATCATCTTCTTTATATAACAGCGCATGTCTAATTGCTTCTTTAAGGATTTCTTTTCTCAAGACATTAAAAATGTATACAGAAGAGAGCACGGTTGACAGTTTTTCTTCGTCTATTTGATTTTCTTTGTTATTTTAGTAATCTGCCCGGAAACGGTTGTTCTCGCGCCATTAGAAACATTGAATACCAATCTGAATTATAAGATTCTCGATGATTTTATTGGCAAAATGACTGGTTCAACTGTGAAATTTCTCTCGACTGAACCAGATGCCATGCTTACGCCACCGCCATTGCCTTCCGATGGTTTGTAATTGATGAAGACTTCCTTTTGAAAAGATCATCATGATTATTCTCTATTGTAGTAGCGATAAATCGTTTTAGTGTTGAATCTGTTGATACTAACAACGGTCAGTATGGAAACGACAGGAAAGGACGTGTTGGTTTTGTTAAAATTCCTCAATACTCGATCAACACAATCAGTGAATTACCAGAAAAGAATGATTAATAAAGAATATGAAAGGTGCTCGTGATTCTGTTTGGAAAACAAAACAAATCATCGATGATATAGGTCCATTTCTTTTTAAAAGGATTTTCTCATTTCGATTCGGTTTTAAAAAACAATATACTTCTATTTTCTTTATATTTGTATATATACAAGTGTTTGTGTGTGTGCGTTAGATAATAAGTCCTTTAAAGAAAATAAACAAATTTACTGCAAGTGTCACCTTTTTTTTCTTCGAACTAATTCACGTGGAAATAATCCGATTTCTTTTCGTAATGAATTTATTTATCGGATGGAAATAAATCGTTTGAAAAGTATTTGTAAAACCTTCACAAATATTATCGAATTTTTGTCGGTTTTATTAACTTCGAACATTTTGCACATCTACGGCTTAGATTTCATCGGATGCTTGATCATCCAAATGGATCTCTGAAGAGGTTCACTTTAACCAATCATGTTAAAAAAGAAAACCTTGTCATTATTAGTGGAAATCGAATTCAAGGGAAGAAAATGAAACCCAATATGTGTACATATATATATTTATATTTTTAGATGAGGCTTTCTTTGACTAATGTTGTGCAAATAACTCAACGAAATCTAAACAGTTTTCGTCGGCACTTTTCGATCGGTAGAAAAACATATCAACGACAAGAAACAATTCCGAACGTCTTCGATCGACAAGCGAAATTCAAACAACGTGAACGCACCTGTCTTGATCCTGAGCATCAAGTCTATTCATATGTACATGAACGTGTTGCGCAAAGCCTTGTCGATCGAATATTCGATATAAAACGGTAGAATGAACTGTCAATATTTGATCTAAATGTTCATATTTGATTGTTCGTAGAACATTTCATTCCGTACTTGATCTTGGCTGTGGACGTGGCCTGTGCGCGAGTGAATTAACTCAAGATGTTATTAAACGCTTGACAATGATCGATAATTCGGCACGTATGCTTGATCAGATCCGCCCACCCGTTGAAGAAAACGGACACGATGGAATGGAGATTGTGAAACGGCAGTTCGACGACGAACAATTCAGTGGAGATGAAAATTCGTATGATTTAGTTTATAGTTGTTTAAATCTTCATTGGATTAATGATCTTCCTGGTGTTTTTCGTCGAGTGTTACATATGTTAAAGAAAGATGCACCATTCATTGGTAAGAAAACCGAATTTCTTTGAAAGACTTAGAAAGGCAATCTTTTCAAGGTGCCATGTATGCTTCCGATACTTTGTATGAACTTCGTGTTGCATTACAATTAGCAGAAACTGAACGTGAAGGAGTAAGAAAATGAAATCAATCTTGTTTTATTCTTTTTCTTGATTCATTCAAAGGGTTTCTCGCCTCATGTTTCACCATTTGTTGAACCACCTGATATCGGCAGTCTTCTTCAGCGTACCGGTTACAACATCGTCACACTAGTGCGTGAATCGAGTGATGTTTTTCTTCCTATGATTATGACGAACGAGTCTATTCTAGTAGGATCTGGATGAAATTCATATTGATTATCCTTCAATGTTCGAATTAATGTTTGATCTCAAAGGTCATATCAATATTGATGAATTTTAATTGAATTTTCATTTGCTATTTGCCTTAACTATTTTTTTAGGCATGGGTGAAAATAATTGTAGTTGGAATCGGCGTTTAACGCTGAAACGTGAAACTCTTCTAGCCGCTCAAGCCATCTATCAAAGTAAGTTTATCTCAGAATTTACGATACCGATCATATACACATAATCGCTCGTTTATAGCTGATATGCTTTTAAGATCTCACCATAAATTCTCATATACACATAAAGATAACTAGTTTGTTTTTTTGTTTTATGTAGATATGTACGGTAACCAAGATGGATCCATCCCTGCTACATATCGTATACTTTATTTTATTGGTTGGAAGCCAGATCCTAGTCAAGTGAATTATTTTATTTGCTTTTGACAATCATAAAATTGCGCAGAAGATTTTATATGTATATGCACTCTTTTCTTTTGTTTCAGAAAAGTCCGGCAAAACGTGGCTCAGCGAATGTCTCTTTCAAGGATATTGATAAAGTTTTATCGGTGACAAAATCAAACTGATGACCAACAGCTTGTCTCTGTGTGTGTCTGTGTGTTTCAACTATCCTTGACACGCTCGTGTTCTTCTTCTTCTTCTTTTTATTAACAAAGAAAAAAAAAACCAACGACGACCACGCTCTTCGGCTATGACACACTTATCACTTATGAGTCCTTCTTTTTTTTTTTAACAGAACAAAACCCATGTAGTGTTATTAAAGAAAAGAGAAAAAAGTGCAAAAGAAAAGTAGAAATAATGATGTTGATGGTGCTGAAAGCATGAGGAAAGATAAAGAGAAAGAAAGAACATTCATCTTATTGCATATAATGTTCGATTTCTCTTCTCCCTCTTTGTCGTTTTTTTTGCGACTTGTGTGTGTTTTTAAAAAAAGACAGTCCTGTATGTGTTGGCTGCCTGCCGACGCCATTTTCTGCTGCTGCTACTACTACTACGACTGCTGCTGTTGCAACTCGCGTCAATATTATTATATACACGCGTATGTAAAAAAAAAGGAGAAAGAACAGAAGGAAGAACGTGAACTATGATGACGACGACGTTGGCGGTAAGAAAAAAGCACCCCTCTACGACATTTGTTTTGTCTCTCTAGTTCTTATTTTGAGTATCCGCTGCCCATTCGCATGGAATTTTGAAAAATCGATTCGATCATTCGTCTGCTAGTGCACACAGACAGACTTTTAAACATACGATCGCGTATAGGTACTATTATTTAATCCAAGAAATCAAGACTACGTATGCATAGAAAAAAGAAGGATATAGTATATTTTTGAAGCAATAACAATCTTTCGTTGCACTGTTGACAATCGTTCGAGTTTCAAATTTTATAGTCAGTCTACAAAGCAATCGAACGCGAAGGAGAGAGAAAGAAATTTTATAATTCTGGATATTATTCAGCGGTAATATATATGTCTGAGAATCAGTGACAGGTATTTCTGCAAGAGGAATGTACAGTATTCTTTAATGAAAAATCAGATCGTTCATTTGCATTTTTGAATCGATCGAGTGTTCGATGAATTTAACAGGTCAACAATTCTCTAGTCCTATTCTAATTCTGATTGTTATTGTTTTGCCATCGCCGAAAAGAAAAATGAACGAAAATACTATTAATTGAAAATAAGAAAAAATACTGATGTTGATTGATGTTTGTATAGACTTATATTCATTGTGCGTTAACATTTTTTCTACTTTTATTCCGTCTTTCGGTGCTTTTCATTATATATAAAATCACGCGTTGATTTTTTCCTTCTTCTCAAGATTTGCGTAATATTCACGCTTTGTGCCAAGTCAAATGAAAATAAGAGAGGGTAAAAAAAGAAAAGAAAAGAACGAGAGAGAGAGAGGGAGAGTTAATCAGATTGCAGGTGATGTAAGACTATGGCGGCGAACGAATTCAATACATCTTGGCGCGCGCGAACGCATTCGATGACACAATCGGAACATTCGAAACCACAAATCTCTCTCCTTCTTTTTTTTAACATGTTGTCACAAACGGTATTTTACGATTCGCTTGTTCGAATCATCGCCAATTTATTGTCCTCAGTACGTGTACAGTTGTATAGTGTCGTAAATATTTTTCTTCTTTTCACTTATCAAGTCGTATTCTGATCGTCATAATCATTTCTCTCGATGTTTGTGTGGTCAAGAGCATCACGAACAACGAACCTTCTAGTTCAGTACTTCTCTTTCTCCTCTTGCATTGCCATGCCGTGTGACAAGAAGAGGATCAGTCAATAACTTACCGAAGCGTACCTCGCACTGTTCGCTACTCCACTTATGTGCGTCAATATTTACTCATTCAAATCAGAATCATTCTTTCTCTTTCTATCTCAGATTTTTTTTCCTTTCATTTCGACATCGTTTCGTCTTGATGTTTTCAATCGAAATAGTCATTCGAAAACGCCTAGTTTCCTCCGTTTTTTTCCTTCTGTAGCACATTTTTTCATTATCTTATCTGATGCATTTAGGTGTACGATGAAGGACAAACCTTGAGTAGTGGACAACATGAAGTGAAGGAAACAGTCAGTCAGACATAGACAGACATGTGTAGGATTAAGATATGAAATTAGCACGTCGTCGACTGTCAATTTGTTTTTGTCTTTGTTTACTTGCTTATCGCATTTATTCATTCTTAATCGTATTTTTTCAATTTGCATTCTGTTTACGTGGAGATGGAGAAGATGAAATGAGTAAGATGTCGACGACCTTTTCTATATGAGTAAGACAAAGTGCGCGACATACATGTATATATATATATTCATTCAATGAACATATACGTACAAGTATATGAAATGATGAAGTATAATTTCAACTTCATCATTATATACATTGTTGTGATTATTGAAGATATTTGAGTATAGAAAGGAGAATAGTTCGACTTCGTCATATGTTTCCATTTACCTCCGACATTATATACATGCATACATACATACGTCTGCATATATATCCTGCCTTTGAAACGACGAAACATTTCGTTATTCTTCGATTTCAAAAGGTAAATATATGTAGAGATGGTCTCTCCTCTTCTTGTTCTTCATCTTTTATTTTCTTTTTGCATCTCTCTCTCTCTCTCCTTCTTTTTTATATGTCATCTTGATGCGTATGTGTATGATTGTGCAGTACTTATCAGGCTGGTTCGTTTGCTTGATAGACAGAGAGCGAGAGAGAGAGAGCGCGAAAGAAAGAGGGAGAGAAAAGACTTTGTGGTTACAAAAAGATTAGCAATACGAAGAAGACGAAGAAGGACATATTATTTCGTTGTCGATCGTTGCTACACGTACGATACAGGTAAAGAAGTGCCAATGAACATATATGTGCGATATGAAAGGGAAGAGAAGAGAAGAGAAGTAAGAGAGAGAGAAAGAGAAAAAGCCGAATAAACCGTACTGAACGCTGCCGCCTCATGTCTGGTCTCGTATTGCGACCATTGATGTATGTATATATGTATGAATATAGACGTCTATACTCTAATTGAAATGATACGTACGTATGTGTGTGTGTGTATGTCTATATAGATTTTATATGCATACTTCATATACATATATAATCGGTTTGACAGTTTCTATTCTAGATGTTACCACCTGTACTCGATTGATAAATTGTAGTGATTTTTTCTGACAAAAAAGTATTACTAACGAACTCTCATCATGTCGAATCTAAGCGATGCCGATCTCATACGTAATGCCAACATTCGTCTATGCGCTCTACGTGTGTGGCCAAATTTTAATGGACTTGGTTTTAATCTTGAAGCATCTCCTCGACCGCCACATGTGATTCGTCTTGTGGAATCGAATAGTCCGGCCGCTGCTAGTGGTTTGAAAATTCTCGATGTTATTCTAGCTGTTAATCAAGAAGATGTAGCGGATGCTGATTATAGTCGAGTTCGAAATGCCATTGCCGCAGCACGTGATGCCAATGCACCGATTGAATTACTTGTTGTTGAACAGCGATTTTATCAGGAGATTAAAAAACGCAATCTCGATATTGATCCGAACAACGCGACCCGTATAAATACGCCGTCAACGATGCCTTTCGAATACGCCAATTTTCCTCCCCATCAACCGCGCACATGTAATATTCGTCTATCGAAAGCTGAAACAACATTTGGTTTCGAAGTTGTTAATGGTGAAAATGACGTTGGTGCTTACATTCAAGAAGTATTTCCGAACACTCCGGCTAGTAGGACGTCTCTACGTAAAAGTGATCGAATTATCGAAATCGATGATAAATTCGTTGATAAAGATGTCAGTAAATCTATCTTAGAAAAGCTAGGCAAAGCGAGAAATAAAGGTGCTGTCAAGTTGTACGTTATGGACACGAATACATATAAACATTATGTACAAAACAAGATGACTTTATCATCCAAGGGAAAACGAAAAAGTCAATCGGCCGAAAGAGCTACTGACAATCAGTATTATTCCCGAGATCAAGATTGTAAGTATCATGTAATTCAAGAAAAAAACGAATCTTCAACATACGTATATATAGTTATATGATTCATCTAATCGACCTTGGATTAATATTTACTTATAAAACGAAGAAAAAGATGAAAATTGAGAGGTTTTGTATCATTTTTCAACGATTATATCTATATCTATATATACGTATGAGGAAAAAAAAGTAAATTATTCGGTTAATCCTTTAGTATTATTTTGTACGTAAAATGACAACGATTTCTTTTTCTATTTCAGCTCCGAGTATCAATAGCGGTGTTAGTCAACCGGCAGCGTCGAATGCATCAACTCTACGTGAGGGTTCACGCGCTAAAACACCAAGTGTACCCGATCTATCTCGACCGAATCGAACACAAGCACCTTCAACAATTCTTCCCATGCCAGCAACACCATTAGCTCGAGAAGATATTCGTCTTTGTACAATCAATCGAGCTGATGCTACTGACACATTCGGCATTGAACTGAATTATCATCGTCGCGAGCAATTTCATTCGTTGAATTTAATATCTGGACGAGATAGTGGACCGTCAAGTAAGAAGCTATTTCAAATATTCAGGAAGATAGTTCGAGATGCGTATTCTTTCACCTATTTCAAAGAAAGTTCACAAATACGAAGAAGAACCGTGTCCTTATCAATTCTAAAGGTTAAAAATGTGTTTAAATCTTTGAGTGCAAGAAAAAAAAGAATGCGGTTAAAGAGATGTTTGATAACGGATTGTAATGAAAGAAAAATTTACGTTGAAAAATCGCAACAAACTGATTTCATTCGTTTGTCCTTGATGTTTAATTGGATAATGAGACACAGAAGTGCTATTTGCATATTCTTGATGTTCATGCTGAAAATGAAGAAGAAAAGAATCGGTCACGAAGCCTGTTTTTCTCTTTGAAGATGCGGAATTAGCTGGTATCAAAACAGATGATCGTCTAATTGAAATCAACGGTCTCAATATACAAAATTTCGATCACGAACAAGTAACTCAACGCATACGAGGAGTTCGATATCCTGAGCCATTAGAAGTCCTTGTTGCCGATGTTCCTACATATGATTACTATAAACAACAACAAAAACTCATTCATCGTAGTTTACCGAACGTTAAAATTATGCCACCAAATCGTCCTGCTCGTTCTATATCGCCGTCGTTATCTCGTCATTGTATGTAGTTTGATTTTTTTAATCTTCAAGGAAAGTGTTCTTTCTGGCGTTTTTAGCAATCGATACTCGACCGTCAACAACAATTATTCGCGAACAACTAACGACTCAACCCACACCTCCTGTTTTGAACACATTTGGCCAACGACCTCCTCCATCTGTTCTGGGAGATTTAACAAACAGCACTCCTATTGCACCTCCCATTGCGCAACCATCAACATCGATGCAGCCACGTCATGTTCCAATACGCAAAGATTCTCATTCAGCGAATGGTGTTGGTTTTAATTTTCGTACAGTCGAGCACGATCCACCGACCGGTACACCATTCAGTCATATTGTCACATCCGTCGATAGTTCAAATTCGATTGGTTCACAAGGACTTCGTGTTAATGACTATATTCTGTCAATTAACGATGAAAATGTCGAGTATTTAGATCATCATCAACTCGAAGATAAACTACGACGGATAAATAATAGTGAAACTATTCGTTTATTAGTAACAGATGGAAATGTTTATCGTGCATACAAAGAAAGTGCGAAGAATACAAGAACAAAGCCTGACTTTGTCGAGCAAACCAAACCACCGTCGACAAGCACAAGTTCACCACAAAAGCCAAGACAATGCTATCTTCAACGTGATCCAAGTTTCGAAGGTTATGGCTTTCGTGTTCGATCCAATCAGCAAGGTGATACCACACCACATCAAATCGTTTCTGTTGAGCAATATTCGCCCGCTGATACTCAAGGTCTACGCGTTGGAGATTACATTCTACGTGTAAACAATCAAAATGTCGAGCACATGAATGCACAAGAATTTAATCAATTGATGCAAAATTTAGTACGTTCTGATGCTGGACGTGATGGTACCCTATTATTAGAAGTAATGGATACTGCTACATATCGATCACTGAATCCATTACCGCCAGCCGATCCATACTTAAGTGATCGTCGAACACCGAGTCGTCCTACTTTTGATTCATATCCACCACCAACGATTACTGACGAACCATATCCGCCAATGCGACAATGTTTCGTTCGAGTATGCTCAGTTATTAGAATATTAATTGTTCAGTTCTATTTTGTGCTTTGCTTTTAGCCCTGGCCAAACTATCGTCATCTTGGATTTAACATTGTTCCTACTCCCAATGGAACCGGTGGTGGATACCAAGTTCAACAACTTCGATTGGATTCACCAGCTGCCCATACTAAAATACGCAATGGTGATCATCTGATTCAAGTCAACAACATCAACGTTGAAACAACAGATTATCAACATGTTCGTCAACTGGTCGAGGAATCCTATCTTCGAGATGGTGAAGTTTGCCTACTTGTTATCGATGATCCTGGTTATCAATGGTATAAACGTAATCATTATCGAATTGATCCATTATCCCAACGTGCTAACGTGTCACGGTAAGAAAAACTTCTTTTTTTTATACAAGTAATGGTCCTATTTCGATTGATTTCAGTCATGTAACTCCCGAACATCAAGCTGTATACACATCGACAGATTCAAGTGTCGTGTCACCACCGACACGTTTCACGCCGGAGCCCATGTCGGATCAAAAAGAAATTCTTTTCCCACCGACACCATACCAACCGCCAACGACAACAAGTCGACCACCATCAACTGGACCTGCTGCAATTCGTCCGTCCCCTTATACAAGTAACTACAACATCATAAACATTTTGTATAAAAAAAATTACTTCATAATCATTTGTTTTGTTTTCTTCAGATGGGTACGTATCACCAGTACGCGATCCATACCATCGATCAACAGTTGCGCCAAGTGTTACTTCATCGTTGAATCGTCCACGTATACCTTTATCACGAGCAGCTGTTGACGTTGTTGATGGCAAATCAATGTTACGTTTCTGTCGTTTAAATACCGAACCCGGTCAAACGTTTGGTTTTGAATTAGCACAAGAAGATAACAAACACATCATCCGCAATATTAAGCCAGAATCACCAGCAGGTAAAGTCGAAATGATCACTTTGCATTTCAGTCAGAAACACGTACATTTTATATGATATTTAGCTCGAGCTGGCCTGCACAATGAAGATCGTTTGATTGAAGTGAACGATGAGAACGTCACCCATAGAGCACATCGAGGTATGATCATCCAAACTATTCTTGCTTCTGTTTCTCATCGGTTCGTTCTCATTTAGAAGTTACCGCTTTAATAAAAAATGCTAGTAATAATGGTCTTGTACGTTTGCTGATATCACCAAGTAATATCAAACCATTGAATAAACCATCGTCGCGTGCATCTGCCAAAACGAAATCATTGCCATCATTGAATGACGAGCGCATGTACTACGATGGAAATAATGCTGATCAATACACATCATCGTGGTCACCGTATGATGGCTCGTTTGCTACGCAACCACAACAACCAGCAATGGTTAAATATATGTCCACGCCGCGTCTTGATAATGTTGGTCTAACATCACCAGGCTATCCAGATCGACCGTACAGTGCACATGGTTTTGATACATATCAACGGCAACAAAATCGACCCGCGCTCATTACTAGTCAACCATATTTACCAACAGATCCATGGCCTCGTAAGATGTTCTTAGATTTACTTGCGTAATCATTCTAAGCGATGTTTTAGGCAAATGTGTTCTTGTTCGTGATCCAAGTTTCCATGGATGTGGTTTTCGAATGATTGAGAAAGATAATTACGATACACCAATTGTCGTTGAAGTCCGTCAGAATAGTCCAGCTAAACGAAGGTAAAACTTTTCTTTCAAAAAATATCAAATTCTCGTGAGAAAACAAAACCATTCCATCTTTTCTTCTAGTGGTTTAACTGAAGGTGATCAAATCATTTATATTGAAACTCGTAATGTTCAAGCCATTCGATCGTTCGATGAAATGACACTTCTAATTCAACGAACATTCGAAGAAACAGGACAAGTTACACTTGTCACACTAACAGGTCCAGGATATCAAGTTCTCAAACGTAAAGGTGGTTACCTACAACCGGATCCATTCGATTATCAATTGCCATTTGTACGAGAATTAGCGCCGCGTTTATGTCGAATTGTTCTGTACAATCATGAACAAGATTTTGGCTTTACACTACAACGCGGAAATCCTATACATATCAAAGACGTTCATCCGGGTTCACCAGCATATGAGTTCGGTCTACGAGCCAATGATAAAATTCTTGAGATCAATAGTCGTGATACTACATATTTATCATCCGATCAAATTATCGAAATGATTGAAGCAAGTAAACGACGTCGCCAATTGGAAATCTTAGTTATTGACCCGGCTGGTTACGAATTTTCATTGAAACATGCCATACCATTGAATTCGTTATTGCCATTTGTTCAATCAGGACAAAGACGAGGTAAAGCTCCTTCTGCATTGCTTTAGCATATCGTCAAATATAACTTTTGATTTCTCTATCTCACCGATGCTCAGTTACCAATCAGGAGCCATATTTTCAACAATATCCAAGCAGATTCGGTTTGACTGAGCACAGTCTGTATTAATTTTCTGTGAGTGCATGGGCACCGATAACCAATGCACATCCTCTTCATTCACATTCTTTTCTTCTGCATGACATATGCACATATATTTTCTTGTACCCTACACTCAGAAGAATTTCATTTCGTCGATATCTTTTCTGACTATTTTTCTTTTTTCTAGCCGCAAGCAGTCGACGTGGTCAACAAGAAGCTGTTTATTTATAGATGAAACAAAACCATCACTAAACACAACATTTTCCGTCGTTTTCTATGATTCTGGAAAAGAACACAATAAATCCGTTATTTTGTATTTTGTTATGTATACATGAGAATTTGTCGGTTTCTTTTTTATTCTAATACTGAACAGTTTCTTTCTTTTCTAACAAATAATTCTTCCATTGATCAAAACTCTAATTCCATCTTCTTGAGAAAAACTACATTCTTTTGTTTCTTTTGCATTCTGGTAGTATTAGTTTGTCTGTATGTACGCGCTCGGTGACTATATGCTGTCTATGTTTGTTTTTCTTCTTGTTATCTGTTCTTTTTCTTCTTCTTTTTGTGCAACTTTCTACCTCTTTATTTAGTTTTAACATATGGCAATCATTGATTGATTGGAATATGCAACATTCGAATATGTGTTGTGAATTATTTGATTTCTTGAAGAAAAAAAATCCACAAATCAAAACTTGGTAGTATGTTATATCTATTTGTGAGTGTATGTGTGTATTATTTGCTATTTATTACTCCATATCCTTCTTTATTCGTATTCTATTGACAGTATTTGTTTCACATTTTTTCTTTTTGTGATTTTCCACTATTTGTCTCTCTCTCTCTCTCTCTTTGTTTTTTTTGCTACTATCATTGCTCTGCACTGCTGTTTTGCGCTCTCTCTCTGTTTCTTTTTGTACTATTTCGATACTTTATTGTGCGTACATATATACATTCCAAGTTTTTTGTTTTGTTGACATTCCAGATTTTTTAAAGACGACGTAGAGTTCCAGCTATTGAACTCATTTTGTTTTTAAACTTAGGTAAAAAACAATGATCAACCGTTTTTCTTCTTCGTTAAAACAACACTCATATTTTTTTTCATTATTGAAAAAGCGGTACAAATCTCAACGAGCAGAGAATATATGTACGACATCTATATTCGTTGCGAAAGTCTCTCATGAAGAGGTATCTCTATCATAACAATGCAGTTCATGTCGGTTGAGTCTGTTCTGGAAGAATTTGTTGACTTAAATAACTTCTCGATTTTTTTCCTTCGCCATTGTCAACGCATAAAATTCATACTGATACATGGCTACCTCAACACTGACTCAACTGGAACCCAAATCTCTAATTCGGCCAACACACTGGTCTAAAGAAGTCGAGAATGCCTATCGTTTTCAACTAGCTGGCTATCGAGATGAGATGGAATACAAAAAACTTCGACAAGTAGTTGAGGTTCGTGAATTGTTTTCTTCGGAATTTTTTGTTTTGTTATACAACGAACTGTATCATATAGGTTGATGTATGGCCAGATAGTGGTTTCGTGAAAAAACTACAACGTCGTAAAGATGGATTCTTCTATTATTTCGATAAACTTCGCGAATGTCCAGATAAAGAAATACATAAATGTAAAATTTATTCATATTGAAAATAAATATGCATATTATACGATAACAAAGACAAGTAAATCGTGTTACATAGAACATTTCTCTTTTGTTTGCGATGAATTTTATTCGGTGATGTCAGTTAGTATTGTGTGGAACTGAGGGAAAATATTCTATAGGATCGAGTCTCCACATTTCAGATTTGGCTCGTTGTAATTATTAAAATGACGGTCAACCGTATGCGCTACTATTTTTGTGATTTCTGTTAGAAAATCTTTGTGTACTATAAAAAGTTGCGATTTACAGATGATCTGTCAGAACGCTGTGAATCTAATAAAATATACATGACGAGGTCGACAGTAGGTAAAATCTCTGCTTATAATCACCATCTGATAAATGTCGATGAAATATTAAAATACTCAATCAAAAAAACAAATCATGACGTACGTATTATTCATACATGAAACATGGAATGACTAAGTCCTTCTTTTATAGTTAAAAATAAAACAAAGCTTCGGGCATATACGGTTCGATTGGATGTCGAGGCGAATCCGATGAAGTTTTCATGCGAAGAGACAACAACTCGAAATTGTTCTCGTTAACATATATATTACTTTTGTTCATCGACACGAGTTTGAAATTTTAATTTACACTTCTAGGCCTTTTTGTTGATAGAATTCATCGTCGTTATTGAATTATTTTACGTCCGTACATTTTTTAATTATATATGAATAAAAGACAAACCCTTGTTGCTCTTTCTTTGTCTCAAATGACTTCATTTCTTTTTTTTTGCCTCTCACTGATCGGTTAGACACAAAAGTCTCTTGTACACGGATATTTTCCGGGATTAGTATTTTGGATTTTATTTTGTTCGAAACGTTAAGCAATTTTGAAAGTATTCTGTCAGAAATTTTCGCGTGCACTTTCTTCTGCGTCGTCTCATACCTATAATTCATTGTTTAGAAGCTGTTCGTCGACAATTATACAAACTATTTACCTGCTGGTTAGAAAAGCTTCTAACGAGACACTCTTTTGCAAGAAATGCATGAACTTGTATGTAATCAACGACGTCCTTATTCTATACTGATGAAATCATCGCCTTCACACAAGGATTTCACTGATCATAGTTCGGTCGGAACCATTTCAACCTATAGTATGTGGTCAACTTCGAGTAAGCGAAGTATGTCAACGATGTATATCGACGGAACGATGATTCAGGATCATTATGATCGGCCATGTAGCGGGCAAGGCCCATTTCCCAAAGGAAAGTATCGGCCACGATCAGTCAACGTAGCAGAAAAGAGATTAGTAATAATATTCAAATCGTTATGATATCAACTCTTGCTTTTTATTTCTTATTCTACATAGGATACAGGTAATGCATCATTTGCTCTACTACCAGCATCATTTATAACCAAACGTTCATCTGAGCATGTCGTTGAATCTCCTCAAACGTCACGTCTTTTGAATAGACGTTCGTTGAACTCAAGCCGTTTTGATAATCGAAGTGAAGCGAAATGTTCAACACCTTCGACTACACCATATTCAAACAGTGGTTGGGTACGACGCCATAAATCATTGAATGAGTCACTGAAGTTGAGTGATCTACTGCGTGATCCTACTTATCGCGAGAAACTTCTACTGAGAAAATGCTCGTATGAAGAATTACGGGCGTACTCATCCCGATCAGGGTCTTTTAAATTTAAATAATATCAATCTGCTTTTCTGTGTTCAATTTGAATATAAGTTTTTCGAAATGAAATATTGCGGGTGAATCTTTTTTTTCTCTGCTATTTATTTCTAATCACGTCGACACCAACTAGTGAAACAGTTGAGTCGATTGTGACTCAAACAGAAACACAGAATAATCACGAAGCACACGATGTCGAAACAGAAGAAGAGGAAAACAATGAACAGGACATGACTGGTCGAATTATTGCCGATCATTATCAAATCAAACAGAAATTAGGTGCTGGATCGTTCGGACAAGTTTATCTTTGTGAACATATACATTCTCATGAACAGTGGGCCATGAAAGTTGAACAACACAATGCAAATAATAATCCTCAACTAATGATTGAAGTAGTCAATTTCAACTGAAGTCATCCGTTTTGATTTCATTTATTTATTGACTAGCATAAAATCTATACAATACTTCAAGGTGCACCAGGTTTTCCAAACATCGATTACTATGGTACTGAGAAAACATTCGATATTCTTGTGATTGAATTGTTAGGGCCATCATTGGAAGATTTATTTAATTATTGCGAGCGAACATTTACTTTGAAAACAGCATTGATGCTAGTCGATCAAATGATTTCAAGAATTGAATATGTACATACATGTCATCTCGTTCATCGAGATATCAAACCAGGTTGTTATTCGTCTTGTCTCGAAGTTGAGATACATCATGCTCTTTTAGATAATTTTCTCATGGGTGTGAAAGCGACGGGTAATACTGTCTATATCATCGATTTTGGTCTTTCGAAAAAATATCGAGATCCTCGAACATTCGCACATATACCTTGCAAAAGTAATAAGAGTCTAACAGGTATATAAGTCATTCAATATGATTTGAAAAAACAACTTTAGCTAGATTCTTAGGTACTGCCCGGTATGCATCTATTAATGCTCATAAAGGACTGGAACAATCGCGTCGTGATGATTTAGAAGCGATTAGTTATGTTTTCATGTATTTCATAACGGGTAAATTACCATGGCAAGGTTTACAAGCGACAGCTAAAAAAGCGAAATTTGAACGTATTGCTGAAATGAAGATGAAATTCACGCCTGAACAACTGTGTAAAAACTATCCTAAAGAGTGCGTTCTATTTCTGAAGTACTGTCGAACGTTAGAATACGATCATCGACCGGATTATGATTATCTAAGGCATCTTGTTCGCTATTTGCTCTATGACAAAGGCGAGCAGTATGATTATGATTACGATTGGATTGTGTCGTATACACAAAAACAGAACATTTTAATAAGTAATAGTAGTCCCGGTGAAGGCGAAATGTCTGTTATGTTCGAACAATAGTAGGACATCTGTTTGTGTTTTTTTGAAAAACGTGATTCTTACCTAAACGAGACTGAACACGTGAGAACGTTTCTGCAACAATTGTTATGACATAATCATAATAAATAATCAACAGACGTGAATAATCTTGTCAATTTTTGGCGATATATTAAAAGAAACCAGATGAATGCGAGGACAAAAATGTCGTGTTGTTCTTCGATTAGCCAGAAGAAAAAGATTCCAGAATATGTCCAGCAATTATGTCGATGAGAAATTAATTATGTATTTTGAAATTTTTTTCTGAAAGAAAAATCATGAACGCTTACATGTACTTTTCGCCTATTATGAATCCTATATAAATCCAGATGACTTTGCATTAAATATAGACATTTTCTCCGTCATATTTACCATTGAAAATGTTAGCTCTGGTGCTGGTCGCCTTTATCACCATGCTGAGCATGAGTATTATTCGTCATAACGTACGTAATTCTTGATTATCCGATGAATCATTTTCAGTTTAACATCTCTTCTTTTTCTAGCGTTCAAAAAATGGAAAGAATGTATCTCTGTCAACAAATGTCCCATGGGGTCCTCGTCCATGGCCAATTATTGGTAATCTTCTCCAACTAGGTTACCGTCCATACGAAACGATTTATCGCTGGTCGAAAATGCCGAAATATGGGCCAATCTATCGTCTGCGTCTCGGTTCGCAAACAGTGGTTGTCCTCAATTCAGCTTCGGTCATTCGCGAAGCTCTACATGATCATAGTGAATCATTTGCTGGTCGCCCGTATCTTTATGTCATCAATGAAACTCTTCATGGTAAAGGTGTGATCTCAGCTCCCTATGGCCGTGAATTCAATGAACATAAAAATTTCTTATTGAAGAATTTCAATCGATTCGGTCGTCGACGACGATCGTCATTAGAAGATGGCTGTCTTGATGAAATACGTATGGTTGCTGAAAAACTCCGGGAGAAACAATCATCGCCATTCCAGATTGGTAATCTGTTAAGCCAAATATCGGGTAATAATATCTGCACGTTAACATTTGGTCGTTATTTCGAAACAATGGATATCACAAGTTTATTTGAGAAATTAAATGAGAATTTCAATGATACAGCAACGATTGCATGCTTCAATTTTCTACCATTTACACGTCGATTTAAAACACATATATTCGACAATGTCAATTATTCCAATAATGTTATTAAAAAGTTAGTTAAAGAACGCGAAACAAACTTCGACTCGCAAGATGTGAACAACATTGTCGACGCATATCTCGATCAAATGGATAAACAACGACATTTCTCCAAAGACAATCTAGATTCCTTAGTACAAGATTTATTCGTGGCGGGTACAGAAACAGTTTCGAATACATTGAATTGGACCATATTCTATATTGTATCACATCCACATGTTCAACAGAGGATCCATGAAGAAATCGACCGAATGATTGGTAAAGATCGTGCACCATGTGAGAAAGATCGTCATCAAATGCCATATATTGAAGCTGTTCTACTTGAATCGATGCGTTGCCATTGTGCCGGACCAATTTTACTACCGCGAGCAACAACACATGACATCACATTTCAAAATTACTTCATTCCAAAAGACACATTCATTCTAGTCAATATGTGGTCGGCTATGAAAGACGAAGAACAATGGCCTGAGCCGGAAAAGTTTCGACCAGAAAGATTTATCGATGAAAATAATCGGCTGATCAATATCAATCATCCAGCTATGATGCCGTTCAGTGTCGGCAAACGAGCATGCACAGGTACACGAAGATTTTAATCAAGACATTAATGTATTTATTTTTTTCTTCTAGGCGAACAAATCGCTAAAGTGCAATTATTTTTAATCTTAGTTAGTTTGTTTCAAAAATTCGAGTTTCATTTTGCAAATGGTTGGACTCCCAAGGATCTTCGTGGTCAACCGGGTTTTACTCTTCGGCCACCCATCTGTCATTATCAAGCTTCCGTTCGCTAAACGATACTCTTTCCCTTCCGCTCCCCCAGCCTTTTGACCTTTTCCATCTAATCCCGAATCCCAATTATGTAAAACAAGATGATAAGCATTTGAAATAAAACTTTAATCACGCATCATCAATGTCTTCAATATTGCTATGTTGAGTTTTTAAAATTTTATATGACGGTAGGAGAAAAAGACAAATTAAACTATAGCAATGACATAAGAAGAAGTAACAGGTAGCATAAACGAAAAGAATGGATATATTGTTTTGGACAGAGTACAAATCTAATACATAGTTTGCTTGTTTTCTTTTGTATTCTTCTTCAAAATCCGGAGAAACACACCATGTCGCTACTTAAAATTTAAAAAGAAAGAAAGAAAGAAAGAGAAAACAGAAAGGAAAAATGACATAGTCAGAGTGATTGTATATTCATCTAAGCTTTGAATGAACCTACAAAATTTTGAACAATTTCTTTCAATTTAGCATCCGTTTCGGGCGTAATTTCGTTCTTGGAACGGACTGATTCAAGGATATCTTTGTGTTGTCCTTTCAAATGTTGTAAGAAGGCCTGTTCGAATTTTGTGATTTTCGATGGATCAAGTTTATCTAAATGACCACGGACACCAGCATAGATAACGCATACTTGTTCTTCAATAGCCATAGGAACTAAAAATCAATATTTAGATATACACATGAAATTGAAAATCAAATTCATTTGATGACAAACCATATTGGCCTTGTTTGAGTAATTCAGTAAGTCGAACACCGCGATTAAGTAAGGATTGAGTAGCAGCATCGAGATCCGAACCGAATTGGGCGAAAGCAGCGACCTCACGATATTGGGCTAATTCGAGTTTCATTTTACCAGAAACCTAATAGAAGTGAAATGAGTGCACAGGAAACGCTTTAATAGATATCTACTTGTTTCATGGCTTTGGTTTGGGCAGCACTACCGACACGTGACACAGATAAACCGACGTTGATAGCTGGTCGAATACCTTTGTAAAACAATTCAGTTTCCAAAAAGATTTGACCGTCTGTAATCGAAATGACGTTTGTTGGGATATAAGCTGACACATCACCTAGAACAATACATAACAGATTCTATATCGGTCAAATGTGGAACAAAAATCGTAATGTACCAGCTTGAGTTTCGATGATTGGTAAAGCTGTCAATGAACCACCACCGTGACTGTCATTCATTTTAGCAGCACGTTCAAGTAAACGACTATGAAGATAAAAGACATCACCTGGGTAAGCTTCTCGACCGGGTGGACGACGCAATAAGAGTGACATTTGACGATAGGCAACGGCCTAGAAAGACATTCATCAAATCGTCTCTTCAAACTAGCGAGTCTGTCCTACTTGTTTGGAAAGATCGTCATAGATGATCAAAGCATGTCGACCTGTATCGCGAAAATGTTCACCCATAGCACAACCTGAATATGGTGCTAAGTATTGTAATGGAGCTGCATCTGAAGCAGTAGCAGCGACAATAACTGAATATTTCATAGCATCTAAATAAACAGTTGATTAATATTTTCACTTTTCAATAATGGGAAAAAACAAACCAGCATCGGTAAGTCGTTTGACAAGTTGGGCTACGGTAGAACGTTTTTGTCCAATAGCAACATAAATACAATAGAGTTTTTTCTTTTCTTCTCCAGCATCATTAAAACGTTTTTGATTGATGATTGTATCAATAGCAACAGCAGTTTTACCAGTTTGACGATCACCAATAATTAATTCTCGTTGACCTCGACCAATGGGTACTAAACTGTCGACGGCTTTCATACCTGTTTGCATAGGTTCACGTACAGATATACGTGGAATAATACCGGGTGCTTTAACTCCGACACGAGCTCGTTTTTTCGTATTTAATGGACCCTAAAAGAAGAACCATACTTTCATGTAAAGGCTAAATCTTCGTTGTTGTTTACTTTGCCATCGATTGGATTACCGAGAGCATCAACAACACGGCCAAGGAGCTCATCACCAATGGGCACGTCGACGATAGCACCGGTTCGTTTAACAATATCACCTTCCTTGATTAAACGATCGTTACCAAAGACGACAACACCAACATTGTCAGGCTCCAAGTTGAGAGCCATACCCTAAACACAACATTACGCTCGACCTAATTGAAGACATCAAGGATGAATGCAAACCTTCAAGCCACTGGAGAATTCCACCATCTCTTCGGCTTGGATATTTTTTAAACCGTAAACACGAGCAATACCATCACCAATGGTTAAGACACGGCCAGTTTCTTCTAAATCTTGTTTCGATTGGTGACCAAGAATTTTCTGCTCAAGAATAGACGAAACTTCTGGTGTTGATTGAGCTGATTGGGCAGCTGCACAGCGTGCTGATGATGTTGACATTGGTCGAGTAGCTGATAGAGCCAAAACATGACTATTTCCAAGATACTGCGAAAAACAACAATTTTAGGCAATCGATTAGCAAGATGACTTCGTTGAAAATTTACTTTTGCTGATTCAACACCCCGAGCAAGTGCCCGTTGTCGAACAAGAGATACTAGAGCTCGTTTCATATTTTTATTTCCAGATGATGTTAGTAGAAATTACTTGTAGAAAAGAAAACAATACGATAATATGTACTGAAGAGTTACACAACAGAGGCGAAGAGGAATGACTGATGACCGATGAAAACAAATGCATGTTTTTCATTTCAAATTAAGGCATTTATTTCAGTTCAAAAATATATTTTATTCCATAAAATTTAATCAAAATCGATTTCCAGAAAACGATCCATAGATGTCGCTGCATACTCATACCTAGGGATTGATGAATGTGATCTAGAGGGTGAAATATGACGATATATTCAAATAATGTATTGAGATTATTCCATAGTGACATGAAAAAACAATCCCTTGTGTTCATTTGCCATCAACATAAACAAGATTCGCCTAAACAAACTCGTTTATCACTGATTTCAGTCTACATACTGTAGTCTGGTTTCTCATGCTACTGCGTATTTTTCTGTTGACCGATTTCAAGTAAAGTTCATCGCTTTTCATTCATAAGCAAAACAGGTCCTTATGCACTATCGTTTGGTATTATATTTAAAAAATAAAACACAATACAGCATTGTTCATCTTCTAGAAATCCAATTCAAGCAAAATGATAAAAGGAGAAACACACATGACAACATATCTTACCACTAAATAAACAATACAATATATATATAAGTGTATATGTAAATAAATAGATTGGCATTTAAATACAACATAGATAGTTGATCTAATTGTTAACTAGACGGTGTCTTTATACAAATTTAACTGCCTTGTCTACGTTGAAGTCAATGTTTTCTACGTCAATACTTCCTGTTCATTTTTTTGCATTAATCCATGATTTTTCTCTGCGGATGACTTTGGCTTTTGTCTGCAATAGACGTAACTTGTTACAACGAGAAAAATCAACGTAACGCAAATCAAGCTAAGAGAACTGATTAACCATCCAACAAATCTATTTTTGGTTATGATTCGTTCACGAAATTCAGCCGGAATGTAATTTGTTTGATTGATCATGTAGCCAAGCGTCCAGCCAACTTTACCCGTTTGAACTGTATTCGCAAAACTTAAACGATTCAAATCATCGGATTTAAAACCGATGGCATGTGTCAATAAAAGCCACATGTACCATCCATCGAAACATAGATGTCGTTTGAAACTTTCAGTTTTATTGTCCATTCCTTCTTGTTCATAGAGCACTGCATGTTGCGTTTCGCACTAAATTAACATCAGATAACATAATAGTCTACCAAATCGATTCACTCGATTTTCTAATCGATCACTAAAAACTTACGACACTGTTAAGACGATTGCTTATTTCTTCTGGTGAGAAATCTTTGTATTGATATTGTTCTTTAACTGTAGTTTTGGATGGATCCATTTCTACAAAGCAAAAACGCGCTTTTTATTCATTGTTCCCTACTCCCAGTGTTAATACGAACTATAGGCTAGATTATTGAATACATAATAATATCCTGATAAGCCAATGAATTGTATTTTCGATGGTATAGTTGGTTGAAACGTATGATCAAATGTGCAATAATCTGCTTTATGTGAACAATTCACTGTTTTGTCGTTACGCTTGGCATCGAATAGACTAATTAAACGTTCGCGGCACTGAGTAGCATTTCCAGATCCAGTGAATGTCAATGTTGATCGATTAAGAAAACTATTAAATTTTTCTCTTTCATTAGCAGTACACGGTGAACGAAAGATATCTTTAGTTGTCAATGTTTCGTTGGCGCCGCGCGCGAAACATGGATCCCGGATTAATATGCGCGAATTGGTAAACGTTGTTCGATTAGTATTGATCGCAGCATTGACTAGACGTGCACGATGACGTTTCAATGCTTCATTCTTACCCCAACATAAGTAACTATGAGCATATGGACTATAAATCGTATCGAATAGTGTAATATTAGTTGTAAATTCCTTCGGAATAGGCTCGTCATCTTTTGTTTGATTATCTAAATGATAGGAAACATAGTTTTGCTTTGAATTCGATAGAGATTAGTTTTTACAAGTGAATGTAATTTGTGTCGAAGCACCGCCTAAGTCAAGTACACCAACCATATCGGTGTCCAATTCTTTTTTAGCGAGAACCTTTTTCTTTGTATGACGATGTTTGAATTTTTCAAGTAAAACATTTGTTGTTATCCAACCGTCAATAGCTTCTTCTATACCAGTTAGTATTCGTACCTGGAAAGAAGCCGATGATGACATTTACTCCCGTATTGTTCGATGCAAAGCGGTTTACCTGTCGCGCGACAACAAATTGAAATGGCGAATTGGCAAAAACTTCTCGAATAGTCTCCAGCACTCGATCGGCGGTCGTGGCGTTACGTAAACGTGATAGACGCATTCCAGCAGTTGCACCAAGAAAGACAGGCGATGATCGGTGACGCGTTGATGGAATTTCTTTGATTGCCTTGCTCAAACAAGGTTCAAAATAGTCATCTAATAAATCTAAGTTTTGTTCAAAATCTGATATCGCTTTGAGTTTTATTGTTCCGCCAATGCGATTCGTATCGTTTTTTTCCAAAGCGTCCAAATGACAAGTAAACAGTTGATTGACGCTCGATGTTGTACCTAAGCCATCGGATTTATCTGCTGGCCAATAATAAACAAACATTTCTGTATGCGAACTGCCAGCATCAAAAACAATAGCATAATTAACAAATGGCGTAAGACGAGTATGGTAAAGAGTTATTAAATAAATCGCGAGAATGATCGCAAAGACAAGAATCGTAAATGCAATACCTTGCGCGAATTTGATTACTGGATAAATTCTCCAATGTCGCTTTTGTTCTTCCATAGTTTAAAGATAATTACAGACGAGACGATGCTTTCTAAAAGAAGGATGTATGAATATTTCTGATCGAATCGGCATATTCTCTTTTATAGTCTATGATTTTTCTATGTGCAAAAAACGACTGTGATTCGAGAAGGTGATCACTACGAAAGAAGTCACCATTTCCATCCGAATAAAACTATATCTCGTCTTTCTTATTCTCGCATAGGTTTTGCACATGCAATATTTAAGGTCACATATATAGATGTGTAATCCTCGATGAATAAATTCTTCGATTAATTTTGGTTATGCTAGGCAACGAAGAAAAGAACTTCTTATTCCTCGGGTATATTTCAAAACATACTTTCTCCCCTATTCAGGCTTACACAGTAGGGAAATCTTGATAAGTAGACTGTTCATATGAGGCATGCTTGACATTCTATCAACTATGTCGAGTAATACACGGTGTTTATTTTTGCTATCGGGCCTATATTATCCAGTCGATATTTAGATTATTCTTTTCCCTTTCAATTATATATATTTATCTGAATCCATATATATGTATATTCTAAACACGAACGGAAAGTACACAGGAGGAATGCTTGACGGAACGTTCGAATGAAAAAAAAAAGCGAGTCTAGTGCGACAAGTAGTTCCAATCGATAGACGCCATCCATCGGTAGTAAATGAAGTGGATGCATAAGCACGTGCCGGATTTGATGCAATTCCGACAATGCATCTGACGCAAACGCTTAAGGAAACATTACTATTCATTAGCATAAATTTTTTGTCGATAATGTTCCCATAGAAAAACTCCTGGATTTCTCGTCTATTGTTTGGTATTTTTCTGTCTTTCAACGTCGAAATAATAGAAAAAAGAGCGACTAATTTCTTTTTGATACATGTTTATTATAATAGAAAGCAAATTATCAGTTTTCCTAGTGAATGAATCTCATCTAAATCGATGAGAAGATATTTCGAAAAAGACGAGAGAGAGTGAAGAAAATCAAATTATCAAAAAACTTCTTATAATATGTCGACTACATTGAGGAACATATGAAACTATTAACAGTATTAAATGATCTTAGAGAACGGCTGTGTAAATATCGCATTAGATGTCTAACAAAAACATGTACAATCCTGTTATCTTAAATCGAAGGATATTAACAATAAATAGATGTTCTTCTAACAAAATCTTTCCTCAGACAAATGCCGAGACCAGATTGTTGTATGATTTCTCACAAGAGTTAATACAATTAGAAGAGAAGACAAATTTCGTGAATTGTTATACTCAACAACTGATTTGAAGAATCATCGAATGATAAAAAAAAAGATGTGTCTTGGTTTTCTCCGAAGAGAAAAAGCAAGTACTTTTGTTTAATAGAATCAAATGATTCACTGATGAAAACGTGTTAGAATATGAAACATCTTGTCTATTTCCCGAATGAGAAGTAACGAACGAGTCATTTCTTCTTCTTCTTCTTTTTTTCTTTTTGTTTCCCATCAAATGTGTTCGACATTAGTATCTCCTGTTAATATCTCAACATTTTCCCAACAATGTAATTCAAGAATTACGATCACAGCGATGATCAATTGATCTATCAATCACAAATATCAGCAGAAAATCAATCGATGGATGACACAATCTTATCTTGGAATCACTATCTAAAAGGTTCGATTTTCGTTTTTGCTTGTTATTCATCCGCAGTGACAAAGTTGAAAAACACACATGGAAACATTTAGATCTTATTATCTATTACATTAACATTTGAGTTATTAAAACAACACATAGGGGATTATCAGAGAGTCTCACAGTCGCACTTAAGATAATTAGCATCTAAAGCGTACATTGTTGACTTACTTTGATATGGTAAATTCTTCAAGATGGAATGGAAAAGTTGCTCTGGACGACTTGAGGATAAGAAAATTATACAGTGTATACCAAAAGTAGCTTCCTAAAAGTTTTCATGTATATCTTCGTTATTCCATTTGAATTCTTCAACAATTCATTTTTAATTTGTAGCTGAGATTACTAAGTTTTAGTTGTTCAAGACAACCGTCTTTACTACTTCTTGGAAAACAACACCTATGGGCGAAATACAAAAACATAATTATTTTCTCATAGTTAGAAAACACGACATTTACAGATTTTTTCTTCTCAGAAGTTTTATCTTTCTACTTTAATTGTCTGTATATTTCGTTTGAAAACTATGCTAAAATCTCTATCATTATATAAGTTCTGGTACAGCTTCACGGGCTCTGTCTAGCTGGCTAACGAAATAAGCGAAGATATATGTGAAAAATTTTCGGAAGCTACTTTCGGGACACACTGTAGTAAATAAAAAAATCTGTCAGCATTCTTCATTTCTTGTCAAGATTGTATCTTGACAAAAAAATTATGACTTTTCATAATACGATTAGTTGCAGAGAATAGAGAAATACATGTGGCACATTTATCTCAAAACCAATGTAAATGAAGCAATTTATTCATTGAAAGGCCAGATGTTCGATTTGTTATTATCACAACTGAATGATAACGTAGAATTGGCCAGTTCAATTAGATACACAAGGTACTGGCAGTATGTGAAAGCGCAATATATATATATATCGATGGTATCACTAATTAATATGTATATATGTCCAACGGAGTATCATTTCATTAGATGTTTTCATCGCAATGTTTTGTCGGTACAGTAGTCAAAGGAAAATATCAGCAAAGACGATAAATAAACAACTCATTTTTCAGACAATAGATAAAACTTCTCTTCGTGCTACGTATGTTTGCACTGATTGACATAAGAGAACGAGCAGATATTAAAAATGATGTCATTTATGACAGACGTCTGTTATGTGAGAACTTCAAATTAATCATTAGATACGATGTTATATAATTATAGTTGTCACAAAGGTACAAGACCTGAAAGACTATTGATTCAATTGTTTTCTTTCTTTATTGTATTTGCAATGCATTCGGGGTTAATCTGAATGTCAAAAGCAAATATTTGCTGATATTTTCAAATTAAAGTTTAACCAGTGACTGACACACATAGACCTCTATATCGCAATCAGCATAAACAATAACTATCAGCAACGACTACATCTGTCATTTGTCTATCGTGATATCCAACCATACATGATCTACGTATCAAGTCCATTCTTCTTTACCGTTGTATACTCCACCGATATCATTTCGTTGGTGTACATCTATGAAAAAAAAAGTATTAGGTATTTATCAACCTTCGAATTCTATTAAAATAGAAGGATCGAGTTGTTTGATGAGTCATATACATATTCGTCTTTTTTTTTCTTCTTCTTTTCCTCCTACACTCTCTGCCACGTCGCATTTGGATGGTGCAAAAAAGTTTCATTTTGTTGTTTAGATGAACATTTACTTTTGCGGGAGCATTCGAGGTGGTCGACAAGATGTGGCGATCTATCAACAGATCGTTACTTGTCTAAAGACGTATGGACGAGTTCTAACTGAACATGTCGCTTTTCCCGAACTAGAGTTATGTAAGTAAGAACAATCGATGCTTCAAGTCACAATTGACATTTGCGGAATTTGTACAGTAGAAAAGAACCTGAACGATGCCGAAATTCTCGAACGCGATATGCAGTGGTTATCTCAAGCACATATTGTTGTTGCTGAAGTGACTCAACCGTCGTTAGGCGTGGGTTTCGAAATTGCCCGTGCGATTACACTGAATAAACCTGTTCTCTGTTTGTTTCGACCATCAAGTGGCCATCGTGAGTTGGAACAACTGAATAAAATCGTTTTCATTTGTTTCCTTTTCCTCTGTTTTCCAAGGTCTTTCAGCATTGATACGTGGTTCGGCAAATAATCGCTCATTTTTTGTTGGAAATTACGAACAACGGGAAGATATCGAAAAGTTTATTCGAGATTTTATGAGTTATTGTTCGCAGAAGCGAACAGTTTGAGTTTTTCTCGATGAACTAACATTGATTTGAACTAGTCATTTCGATGATCTGCATTTTAGATTTCTAAATCGATTGAAAAGAAAGAAAAACAAAGCACAATGGGTTTGACATTTTCATCACTTTTTCAACAATTATTTGGGAAAAAACAAATGAGAATTTTGATGGTCGGTCTCGATGCTGCCGGTACGTTTGATTTCACGGTCAACAACGAAGTTCTTACTGAATAATAATTTATTTAGGTAAAACAACAATTCTCTACAAGCTCAAATTGGGAGAAATTGTCACCACAATTCCAACCATTGGCAAGTGAAGTTGACTGAAGAATGAGCTGTCGAATCATTGTTTCGATGATTTAGGTTTTAACGTTGAAACAGTCGAATATAAGAACATCAGTTTTACAGTTTGGGATGTCGGTGGTCAAGTAAGGATGCCTGTCGAACTTTTCGATATGTTAATGTGAGAATTTAGGATAAAATTCGTCCATTATGGCGACACTATTTTCAAAATACCCAAGGTCTTATCTTCGTTGTTGATAGTAACGATCGTGAACGTGTTGGTGAAGCACGTGACGAACTTCAACGTATGCTTTCCGAAGATGAACTTCGAGAAGCAACGTTACTCATATTCGCTAATAAACAAGTAAGAAAAACTACGAAGAAATGAATAGTTGTTGCTTTTGATAACAAACGTTGTTCGTCGCAATAGGATTTACCTAATGCAATGAACGCAGCAGAGATCACCGAGAAATTAGGTCTTCATTCATTACGTAATCGCAATTGGTACATTCAAGCGACTTGTGCGACAAGTGGTGATGGTCTCTACGAAGGTCTCGATTGGTTATCAAATCAATTGAAGAACGTGAAATAAATCAAACTAAAAGTATTCCATTAATTTCAATCGTTTCTTTTCTCGCTCTTTGTGCGTATGATTTGTTTGTCTTCTTTTCTTAAATAAAACAAAACACAGACTCATTTTATTCGTCCTATTTTTATTTCGGAGTTTTATTCAACTGTGAAGACATCCTAGAAACTATTGTTACACGAAATGTTTGTGTTTTTCTTCGTAGTTTCTCTGTTCATACGTCATGTGTTTGTTATAAGTTGAAAAGAATAAAACGAATATCTTGCATGAATCTTGCCCATTTCTTCAATGAGAAAACGAACGATGCCGATGGCATGGAGTGTGCGATGTTTAGTTCAGTTTTAGATCAATTCGTAGGTCATTTCGATGAATACGTCCGCTTACCAGTACCTTTTTGGTAAGCAAAGAAAACGAACCCTAATGCTTGGTTTGAAAGATTCGGGTCAGTTGAGTGCAAGTAGTAGAAATCGATGATGCTCTCTTCTTTCTCTAGGGAAAACAACAATGTTGAAGCGACTCAACTTAGGAGAAGTTGTAACATCCATTCCGATTGCTGGTGAAACACGACTCTCTTCAATCTGATCATACGTATGTGCATTGTTTCGCTGTAGATTTTAGTATGGAAATAATGAAGTATAAAACCAATACGATCGTGTCTTGGGATCTTCAAGGAAAGGTAAATGTGTGTTTTAACGAACTTTAAGTTGGCCAGCTGTTGTACTTAGGAAAAACAACGTGTACTTTGGCGTCCATATTTTCGGGACACGGCATGTAATAATGCCAGTTACAAATAAACACGGCTGTGTACAGAACGAAATATATTTCAGATCTTATTTTTGTGATTGATAGCACTGATCATGAGTATATCAATGATGCACGAGATGAATTACATCGATTACTCTCCGAACCTGACCTTTTCAATGCACATTTACTTGTCTATGCTAACAAATGCGTAATTTATAATGCTCACTTTTTCTTTGAATGAAATTCATCCTTAGTTTTTCTAGGACCTAGCGAATGCCATGAGTGTTGCCAAAATCACAGATAAACTTGAGCTCCACTTAGTAAAAGATCGTCGATGGCAGCTGGTGCAAACTTGTGCCACTAGTGGTGAAGGTCTCTTTGAAGGTTTAGAATGGTTGACAAAGCATTCCGAAAACTTCGAATGAATGTTTCTTTTTGTGATTATTTATCTCGAATAAATCTCTCTTTTTTTTATTACTCGTGCGCTTTTAGTTCAATTATTCGTAGACAACAGATACATTATGATTGTTTTTAGAATGGAAACATGGCCATCAGAAGTTGTTCGTGCATTTAATAGGTTTGTATTACACTATTGTTCTCTGTCTCCTTTATAAAGTGTGGCTATATAATTCAAGATCAAAATTCAATCGCGATGAAACGAAAAAATATGAATTAGTGTTGTATAAACCAATCGAACCAATCTTACAAGAAGGTCCTCAGTGAGTAATAGCAGTCATAAGCAAAGCTATCGCATCAGATGTTTGCTTGATAGATGTGGAATTGTTGCTTTAGCAATGGCAATGAGTAATCATTCGTGTGATGTAAAAGTGCAAAGTATCTTTGAAAAAGCAAAGGAGCTGTTATATACCATTCAAGGTGAATTATTTGATGGTAAAGAAGTTCTAGAATCATATGCGAGTTATTCTTATCTATTCACTTGCTTAGCTCATGTCATACCACATCTTTGTGAGCAATTTAATTTGACAGCAACTGTTCACAAATGGGCAAAAGTAACGGATCTTGTTGATTGTCTTCAATCCGGCTGTATCTGTCTTGTTCCGTAAGAGAAAGGGATTGTCTTGAATGTTTTTGCTTCATAGTTCACCGTTTTCCAATCTAATTAGATATGACTCAGATGCTAATCACGAACCATGTTTGAAGAAAGGTCATCGAGCACATTGGCTTCTTGTTCATGGTTATCTGAAGGAATTGACATCATCTTCATCGAACGAATATGATCTAGTGTTAGTACAGCATGGAAAAAGTAAATTTCTCGGTGCATTTTCAATGCTGGATCTTTTTCAAAGCAATGGACAACTAGTAGACATCGATCCTAAACGGCGAACAGACTCTGAATACTGTCTGCCGAAAGATGCATCGCTCAAAGAAACCTTGTGCAATTTATTCGTAGCAATATAATCATGAAGTTATCTTGACCGAACCGAATCGCTTGGTGACACATATATGTTTTGTTAATATGCGACATCTATCATTATTTTACCCATACATATCCAATATATGTACATTTGTAAATAAACAATCATACCTATTGTAATTTGGTGGACGAAAAATAATCATTGATTCGTTGTATTGATATTCCACTATGACTCTGTTCGAAGGTTTGCTGAATAAATGGACAAACATTCTCAAAGGTTGGCAAACTCGTTATTGTGTGCTCGATCCTACTCAAGGAACGCTTGTTTACTATACAGTATGAGACGAAAAGCGAGAATTTCCTCTCCAATCGAGAACGACCATTTGTTTTAGTCGAGAGAAAATGTCGGTAAAGGTGAACGACGTGGTGTGATTCTATTGAAGGTTGATCATCCAGAAACGTATTCCTAATCATTTCCTTTCTTTAGGGAGCACACCTAGGTATTGACGTTGAAGATGACACGACAGTAAGAAGATCTTTTTTTCGAAAACAACTATACGCGTCTTTGTTAGTTTACGATTCGATCTTACGGTAAAACATTCCATTTTCAAGGTGGAGTTTCATGACCATTATCTTATCTTAGAAGTCAGGTCTTTTTCGTTTTGTTTCTTTCGTAGCTCGTGATATTGAAGAAAGACGAAAATGGCTATGTAATCTCGAAGACACTATTAGTTTTAATACTATTAATACTGTATATCATCGTATTCTTTCTGTTTGTTGTTATTATAGAAAAAACAAACGATATTTTATTTATCAGGATAGATTATCATCTGTGAACACAACACTTTTTCAAAAGAGAATCTTAGAAGTTGATGGAATCTTACAAATATTAATTGACCAAGTTGAGGTGAGTAATTGACAATGCTTTACCGAATAGAAATGTCTTTTTTTTTTTCAGGAATTAGAAGAAATCAGTAATCAACGCCGAGCTGACGGAAAAGAAAACTGCTATGAACATATCATTCTATCATCTCGAGTAAATGGAAACTGATCTTGACAAAGACTTTTCTAATCGTTTTTTCTTTTCTAGAGATTAATCGAATCTGTTAAACACTCCATCGTCTCACTTCAGTTAGCAAAAGTACGTATATTTAGTTTGTTCGATATACCCTTCCACCCCCTCCCATCTAGGTCAGACAGTATTTCTTAGACAAGGTTAACGATGATGTTTAAATAATGAGTTTGGAAGCAGGTTACTATATATATATATGTTATAGTTTTTCTCTCCATCATCCGTACAATATTCTTTGACGAACGAAGAACTTCTACTTTCGGTATGAAGAGCTACAGGACATGTCTACTAATATAATCATTGCTCGTTTTTCCTGTTACTCGTAATGAGCATATCATAATTAGTAATTGAATTTTTAGAAACATATGGATCCGCAGACGGAAACATTTCTGCCACCCATGAATGGTGATGATAAAATTACTCCAGACAACAATATTTCCCTTGAAGGTTTACTAAAACAAGACTTCATATCAGTCTTAATTAGTATGATATATTATTTAGCTTTGAATATCCAAGACGCCGTAGAAAACATTGCAAAAGCTCCCACTCTAGCTGTATCTGGTAGTGATAACGACGACGACGACGACGACGATGACGAATTTGAAGATGCTAATGATACAATAGAGTGAGTTATAGATGTATTCTCTGCTTTAAGTCATTTTGATTTATTAATTTAGAACACCTACATGTTCACCACTCTCAACTGAACAAGATGAAACACCGTAAGCGAATCGCACAGATTTATAATAAACATTTGTTTCTCATTTAGTACTACTGAAACTGATTCAAGCATCACGTTTGAGCAATATGAAGCAGCGTATGAGGAAGCACCCGAAGACGATGGTATGTTGTTGTTTCTTGGATAAAATATATAATCATTGATTTTGTGATTTTAGTTGCACCAAACGATGGGACTATTATCAAGCATATCATTTCTCAGGTAAGAATTCGTAAATGTACAATGGAAATACACCATTCTTTTTTGTTGTATCTTTCTAGTGTAGTTTATTTATGGATTTAACTAAAATAACATTACCAACATTTATTCTTGAGCGGCGGTCTTTTCTAGAGATGCTCGCTGATTTTCTTGCACATCCAGATGAATTTGTCAAGTAACTCCAACAAAGAATTATTTATATCCGTACATATTTTCCTCAATGTAGTATTGCAGACCATCCTACGCCACGTGAACGTTTTATACAAGTTGTCAAATGGTATCTATCCGCTTTCCATGCTGGACGAAAAAGTCCCGTTCCAAAAAAGCCATACAATCCAATTCTTGGTGAAATATTTCAATGCTCATACGATATTGGTTTATCTTCTTCTGAAGTACACCGCATTCTTACTCTCGTCCATCTTCACAGTTCATTTGTTTTTTTTTTGTTATAGTCAACATTGACTAAAGATGGTCCCGTTCCATGGGCGTCGGATCACAATGTGACTTTCATTGCTGAGCAAACATCCCATCATCCACCAAGTGAGTGGAATCGAACTGGTGTTGTGTTCCAGTTGACAGTAAATCTTGTTTCTTTCAGTTGCATCTTTTTATGCTGAATGTCCGGCAAAACGAATCCAGCTCGATGGATGCCTTTGGACCAAATCGCAATTTCTCGGTCTTTCTATAGGTGTTCACATGGTCGGTGATGCAACTATAACCTTACTTGATTATGACGAACGTTACGTATTAACATTTCCAAGTGCTTATGGCCGGTAAATACACAATCTTCTTCTTCGTTGAATTCATTCTATTTGTGTAGTAACATTCTTCTTGTGCCTTGGTTTGAAATGGGTGGCAAAGTGTCGATTACTTGTGAGAAAACCGGCTACTCAGCAAACATTGAATTCTTAACAAAGGTATGTTGTATTAACGAACACTGCCTTTTATCTATGTTCATTGTATAGCCATTCTATAACGAAAAGAAGCATAAAATAACTGCCACTCTGCTTGGTCCGGATAAAAAAGAATTTTGTAAGATCGATGGTGAATGGAACGGTATCATGAACGCGAAATATACCGACGCAAAAGTGCCGGAAGTTTTCTTCGATACGAAAACGACACCGATCATCAAAAAGATTATTCGGCCAATTGCTGAACAAGATGAACATGAAAGTCGACGGTATTTTGATTGACAGAAAAAGAGTTTGAATGTTATTCATTTATTGTGCTGTGATATTTCAGTATGTGGAAAGATGTAACTTATTACTTAAAATACAAACAAATGGATAAAGCAACGACAGCGAAATCTTTTCTAGAGCAACGTCAACGTGAAGACGCGAAACAACGTGCTGCAGAATCAGTTAAATGGCAGACAAAAGTATGTCAACATCTTGTCCTTTGGTGTCCAAGTGTACCGTTTTTATATTTGATTGTAGTATTTCACTGAATCAGGTGAACAAAAATGGACTTATGGAAACAAACTATCGAAACGCATCCAAACGCAATCTTAAATTCCAAAATGGATTTTGATTTTCTTTGTTTTTGATTTTTTTTTCGTCATTTTTCCATGTATTTTTAATTACGCATCCGTGATTCTTTCCGATTATAACCGAGTGATATCGCAATCTATCTCACTCAGTCAGATTGGACTCGATGTTTTATTTATTTGCAAAAAAAAAGCCAAAGACTAATTGACGCATATCGGTGCTAGTTTTCACACATGTATATTTGTCTTTTTTTCTAATTATTAATATACACATACTATTCTATTCTATGTGCATTGTTTAGATATTTGTTACAAAAGTAGAAAAACATGTCTTCCAAAACTGATGCTGTCTCAACGGCTAAATCTGGCGGTACGAAAGCAACAAGTTCCACAGCGAGTGGAAGACCAGTATTGAAAAATCTAACTCGTGCGAGAGTACCACAAGCTGGTCTCATTGGTATTGGTTTGGCGACAGTAGGCGCACTTGCATGGAAAGTGCTAGTATCTGATCGACACAAAAATAATTTTACATCGTTTTATAAGTAAATGACACGCATCGGTTTGCACAATGTATTTATCCTTTTCTTAGATCTTTCGATCCAGAACGTGATTATGCTCGTATGAAAGCCTCAGGTGTTTTTAAATCTCTCGGTAAATGACCGTTTGTTCAGCTAATCGAATGAACTGGGCTTATTGTAATCTTTCTTTTAGAGGGAGTTGAACGACCTGCTTGGCTTAGTGAGTATGAAGGTGAACTCGATGCGGCTATTGCATCGTTACGTGGCAAAGCCCATAGTGAATAAAGTAAAAAAATTCCGAACAACATCATTTGATGAATTTCTTAGAGCTCCTTCTTTAGATCAACCAAAACTAACTACTGCTGTCAATGGTAACCTTTTTCATTGCATTCCTGATAGCAGTAGTCTCCAACAAACACGATAAACATTTGGCTGCCTCATTCCCATATCTTTGTTCTCCGTTCAGCTTAGTTCCATAACGTCCATTTTGTTCCCCCTTGGTTTTTTTCTTTCTTTTGTAATAAAGCTGATAACTGCTTAAACAGAAGCGTACTAAAATTCATTGAATATTCGAGACACATTAATATTGGAACATGTTTTCTTCCAATGTCACCTAAATCTTGAGGATGAAATTCTTTGAGAATTGCACGCTTTTGAATATATTGGCTATATACTACGAAGTCCAAACAACAGATTCTGAATCATTGGGATTTTATCAAGAGTGCTATTTTTATACAAATATAATCTTCGAACATTTTAAAAAATAACCTTCTTGCTTAACCTAAACTACCTTAATACTCGTAATATATACGACGTTGCACGTATAGGATCAAACAATTTGAAAATCCGTACTACACGCCTATTGATTGCTGTGACGAGGAGAATTCCATCGAATATTTACAAAATACAATAAGTTGCTACCTCATGATACGAAATAGCAGTTGAGGACACAGATGCACTACATAAGATACATTTTGCTTTCCAAATGTCATTTGTGACGGTTATGACTGACGCCCAATACCCACGACTGAAAATAATTTCATACAAGTAGTGTCCATTGGCAAAAGAAACTTCCTGTAATTTTTGTTTTAGTTCTATGTGTGCATCTTTTCGGTAAAATTTCTATTGAACAACAAGATAGCTGTGCAAAAACGCATTAGCAGTATCGTATATATGGAATTGGTCGGAGTAAAAGACATGAGTTTGGTATGATTTTATTCCATGAAGTAGTAAACAGCGAGAGTAGCATTGATTTCGGTGCGAAAAAGAGAGAAACACTTATAATATGGGTCTGACAGTTTCACGTGGTACTTTTCCACCATTGTCGGATCATCATATAGAAAACAGATGTATCCTAATGACATTGCAATATGATAATAAGCAGAATCACGTGTTTAATATTCATCCAGATTAGCACAATCGTTTGCGTAGTGGCGCCCAAATACTGCCCGTGAAACAAATGTTCGACATCTGGGACATTCATCTGTTTTTCTACCGCAGATTAGTACATGGTCTCGCTTTGAGAATGACGTCAGTGGTTCTTCACAGAATGGGCATGTGGTGGAATAGTTTTCGGCCTTGGTCATCTAGATTATGGAAAATAAATGAGAATTTGTGGAAGATAGTGTCTGAGTTATTAGTCGATATTTCTTCATATGCATGCAAATTGTGAGTTTACCTGAGTTACGTTATGTCTTGTACTGCCACGTGTGATATTGCTTTCCTCGGCTAAATTAACAGAAAAATATAAGTCGTGATTCTCAAACGTGAATACAAGCGGTATAAGACATCTTACTGTTATGTAATCATGTAAACTACTTACTCATCATTCAAAGGAAAGAAAACCTTCATACTATTGGATCATATTGTTTGATGTCTTACATCTTCTATACCGTAGTCAAGTGTGAGAATATACTGCTTAAAATCTATTCTGGTCAATGACAATCGCTGAGAACTAACGATAAACATCTACTTATTGTTATTTAAGCGATGAGCAGTATATTTAATATGTCCTTGTCCAATTTAACCTAATATGAATTAACCTTCATTTACACTAAACAATAATAGATTCAAAGAAACGACCCTTATAAAACTCAGTAATAAACTCTCTACTCGTTAATATACATTTACAACAGTGTCGTTAAGATATTGAGTTCGTCTAATCAGTTAATTTACCTGGTGTCATCACACTTATTTTAGCAATGAATGGTGTATTATCTTTTTGAATCATAATATTTGGTACATTGAGAAGTTGTTCTTTCAGTTCATCTAGCTCTCTATTCCAGTAATCAAGATCCATTTCAAAGAAGTCATTTTCTTCTTGACTTTGTTTTATCTTATCTGTCAACTTGTGCAGTTTATCATCTAATCTAGTATGATGTTCAAGAAGATGTTGCGATAATGTTTGTCGAGTATCAGCTGCCACTTGTCGGATTTTCTCAATGGACTCATTTTCCCATCGAGAAATCTCTTTCATATAACCATGCTTTTGTAGATCCTCTTGTGTATCGGTAAGTGCTTGTCGAAATAGATCACGTTTCATTCCAACGGCATCTAGCTGATTGGTTAGGTCTTCTCGATGCTTCGGAAAATCTGATAAACAAAAAGTTCTCAAGCAACCTTCACATCTAACTCCACCCTTTTCTTTTCCACAGATGCAGCAAGACGCTTTTTAGTTGCCATTCGTTGCCTGTTTGTATGAAAACAGCTGCTTGGAAGAGACGATACTGACTTTTAGAGAGTCGCACACGGCTTATAATTCACAAAATATATTTCACATATATGAATACTATTCATAAAACTCCATTCGATGACTGTTTGTTTGATTAGATTCACGAAAGGAACATGTGAATAGAAAGTCGGGCCAAGATTGTCTATTGATGATGGATTGAACGATCGGTATTCACTATTAATTGTTTCAGTTTATTATACTCCTTCTCAGCTTTGAAGCGAAGGTAAACGAAAAATGTTCTGATACTGTGTCTCAGCAGCCGCTTTGTCAGGATTTTTCAGGCATATTTTCTATTTTGATAAAATGGACATAATAAGGTTTCAATCAATAAAATAATCACTACCTCGTGAAACGAGAGAGAATATGCATGTTGTTCAACTCCACAATATTTACAATGCATTTTGACGGTAGCTACGTTTCGGTTGTCAGTACTGGAAGAGCCCAATTACATAGTATAACAAGTGACGCTTAAAGACAAACCTGGATTCATTGTGTTGTTGTTCGGCATATTGTTGAGAACACTCTGTCTACATAACTGAAATTCTATAATTGCTCAAAATATCTAATGAAATTTTACTGTGTGTAGTTGATAATGCTCCAATTGAATTAGTTGTCTGCAAAACTCGCAAGGAATTTCAGTAGACTGATTGGAAGGATCGACATGATCTTAGAAAATTAACGAAGCTATTTAGAAAATCCTACAGTTCATTGAATTACCCGGTGGAGAGTTTGTTGTGGGATAGATTCGTGATTGTTGTTGTTTTGCCCTGATATTACCTGGACTGCGTAAACAATTATTCTAAGAAAAAAAGGTAATTAGTCAATAGCAGAGACATCATTGATGTTCACTTCATGCATCTCTTGTTCGACTTTCTCACATTGTTGACGACAGAACTGACAACGAATAATGACTTTGCTTTGCTGTAATGCGCTACTTATAGCTGGTATGTGTTCCGAGATGCTACGCTGATTCGAGGCAGCACTTGTTTCATTCTCCAATTCGTCTGGATCGACACAGGCATTTTCATAGTGATAGGCAAATACAGCTCGACGAACAAACTTCCTGCATCGAGGACATTCATCGGTTTTATTACCGCATATGAGTAAATGATCTGCTAATGCAGACTCTTGTAATTCTTTACCGCAAAACATGCATGGCCGGACTCGTGTAGAACCTGCCTTAGACATAATACGTTAGATCTGAAACGGAGACAGATGAGAGTCTGAGGAGATTCATTCAATCTTTTTTGTTCGCTCGTGCGTTTATTTGAAAAAATGTACAGAAAATATATTGACAAGTTACATCAAGAGTTCAGTTTTAGAAGAATACGCTTCTTGCATGTGTAGTATGCACAATGAAACGAATCGAAAATCTATATTACACCTTTAGTTATTATTTCGATGAGGATTTTTGGTGCAATGCATCTAAAGGCGAAGGAAATACCATTAAAACGGTGTACAAGTTACAAGAAACTTCTACCTGGTGGGACGAAATACCATTTGAAGACATAGATGTACTACAAAACATACATTTTATTTTTTGAATGCTATGTGAAATGGCTGTAACGGGAGACCAATGTCCGTGTCTGAAAGTAAGTCAATACAAGTAGTATTTATCGACGAAAGAAACTCACTGTGACTTTTGAACTAGTTTTCTGTGTGCATCTTCTTGACAAAGTTTCTATTGAATAGAAAGATAATCATGCAAAAAGAAGTACTTCTAGTGAACGTACAATATGTCTGTCGTAGTCATCCCATTCAATTCCTTGTTGGCAATATTCACAGGGAATCAGAGCACCATTATAATCAGAATTGTTCACAATATGTAATTGATCTAAGAAATGAACATATGAGTTAGGTGTGATTTTAGAGTGTGGAACAATTGTAAGCGGAGAATAGCATAGTTATCGAAGTAAAAGCATGGAAACAAACTAGGAACGACAGCGTACTGAGATCTGGATAGAAAGAGTTATTGATACTGTGCTGTTGATTTGTTCGTATATTTGTTGGATTGCGAAGACAGTTCTCCTGCCAACCATAACGATACGAATAACGAAACTGCTCCGAAAGAATGATTACAATGTTCCTACTGTGTGTATTTTTCTGTCTTTTAAATCGCAATTGTGATTACAGTATGGACATTTATAAGTCATAGGTATTACCGTTGAACTTACTAGTTCAGTTTCACGATAGTCATGATCATTTGTTGAGTCTGTACCTGGATCAGCACACTTATTCTCATAATGATACGCAAATATCGCTCGTCGAACATATTTGTGACATAGAGGACACTGATCAGTCTTATTACCACACATTATTAAATGTTTAGAAATAGCATCGATTGATTCAAAATTCTCATTACAAAATGAGCAGCTAACACTTGAACTCTTGAGAAAAATACCAAGTCACTCACGAGAATACAAGCAAAAATTGGACTTACTGCTCCAGCCATATGTATTTTCTGATCTGAAAATGAATAATAATTGATATGAAATAATTAAAAAGAGAATAGCATGACTGGTTTCGTCATAGGATGTGAGAAAACTTGACGTCATCGTTTGCACACCGCGATACTTCTTTTAGTGGGAAAAAGAAATAAAATTACTCATAGGTCATAACAGTACTTGGTAAGAAACGAAAGTAACTTCTATTTTACTATTTTGAAAGTTTTCGTTAATGTCACGACAAATCATATTAATCACTGAAAACAACGACACAATTCATTGATGTACTATTTCCATAATACTTCAAAGTGAACGATGAGACTCTCAGTACGGATGTTTTGAAAGCCACTCGGTCTGTTTCTCTTTATTATTTATTTGATGTCAAATCCCATGAAGCGGACGTTGTTTTGCATTTTCTCTTGCAAAAGATGTCGCAAATGAAAAAGGCATGCTCTTTTCTTGTTAATTTGTCTTTGCCTCGAATAATCAATCAACTGTTATAAAAAGAAAAAAGAAGAAACAAAAAACGAAAACAACAGAATGTGTTGCAAGACTATTCGTTGACGTCAGATAAATCAATACCAGTTGAGCCTGCATCATCTAATTCTAAATCAAGCATGTCTTCAAATAACGATTCATCGACTTCAACGACTTCACCACCTGGAAGAAATGATTCACTTGGAAAATATTCGAAGACAAGTAAACGGTTTTACCTTCACTGGAGATAAACTGAATATCTGAATCATAGAGTGAACGATCTTTTTCGAATAATTGTCGGCCAGTTAATTTCTTCAATTCAGTTTCATCAACTTTAACAGTTTTTTTCAGTTCATTTTGTTCAGCATCGAATTTCACCTTCCATTTAATGAATGATTCGACAGTAACACGCGTACCTTCAAATCGCTTATGTTCTGCTTCTTCTTCTTCACGTTGTCTTCGTTCGAGAGCTTCTCGTTGACGAATTTGTCGATTTTCAGATTGAATACTCAATTGCTCAGAAAGATCACTAGCCAATGTAAATATCACCGGCATACCGAGATTTTCTTCGCACTAAAATACCGCTATCAGTTGTGTATCAATAATCAAAATGAATATTTACGATTTTCTGAATTTCGCTATCGAATGCGGACGTATCGTCAACATTGGCAGAGTCAATAATTGTTATTTGTGGTGCTTGCTCAGGATAATTCTCATGGAAAGTTATTTCCAGTTGAAGAAAAGCTGAACGCAAAGGAAACCATGTGACACAAATGTCAATGATCAGAAAGACTCACGTTTCAAACTGTCTTCATCATTGGTTGTTGGTTTCACCATGAGTGTAAACTTAGGAAACGGATCCTCGGATAGTACTGTACTAATTGGAAGATGAATATATAAATCAAATACAATGGATTAGCTCGAAAACAAACCTATAATTTCATCTGGATAGATGGAATTGAGTGCCTCGATTTCTTGCAACTGTTCTTCTTTCGCTGACATGCTTTACTTAATCTAGAATAACGAGAAGGAATTGGAATGAGAATGAACTAATAAAAAGAAGGAAAAAGATAAATTGGAATATCGAACAAAATATCACTTTATATGAAAATTAAATACAATTCATTCAGTCAGTCGAGTCGGACGGTTTTGCATCTGATTTTGATGATTTGTCTTTGTCTTTATTATCATAGAATTGAAGGCGACGTTGTCGAAGTTCTGAATACATACGTAAATCTCAAAATATCTCACCAATCAAATCAGTTTACCTTCTAGAGTAGGTTCTGTTGTGTTAACAGGTTCTGGAGGAGGATTCTCCTTTTTTGTTTCGGTTGAGTCATTTTGTAAACTAGCAGCAATCGCTTCGTCCAGTAATCTTTTATTCGCTGCATCATCTGCATCTTGTAATGATTGAGCGAGAACCTTTTGTAATGCTTTGTCTTCCGCATTATCTAATTCGACACTCGCTTTTATTGCACGTTGAATGTCTTGGTCGTTGAAGGCGGCCGATGATGATGATGATGATGATGATGACGTTCTGTTCTTGTTTTTTCTTTCAGCATCGGTACGTTCAGTTAACGAGCGGTAATACGCAGCATCAATTGTATTATTCAACAGTTTTTCATCCGCAAGACATGGCGGCAGAAATCCATTGACGATAAATATTGAATATCCACTCTGTTGTAATTGTGCGAGATATAATTGCAAATATGTATTCGAAACTAGTTTAGGCACAGTCGAAATCGAATTTAAATCAAAATATTGTGAGCCAAAACGTCGTATGGTTAACCAGTGTTCACGTAAATTACAGATATACGCTTGGACTGACTGTGGATCTGCACGTGCTTGTTGAGCCATAGGTTGTTGACTCGCATAGGGAACAAGTTCAATGTCAAATACTTCTAAAGCTTTTTGTAGAACTTGAATACTGAAAAATCCCGTATCTAAATCAATTCAAGCAATGGTCAACTGAATATATAAGAACTTTCATAACTAACCATCCATGTTTTCTGATTCACCGGATCGATGTCCTAGCACACTTCTCTCTTGCTCATCGATAGCACTGAAATAGGAAAATGTTCGTATAAGATAGTGACAACTTGGTTCCGTCATACCGTGCAATATCTGCTAGGGAAATAGCTGAGAAATATTCACGTTGTAACAGATTATTTAATGCATGTTGAGCGCAAAGTGAGCCTTCTTGTGTTTCATGATAAATACCAGTTAGTCGTTCAACTTCGTTCATATCGATGTATACAAAGATATCTAGAAGAAGTTAGTTGATTATTTTGAAAATCTAACAGAAGCTTGCTTGCTTGCAACGTCATTTTTGTTCATCAATTAATGCATATGATGATACTCGAATACTCGTTTGTAAGAAGAAAAACTGAAGATAGATGAATAAAATTTTACTTCCGAATTATATTTAAGTTGTTTTCGAAGAAAAGATAATTCACGTTGTTGAGAAGTTTACAGATCAATAACAGACTGATTACATAAGAAAAAAGTCAAACAAGATGAATAAAGTATAGATTTAAGAAATAAGTAAATCAAAGAGAGAGAGGGAGAACCTAGATTGTATCCCCGAAATCGACCAACAGTAATAACAAGATTGAAAGAGAATATACTTTTTATGAGAATAAATTTAAAAAAAAAACGCGTTGGGTTTATATGTCTTTTTATTATTAATCGAAATTTCGATGCATTCTATTTTTTCTCCTGTGAATTATCACCACCAAAATGAAGATGTTCATCGTGCGTAGCACTTGCACTCATACTTCCTCCACTAGCACCATGAAGAGGCTCACTATCGTCGCCATTGAAATCCATAGCTGATTTCGATGGAACAATTTTCGATTTAACTGCATTCACGGTTGAGCCAAGTGTATTCTCGAATGTTTTGAAGTAGCTTGAATCTGAAATGAAACTGTTAATTGAAACGAGAAAAATCCTTTGTCGATCGTACTTCGAAGAGAGCCAAGACCAGATTTCAATGACGAATTCACTGTTTGTAAAGTTGGTGCAATTTTTTCCGAAGCAGCACTGAATGTTTCGGCTGTTTTTTGATAAGCTGTTGTTGATTTAATGTCACTAACAGTATCGTTCCAATCTTGCTTCAAATCATCAACGAAACCAACACCTAACAAAGTTTTCAATTCGTGTTCGCGTTTCAATTTGGCACCAAGAACTTGACGTAGAGTAACGATTTCATCTTGAACTTTCATCAATTCTAATTGACAATACACGTGAGTGGACATCGTAAAAAGCATGTGAAGGATTTACCCTGACGATAATCTTCTTCTTGTTTAAGACGATCATCTTCGCGTAGAACGAATTGTTGTTGATTATTGTTAATACCTGAAGCTGATGAATCTTCATCAAATGGTTTTGGCATTTTAGTTGATTGTTGCTTGTCCATTGTACTTTTTTTTCTCTAAAGAATCGTGATCTACAAATAAAACATTAACTACAAACAAAATTTCAATTGAGAAAACAAAACTTCGTCCTATCGATTGACTCGCATTTGAAATAATCTTACACCTGGCAAAGGTCATTCCTCTTTTCATGACGACGACATTTGTTTTATGTATGGTTTTTTTTTCTTCACTAAATATCGCTCGTCGATGCTTACTCAATATAGAACGAACGATCGAATTTACGAAGATAAAATCATGAATCAAAGCACCGTTTCAATGATATCTGCAATGAAATAGAAAAAAAGATATATAGTTGTTATGAATTGCTTGTTTTGTTTGCCTTAAATTGAATTCAAATATTAATATCTAGTAGATAATTTCCCGATGTTCGATATTTAACATAAAAATACAAGAGACAGAAAACAAAATCGAATAGCACGAACAGATCAGAAGGAAATAAAGAGAATAGAGAACAAGGCTGAGAGAGATATATTTGACCACTCGATTGAGTACTGTTCGAGATCGAAGAAAAAGATCATAGAGCATCGTAATGAAACGCTTGTGCTTGAACTTTACGTTCGCGATCATCTTCCAGCTAAAAAAAAACAAGATTCATTCGTCATTTTCATCCTTCAGAAACCAAGTTTTCGATGCACGAACCTTTTCACGATATTGTAATATAGCAAGTGCACCAGCTAACACAACCAATGTTACACCTAATGCAATGCCTGTATGCAGAATCATTCGACTCGGTGTGATGAAAAGTTTGCTATGCCATCTAAAGCAACGGAAAGAAATTTTGCTATAAATTTTTATCGGGATAGATGTGTTTTACTTTTCAGGATTCATTAGTGGTGATGGAACAACGACTATTTGAGAGTTAGGAATCATTTGCGTATAAGTTCGAATTAGTTTATTCTAGAAAGTAGGAAAGTATGAGGGCTCTGATTGGAAACAGATAAAGATGTTGGCAGTACAAACCGATTCCATATTTGGTGGTACTCCAACAGTTATTTTTTCAACGAAATTTGGTGTTGAGCCAAGACCAATGATAACATATGGAAGTTCAAGTGTCATTTGACCCGATTGAGCCATTTGAACAGCTAAAGGAAGCGTTTATAACAAAAAGAGAGTATCTTCGTCATCCATACCTGCCAGTTTCACCCAATAATCTTTGATGCCATTCATAATTGTTATGGTTTCCATTTTAACCGATTGTCCCGGTTGGTTGTTTCCATAGGGCTACGATTGAATACGAATTTCAACTCAAGTCATCTCCTCTACAAGCTTACCAGTTTCTTTTGACGTGAACATGTCTCACAGGAAAATGTACTGATAACTAGATGGAAATAATACAATAGAACAGAGGTGATATGTTGCCTGTATATATATATACCCATGACTTTGATGAAATGTACATCTTGCACAAGAGAATTTTGAAAACCGATCAGTTTAAAATTCTGATTTTTACTTCCTTGTAACACAAGCAGATCGAGATAACCCTAGAAAACATGAAATGAAACTTCTGACAAACGATATTCTGGACGATTACATTTTCTAACACATCGAAAAAAACAGCCATGGTTGCATTAGTTGCAGCTAAGATAAATGATTCTTCTCCTTGCGGTGTGAATGTTCGATTGTAAGTACACGGTGTATTTACATCACTTTCACATGGTCGATTTTGCAGAACAATAGGAACGGTACTTCCTGAGGAACTAAGACAACAAAAAATCAGTTGAAGTGTAGAAATCATATCATTGTTCGACATACGTTTGTCTCATCACTGCCACCATATCGGGAAAACCATCGAGATTATAGTCCGCAACTTTGACACTCAGTGGTATTTGATCGAGTGGTGATGGGAGTTCTTTGGTTAGAGGAAATCGAACACCATCTCCAAATTTGATCGGTAGTAGATGCCACTAAAAGGAACACATGATATCTTGGAAAAAGCGAAATAGCATTACTGCTAGTACATACTGCGTCGTCATCTCGCACATAAATTTGACTTTTACTACAACTAGTATCCATGCAAACCGGGAGAATATGTTCTAATTCTCCATCGGCATCTAGAAAACAAATTTTATGTTTATAAAGATGGTAAGATTAAGTGACTTTTGATCCTAACCAATGTCAGCAAAAGTTGATAGATGATAAATCGCAACACCGGGTGGTGGATCGTATTCTTTATACAATTTGAAAGCTTCGATTGGTAGTTCATAGATGCGAAATTTCGGTGCATTGTTCACGTCAAGTGTTAAAAATAGATCTAATCGATTAAAACAATAAACATCCAGGGCTTTCAACTGAATGACGCTAACCTGCAACTAAATCATGATTCAGATCTACTGTCGCTTGCGTTGCACCTGACCGAAGTCGTTCGGCAACAGGTAGATCTCTGATGCGAAATGTCATACGATTTTTACTAAAAACATACTCCACTTATGTGTTTTGTTTCAAGAAAAATAACCGGTCTTACAAGAAGAGACAGGCTGGCTTAAACGTTGTATTATCAGTGCTCATCATTCCTAGCAATTCAACATACGAATCACCATTTGCACTGGAATGAAAGAAAAAGCATATGATTATGAAAAAGATATTTCCCAAACAGTTGACTAACTCGAGTGTTGTAGGAATATTTTCAAACAAATACTCAGTCGGATGCAATTCGCCTAGGAACGATTGAAAATAGAATAAGTACAACAATAATATTCGATTTCTTACTTAAGTTAACACGATTACCCCATAGAATTCCTCCGTTGTATCCAATCTGGTCACTTTTTGTCTTGTAAAGCACAAACAAATCCAATTTACTGTCGCCATCAAAATCTGCTGCGGATGCATCGTAAATAATACCAGTTATATTCACTTTACATATCTCTTTCGATGTTGTTGATCGGTCATCATTGACCATAATTTTAATTTCATCACCTAAAACCAATCACGATTCACCGCTTCAACTCGCATGTTATATTTACCTTTAGTATTTCGACAGAACACATCGACTATCTTATCAGCGTTAAAATCTCCGAATGCCAATGGAATACAATCATCGATGGCAAAGTTTTTATTGTTTCCAAAGTTGATATCGAAGACACGTTTCTCATCGCCGTGATTATTAGAAGATTTTTTCGTAGAGTCACTTTTTCCGCTGACAAATGTTTGGCAAACGAGAACAAGAAGGAAAAAATGACGAAAAAAATGTGAACAAGGTAAAATACGGAATTGCTTCACATAATTCATATCATCTACAAAAAAACTTTCAATTCTGATTTATTTTCTCATCGTTCTGATACTTGCAGCGCGTTTTTCTATGGACTAAATGAAGAAAAACATCACTAGACATAAATTAATATTATTCATCGACTGCAAAGAAACAAACGTGTGCACGTCGTCGAAAACGTAAATCATAACAGACGGAATACTCACTAAGTAAGCATCAATCACACAGTGTTTACATGGTTGGTTCAAACTTCTGTTCAATAGAATTAATCAGCAACTTTTCCGCGAAAATATCGACAAAAATTAACATAATATTTAGATAAATCATGTGAGTATGTATCATCTGAAACTACACGATATTTTTCTCTTTATTTACACCGTAAACAAGTGCGACATCTGTCGATACAAGAAGATGCTTATTAGGACTTTTGTGCGGATAGCTTTTGGGTAGAAAAATATTGACGTAGGACATTGAACTAACATTAGATTCAGTAAAATACAAATCATTAGTGTTTATGAATTATTCTCTCATTCCAGCGTATTCACATAACTCTTCGTAGGTAAAGAGTATCACGTTGAAATACCCCCATAACTACATTCTCAAAAACCCATAAGGCATGAAAAAAGTGAGATATTCCTCGTAAAATAGAGAGAGAGAGAGAAAGAGGGTGAGTACAAGGAGGGGAAAGAAATAACGAAGAGAGCGAGTATAATACATGTTGAAACTACAGATTGTATCATTCAGTTGTCGAATACATTGCATCGCGTACACCCGTTTGATAAGATTCAAGTCTAATAAATCAAGTATACAGACGAAAAATGAAACTGACAATGTCTGCCTCAAACGTACATAGCCAAGAAATTTATGATGAGCTTATAGGTTTGTTACACCGATTTCTATATATTTTCACCAGAGAATCTTATGGTTGCACCCAGAAATGTACTATACGAAGCCTATAATCGGGCTATGAGTACGCCTGTTCTATAATGCATTCATGATGCATGACGTCTTATCTTTTTACTTTCCATACAAAGCCTTGAGATAAATGATGGTTCAAAACATATATATTCTTCTCTTCTACTAGGATTCGATCAAGCACTGCCTTTACTTGCTGTCGGAGTTATTAGTATAGCGCTCGTCGTTGTGTTTGGATTTATTCTTTGTCATATGGATATGAAGGGTGATCATTGTAAGTATTGCTAAGACAATAGATTTACTTTTTAATTGACTATATTTATCGTGTATCGTAGCGTATCAATCACGTGGTTTTTACGTCGAAAATTAAACAATAATCCTATCTTCATCTTAGTTGATTAGCATTTTCAAGTAGATATTTGATGTTCATTTCATTTTATTTTTTTCTTCTTCTCGTTTTTGTTGCTTCTATGAATGTTGTTATATAAAAAAAAAATAGAAGAATGAAAACAAGCAAATATAATTAAAACACCAGTTTACCATCGGTCATCGTATGAGCTCTAGATACATGGCGAGTAAAGAAGTATTTCACAGAATTCACGGAAAAACAATAGAAGAAACATTTGCTACAAAATAAGACAAGCGAAAGCAAAAGCTGCAGCATCTTTCTTTCCGAATCTTATTTTGCAGGAAATCATTGAGTCAAAGACAAAAAACAAAGGACTAAATTGATCATCTTGATACACATCTTATACTTCATTTCTAATAAATACAACACGGAGATTCGCAAGTGGAAAGAACGGAGTGGGTCAGATCTTACACCGGGACTTGGCTAAACTTAAGTAAATATTATCTATACTTTCTTATGTTGTGATGAACTGCATATTTCAATTTCTTGCTTCGCTTTTTGGATGTTAATCGTAATTTAATTGAATCATTTTTCATGAATCGAATTGTTATCGATGGCCATTGTAGAAAAGTGTTTGAATGATACATTGTTTTCAACTTCATATTTTTCTTGCTTCTTTTGTATGCAACACTCTGTCGTACGTGCATGTCAATGAATTTGATGTGACACACGCAGACGGTGTTGCGTAATCCTCAGCTAGGATGCTTTTTATAATAGCTGTAGATCAGATCATGATCAATTAAACAAACGATTTGATGATCGGTACGATCATAATCCAAGTATAAAAATGATTTTCGATGAAGATCAAGGCTTAGGTCAGCCTATTGGAAAGAAATCGTAAGACAAGACGTTTTTACAGGACAAAATAGTTACCTTTCCGCCAAAGATTGTTGTTGTGAACTTGCCCGGATTGAATATCTTGACCACTTTGTCAATGATTTCATTGTACTGGTGGTACGGTACATTAGTTTCGAAGCTGACATACGAAAAATCTGGTTCCGGTGTGATGTGAATAGTAAAGTAATAACCATCAGGCAAAAGACCATTCATTGAATATCCACATGGATCGAATAGATAATCAAAGATTTTCGCATTGGGAAAAATTTTGTCAATGCCAGCTTTCTACAGAAAGAATATTAATCAACAAGGGGTAAAACGAACTCTATGTAGAACAGTTGCTCTCAAAAACTATAGTGCTTTTTCATTATTCATTCTCTCTATTAATACGATCCGAACGTACTTGTGTAGCTTCAGTCGCTGAATTTGTATTTTCTTGGTAGAAAATCTTCATTACGTTCGGATCGGGGTCGGTCATGATCACCTCCAATGTCTGAGTTGATTTCGTGCCAACGCATGACTTGTCAAGCGTGTATAAATACCTAAGCAAATAGTGTACTTTGAACTTTTCAATCAAATAAAGTACAACAAGTTTGCGACGAGTTGATTTCTTTTGATGTTATGTCAACATATGAGATAGTGTAAATAGTTTCAGACTATCTAACTTCTCTATTTTCATATTCATTCAGCTGTTTTGACTCACCAACAATCGACGTTTGTACGACCGAGAACGTAAGCACTGCCGCCTACAATAAAAATTTAAAAAAAGGCTATCGTGTCTGTCAAGCTAGGAATACATGCTTGTATTTACCTTCGAAACACGAATCGAGATAAGCGACCTAAAACTGATAAGTGTAAAAAAGTGTAATCGGATTCCAAAGTCCATTACTTCATGATCGAAACTTGTGTGTGGTGCTTTTTGTAATTCAGGACGAAGAAATTTTCGACGACTATAATAAACTTGCTTAAATAAACAAATAATTAGATGATTAGATATTGCAGGGTATTTATTGTCATTTTTCTTACATCAACTACATCGAATCCACAATAATCGCGAGCAAGCCCTAACAATGGTTGAACAGCATGGAGTAACGTTGTTTCTCCACATGTTTTTAATACCAAATGTGTACGAAAAACAAACATGCTTGATTCGCTCAATACATATGTGTCCGTTGTATCTGATTGAGCATATCGAAGTACTTTGCAGTTGACCAAATCCAGGACTTCTTCCATAAGATCCCTGTACAAAATATATTAACATATGAATCACGAAATTATTCGAGTAATTTACCGAGGAATATTTCGCAAATCATTTTGTGGCGTTGGATTATTTGGATCAGTCGTATTTGACGTAAACCAAAGTTCTAATAATTTCTCAGCGCCCTCAAAAAAATGACCGGTCATTCGTACCCGTTTACTTGACAGATAAAGACGACAAAAGATCGGTGATTGTACAGAGTATCGGTTTTTTTTTCTACAAGTAAAGTATGATATTGTTGCGTTTATATATACATACAGATATATATATATATATATACAATGTCAACATTACATTTTTTTCTCTCTTTTCCTTTTCTTTTCTCTTTTTCTACGTTGCGCTCGTTGAATCGCCATCGAAACAACCAGACGAGTAGCAAAATTACCCTTGTCGGCAATCGGTAGAAGTATAAAGGAATCTCGCGCTCTCTATTCTATTCTCATACTAGTGTTTTTTTTTCTTCCAGCTTGAAAACGACATTAATTATATATAGGGAAAAATAGGTTGTTTTCTGATCTGTTTACTAAAATAAAGCCTCTTGTCGACTCATTATTTACGTGTTTTGATAACGCTTTTACGCAATTAAGTAATCATTCGAAATGCACAATCATCCACTGATTATTTTTACCCACTCTTAAGAAAAAAAAATCAAAATTGGTGCATGAATCCTTCTCGCCCGGTTGTATAATGTCCTAAAAAAAACAAGAAATGACTATGTAGGAAGTTTATTTGCACAACGCGAATCGAGGTCATAGGTTGTATTATGTTGAAGAAGTTGTTGTTTTTGTCGAATTAGATTGTTGATCCTCTTAGACGTGTCACTTAACCAATATATTTATTTTCATAGTCAATTTAAATTGCGAAGCAGACAACGATTAAAATACAAAAAAAAAGCTTTCTTGATTGAGCGATATTGTAATAATTACATTCTTGAACCACGTTCTTGCAAAATCTGAAATTATTTATTGATTGAATTATCTTCTCTCATTTCCTATTGGTTCCTTACTTTCACTCGAGGTGACAAACAACTACTGTTCTCTTCTCGTACGTTTCGATCGTACTGTTTGGAAACTATACACAAAAATTCACCCTCGGGATAAATATAACTTGAGCCAACAGGCGAGTGACCAATAAGCTAAAAATTCCAAATATCCGTTACTGATTTGCTGCTGTATATCTCACTACGAACCTGTTCAAACTTCCAACCATCAGTTAATGAAGACATCAGATGTGTAATTTCCTTCTCTTTGCATTGCATTACACGATACACACGGTTTGTTGTTCCCTGAAGCAAAAAAAGAAGAAGTATGAACGAGAAATTCATCAGAACAGATTTGACATCGTTCATTACATCATCAGCTTTTCGTTTATCTCGTTCACGAATTCGTTCTTTGACGAGTTCAATTAACGTTTGAATGTTATAAAATTCTGCTTCTTCCAAGACGCCTTCCTCGACAAGATTGTTTTCTAGAATTAATTTCCCATGACGAAGATAGCTAAAGGAAAAATCCCGAGAAATTCAAGTTTACAAACAACATCTCCTTGTGTTTTACTTTAGAACGACGTTGAAATAATCTGGATCACGATCAATTAAGTATCCACCTTTGTCATCCTTACAAATGCAAACATGAATGAATTATTAATTCGACAACATTCACTTACTAAATCAGTTTTCAAATCGGAATTTGACTGACATAAACGACTAAGAAAGGATTCTTCTTTCAACAGGGTTGATCGCGTCGTCAAGAAATGTCTTCCACCGACATTCAGCAAAATCCAGTCGCTTTTAGTATCGAATAATTTCGATCGAGTGTCGATACTACTCAGCGATATCGTTTCGATATTATCATCAACTGTTAGCATTCTATAAAAGATAATGATGAAATCAAATTTGACATGTTTCTGTTGAACCTTTTCTCTTCCTTCTTCCTGCGAATATTGATTGATTATGGTATAAGCCCAATAGGTGTCTACTAGATGGCAGTAATGACAAACATGGAAAGGTGTTTCAACATAGTGAGAGAGTAAACTGAAGATTACACGCATATTTATATTATATCATCGTTCATCGTTAATACAACAAGATTACTTGCTAATGAAGACTATTTTCTGTCAATTAAACTTATTATAGGAATGTTTTTTTTATGAATATTCACAAGTACCTTGTCGCATCTATTATCAATAAATGATGAGATCATGATGTTTTTTTTGCAGAAATTTTGATGACGATATTCCGTTGTTGGTCAAGCATTCATCTGTGTATCATTACTTTATCACAAATGCTGTCGACATGTTTCATACAATCGGAAATACATCTCATTGTTTAGTTGCAAATAAACTCCAACACGCTTTCAATTTTATGTCCTCGATTGAGATGAATATAACACAAAATGAACTATAATTTTCGATATTTTATTAAACTTTTCGTTCGCTTGTCATCTCTCATAATGACACATGTATACTTATCGACGACGTATTTTATTATTTATATTGTTTTGTCTAGAAATGTCAAGAAAAACATGACAAAAGAAAAGAAACCATGCTTGTTTATAGGTGAACACATATGTCTATTGAAAAATAAATTCAATCTGTAAAAGATGGCACGGAAGCGACATCACCGGTATCATTAGAAATTGATTGTCGAACGATAGTTTGCATCATGTTGATAATTTCAACATTGTACTGAGCGATTTCATTCGATGCAAAACCAAAATCCAAGTATCCATGTGGCCATTCATCGACTACTATGAAATAGTGTAGAACATTGAGTGTGGCCAATCGTCGAGCGAATTCAATATTATCATCAATAAATGGATCTTTGAAAATAAAAGAAAAGTGAGATGAATTTTGTTTTCGAAATATGCTTGTTAGACTTACCACGTGCACATGGCTAAAAATAAAGAACATAGATTAGGTATACATAGTTCAGATATTGGCTCGAAAGAAAATGAGAAATACAAGTAGGTAGGAAGATATTTTAATCATTTATGATTGGATTTGTTATCATTGATGATTTCTTTCTCTTTTTTAATGAGAAAAATGCTTGGTTAATATTATATTTTCGAGCAAGATCATATAATAAATGATCTGTTGTACGTTTAGAATAATGATTTGCATTGTAAAAATTTAGAAAACCGTGTGGTAAATTCTGTATCATAACTAGATGATGATCAATAGATAAAGAGCGAAGATGACGAGCAAATGTTATTGAATCATCCAACAATGGATCCAGATGACATGCCTGAAAAGGTGGAATTTTTTCGGGTGTGATTTTTCTTTTTTTTAGAGATATCGAAACAAAAACCAATGATGAAAAGAATAACCTTAAGCAACGAAAGTAAGAGAAATCCAGAACTTACGATCAGATAGGTTGTTGGAAATTGTCTCAAAATATCATCGGGAGCACGTAGTGGTGACATGTAGGGATGATTAGGTAGTGTTGATTCACGTAATTTTCGAAGAAGATAAGCTTGCCGTGAACCAACGATATCAGCTAAGAACAAAACGAAGAATGAAAAGGTACAATGATTATTTAAAACATTTTACATAGTCGAGCATAGTATGTATCTTCACGCATTCGACCAGAAGCCTGTACTTTCGGTTGTGATTGTTGTTCAGGAACAGTTGGTCGTACTGATGGACTAGCGACGTTGTTCTGAAGGTCGTTTTCAGGTGTGATCTGACTACCTTTTGTCGAAGTAAGTTCGTCTTGAGGTGGTTCATTGTCAACTTTAATACCAGCATAAGCTGCAAGACAACGCCAGAGAAATCCTGTATTCAACAATGGATCCATAATAGCCATTAAACGTGACGGTGACATACTGAAATCGATACGACAATTCAATATATGATTTATCGATTAGGCAAATTTACTGCATTACCTATAGCCAAGAAGAAATGGCGTGTAAAAGCAAATGATTGCATCGGGCTTTCGTAGTCCAACTTCAATAGCTTTGATAGTTACAGCTGTGATTAAATTTCCACCTGCACTATCACCAGCTAAAAGAATTGTTTTGCCCGTCCAACCAAGTTTACTAGCATTTTTTAGGATCCATGCGTAAGCATAGAAACATTCCTCAATGGCGCGCGGAAATGGATATTCAGGTGCAAGAGAATAGTCTACGGAAACAATCGGTATTTCCAAAGCTAACGCCCATGGTCGTAAATAGACCTAAATCAAGAAAAGTCTTTTGAATTCGATTCAATTAAATGAAAACAATTTACTTCGTGAGTTGTTGATGACGTGGCAATAAAACCGCCACCATGAACATGCATTAAAATTTGATCACTCATTGGTAAAGTTTTCGTCGCTGATGTTTCCAAGTCACCTTTTCGTAACGGAAGCTCACTCATACCTTCTCGTACTTGACTAGACAAAAGTTTGACGTTCACAAGTTGTTTCGGTTGGGCACTACCCGAACCGGTTGGATTATCTGAACCTGCGCCGATAGTGCCTGATACTTGCCCTTTCGGCTCTTCTACACCAGCACTGGCCGTTGGTGGTGGAACAATGATTGAATCCAGTTCTATCGGTTCTGGTCCAATTTGAAAATACTTCGAAACAGTCACACTAGGTGCAATATAGCGTGAACCCATTTTAATATAATCATGATCAACAAGGTTCCAAAACGATTTACAGAATAAGTAATCACAGTCACGAAATATTGTGGCGCACTGAAATTTATGTTAACGAATGCATTTCAATCAACCAGTGTTCGTGAATTCAAACCTTTTTTGCTCGTTGTTCAGGAAATAGTATATACTTCGGTGCAGTGGCAAGACGAGCAGCTGCAAAAGGAATTGATCGATTGTATGTTTCATGATAAGTAGCTAGACCAGCGAGCAGGAAAGTAAGCATTGTTTGCATTGATTGTGCAAACTTAAGTAAGAAGAGAAATGTTCGGAAAAATAGGCGGCAGTGACCGAATTTGCTCCTACCTGAAATCCACACGTTCTACCAAAAAAATATTCCGAATCAAAAGCAACAATTCTGAAATATTCCAATTCGACATCTAATGGTACTTCATTCGCGTCGATCTAAACGACGAAAAAGTAGAACACTATTGAGCTAGATTTGATCTCTTACACATAGAACTTTCTTGCAGGAATAATCAACCATTTTCACCGAAAACGAAAGAAGATGCTGCATGCCAACGAGAACTTTCGTCCAGGATTCCAAGTCTTGAAATAACCGTGATGAGTACATCAGATTAAACAGAAGACCAACACGTTTCGTATCAACTTGTCGGAGAATATCTAGTGTACGTAAACATGCTTGACCATGTGCAACAGCCAATGTTCGATAACCGTTGGCTCGAATCTAAAAGAAAACAATTAAATAGAGAGATATTTACGCTGTTTTTTCTCAGAGTTTTACTTCGGTACTATAGTCAAAATGATGAAAATTGTCTCGTAAGTATTGTATTAATGGTACGGATAGTTCAACTGAATGTAAAATTTGAATTAGAAGATGTTCAAATCGTCGGCAGACATCGGTTTTTTGTTGAGTAAAATAATTACAATTAACTTCTGCTAATTCACGTAGTTGATTGTAGGTTAATTCGAAATTAAAATCTAGATCGACTGTTTCCGGTGCCGAGTCTATATTGGGAGCACATGTTGTCGGAGATTTCAGATTGTAATTCAATCCAGATGGAGTTGTTGCTGAACTGCGCATAGTGTGAGGAGAGTTTACTAGAAACGGACTTGAAGTTGATAGAGTTGGAGCAGATTTTGGCGACGTTGAACGATTACGTGTTGGTAATAAGCGTTTGGTAAATGGGCTGAAAAATGATAATGATGTGGAAGATTTATTATTCGTATCAGTTAATTCGGCTGAGGCTGTAGGCTGAGATTGTCTTGAAAAAGAAGACATAAGACGTGTTGCAGCAGCAATTGGTCCGATGGACAAACGATCAGTGAAGGAACTTGATCGGCGTTCTTTTGCGCCTATTTGTTCATTATTGACTGCTAATAACTCTTCGTTAGTAGACATACTAAACAAAAAAGATTTCGTGTGAGTATCGATTCCATTCACAGTAGAACACACAATAACCGAAGCAAAATAAGCGAGTTAAGAAGAACGCAAACAGAAGTACTCTCGCAGTATACATTATACATTCAAATGCACGGAATAAGAATATAGTCACTTACTTGTAACGAATGGAGACAGGAAATATTCTAAATGTAATATCGAATAACATACAAAACAAGTGAGTCAGATATTGAAACTCGTGAATCATCAAGTCTGAAAATAAGACTCGTTTTTTCCCATCCTTTTTCGTTTCATGTACTGATTCAAAGTGACTGGCGTGATAATCAGCTCAGATTTTTAACAGTTGATCAGCAGATACGCTTACTTACCAAGTTGGAAATGGAACTACTATGGTTGTCATTTGGTACAGTTATTATTAATCATGTAATAACGCGAATGTTTGGTTAGTTGTCAGTGAAAAGAAACAAATGATAATTTTGACGTGTAAATGTCAAAGTCGAAGTTAACGTAGGAAGATATGATATTTGTACGTTGTTTATTACGGGTTTCTTTCTTAATCAATATTTGTGAATGGCCTCCTAAAATCTATTTGGAGAGGAAAAAACTAGTCTAGAATAAAAATGACGTCATTGTCGGGTGTTCGTATCTTTATTGGTCAATAAAACATGTTAGCGTGACAGACGAATAGCTAGTTTTTATATATTCACTTGTCGATGTGTGACAGAGTACAGTGATTTCTATTTGATCACTCGTTTTACTATTCTATGCATATTACTTATTATTACGACATAACACTCGAGACAGAGAGGAAGTGTCAAACAATCTGATCTTTTTTGTAATCACAGTCATACACATGTATAACGATCATGAAATGGAAATGAGATAGTCAGTAGAACAGAAAAAACAGAGATAGTGATCTCTATCTTTACTGGTGAACTCATATCCATTGAAATCAACTTTTCGAATGTGTAGATCGACAATGGGTTTAGAAAATATTTCTGATAAAATCTGTCGAAGTAACTATTAACGATTCATTGTAAACATATTGGGAACCTATTAGAATTTAGGCAATAGATGTCCTTAGACGTGGTCTACGACCGATGATCCAAAGATGTTCAGCGGAGTAAAAAGCATACGATATATAATACCTCGTTTTTCATAAATGTGTTTGTTATTTGAAATCAACAACAAGAACAACAAAACAGTACAGATAACAGGCAAAAAAAGCTGCCGACACTAAATTGTTGGACATGTAAAATTCCTAATAATAATAATGCACATTATTAGTCTTCCATATCTTCTTTTGTATTATTTTCTTCTTTCGTTTTGCTCTTTCCAATTGGTCTAAAATATTCGTTTATGGAAAACAAATCAAGACTTTGGGTAAGTTAAACGTACTTGTAAACACCAACGACAACGGCGTGGTCACGTTCGTATGGTTCAAGTGTGATTTGCTCTTTGGGTTTAAGTTTTTCACTTTGAAGTTTCTTAACCTCATCAGCAAACACAGCTTCAGGCTGAGCTGTTGAATCAATGCAACTTGCCTATAAACAATACAAAGTAGTCTTTAATCTCGCGAACATCGTTCTTTGTTACTTTAATTGAAATAACGAAATTTCCATTGTTTTTAAGAAAGTGATGCGCGTTCAATGCCACAATACGTGCTTGATCGGGTTGAGCAACATCAGCGAAGATGGTATCGACCATACCTAAATATGTTGTCAAGTAATTTGTGAGACTTGATAGTATTAAACAAACCAATCAATATGCGGTATTTGTGTGGATGACGAGCATCTTCAATAATTGGAATAATATTCGTTCGTTTTTTAGCAACATTTAACAAATCACGACCCGATCGATGAGAGAATTCGACTGCATAAACGAGACCTTCCTAAAAAAAGAAACATTATGTCGCGTATATATAACGTTGACCGAATGAGGAAAAGATCGTACAGGTCCAACAATATCGGAAACATGAGATACAGTTGTACCATTAGCTGCACCAAGGTAAAGTACTCTTGAACCAGGTGGCATATGAACATTGTCAACACCACTAAGAATAGCAGCACCTAACTTCGATCGAAATGGATTCCACACACGATATTCAATTTTTTCTTGATTTTCACCCTGTTGAACAAAATTAGTTCTCGTTTCTTTTTGATAAAGATATTTTCTGGCGACGACTTACATCAACACTGACACGTTTTTCACCATAAACACTTTCTCCCACGACCATATTTCGTGTCAACAACATGTCATCATCTTTGGATCGAGCGATAAATACACCTGAAGAGTAATAGAATTGAATTTCAAGGTAAGACAATATACGTATATCCATATACAAACCTGGATGGCGATGTGGTTCAACGACGATCTTTCGTCCACCAGCACCACCACCTAGTCGAGCAGAAAAACCCACTTTTGTCTAGCTATCTAAAGAATTCGAAATTACCTCGGCCACCACCACCTCGACCTCCGCCCCGGCCACCTAATAAAAAACATTCATCGATTCGTTCAAATACGTAACGATCACTTACGTCCACCTCCACCACGAACTCCACCACCTCGTGGGCCACCTATTAGTTGAGATATGCATTATGCGAAATTTACTCAACTTTCAGTCGAACTTACCTCGACCACCACCTGAAAGAAATAGAAATAGTATAGAATAGATTAACTCAATGAAAACTCACCTCGTCCACCACGAAAACCGCCACGGTCGCCACCGCCTACAAGATCGTTTTTTAGCTGAACTGAACATTTGTTCGAAACATACCTCGTCCACGTCCTCCGCCGCCGCCTCTGCCACCACGAAAATCTATTTCGAATATAATACGAACTGCAAATCAATGGCGCTAAGTTTTCTCGCGTACCTGGTCGTCCCATTCTTTCAGTTGAAATCACTCAGACAAAAACGGATGTTAACAAGTTCAACTTTTGGGTTTAGTGAAAATTTCGATTAAGGCAAATTTTGCATCGATATCAGCGTGCCAATCAACACTCATTCGACTGATTCCCATACTGGTGTCTGAAACTAATAAAAATACCGATAATTTTTCTAAATTAAAAAAAAACTTGTTTCATATTCTTTTACCTGATGGTTTCTGTCCTATTTTCTAAGTACATGGTATAGATGGCAGTAGTAACAATACTTGAACGTAGTATGTGATGATACCGGTCTATCCTATCTTTAGAAATAGTTACACAATTGATGGAAAAGTTTTGTTATTCATTTTGTTGAAAACGAATACATAAAAGAAACCGAGGCTTTAATGATCTTATTTATTTTTGTAGAAACATAGATTAAATATGAAGTCATGCTTTGTTTGATATAAACGTCGAAATTAATACGCTCCTATAAATGAAAAATCTCCAAAAGTTTTTCCCGAGATATCGCATAGCATTATATATAACATCCTCCTTTCAATATCTTCAGTATTTGTATTCGTAGTATCATTAATAATCCTAATCCATGGTTTTGCTTGTCGCTTAAAATAGTGTATTTATACCATAGTACGGGCATTTCAACTTGTTTTCATACAATTCATTGTTTACTATGAACGTCGGATCCACAGGAAGAATCTCTAAAAACACCATGTTGCCTGTTCTCTAGTTTGATGTTCCAAATGGTAATGTTTGACAATATCAGATGAATTCATTTTCGGCGACAACGAAGAAAACCATAGATTAACAACATCGTCAACCGTTTTCTCGTTGATATTGTCGTGAACTGGAGAGGAAAATGAATAGAGTAAAATCTCGTCATCAAGATCAGCGAGTTTCACATATAAACGAAAATTTTTCAATGTCGTGGCATTCGTTAATGTCTCTGACGCATAATAATAAACAATTGGATAACCAAGTAGATAGCCAAACGTTGTGGTGTGATTCATCGGTCGGATTAACTTTGCCCATTCTTCGTTTGTTTCATCGTCAAAATCAGTCTGTCGGCTTTGTTGATGATCAATCCATAAGAGATGATTACGAATCTAGTCAACAAACGTAAGGTGATCCGAATCAATAGGAAAAGCGAAGTACCTCATTTAGTATAGTATGGCATCCTGTGATAGTTATCGTGTTTAAATCAATGATCAGAGCGGAGTTCGATATATCGATTAGTCTTGGTAAATGTGTACTATTGAGAATAATCAGATCGTTTACTGAGTATTTTAATAAAATTGATCGAAATGGCAAATATTTCGATAGATCGTTCAGTAAACTTCTCATATTTTCTATTGAAAATGGAAACAAATCGAACAGATAAGCTGATTTCAAATTTGCGTTCAAGCATAACAATTGTGCAAACAATTCTCGAGTATATCGATGATATTTTCGATGAATATGTTGAAAAAAAATGTTTTTTACATCAGTAAATTTCATCTGAAGGAAAGAACAAAAAGCGAGAGAAAGAAAAACACAGAATTGATTAGTCAAAATTAATGATATCTCGATTTCCTTTTCGACTTCCACGTTTTTCTTTGTAGGCAATGGCTAGTATTATTAATACGTCTGTATGCTTCACGTAAATGTTTAGGTTCCAATGGTGTTGTCTTATTTTCATTCTCTCGACGTTGAATTTCGAGTGCTTCTTCAACTAATTCACCAATAAAAACTTTAGCTATACCTGCCATAGCTATGACAACGTTCGACGATGGTATTGTGCCGGTAATTGAGTGCATTAAACGTTTAATTGAAACTTTGGAAAACGCCGAACGACGATACATTTCATATCGATCTAATTGTTCATCGCTGAAGTTGGATACGAGTACTTGAAGTTTGATGTTAGCTTCTTCGTCGACCGGTTTTTGATAAGCACGCATGACTTTGGGAACTGGTGCTTCAGCCGGTTTTGATTCGGCTTTGACTGGACTAGTTGTTTCCATATGTGAAGGAGAATTTGCTTCATCTGCTTGTTCAATCTCGTCATCTTGAGTTGGAGGCTGGAAAAAACTGGAATTATGATCATTGTTATCGTTAAGAAAATGCTCCATTTCTTTTTTACAAATCTAAAATCAATTAAATTAAAATCTATCTTTATTAACTCAACGAGAAAGACACGTGTTTAAAATCAATTCTCAAAATAGAAGAAACCTATATCACGGTGACAATCGTTCGTAGACCCAGCCATCGGTTCCTTGATGAGTAATAGCTGGATCTATTGGAATGGTTTCCTTGGCATTAGATGTAAGACGACGAAATTGGATACGATCAGATAATCGATTGCTTTGACCTTGATAAAATTCAATAGTGTGTGGTACGACACGAAAACCACCCCTGAAAATAAAGTAGTCAAGCAACGAAAGAAATGATGAATTCTTACCATCGTTCCGGCTTCTCAATTGGTAAATCACTGTCGATATATTTCTGCCGTTGATCAAGTAAAAACTATTGATACAGAAAAGCACTTGTTGTTTTTAGACAGCTTAGCAAGCGAGAGAAATTACTTGTCGGCTCGGTATAGGTTGACTTTGTTTACTGATCGCTCCACTAATTTGTGAATCACGCGGACGCGATTGAAAATATTCTTTAGATTCAACATCCGATAATTTCTCCACTCGACCATCGATTCGAATCTATGAGAAATCCTTTATATATGCATTTCAAAGATTCTGTGAACTTACCGATCGTGACATCGATGACCAATAGAAACACATCGATGCTACTGGATTGCTTTCCTAGATAGTTATGTCATAGTTTTATCGATGTAAAATCCTTATCAACTTACGAGTTCTTGCCCTTTTCGACTATCATAATTTGTGAAAAACTTGAAGCCATTCTCGTCGAAATCTTTCATCAATAAAAATCGACTGGACGGCACTCCGTCTCTAATCAAGAAACATAACAGTTCAACAAAACAAATTAAAACTGATCCTACTTTGTCGCTGTTGACAAACAAAACGCATTTGGTTCGTCGACATATTCATATGCTTCTTCGAACCATTTTTTGAATTGACTGATTGGTTCTTTCGCTACGAGATGTTCGATACCGAAAAATTCGTGCGGTTGTTTATACGGCTTGCGAAGAGCTAAGCAAAGTACGAAATATGGTCCCCAAGATCTTTAGAATAGGTATTTACCAGCAATATTAATATTCGAGTGAATGTGAGCTTGTGGCTCCATAAACCTGCAGAGTAAACGAATAAAACGCATGAGAACTAGAACAAAATGCTCGAATTCATACTGTTAAGAATGGCGGTAGAGATGAACAGCAAAATCGAGTGACTGGTTAAATGATAATTACCTCAGATTTGCTTCGGCGTACTAGTCATGACAGACAAAAAAAAGTATATTTGTGTCAATTGATTGCACAGCGTCCAACGAGTGACTGGAAAATGTCGAATAGATGTCGTTCGCTTCCACAAATCAATCAAAATTCTATTGATGCAAAATATTTTTTGTCTTTATCAAATGTGATAGAAAATTTTACGCAGATAATTAGAAGAAAGAACTCTTTTTGATTGGTTTGCACTTTTCTGTTAACAGGTGACTCAATGTCATACGACAATCGACGGCTGAAACGAATCCGAGACGATTTTTTCCTCTTTCCTTATTTGATCATCAATCTTGTCATATTTTCAATTCACGTGCTCGATAGAGGAAAAAAGAAAACATATTTCTTCGCCCTTCACTTTCCATAACAATGAAGAACATCTACTTAAACGTGTTTGTATACATTTTCGCAAACGAAACGCAGTACCATATGTAGATTTTCTTATTTAAGGCCATAAGATGTACAAAGTTTTCACCGCATTGTTGTCGAAGACAACATCCCCAAGCAAGGAACTTTTAAAAACCAATGTAGAACATAAAGAAGATGACGACTGGGTTTTGGTTTCCGATGCAGGTACATCACTTTATTTTGCACGGTTAATCGCCTATATACACATGTTTTGATTAGTGATGATAACACCGACAATGAAAGGTAATACTATTATGACGAATAGTTGGATTGCAACGCCGCCATTGATTAAAAACGATGCATCAACGATGAATGTTCATCATTTTAATCCAATTGAAAATTTACTAATCGAACATGCGAGTATGAATATTGAGTAGGATTGCTTTTTCTTGCAGTCAATTGTTGAATGGTTTAGGCATGAGTGTTTATGAACAGATTGCTTCGAAAGCAGCAAATAAACGGCAGAAAAGTACGGTTCACAAAATGGATGAAGAAATTGACAATGATGAGGATGAGGACGAAGATGAACGAACATTCATTGAGTATCAAGTACGTTAGATTTCACGATTACTCATTACTCATTTTTCTATGTAGAACTCAAATTTAACTTCATTTCTCAATCAAAACTCATCTGTGACGAACCTTGATTCATCACTTATCGGCCATCAACGCTATTTGAATCGTTTACATCAACGGCGTAAACGGTCAACTAAGCCGTCATCATCAACTAGCAACGATGATTCGAAACAATTGATAAATAAAGCCATTGAACGTCAACGTTTAAACCATGCACGTTCTCCTAAAATTCTTTTTCAACAATCGTCTCGTTTAATTCACTGAAAGCCTTTGTATACCTTCCAGAATCTTACAGTAACAACCGTCTATTTTTTTTTCTCGCACTACGATTATTCCATTCGATGTACATAAACTATCTTCCTTTTCGATACCCGTGTATTTCTGTAGCAACGAATTGCATTTTCTTGTCTCTTGATACTGTACTATCTAACTTCCGGATGTTTTTAGCATTCTTACACGATCTGAAAGCCCTTGAACTGATATCTGCATGCTATTTTTCTACGATTTGGTGTACATGAAAAAAAAAACGTTTCTTTTCTCCTCTTTCCTTTTACTGCAGTTTTGTGTAAAAGTATGTGCACCATATTTTGAAAAGAGAACAAAAATGAATGGTAAATATAAAGAAGAGAGGCCGAATGAGAGAAAAAGTAAAGAACTATGGTGTCGTATTTTTTTGCTGTACTTCAAAGAAAACTAATGACTGAATTTTTAGATTGTTAGGAAGAAAACCTTGCTGCTGCTGTTGATGGTGCATTTAAATCGATGCTCAATCAGCTATTAGATGGAAATTAGTAAAATACATCAACATCAAGGTGATGAGCATTGCGGTTAAATAAGGTTCAGATAGACTAATTGGTTTTTAATTGTATCTAGATAATAAACCAACTACATCCGCCATAGAAGTAACGATTGATACAGATTCTGATATAGATCCTATGGAATATCGTAAACATGAACACACAAATTATCAAACTTCTTCTTATCTAAGCTTTGGACAATTTTCATCACCGTCAACATCACTCGTATCACCACGATTTATTGGACTATGCTTTCTAGTTTTTCTCTACTATATCGGTTACGCTTATTTACAAGTTTGTCTTTGTACTTGAAAACAATATTCACAATGATAATTTCACTTTTCTCACAGGAACTCATGTTTACATTGAAAGGTTTCGATAATACTGCATGGTTTCTCACATGTTATCAATTTTTTGTCTACGGTATTCTTTCGTTTGTCCACCTGGGCTTTGCTGGTCTCGATCAACGACGGTATTATACTCTATTAATCCTCTCCTGTCATTCGTTTTCTTCGTTACCTAGTGCAAGCTACCGTTCATATATTCTCTTAGCTCTTCTCACTGTCACGACCATGGGTTTATCTAACTATGCAGTTGTTTATTTAAACTATCCGTAAGATGAATGTATGCACGACAAGGTCATTGAGAATCCGTTCGCAAATAGGACACAGGTGATGTTTAAATGCTGTAAGCTGATACCAGTGCTAATCGGTGGTATCCTCATACAAAGTACGAAGTTAATCGATGAGTGATAAGATGATAAAGATGAGTTTCATTAGGAAAAACATTCAATCGTTATGATGTTGCTGCTGCCTTTTGTATGTCAACTGGATTGATATTTTTCACTTTGGCTGATTCGAAAGTTCAACCAAGATTTAATTTATATGGTAAAACAGATAGAGAATTAATTTTTTTTCTACGAACTATTCATAATGTACATTAGGAGTTGTAATTATCAGTTTGGCTTTGATCGCCGATGCAGCAATAGGAAATTATCAAGAGAAAATTATGAAAGAACATCATGTATCCAATGTTGAAATTGTGTTTTATAGTTTTATATTTGGTTTCGTATTTGTTCTCTGTGGACTATTGTTAACAAACAATTTCTTTCCAAGTTTAGAATTTTGGAATAAGGTTGGAACCGTTTGTTTTGTTTAAAGAAATATCTATGCAGATTTTTCATGATTTTCAGCATCCAGGACCAACGTATGGTTATGGTTTGATATTTTCTATTGTGGGTTATTTAGGAATTGATATTGTCTTGACATTGATTAAAGAATATGGTGCGCTAATCTGTGTTACTGTGACAACATGTCGAAAAGCAATAACGATTATATTATCGTTCACTTTGTTTTCTAAACCATTTGTATTCGAGTATGTGAAAATAAAAACGAAGAGGTTTGTCATCTTTTAACTTCTTTGCGTATGTTTTGTAGTTATTTGTGGTCTGGTTTGATTGTTATTGTTGGTATTTATCTGAATGTATACAGTCGAAATCAAACAGTATTTAATGCTAAAATAGTATCGTTCACTCAGAATTTATTCAATTTACATTGGTGGCCACGATTATCTTCGGCGCCTACCATTCGAACATTGCCTGTGTGATTGACAAATCTCAAATTGTTTTCTTTATTTAGACAATAATAAAAATTCTCAGATTGTCGGACAATTTTACACAAGAATGTAAACTTTTAAGAATTTGATTTCTAGATGGAAGTGAATTAGATGGAGAATGATCTTTTATGATGACGAATTTACATTCATCGTCATCATCAGTCTATCTTTTTGGCATAGACTTAACTAGTCAAAGTCGATTGATACAGTTCTTAATCATATCAACAGCCGTATTGATTTTTCATGTTACACAAGGGTACATTCAAGTAGGAAGGCAATTATCGATGCTGAATCTTCTTATTGTTTGTTATTTCAAAGGAATTAATTTTACAATTGAAACCTTTACGAACTTATCCGAATTATTTTACACTTGTTCAATTCATATGTTTTACGATCCTCGCATATGCGGAAAGATTTTTCTTTGGAAAATCGATCAAACGACGAAAGTATGTTTTATTATATTTAACGACTTTAGCAAACTATTGAAGATTAACTTTATTTACAGAGCACCAATACAAACTTATGCAGTGATTGCATTGTTTACTATTGGTACTATGAGCTTGAGTAATGCAGCCGTCATGCGTCTGAACTATCCGACACACATGATGTTCAAAAGTTGTAAATTAATACCAGTTATGATTGGCAGTATGCTTATTTTAGGTAAATGTTGTCTGAGTTAGTTGATTCGAGATTGTTGTATGCAAAAAAATGTTTTCGAATAGGAAAACGTTATAACTTATACGATGTTCTGGCGTGCTTATGCATGACAATCGGTCTGATTTTCTTTACATTAGCGGATTCTCAAGTGCAACCTGAATTTGATCTATTAGGTAAGTCAATGAAATGATAAGTTATTTTGATTGAATATTGAATTCATCTTTAGGTGTTTGGCTCGTATGTTGTGCATTAGTTGCTGATGCTGTGATTGGTAATGTTCAGGAGAAAGCATTGAAAGAATATAAACCTAGTAACTCCGAAATGGTAGAAGACAGATTTTATTCGAACATAATCATGTTTTCTTTCCGACAACTTTAGATACTATTTTCATATTCAATTGGTGCTATTTATTTATTATTATTTGAGTTAGTTTTCGGTTCATTAAGAGAGGCATTCTGGACTTGGTGGACTGTATGTATGACTACTGTTTTGCTGTAGATTAAACTTGAATTCTTTTTTAAGTATCCCATTAAATCTTATGTATTCACTGCGCTCTTCTCATTTGCGGGTTATCTCGGTGTCAATTGTGTACTTGATCTAGTACGACATTTTGGTGCATTGATAGCTGTGACTGGTTAGTTCGAAGTTATTACCATTGGTTCTTTATTTGAACAAAATTTATTTATTTCTAGTGACGACCTTTCGAAAAACAATTACGATTATCCTCTCATTTATTGCTTTTACTAAACCATTCACTTTTCAGTAAGATAATTTTCAGTATCTGTTGTTTTTTTGCTGGACAAAACTCATTTTTAATTAAGATATTTATGGTCTGGTGCGATTGTCGCTTTTGGAATATACTTGAATGCCTATGGTCAAAATCAAAAGTCCGTTGATACATACACACGTTCGATATGGAATCGTCTATTAAGATTTCGACGGAAAACTTCGACTTATCATTATCCGCTCGAGTCAGTTTAATTTATTGTTTGCTTTTTGCTTTTAATGTTAAAGAGTGATATTTAATGACCAATAAAGTTGCCTAATGTTTCTTATACAATCTTAAATAAATTTCATGGATTTTTTAACAATGAAAACTATACATCTCCTTATCATTGCCACGTAAACGGTATTTACAACGGGAAAAAATTGATCCTGAGAAACGTTGTCATCTGATTTTTCCTCACTCTTTCCGATTGATCTATATGTGAACACTTGTTTAATAAAGAGGAAAAGTATTATAGTACCTAGTTCTATTCCTTTCATCTTGTTGTATATAAGTGTTCACATGATTTAATTTCTCAAAAATCCATATGAATTTTGTCTATTTATTTATTTGTTGTCCTCATGTTCACGTCCCGTACTCAATCTTATTCTATCTATTGCTCTTGAATGGAGTTTGCCTCACTACAATGGTTATTGAGTCTAACAACGTGTTTCATTTTTACTATTAGTTTTACGATTGACTCGTCGGTCTATCTTCATACGAGAAAAGTATTCATCCGTGCATTGATACAAAAATGAACACGTACATATTTCGTAGATGTTTCCAGAGAGAGAGAGAAAATAAGAACCGTAACTTTGAATAATCGTGCGAGGTATAACGGGTATCCTGAAAAAAACTTTTTTTTGCACATAAATATCGTAGAAACTCCAGACTCTCTTCGATTAGTTTTCATTTGTTGTAATCGTGAGGAAATAACTGAAAGATGGGTCAACGTTTTGTTCAGAGACTATCTCGGTCTATGTTATCTTTATTGTGTCATTTGCACGAACATATGTCATTGTCCTAATCATCAGTCTGAAATCTGTGCCAAAGAAAAATGTATTTCAAAGTAAATCAACAACGTAAAATTTTACCGACAAATCCTAGTAGAATGTTTTGTCTTAGCTCATCGCCTTATTTCTATTACTAAAGACAATCGCTGCTGATTTACCGTCTTGTTGGGATACATTCAAACAAGATTTTTGTATCTGCTAACCCAGAATCTATGCGTAAAGAAAGTTTTTTTGGAAAATACTTCAAAAACTAAATGATTTCAACGAAGTCGTCCACGTGTAATTTTTTCCATTGGAATCAATCATCTGGTTGATGAGAGCAATACCGTTTGAATCCAAAGCAAACACACAAGTCTCATTCGATTGGCGTGACAAAGGTGTGATAACCAAAGTTCACGATCAAGGAGCGACAGGAGAAGTCAGCTATGTTGCTGTCGTTGGTTAGCATCACTTATATCTTATCAAACATCTCGAAAGCTTCGATTTAAATCTGTTCAACAGTCATTGAAAGTTATCGTGCTATTCGAACAAAACAACCCGTTGAAGGTAGTGTTGATTGAATCAGCAAATGCACAGAACGATTCAAGTACGTTAACATTGGTGCTCACATTTCTGCTTAAATTTCACTGCAATTTAATCAAATCAACACTCTCCAACCAGCTGATGAAGATACAATGATAACACTGATAGACGAATCTCCACTTTATGTAGGTTTTGATGTGCGTCTACCCTGATTTACACTGTATCGAAATGATGGATGATTTATTTGATCGTATTTTTATTTCTTTTATACATGAACTTCCTAGATGTATATCGATACGATGCTCGTTCCAAGGCCCAAATTGATCATGTGGGAAATTCTTAGATAAATTACCTGCATGCATGTATGAAATATCTCTTCGAGGCACAATTAGTCGGTTATGACGTAGACGAATGTACAAGCACTCCCTAATGGATCATAAAAAAATAGTTGGGGTAAGCGCTCTTCACTTTCATCTCCAAATCTCTCACTAAAACTTTATCTAGGCAAAACCTGGGGTAATCAGGGATACATGAAGATGAGTTGTGGGTGTCACTATTATTGTTGAACAAATTCAGCATATTCCTTTGCATTCATAAGTACATATGTCATCGTTTTTCAATGATCTTCGTTATGACCCAATAAAGACTTCACTTTGTTGCTAATAACTAAAAAACATTCAGCATTGACATGAATAATTTCGAAAAAAAGGTGGGTAGGACTGGGGTTAAATGCACTTTAACGAAAACCATTGAGCTACTGCAAGTCTATAAAAGATTTTTTAAAGATTCCATTAGACTTATATATAACTCTAAGAATGATTAAAGAGCTTTTTTACATGAAAAATGGCCATTCTATGAAGTCCTTCAAGTATTAAACTGTAGATTAAGAGCAATACCATCGAGTAGAGATCAGAAAGATTTTACAAGCATTCGTCTACCGTCATTCTAACTCATATGGTATTCCCTGCTAATCTATGCCAGAATACACATGAACTTGTGGGTCAATGATTAACCTTCGTCTATTTTATATCAAGTGTGTAACCCTGCATGTAAAAGGGCATATTGTGATGTTATCCATGCATACAAAATCATCAATGATGAGGAAAGTAACTCAGATGAGTTCGTGCCAGACCATTCATAAGAAATAAGAGAAAGTCTAGCAAGTAGTTTAGATCCTTCGGAGAACTTTGGCATGTAAAATAAATCTTGTAAGGTTAAATTAGATTACATATTTAATCGTTGAAACAAACATTAGAATGAAACACTTGGGAAATCATGTGACGTTCTGTGAACATTAATTCTCAAATATAACGCGGTAATTCCCGACTGATATAGACATTGGAAAGGTAGAATTACTATATTTGCATATATATATTTCAGTGAAAGGTGATTCAGAATACGCCGGATTATATATAAGATCCGATGCATTCTTTCAGCCTGCTAAAGGCTTGTCAGAATTCAATGCAGTAAGGGAAACTTGTTAGGAATCTGAGCATCACAAAGGTACTTTGTCATTCTCTTTCAACAACTTCTTTTTACAGCTTCTCCCAGAAATCGAAGTCACGCTTAACATCTTAATCTCTTCTTGTTTTCAGAGAAAAACACTTGATCAATATGTAGCGTCAATTTTATCATCTGAAAGTTTTACGTACCGGAGAACAAACAGACATTTTCATGACTTTGATTTAATTATTGGAATGTTAGTTTCTCGACTAAAAAGAGCACTCATAGAGAAGACTAAGAGAAAAAGGAAGAGGAAGATAAATAAAACTAGCTCTTCTTTCCTTTGAGTTTCAACGTAATTGAAAAGTGTGCTTCTCTCTTCTTCTTCTCTGATAGATGGGTGAACCATTCCTGGATCAATATGTTCGCCTATGTTGATGCGTGATCTCGTGTTAGTTTTCTCTATGTACCCCGAGAAATCAAACGAAAGTGCAGCAGGTATGTTTTTCTCGAGAAAAACAACTTCATCATCCAATCACAAAACCCAGTCATTTCGATCAGAGATAAGATCATCAGTGATGATTATTAACCGTACTGTGCGAGATCAAAAGCAAATAATTTTGAAACGTGAGCGTCACAGACATCTACGTTCATTCATTTCACATATTATAAGCGAGGTACAATAGACACAATGTGACTTTATAGTTCAAGGCCAGTACTTTGAACGTTAAAATATTATATTAAGCGACGCATGAGACGTCAAAGAGAATGTCAGGAATTAGATACGATGTGAAAAAAAGGTCACATATCTTCCGCTACACATAAATATATTTGCTTTTTGATAAATGATCTTGTTTGAATCTCTTTTAGAAGACAAATGAAGTCGAAAGATCCATGTCCATCGATCTACCAAGATATTTTTGCCAACCCTTACTTAATTGAACAGATTATTTTAACAATCTATTCGTTAATATTCATCATTGGTCTTGTCGGCAATATTATGACAATAATTATTATCAAATACAACAAACACTTACACACGCCGACAAATCTCTATCTTCTAAACTTAGCCGTCTCGGATCTGATGATTCTATTATGCAACTTACCGTTAGAAATGTTAGAAATCTACCATCGTGAATGGCCGTTATCGGTCGTATTTTGTAAACTACGAAATATTTGCGCGGAGTTTTTCACATGTTCGTCGATATTAACTATTCTAGCGTTTACGTGTGAACGCTATTTTGCTATCGTCCATCCAATTCATCTGCATCGATTAAGTCACTTTCGTCGTGCGCAAAATATAATTATCTTTATTTGGGTAATATCATTTGGGTTCAGTCTGCCATTTGGACTTACCTATGAAATCGAAATCAATCCATCCATTGTGTCGCATAAGCCAACGATAATATTACTAATAACGAATAAAACTGAGTTAATTGAAGCGAATTACGTAGAGAAGACTCTGTCGGATAGCTGCAAAGCATGTGTACCCAAACAAAGTCTTGCGCGATTACTTTCAATGACAATCATCATCACATCGTGTTGTTTTTTCTATTTACCAATGATTATCATCGGTGCGATTTATCTATTCATTGGTCAAGCATTACGACGTGTTGCAAAGTATGAAGTTTACACAAGTCCTGTTGAACTTAGTACCTCATCGCAATCAAGTCAGTGAAGAAACTGAACTATCGTTACATGAACTAATTTCCCTTTTTTTTAAGGTTTATCGCAGAAAGAGCCGATTGCACTGCAACAGCAGGGTTCACACATGAATTCATATTCGTATTTAAAAATGCGTGCACGCTGTCAAGCTCGTAAAGTCGTCATTAAGACTCTCAGTAAGATGTTTCCACTCAGCGTAGTCCCATTTGAGACAACAATTTCGACTAAGATAGTTACAACTTCGTTCCACTTTATCATGCAGAGATTTTCTTTTTTGAACAGTGTGTGTATATATAGATTGTATGTTTATATTTAGTTGCTGTTGTTAGCGCATTTTTTATTTGCTATGCTCCACTCTATTTACAACGTTTACTTTTGGCTATTATTAATTTAAATGCCAATGTTCTCATCAAATTACCATCATTGTCAAATTTCATGGCGTATCTGTATGTTCTATCGGGTGTGACATTTTATTTTGGCTCTGTTATCAATCCGATCCTTTACAATCTCGTATCAAATAAATATCGACGAGCATTTCGTAATTTGATCTATTGTCGACTATTGATTAGGAAAACTTCAACGAAGAAACTTCAGCAAAAATCACGACTGATCAAGAACTATCCATATAATCATCCAGTATCTTGTCAGAAACAATTGGTTAAGCCGCAAATACAGTTTAATATTACACAAAAGACGATTAAAATCAACGCGCAGGCATCACAGTCGAATTCATCTTCGAGAAAGAAACGCTCAGATCTTTATGAATAAACTAACACTTGTAAATTTGTTTATTTCGTCTATGACACAATAAATATCATTTTCAATTTCCATACAATTCACCAAGAAAAAAAAATACTTCAAAGAAGAAAATTCGCTTTCCTTCTAATTAGCATCTGTCATCACTATTTAACAATGATATAAATAATGAATGTTCTTTAGGTCGATATGTGGATTCGAGACTGTTATTGTTTGTTGCTTCAAGCAAAGCGATGCTCGAGAATTTCGCTTCTATTATCTGTATCTTCTAGTCATTAGAAAGCCTCTCAAGTATAATAATCATAGTAATAAATTGATTGCGTTTCTATGTCGGAAAAAAATCGAGAAGTGATGGTCGACAAATAGAGATTAAGACGATACGTTCTGCATTGGATCTTTCCTATGTTAACTAGATTCCAAAATCATACAAACGTGGAAAATCTTTTTAGATTGTTGACTCTTTTTCCTTCGTCGTCGTCTCTCCACATTCGTTTGTCTATCGACGAAGAGAGACAAAAAATCATTCCATTCCAATCAGTATGAAGCTAAATAAAAATGACTATCTTGAATTAGTTCTCCTGTTAGTTTCACGTTTCATTCCTACGAATATTCTAGATTGATTTTACGAGAAAACACTCATGTCGTGGTACCACGCAGCATTGCTATCTGGAGATCGACCATCCTATCGATTTATCGATAGTTGTAAACGGTTTTCTCGACGTTTAAGCACCGGAATCTATCGAGTTGTTCGTCGACGACCAACGTCAGGTAAGATCTATGTGATTAATAGTTTACAACGAACTGTTGATCATCTCTTGATTATCATTGTTTTGACAAAGAATGAATTCAACGATGAATTTTTTAATATAAAAATAAGTCTGTTAGTTTCAGTAATGTTTGGACTCCAGGGATTACTGAACAAAAACAAATTTTGAAAGATAGCTTTTAGCAAATCTGAATTGCGTCGTAAAACAAATCTGCCTAATAAAATTAAGTAGATGTTCGCTGTTTTGATGCTATTACAATGTTCAGGAACGAATCATGTTCCTTTCTAATAAACTTGTTTCGTATCCAGTCGAAAGAGCAATTAAGATTGTTTATGGACACAAATCATATTATTACAGACATGTTGCCATTTCATAATGAAGTCATTCGAGTTCTTGTTATTATTGATTGTTCGAAGAGGTTGTGTACTTCTGATAAAAGTCATTCCGATGAAAGATGATATTATTGACAGTATTACATAGTCAATTAGAAACAGACGTTTGCCCGGACGATTTCTTATCAGATATATTTGTATCATCCATATATACGAATAGATAGACTTCCTTCGAACTAACGATCGTGAATGAAAAGAGCGAGCAAAATGTCATCAACTTGTCGTCTTGGATCGTTCTTATCTATTCGCACAAGTATGATATGTTTCGATGATAACTTGTTTGCAATTGTTTCTCCACATAATATGCAACGTACGTTTGGATAATTATGGGTGCTAATATCGCATCTTTTTCTCAAAGGCATAGTAGTTTGAATTTTGGTCGACGAAAACGACCGACAAGAGGTATACGTCCTATATGAGTCTAGTTTCATCATGGACGAAATGTGTCAAATGAATTTAAATGAAAAATATTCTCTTTAGATGCACAGTTGGATGTACTACTTTCAAGATGTTTTCAACATTCGCGATCTATTGACGAAATTGTTAAATGCACCCGCTTTACCAAAGCAGAAATTCGACTTTTATATCGAAGTTTCAAACAAGTATAAGAAATGATGGGTTTCGAAAAACAGAAGACTTGTTCTTTACATTTAAGCTATGTCCAGGTGGAAGTGTCAACGAAGAACGATTACGGTCTATATATATCCAGTTCTTTCCACAGGGCAGTAAGTGACTTTTGATCAAAGATGACGATGTATCTCTTCCGTTTAAAATTTCTTCTAATATCAGATGCAGCAAGATATGCTCGGTATCTATTCGCAATTATCGATCGAAATCGCAAAGGCACATGTACATTCGATGTAACTCGATTGGATATGCTGGATTATCGAAATGAACGTTTTTGTTTTTAGGATTATATTTTTACATTATCGATTCTATGCCGTGGAACAATCGATGAAAAATTACGATGGATTTTCCGTTTTTATGATATTCATGGAGAAGGAATATTGACACGTGATGTAGGGACAGTCTTTTATGAATGAACGATTTCAGTGTACTCAAACATTCGAATTAGGATCTGGGCGAGATTATTCGATCGTTGTATGATCTTCTCGGCCCATCAGTTCAACCGGTTGCTGATGAACGTCATATTCAAAGGCATATCAATGAGATTTTTCATGTATATAGATAAAAAAAAACGAGAGTTACAAATTGAATCCTCATGTTGTTTTTTGTAGGGCATTGATAATATGCGTAATGAACAAATCACGGTGGAAGACTTTATTAACTATTGCAAACGAGTTCGTATCAAAGCCTTTCTTATGTTTTAGTGCGTTTGTTAGCTCTGTCGATACTGATTTTGTTCTTACTTTATTTGTACCGAAAAATATGTTTTTTTTTGTGTTTCAGCGACCACAGCTGATCGACTCAATTCAAGCACTGACGTATTGTTTATAAACAGATTCAATGCATTTGTCATTGATGATGCTGGTTGTCAACCGGAGCTCGAAGATGAGTCATCATAAATCGGTCACGTGCAAGAACATCAGGCGGATAAGGTGTTTGACGCTCATTGAAACGCACATTTGTTGTTACCTTTCGTCGTTGTTTATACACCTGCTTCTCAGCTTCGACTCTTGTTTCATGATTATTATTTTCATTTGTATATACTACTTGATATTTCTTTCCTTGTTCCGGACGATGGTCTTCGACAGTACTGATCGATTCCGAACGATCCTTTTGTATTGGTAATGGTTTTTGTGATTGCTGTTTCTTCGGAGACGAATTTACTGGTGTCTTGATTGAAATAGAAGACACAGATGATGAAGATGATGATGCAGTTGAAACTGAAGTGACAGAGTGTGCCCGACTAACATATGAATCAGTTGGAGTTATCGAATGAATACCCGCAGGAGATACTGTCATAGACCGACGAAACGTTGTACATAATAAAAAAATGATAAGAAAAGAAACAGCGATGAATGCAACGCCTGACAGTATAACAGAAATAAGTATTAAAATACTTAATGTGTTCCCGGAAAGTGCTTCCATTCGTATTTTTTATCATTATGCCTTCTCGTGCAGATTTTTATTCATCTTTCATTTTATCTTCTGATAACATATGTCAACATCTTTACGAAATAAGTTTTTCATATAACTCCCTCTACTAATCTTCATTTTCTCCAATAAATACTGTGTCTTGCCGTTTAATCCTGCATTAAAAATAAAAAAATACTCTATCTTGATCGATTATAAGTTAAGAGAATGAATCAACTCAATTGATTGTTGTTATGCAATGCGTCTTATCAAAATAATCATCGAATCCATTTAGCGAGATTGTATTGTACTCAATATTTATTCTATGATAAGACATAATCTTTCATTTGCACTCTGCTAGAGAAAGTATTGACTCGCATGTTTAATTCGCGTTGTTCCAAATCAAATAGTTCTCTTCCAGGAGTGCATTTCCAGGAAAATAACGAGTTTTGAAGAAAATTTCCATTCTATTCTTCGCTCGGAAAGAGAAATCGGCTTTAATTTGTCGTTCTTTATTTTCCGAAATGAACCATGGAATCTAATTTTCCAATATCCTTTCCTCGACGATCCAATGTATAGCGACATCTATTCTGAAAATTGACCTTTCGAAAAAGAAGAGAAAACAAAAATTTGTTGAGATAGAAGAAATAAAGTGTAAGGATGAAAAAAGTTTTTTTTGTTAATTAGTGTTCTGTTGTGCTATACAGCTCTAGCAGATAATCAATTGAATTTGTTCTATCGACGTCATTCTATTCCAGCGTAGGCGTCTACATATGTGATTTTTTTCTCTTTTTTCATTCTTCTTCTTTTTTGATCTGAAACATGCTACAAGAAGATTCAAGTGACGATAAACTGCCTATGACCGGTCGTTTGACCCCAATCGGTGGTGCCTCATCGGATACAGAATTTGCAATAGGGTATGTCGAGAAAAAAAAACACGAATTTTGAGAAACATCTTTTGATGAATAGTGTCAACGGAGAATTCAATGATAAGCTCGTTTTACTCGAAGAACATGAACGGTTGAACGCATCTTTGGCAGCATTGACTCGTCATTTTGCACATGTACAACTGCGTCTGCAACAAGTTGTTTCGGCACCAACGACTGAAGATCGCGAAGTAAGCTATGCAAAACACTTCTCAATGCACGATCGTGTCGTTTTGTTCTTTAGAGTTTACTTTTAGAATTACATGAGTTTGCATCAAGTGGTATTCCAGATGTCATGTGTCAGTCGTCAATGTATACATCTGATTGTACGAATGAAGAATTAATTGAGAATGAAAAGTGTCGCGAGAAAGAGTTTATCAATGATTTAAAACAAAAACTAGATGAACTGGAACGTTATGCTGCTGCATCTGGTTCGCTCGAGGGCGCACCTACAGCTGTTACTATGGAGAAACAACGTGTTTTGATTGATCAGTTGCGTACGAAACTTGATTTACAACTTGACGATGCTTCCGTGTCGAAACTATCGTAAGTGTTTTTGTTGCAAGTAATATTGAATTAATGGTTTCGTTCGATTTAGAGCGGAAGAATTAAGAAAACTTGTCGATCAGGCGATTCATCAGGTATACTAATCTTTTCCTTTCGCATAGCTTTTTGATTAATAATCGCTTCTATTCAATAGTTAACCAATCCTGTCAAACTGAAAGAAAATCTCATTACACAGATGCGTACACAAATCAATGATCTGGAGAAATTCATTGAATTTCTCAAAGGTAAACAAAATGTTCTTCAAACACAACCGCTCAAATCATTCACTTTCAGCTGATTCTGCAAATGCTGCTGCTGCTGCCGCTGCAGCTGCTGGTTCATCCACATCCAATGATCGAAAAAGTATTGAACCTTACAGAGCTCCATCCAATAAATCAAATTCAGTATGCTATCAATGCTTTCCAAATCCGACATTTATTCTTTGTTATTTTCAGACCACAGTTAATCCATTGAAAATGCGTTCCACTGGTAGTAAATTTTCTTCCGAAAATCAAGAAAATTTTTCACAGACTATGAAGAAAGTTCTCGTTCTAACTCAATTGTATACATTTTTATTATTGACATGTGGAACACGATCTATGCAGAAGAAAACGAACCAGCCAACACCAGGCATGAAGAAAGACGTAGTTGCCAAGAAACATTTTGGGTATAGAACGGAAATTATCTTGAAATTAACATCGAATTTCCTTTTTCTAGTGATCTTCGAGCGAAGTTGGAAGTTGCGATTGAAAAAGTTCTCAACGCTGTTCGATTAGTAACCACATTTTCACGACAAAATCGCGGTTTTACTGACGACGACGACGATGCCAATAATTCTTCATCTGTAACAACAAGTGATAACGAAGAAGTTAGTTACAACATGACATTTTCTTTGTTTTCAAGAATAATCAATAACTTTCTTGCATACATTTAGGAAGATTATGATCAAAATGCAGTTGTTCTAGCTGTAAGACAAGATCTTGCCCCGGCGCTTCGTGCGCTAATGGAACATGGCCTATATGAAGTATGTAAACTAATCAGAGCAATCTTTGCGAACAGTTTATATGTATTTCCCTTTTCTTAGACGAACTATTCCACGTCATTAGCTATTTGGGGTTGTTTTGCGACGAGAGCCAATTATACTGCTACGAATGATACTATGCATGCTTGGAAACTATTTTTAAAGTACTACGAAATGAAAGTAAGAAAGATTTTCACACGCGAGACTGATGAAACAACAGATGGTGTTGCGCGTCAATAAATCTCCTACGCAATACAAAGTATTCAGTAGTGATTATGATCTTTTTGTATTGTAGCGTGGAAATGAATTTGCCAATAGTCCAGCGCGTAAACTTTCCGAATCATTTGCATTGGACGTCATTGGCGGTAAACCCATCACTTTGAAACAGGTAGAGCTTGACGAATGACGTAGATTTCCAAAACTTTAACGGTGAATATCGTTTAGTGCTTGCTCAGTGGTATTGACAATATTGCAAAACTTCATGAAAAACATAGTAAATCCATGGACAGTTGTTTTAAGTCGTTTTTATGCTACGCATTGAAGTAGGTTTCAAAGAGATGAAAAAGCCGCGCTTGATTGACACTGATGTTGTTCTAGTGAGAAAAAACTTGTTGCATTTCTTCGTATAATTCTGAAAACGGTTCCATTGATCGAGAACTATTATCAATCTTGGAGTTACACAAAGACGACAGGTATGATTCGACATGAAACGAAGATATATCTAGTTATGGTCACTTTCTTTTCTCTTGAAAAAGGTTTTAATGATGCACTTCACTCTCTGGACCGTTTAACTTCAATCGATTTCCGTTTACCCATCAATATATCTGTTCGTCGTTTTATGAATAATCGTGATCTGATCGAATAATCTAATCTTCTCATATCTGTACAATGTATCTAGTCATTTTGTTTTTGTTGATTGGTGATGGATGAAAGGAATGAATGAATGACAAAAGAAACGCGTTTCTTTCAATATATTTATACCCAATTGTGAATGTCAATTTATTTTCTTTTCGTTTGTTTGTTTGTTTGGGAATGACAAAACCGATCTCATTTATCTATTTTTATTTTCTTCGGACGTCTAGTCTTGTGTGTCGGGACATGAAGACAGTGAATCTTATAGTCATTCGTCAATGTTAATTCCATTCATTTACTTTATTTTATTTAACGTTAACTCTTTGTTTTCTTCTCTTCTTGTTGTTCTTGTTCGTATCTATTTTGACAATAAACACTGATGATGAGAAAAGTAATAAAGATAATCTTTGGGTTTTAGATCGAATCTAAAAACGAAACATGTCAGCCGTCTTTGGACAAATCATTATCGGTCCACCGGGCAGTGGTAAAACAGCAACATTTCTTTCCTATGCATCAATCATTTATCTCGTTCTTCAGGTAAAACAACATACTCCGCGGCTATACAAGATTATTTCAATAAATGCACAGCTGGTATCAGTAGTCGACATGTTTATATTGTTAATTTAGATGCTGCGAACGTCGGCATGCCATACGAATGTGCAATAGATTTAGTTGATTTAATCACTGTCGATGATGTCTGTGATAATCTCAATTTGGGTCCAAATGGTTCCTTGATGTACTGTATTGAACATATTGAAAAGAATATCGATTGGTTGCTTAAACGTCTTGAATCTTTAATTGCTCAACATCCACCAACGTTACCTCCACCGTATATTCTATTCGATTGTCCTGGTCAGATTGAACTCTATACACATCATGGTTCGATTCATCATATAATTGAACAATTATCGAAAAAGTTAGATCTGCGACTTTGTTGTGTGAATTTGATTGATTCATATTACTGTTCCGATTCGTCAAATTTCATCAGTGCTCTGTTAACTTCATTATCGATGATGTTACATTTAGAATTACCTCATGTGAATATTCTATCAAAGATCGATCTTGTTGAACGGTATGGCTCATTAGAGCACAACATTGATTTCTATACAGAAGTGTTAGATTTATCCTATTTAATGGGAAATAAGAAGTCCACTGCAGATAAATTTCGGCCCAAATTAGCAAAGAAATACCGCAAGTTAAATGCTGCATTGGGTGAAGTTATTCAAGATTACAGTTTAGTTTCATACATTCCATTGGATGTTCAAGATCGGTTGAGTATCGAAAAGGTTAACAATGCTATTGATAAAGCAAACGGATTTATATTTGGACATTTGAAAAACGATGATTTATCACAACGAACAAATTTAATGTCCAATGCGTATGGCGTGGAACAATTTGAATATGCTAAAACAGCGAAAATCAGAGAAAATTATACAACTGTTGATGATGAAGATAGTTGAAATTTGAGTCTATTTCTTTTTGTACACTTTTTTCTCTATGAAAAGTTCAAATTTCATATCCTGGATCGGTGATTTCTTAGTGTATCCCAGACGTGACTTTCATCAATTCATTTCGTTTTAGATGGATGATGATTTCACACCCGGTGCCGATCCTGAAGAGGTATTAAATAGAAGATGTGTAAGATGAATGTTGCAATGATTTTGTAACTTAGATCAAGCAGTTTCTTCATGGAATTGGTTTGATTCCACTTGATGAATATTATGGTAAGAAGATACGATTGCATGCTCATCGGTTGCCCTTTAACAATGTTTTCATTTAGTACAATTGAGACAAATGTTGAAACGTCAGCGAAAGTCTTCGAAAATGACCAATGAACAAATCCAAATAAAATTAATCGAAAATGGAATATTTAAAGATGACCTGTCGAGAAATCCACCGGTAAAAAGATATTTCTTCACAGTTGATCATTCGTACTATCTTTTTTCAGTTATTATGCCCTCGAAAGCGAACGTCTTTCTCTCCGGTTATCACTCGTAAACGAGGTAAAGCAATAAAAAAGCGAACGCCATCAGCTACACAAGCAGTCAACCCTCCCGTAGTTGTCCTTTCCGTTCCAACATGTACCGTTTCGGTAAGGTGGATGAAATCAACAATCTAGCTTATAATTTGATCTTCCATTTAACTATTCTAGTCAACGGACGAAAAATCCAATGATGCTGACTCGATTGATTACGATCAACCGTTAGATCTACGCTTACGTCCGTATCTAGCTAATAAGTCTTCCTAATGACAGAGTATCTGTAAGTGTTGTTTGTCAGATATGTATGTGTATTGCTTTTATTTCCAATAAAATATAAACATGAATGGAATTGTATAGACCATATACGAAATCTTTTGCTTTGCAAAAAAGTGATGGTGTCATAGGAGATTATGAGGCTGCAACGGCACCAAGGATGAATTGTGCTCTCGAAGTGGAAATCCTGGTAGCAAGGTTACCATTAAGGATTTCAGAACACTCTCTGAACTTCTGGATTGGAACTGAAAGTAGTACAAGTTTCTTGTCAACTTTCGAGTATCATTGAATACTGATTGGTGGATTAGCATGAACAGTTTATTATCATTTTCTTAATATCAATACCAATTACTAAACTCGAATAATTTATCATCAGGCACCGATAAACTTCTAAGTATCTTGTTGTATTCAATCTACATTATGCAAGTAACAAATAACTCATCTGGATAGATTTCCCAAGAGGAGAAGCACGAACTAATCAATTTGGTCGGCGAAAGAAAAAAACAACAATTTCCTCTTCACATGTTCAGTTATTTTCTTCCGAAGAAAAACACTTTGTTGGGTTGATATTTCATGCATATAACCTTGTATAATTTGTTAACTGTGCATATATAAAGACTCTGACATGTCAAATATTTTTTTCGAACAAAGTACAAGCGCCGAAATGCATAATAAACAGTGAAGTATTGACTGAATATATATTTCTTGTTTATTAACATCGAACTAAACTTTACTGATCGATGTGACAGTGATGATACGGCGTTTCTTTTTCAATTGCATTTCATAGAAGCAAGTCGCCCATAGAGTTCTTTCTGACGTTTGATTGCAAAATTGTCTTGACGTGAGTAGAAAACATTTACATTACTTGCTCGTCTGACGCTGAAGATTATTTCATTTCATTTCATTTCATTTATCGACGATGTATGAGTGTGGTTAACAGACATACGGCCTTCAATTCTCTTTCTTGACTAGTAGCTAAATATTGACTTTGATTAGATGCATTTTACAAACGACAACCTACAAAAGTAAGCAGCTCGAGACATCTGCATACGCTGTTTCGAAAGAGAAATCCTCTGATTAGAATCGAGTTCACGCTCGTTTCTTGCCGTTGAATAAGGTATTTGCACTCACTTGTAATCATATAAGTGTGAGCAAAATTTATGAAAGAACGTTTGGAACCACTCACACAATGAGACAGTGCAGAATGCGAGTCTCTCTTTTTCTTTCATGAGTAATTTTTTGTCGACTCAGCCAAAGTCATCATATTCTTTTTTTCTCCTTTTTTCCTCCGTCTTTTTCTCGCTGCTCATCATCTTCACCACCATTGAGTTTCTTTTTGACAGTCGGCAGCAATGCTGTTACGATTGCCATCTCTTTCCTTTTCTTTCCTTCTCTTCTCTCTTACGGTTTCTATTGAAAAGAAAACCGAGGGAGAAAAAGCCACACACACACACGTTCTCCTGTTGAAACATGTTACTCTATTTTGCGTCGATACACAGTCAGAAGAAGAGAACGAGAGCGCTCATTAGTGGTCTATCGTTAAAAGCGACAACAACACGACTTGCACACTAATTTTCTTTAAATAATATTTACAGTTCCAATGATAAAATCACTATTGTAAACGAATTGCTCGTGTCATCGCTACGACATCTTCGTATATCACCCTTCAGGTAACGTAGACACTTTGCTTTTTTTTCTAGCACTCGGTATATTAGTAAAATAATCATTGATATTGTTGGTATATACCTTCTTGACTAATGAAACAACAAGAGGGTAATCAAGCATTCTTTATAGGGAAAGAAGAAATGTTTGTCTATTCTAAGTAGTCATTTATTGATCCTTGAAATGAATGCTTCGAACACAATCGTTTGTTTTCTATCTGGAAAAATCAGGCGTCGAGCGAGCACGAGAAAAAAGAGAAAAAAATTCAAATTCCCTCTTTTCTTTGTGTTATATACGATCTCTTCTTTATGCAAATTAATATTCTTTTTCTTCCTCATATAAAAACGTTTTTTTTCTTCGCTTTGAAAAACAAGTAAGAATGTTGTCATACTTGATTGAGACCTTGAAGTTGTTCTTATGATGCTATTTCACTTGCTATGCCGAATAATATTCATCTTCAAAGCATGTTATCAGCAAGAAAGAAACAGAAGTACAATTAAGTTAGTTTGCCATCTTAAGAACAGAATCAAATCGGATTTTCCGCAGAAAAAGATGTCGACTACTATTAATATCTATATATATATACGAGGAGTCATGCAAATCATTCGATCGAATGTCTGACAAAGCATCCTTTTGTTCGAAGTACAACATTTCTGTCCTGTTGCGCTTTTTTTGCGTATGTATCTTGGTATGTTCTAATCTTTTCAATCCTCGGATGTCTTTTTTCTGTTATTTGACAACTTCTTGAATGTCATCTATGTACAAAACACATTTCTCACGATAAATATCAGATTTATCATCAATACAAAGTACAGACCTTGAAAATCTGTATATACTCAGTTGGTTAAACACTCTAATCTATAGTTCAGATGTAATGCTAATAGGATTAGTTTATTTCTTTTTTGACTAGCCTGACTTAACAAGTCCGTTGTTGATTATTGTTTTTCTTCTTCTTTGGCACACGAAAAGGAGAACATAATAGAATTTTATTGAGATTGACGTGTTCCGAAAATGATCGGAAAACGATATAAAGGGTATTTTCTTTCAAATTGATGTCGAATAATCAAAAGCAAATAAATTCCTTCGTAGTTATTTTCTTGTTCCTACTTTGCCTTTTTCTTTCTTCGCCTTGAAAGCAATGTGAGTATGTGTTTTTAACATTTTTCTTCTAATAAAAAAGAATCACTCTAAGTCATTTTCTTTGATCGATACGAAGCGACAGATGCACATAAATTTGATTTATGAAGTTTTTTTAACTTAATGTAAAAGTAAAGAAAAACGTCGTTGACAAGGCCGTTGTGACTGTTCCTGTCGGAATCTCAGATCCCATAGAAAAGATGTTATTCAAAAGCTTCGATTATGAGTAAACGTCATCTTTTTCATGATCGGAGCACATCAATATGTCTTTTCTTTTCTTTTCTTTCGTAGATTTCATATCATTGAAAACACCTAATCTCAACTATTTATTGAACGTTCAATATGCAAACATTAGCGTCTCCATTATCTGAAACAACTCGTATCGAAGTCAATGTTGCCGAATTTGCGCGTGGTGAAATCGCTGTTAAACTTCGACGTGATAACACATTACTTGTACATGCTCTACATCTTGATCAATTCGCTGTAGATAATTTTTTTCGTAAAGAATTAGTTAAAACATTTCCTTTACCACCCGNAGAATTTGTCGGTTTTTTATTCTAATACTGAACAGTTTCTTTCTTTTCTAACAAATAATTCTTCCATTGATCAAAACTCTAATTCCATCTTCTTGAGAAAAACTACATTCTTTTGTTTCTTTTGCATTCTGGTAGTATTAGTTTGTCTGTATGTACGCGCTCGGTGACTATATGCTGTCTATGTTTGTTTTTCTTCTTGTTATCTGTTCTTTCTCTTCTTCTTTTCGTGCAAGTTTCTACCTCTTTATTTAGTTTTAACATATGGCAATCATTGATTGATTGGAATATGCAACATTCGAATATGTGTTGTGAATTATTTGATTTCTTGAAGAAAAAAAAATCCACAAATCAAAACTTGGTAGTATGTTATATCTATATGTGAGTGTATGTGTGTATTATTTGCTATTTATTACTCCATATCCTTCTTTATTCATATTCTATTGACAGTATTTGTTTCACATTTTTTGTTTTTGTGATTTTCCACTATTTCTCTCTCTTTGTTTTTTGCTACTATCATTGCTCTGCACTGCTGTTTTGCGCTCTCTCTCTCTGTTTCTTTTTGTACTATTTCGATACTCTATTGTGCGTACATATATACATTCCAAGTTTTTTGTTTTGTTGACATTCCAGACTTTTTTAAGACGACATAGGGTTCCAGCTATTGAACTCATTTTGTTTTTAAACTTAGGTAAAAAACAATGATCAACCGTTTTTTCTTCTTCTTTAAAACAACACTCATATTTCTTTTCATCATTGAAGAAAAGGCATTCTTACTAATCATTGAAAAAGCGGTACAAATCTCAATGGACAGAGAGACATCTATACTCGTTGAAAAAGCTTCTCATGAAGAGGGGTCTCTATCATAACAATGCATTTCATGTCGGTTGAGTCTGTTCTGGAAGAATTTGTTGACTTAAATAACTTCTCGATTTTTTTTCTTTACTATCGTCAACGCATAAAATTCATACTGATACATGGCTACCTCAACACTGACTCAACTCGAACCCAAATCTCTAATTCGGCCAACACATTGGTCTAAAGAAGTCGAGAATGCCTATCGTTTTCAACTAGCCGGCTACCGAGATGAGATGGAATACAAAAAACTTCGACAAGTAGTTGAGGTTCGTGAATTGTTTTCTTCTGAATGTTTTGTTTTCTTATACAACGTACTGTATCATATAGGTTGATGTATGGCCAGATAGTGGCTTTGTGAAAAAACTACAACGTCGTAAAGATGGATTCTTCTATTATTTCGACAAACTTCGCGAATGTCCAGATAAAGAAATACATAAATGTAAAATTTACTCATATTGAAAATAAACATGCATATTATACGATAACTAAGACAAGTAAATCGTGTTACATAGAACACTCTTCTTTTGCTCGTGATAAATTATATTCGGTGATACCAGTTAGTATTGCGCAGAATTGAGGGAGAATATGTCATAGGATCGAGCCTTCACATTTCAGATTTTACTCGTTGTAATTATTAAAATGACGGTCAAATGTATGCACTACTATTTTTGTGATTTCTGTTAGAAAATGTTTGTAGACTATAAAAGGCTGCTATTTACAGATGATCTGTCAGAACGTTGTGAATCTAATAAAATATACATGATGAGGTCGACAGTAGGTAAAACTTCTGCTTATAATCACCATCTGATAAATGCCGATGAAATATTAAAATACTCAATCAAAAAACAAATCATGACGCACGTACTTATTATTCATGCATGAAACATGGAATGACTAAGTCCTTCTCTTATTGTTAAAAATAAAACAAGGCTTCGGGCATATACAGTTCGATTGGATATCGAGGCGAATCTGATGAAGTTTTCATGCTAAGAGACGACAACTCGAAGTTGTTCTCGTTAACATATATATTACTTTTGTTCATCGGCACGCGTTTGAAATTTTAATTTACACTTCTAGGCCTTTTTTGTTGATAGAATTCATCGTCGTTATTGAATTACTTTACGTCCGTACATTTTTTGATTATATATGAATAAAAGACAAAACCTTGTTGCTCTTTCTTTGCCTCAAATGACTTCATTTCTAGTTTTTTTTCTTCTCCCTGATCGGTTAGACACAAAAGTCTCTTGTACACGCATATTTTCCTAGATTAGTATTTTGGATTTTGTTTTATTCGAAACGTTAGGCAATTTTGAAAATGTTCTGTCAGAAATTTTCGCGTGCTCTTTCTTCTTCGTCGTCTCATACCTACAATTCGTTGTTTAGAAGCTGTTCGTCGACAATTATACAAATTGTTTACCTGCTGGTTAGAAAAGCTTCTAAAGAGACACTCTCTTGCAAGAAATGCATGAACTTGCGTGTAATCAACGACGTTCTTATTCTGTACTGATGAAATCATCACCTTTACACAAGGATTTCACTGATCATAGTTCGGTCGGAACCGTTTCAACCTATAGTATGTGGTCAACTTCGAGTAAGCGAAGTATGTCAACAATGTATATCGACGGCACGATGATCCAGGGTCATCATAATCGGCCATGTAGCGGGCAAGGTCCATTTCCCAAAGGAAAGCACCGGCCACGATCAGTCAACGTAGCAGAAAAGAGATTAGTAATAATATTCAAAACGCTATGATATCAACTCTTGCTTATTTCTTATTCTACATAGGATACAGGTAATGCATCCTTTGCTCTACTACCGGCATCATTTATAACCAAAAGTTCATCTGAGCGTGTTGTTGAATCTCCCCAAACACCAAGTCTTTTCAATAGACGTTCGTTGAACTCAAGTCGTTTTGATAATCGAAGTGAAGCGAAATGTTCAACACCTTCGACGACACCCTATTCGAACGGTGGTTGGGTACGACGCCATAAATCATTGAATGAGTCACTTAAGCTGAGTGATCTACTGCGTGATCCTACTTATCGCGAGAAACTCCTACTGAGAAAATGTTCGTATGAAGAATTACTGGCATACTCATCCCGAGCAGGGTCTTTTAAATTTAAATAATACCAATCTACTTTTCTGTGTTCGATTTGAATATAAGTTTTTTTCGAAATGAAATATTGCGGGTGAATCTTTTTTTTTTCTCTGTTATTTATTTCTAATCACGTCGACACCAACCAGTGAAACAGTTGAGTCGATTGCGACTCATACAGAAACACAGAATAATCATGAAACACACGATGTTGAAACGGAAGACGATGAGAACAATGGACAGGACATGACTGGTCGAATTATTGCCGATCATTATCAAATCAAACAGAAATTAGGTGCTGGATCGTTCGGACAAGTTTATCTTTGTGAACATATACATTCTCATGAACAGTGGGCTATGAAAGTTGAACAACACAATGCAAATAATAATCCTCAACTAATGATTGAAGTAGTCAATTTCAACTGAAGTCTTTCGTTTCGATTTCACTTGTTTATTGATTAGCATAAAATCTATACGATACTTCAAGGTGCGCCAGGTTTTCCGAACATCGATTACTATGGTAGTGAGAAAACATTCGATATCCTTGTGATTGAATTGCTAGGACCATCATTGGAAGATTTATTTAATTATTGCGAGCGAACATTTACTTTGAAAACAGCATTGATGCTTGTCGATCAAATGATTTCAAGAATTGAATATGTACATGTATGTCACCTCGTTCATCGAGATATCAAACCAGGTTGTTATTCGCCTTGTCTCTAAGTCGAGATACATCATACTCTTTCAGACAATTTTCTAATGGGTGTGAAAGCGACTGGTAATACTGTCTATATCATCGATTTTGGTCTTTCGAAAAAATATCGAGATCCTCGAACATTCGCACATATACCTTGTAAAAGTAATAAGAGTCTCACAGGTAAATAAATCATTTAATATCATTTGAAAAAACAACTTTGGCCAGATTCTTAGGTACTGCCCGGTATGCATCTATTAATGCTCATAAAGGACTGGAACAATCGCGTCGTGATGATTTAGAAGCGATTAGTTATGTTTTCATGTATTTCATTACGGGTAAATTACCATGGCAAGGTTTACAAGCGACAGCGAAAAAAGCGAAATTTGAACGTATTGCTGAAATGAAGATGAAATTCACGCCTGAACGACTGTGTAAAAACTATCCTAAAGAGTGCGTTTTATTTCTGAAGTACTGTCGAACGTTAGAATACGATCATCGACCTGATTATGATTATCTACGACATCTCGTTCGCTATTTGCTGTATGACAAAGGCGAGCAGTATGATTATGATTACGATTGGATTGTGTCATATACGCAAAAACAGAACGTTTTAATAAGTAATAGTAGTCCCGGTGAAGGCGAAATGTCTGTTATGTTCGAACAATAATAGGACATCTGTTTGCGTTTTTTTTTGGAAAACGTGATTATTACCTAAACGAGACTGAACACGTGAGAACGTTTCTGCAACAATTTGTTATGACCTAATCATAATAAATAATCGATGGGCGTGAATAATTTTGTCAATTTTTGGCGATATATTAAAAGAAACCAGATGAACGCGAGGACAAAAGTGTCGTGCCGTTCTCCGATTAGCCAGAGAAAAGATTCCAGAATGTGTCCTGCAATTATGTCCATGAGAAATTAATTATGTATTTTGAAATTTTTTTCTGGAAGAAAAATCATGAACACTCACATGTACCTTTCGCCTATTATGGATTCTATATAAATCCAGATGGCTTTGCATTTAACATAGACATTTTCTCCATCAAATTTACCATTGAAAATGTTAGCTTTGGTGCTGGTCGCCTTTATTACCATGCTGAGCATGAGTATTATTCGTCATAACGTATGTAATTCTTAATTATTCGATCTATCATTTTCAGTTTAACATCTCTTCTTTTTCTAGCGTTCAAAAAATGAAAAGAATGGATCTTTGTCAACAAATGTCCCATGGGGTCCTCGTCCATGGCCAATTATAGGTAATCTTCTTCAACTAGGTTACCGTCCGTATGAAACAATTTATCGCTGGTCGAAAATGCCAAAATATGGGCCAATCTATCGTCTTCGTCTCGGTTCACAAACAGTGGTTGTCCTCAATTCAGCTTCGGTCATTCGCGAAGCTCTACATGATCATAGCGAATCATTTGCTGGTCGTCCGTATCTTTATGTCATCAACGAAACTCTTCATGGTAAAGGTGTGATCTCAGCTCCCTATGGTCGTGAATTCAATGAACATAAAAATTTCTTATTGAAGAATTTCAATCGATTTGGTCGTCGACGACGATCGTCATTAGAAGACGGCTGTCTCGATGAAATACGTATGGTTGCAGAAAAACTTCGGGAGAAACAATCATCGCCATTTCAGATCGGTAATCTATTAAGTCAAATATCGGGTAATAATATCTGTACGTTAACATTTGGTCGTTATTTTGAAACAATGGATATCACAAGTTTATTTGAGAAATTAAATGAGAATTTCAATGATACAGCAACGATTGCATGCTTCAATTTTCTACCATTTACACGACGATTTAAAACACATATATTCGACAATGTCAATTATTCCAATAATGTTATTAAAAAATTAGTTAAAGAACGCGAAACAAACTTCGACTCGCAAGATTTGAACAATATTGTTGACGCATATCTAGATCAAATGGGTAAACAACGACATTTCTCCAAAGACAATCTCGATTCCTTAGTACAAGATTTATTCGTGGCGGGTACAGAAACAGTTTCGAATACATTGAATTGGACCATATTCTATATTGTATCACATCCACATGTTCAACAGAGGATCCATGAAGAAATCGACCGAATGATTGGTAAAGATCGTGCACCATGTGAGAAAGATCGTCATCAAATGCCATATATTGAAGCTGTTCTACTTGAATCGATGCGTTGCCATTGTGCTGGACCAATTCTACTACCGCGAGCAACAACACATGATATCACATTTCAAAATTACTTTATTCCAAAAGATACATTCATTCTAGTCAACATGTGGTCCGCTATGAAAGACGAAGAACAATGGCCTGAGCCGGAAAAGTTCCGACCGGAAAGATTTATCGATGAAAATAATCGGCTGATCAATATCAATCATCCAGCGATGATGCCGTTCAGTGTCGGCAAACGAGCATGCACAGGTACACAGAGATTTTCATCAAGACATTAATGTATTTGCTTGTTTTTCTCCTAGGTGAACAAATCGCTAAAGTGCAATTATTTTTAATCTTAGTTAGTTTATTTCAAAAATTCGAGTTTCATTTTGCAAATGGTTGGACTCCCAAAGATCTTCGTGGTCAACCGGGTTTTACTCTTCGGCCACCCATCTGTCAGTACCAAGCTTCCGTTCGCTAAACGATACTCTTTCCCCTCCCCTTCCCCGACTTTTTGACCATTTCAATCTAATCCCGAGTCCCAATTATGTAAGACAAGATAATAAGCATTTCAAATAAAACTTTAATCACGCATCATCAATGTCTTCAATGTTGCTATGTTAATTTTTTGAAATTTTATATGACGGAAGGAGAAAAAGACAAATTAAACTATAGCAATGACATAAGAAGAAGTAACAGGTAGCATAAACGAAAAGAATGGATATACTGTTTTGGACAGAGTACAAATCTAATACATAGTTTGCTTGTTTTCTTTTGTATTCTTCTTCAAAATCCGGAGAAACACACCATGTCGCTACTTAAAATTTAAAAAGAAAGAAAGAAAGAGAAAAGAGAAAAGAAAAATGACATAGTCAGAGTGATTGTATATTCATCTAAGCTTTGAATGAACCTACAAAATTTTGAACAATTTCTTTCAATTTAGCATCCGTTTCGGGCGTGATTTCGTTCTTGGAACGGACTGATTCAAGGATATCTTTGTGTTGTCCTTTCAAATGTTGTAAGAAGGCCTGTTCGAATTTTGTGATTTTCGATGGATCAAGTTTATCTAAATGACCACGGACACCAGCATAGATAACGCATACTTGTTCTTCAATAGCCATGGGAACTAAAAATCAATATTTAGATATACACATGAAATCGAAAATTCAATTCATTTGATGACAAACCATATTGGCCTTGTTTGAGTAATTCAGTGAGTCGAACACCGCGATTAAGTAAGGATTGAGTGGCAGCATCGAGATCCGAACCGAATTGGGCGAAAGCAGCGACCTCACGATATTGGGCTAATTCGAGTTTCATTTTACCAGAAACCTAATAGAAGTCGAATGAGTGCACAGGAAATGCTTCAATAGATATTTACTTGTTTCATGGCTTTGGTTTGGGCAGCACTGCCGACACGTGAGACAGATAAACCGACGTTGATAGCTGGTCGAATACCTTTGTAAAACAATTCAGTTTCCAAAAAGATTTGACCGTCTGTAATCGAAATGACGTTTGTTGGGATATAAGCTGACACATCACCTAGAAAAACACATGAAAAATTCTATATCAGTCGAATGTGAAATAAAGATCGTAACGTACCAGCTTGAGTTTCAATGATTGGTAAAGCTGTCAATGAACCACCACCGTGACTGTCATTCATTTTAGCAGCACGTTCAAGTAAACGACTGTGAAGATAAAAGACATCACCTGGGTAAGCTTCTCGACCGGGTGGACGACGCAATAAGAGTGACATTTGACGATAGGCAACGGCCTAGGAAGAAATTTATCAAATCGTCTGTTCGAACTAGCGAGTCTGTCCTACTTGTTTGGAAAGATCGTCATAGATGATCAAAGCATGTCGACCTGTATCGCGAAAATGTTCACCCATAGCACAACCTGAATATGGTGCTAAGTATTGTAATGGAGCTGCATCTGAAGCAGTAGCAGCGACAATAACTGAATATTTCATAGCATCTAAATAAATAGATGATTAATACTTTCACTTCTCAATAATGGGAAGGAACAAACCAGCATCGGTAAGTCGTTTGACAAGTTGGGCTACGGTAGAACGTTTTTGTCCAATAGCAACATAAATACAATACAATTTTTTCTTTTCTTCTCCAGCATCATTAAAACGTTTTTGATTGATAATTGTATCAATAGCAACAGCAGTTTTACCAGTTTGACGATCACCAATAATCAATTCTCGTTGACCTCGACCAATGGGTACTAAACTGTCGACGGCTTTCATGCCTGTTTGCATAGGTTCACGTACGGATATACGTGGAATAATACCGGGTGCTTTAACTCCGACACGAGCTCGTTTTTTCGTATTTAATGGACCCTAAAAGAAGAACCATACTTTCATGTAAATACTAGATCTCCATTGTTGCTGTTGTTGTTTACTTTGCCATCGATTGGATTGCCGAGAGCATCAACAACACGGCCAAGGAGCTCATCACCAATGGGCACGTCGACGATAGCACCGGTTCGTTTAACAATATCGCCTTCTTTGATTAAACGATCGTTACCAAAGACGACAACACCAACGTTGTCAGGTTCCAAGTTGAGAGCCATACCCTAAGCACAACATTACGCTTAACCTAATTGAAGACAACAAGGATGAATGCAAACCTTCAAGCCACTGGAGAATTCCACCATCTCTTCGGCTTGGATATTTTTTAAACCGTAAACACGAGCAATACCATCACCAATGGTTAAGACACGGCCAGTTTCTTCTAAATCTTGTTTCGATTGGTGACCAAGAATTTTCTGTTCAAGAATAGATGAAACTTCTGGTGTTGATTGAGCTGATTGGGCAGCTGCACAGCGTGCCGATGATGTTGACATAGGTCGAATAGCTGATAGAGCCAAAACATGACTATTTCCAAGATACTGCGAAAAACAACAATTTTAGACAATCGATTAGCAAGACGATTTCGTTGAAAATTTACTTTTGCTGATTCAACACCCCGAGCAAGTGCCCGTTGTCGAACAAGAGATACTAGAGCTCGTTTCATATTTTTATTTCCAGATGATGTTGGTAGAAATTACTTGTAGAAAAGAAAACAATACGATAATATGTACTGAAGAGTTACACAACAGAGGCAAAGAGGAATGACTGATGACCGACGAAGACAAATGCATATTTTTCATTTAAAATTAAGGAATTCGTTTCAGTTCGAAAATATATTTTATTGCATAAAACTTAATCAGAATCGATTTCCAGAAAACGATCCATAGATGTCGCTGCGTGCCCATACCTAGAGATTGAGGAATGTGATCTTGAGGGAGAAATGTGACGATATATTCAATAATATATCGAGATTATTCCACAGTGGCATGGAAAAACAATCGCTTGTGTTCATTTGCCATTAACATAAACAGGGTTCGTGCAGTGGACAAAAATTCGCCTAAACAGATTCGTTTATCACTAATGTCAGTGTAGGTACTGTAGTCGAGTTTCTCATGCTACTGCGCATTTTTCTGCTGGCCCATTTCAAGT